TAAGTCGTCCGCGACCACTCGTAAAGTCGTCCACAAGGCATTGGTGATGTCGTCCACAACTATTGGTGATGTCGTCCACAACTAATATTTGACTCGTACACAACTTATACTTGACTCGTGCTAATGGCTAAAGTAGCTATCTCTCAAACTTGAGACTTCTAGCGTATACTATTTCGCCGAACATAACTGATTTGAAATTAGAGTAAAAACGGAAACAATTGAATTTACATCAGTTTATACACATTATTATGCGAATTGCGACCCATTGTCAATTTCTGGGTCCCACATATTAGCGATTTAGCTCCTTTAAAATAGCTGTCTCAAACTCAATATCATCCAAAGTCTTCGACATTGAAAACACAAATTATTTGTCAATTTAAATCAACATTAATGCTGTACGTGGTCTTACCGGGTAAAGATGGGCTTCTGATAACCAATATTTAAAATAAAATCAACACTTTACCATTGGTACACGAATCGTGTACCATAATGCGTTTCAGCGCCATTTGTAACAAGGGACTCGAAGAACGGGGCAAGACATATTCCACAATTAAGTCATGTCAAACGGTGACGTCATATTCTTATCCATCTCTCTCTCTCTCTCTCTCTCTCTCTCTCTGGTGTTTTAACGTCTGCTTCCACAGAAGTGGTATCGCAGACAAGACATGGAGAGCCAAAGCTTCTTCCTGTTTTTAGAATATTATTATTATTATTATTATTGTTCGATTTATATAGCGCTTCATTACACGTGAAGTGTTTCTAAGCGCATATCACAAACATATACTTCAAACACACAGAAACAATCAAAATCAGGAGAACATAATTAAACACAGCTGCCTGTTAGGCGCTATTATTCAAAGGTTTATATCCAACAAATCAACCGGCTAATCTCTATATTGAACTCAGTCGAGGTATTACCTGATGAACACCTACACCAAGTAGAGTTCAAAAATAAAAAACGAAGTTTAAAAGAATCAGCTTCATTAACAAAAATTAAACAATCAAAAACTAAACAGATAAATCAAATTCAAACGAAACAAATAAAACAAAGAAAATGAAAAGAGCAGTTCATTACCATTCTACATTAACAAAATAAAGGAAAACAACTTGTGAAATTTTTTTCAAAAAATAAGAGCAACTGATGTCAAGCCATATCTACTGTAGAATGTATTATTGGGTTATAAAAACGTCTATTTTAAGTTTCATCAAAAGCAGATAAAATCTATCTACACAACAATGTGGACATATATAACAATGAATGAGTAATATTTGCCTTGAAAACAAATTAATTGGCAATTTTGCTGATGTTTTTCAATCTAAATCAGAATATAAATTGGAATAAATTACCGTTCCTCCAACAATTCTACCCAATGGATACCATGCTCTATCATCAAACCAATTAAGAAAGTTATAGAAGCCATGGGTCACCATATGATGTGTTGCCCGATAGTTAAACCATGGGTCGAAATATGATTTTGCAATCTTTCCATTTGCGGCCTTAAATTAGGCCATGGAGTGGGTTTAGTGAGAAGTTCTTCCCTTTATTTAATAAAATAAAAACGTATTGTTTGGTAGTTGATCTGTGGACACAGCATGTACGCGGACATATATATGCGTCTCTTCTCTGGATTGGTAGATGTCATCTTTGTGGGTTTAGTGTTTAGGCTCGTCTTATCGTGGCCTCCCCTTACACCACTATCCTACTCTGCAGGTTTGGTGTCTTTTTAGCGGATTAGTGTTTAGATGCCGAGCCTGTCTGACCGTGACCCTCCCTTACTCCACCATATCCTGCTAATTTGGTATACGTCACCTATGTAGTTTAGTGTTTAGATGCCGAGCCCGTCTAACCGTGGCCCCCACTTACTTTACTAGTCTACTTAATCCAACCGTGGTCATTAGATCGTCGATTAGTTCGAAGATTTGCAGCTTCAGATCAGGTCTCGGAAAGAGTAGATTCTTCGTGTTGAGCATGTTGTTGGACTCCATCATTCCCACTAGTCCCCTTCTCTCCACCATGTTCACAGCCTACCAGGACATGGTTGGTGGTACATTCTTCTTCGCACTCACAGACAATGACTTGGTGTTTGAAGTCTCGCAATCGCTCTTTTACCCTTAGTTTCGATATAAGTGTGCATACATCTCTTCTATGGTGATTGATCGCTGGCTTCGTGTAGATGTCAAGTTCATCGAGCTTTAGTTCCCAGATTGAATTGATCTGTCTTTTAACCATACTGTAGATTTCCGTAATGCTTTATTTTATGGTGTGGAGTGGTGTTGTGTCCCTGAGACCTTCGCTAGCGAGTCGATCTGCCTCCTCTTTTCCTCTAATTTCCACGTGTGATGGAATCTAAACGAGTTCTAGTTTGTTTCGTTTCTCTAGGAATCTCTGGTACAGCTGTCTGATTTCCAAAATGACTTCTGGTCTTGAATCCGAGTTCTTATTTTGGATTGAAATCGGACTGCTCAGAGAGTCGCTTGGAATGACGAACTTACTTTTGATGGGAGATCCATGATATATAGCATCACAGATAGCTACAAGCTCAGCAGTTTAAACCGAACAGTTATTGGGCTGTCATTAATTAGTGCTAATTAATTAAGCTCTTAAGTAGCATTAGCACAACATTGTATGCTCTTAAGTCATGCATTCTGTTTCTTAGTGTTAAGTGTGAAACGCTTGCAAAATTAAAGTCAATCGGATATTAACTTTAGCCTCTAGGGCGTCCACAAGCAATTGGACTCAATATTTTGATTAAATCTCACTGGGCTCCCGGACTATAGGTGGATAGCGTTCATTTATCACGAGCTCCCCCAGTCGCACTTCCTTGACTGTTTCCCTGATACCCTGGCCGAAGCTTTTCTTTCTTGGATCTCTCACATATCTTGTTTTCTTTAGACTGACAAATGTTGGGGAACTTTCGCCCAGTATCTTGTCGCTAGTTATGGATAGGAGAAACTCCGCGGCTTCCTGTAGTAGTGCTTCTCTCCCAGTTCCAAGCCCTACGCCAGTCGCAATACACAGAGCTTTGTATTGGATGGAGTCAAGCTTACTTAAGAGTGTTGGCCCACAATTTATGAAGGCCAGAGAGCATGATAGGCTACACCATCATTGATGTAACTCTGTTGACTCCCCACGAATTGCCCATTACTTTTCTCATTAAGATTAGGATTTTGGAGCATGTATCTATGCACACATTCCAGTTGATGTGCGGCCGATGTCTAACCAAACTAAATCAAATGCCTTAGTTAAATCTACGAACACGGCACATAACAGGTGCCCCATTTCTGGAGAGCAGACGCAATAAATACTATCGGTGTAGACTGGAATAACAAAACGCTAGAGATTGCCATTCGCCGAACATAACTGATTTGAAAGTAGAGTAAAAACGGAAACTACATGGAAATCTCAAAATACACTGTTCTATCAAGATTATCAACAAAACAAAAAATCATCACTAAACAGGAAATATTTTTTATCCAGATATACTTCAAACACCTTTATTTATTTTTCTAATACTTCAAAAGCGTAGACTGAATTAGCCGCGTTGTGTTTTCTGTTTTAATAATATATATCGCCATAGGCGTATGAGCGCGGGGGATTTTTATAGCAGATGGGTAAAGTGAGAAAAAACCAACAAAAATAGGTCTATAATATTTTGGGGGAATACAATACAATAAAGTGCCGAAATGCAGTATTGTTTACGTGATAATAAAACACTACCTTTTCCCTCTTTTAATTGAAGACGGCGAATTTGTACCACAGGTACACGGGGACAGGCACGTCCTTATATGGTGGACCTATATGATATGATATGTGATTTTTTCAAAATATTTTCATGATTTTCTGGGGTTTCTTCTTAATATTTTTCAAATTTTTTAATCTGCTTTATTTTCCTTCCTATTTGGTGCTAAATAATATAATATTTACTATCAAACATGTTTGTATTAAAAATCATTAGATAGACCTACATCAGAAGGTATAAAACAATTTTTATATACGAACATGTTTGATAAATATTATATGATTTAGAACCAAATAGGAAGAAAATAAAGAAGATTAAAATTTTTGAAGAATATGAAGAAAAAAAAACAAAATCAAAAATTTTGACAAAATCACATAGGTAGAAGGGCGTTCCTTTCCTCATGTACCTGTGAATTGTACTGAATTGGCTAAAAGATTCTTTCTGGAGCAACTCTCGATACGCTTCATTCGAAATTTTAGGGGCATCGGTTATAAGGGTTATATTTTTCATCGTATTTTTTGTGACATGTTATTTCTTAAACATGTTATTGACTATAACATTTTAAAACAATTAAAATCAGTGTAATCATGAACCTTATATATGGTGTAATAAACAACTTCTAGTGCCATCCTGCTTTACTGTTTGTAACATATAATTAGGCCTACTTATCTCCATGCAAACTGTGATGATATGTGTTGAAAATTTTGCAATTGAACCTAATTAATTTTACTTGCGAAAACTTGCCGCAAAGCCTCGAATAGTGTAGCAAATTCATTGTAGCTGTGAATAAGAATTATCACATCTACTATCTACAAATATTGCAGCTAGAGGTGACAATTCTATGGAATTTCTAAATATTACGAAATGTCGCTCGGTAATAAACATTAATTGTATTCCATAGTCATAGAAATGCGACCCGTGCATTGCTTTGATTTTTGAAAGCAAAGTCGTATCGAGACGTAATTTTTGCACCTATTGAACGTTGACCTCTAAGGTCTATAATTCAACATGGCGGAATGGACATCGGCCTAAAGTAAAAAGGAAATCCATCGCCTATTCATTTATATAACATATTATAGCCTACTGACTGATATAGAATCCAATCGACCTTGCTGTGCGGTGAGTCTTTTTCTTGTTATTGAAAGATTTTGTAGTATTTATTTGAATTAATTTTCATAGAAAAAATTAATATTTGTGTGATTTTATTATTATTTCTACGCGCGCACCCGGAGCCATCGTTATCTTCGATCATCCGGTCCTAGCAGTGTCGCGTATTATTATTATTTTTTTAATTTTGATGATAGAGGGTACGCGGTACGCTGCTATTTTGATACTTGTAAGTATGTTTTTCATAACAGTTGAAGCTTAGTCATTTAAATTACTGTAACAGGATGATATTACTTTCCAAGAGCCCGGCTTTTATTTCATAAGAAATGACGCATAATTCTTGAAATTTCTTGAAATCTAGATTATGTTCTTTGAGACCGGAAGTAACGCCCAGCGCGCATCCAGTCGTATTTACAAGGGTGGTAGACATAATGGCCATAAACCAATTCGGCCCACATATCTGTTCAAATCGGCTAAATTTAACAATTTGGTCGCCCAAAACGGACAAACAAAATAAAATTCAAAACGGCTAATGAAATATTTGTTGTGTATTTATCAATCCATTATTATATATTTACTTACATAAATTTGGCACATCAATGTGAATGTCTCCATTTGGCTTGGGGAAGAGCAAGGAAAAAGACATCCTTTTTTAATATAATTTTTATTTTCATCAGTAAACTTCTCAAATGCCCTCCATTCCATTATCCATGCTACAATAATATGCCTTCTAGTTCTTATTACTTTGGATGCTTTTCATTTGCTGATTCTCTCTATTCACAACTTTGGGTTAATTGCACACCCTTCGATTATCAGCATGATCAGATATTTATCTCGTCACTAAGCATATTAACTTATTTGTATCGGGTACACCAAATTATTTTCGTTTTTACCAAATTATGTCCATTTTTGACCACGAATTGGATTTTGACCATATCCTGTTTAGGCTATTTTGTTCATTTACTGATTATTACAGCTAGAAATTATAATTTTCAAAATCATGACTTAGTATTAATCTTTATTATTAACTTAATTAGCCGACCAATTTTGAATTTCTGTATCAGAACAGTAAGTAGGTAGGCTACTTATAAGAGTGATCAAATTATTTGGGGTGACCATAACCAAATCCTAATGAAAACAGCCAGTCGGTCTGGCATTAAATTCTTTTATAGGTAAACTTAGGTAGTTCTGCTCGTTTAGAATTACTAAAATGCATCATATAGACCAATCTTAAACATAAAATATTCAAGAGTTTATCCAAAGGCTATACAAATCGCTCACATGTACAAACTTTGTTTGGAATATTTAGGAGGAAATATCATACAAATCCCTTTAAATGAACAATTAAAATATATCTAATTATTCTTTTCATTTCAGAAAACATGTCAAAAGATAAATATAATCTGAAAAAAGATGTATCCATTCATTGGTTTCGACATGGACTTCGGTTATATGATAACCCAGCACTGTTAGCTGCCCTAGAGAACTGTGAACAGTTCTATGCTATTTTTATTTTTGATGGTGAAGTAGCAGGTATGCAACACGCCATTCTACCTGTGTTGGGTTCTGAATTTCCTACCTGGATTATTTGACAGATCATTTAAGATTTAAGGTCATATTAGAACTGGCAATATTATTGATCTGTCTGATCCATGTTAGAAAATATATTGGTTTTGTCCCATATGAATAAATTTTGGCTATTTAAAAAGTACCCATATGTTTGAAGTTGCCTCCGGTAAAATAAAAATAATTGTACAATTAAAAATTTCAATGCATAAAAAATTCACTCTTGAAAAATATACCCATTTGCATATCATTTAAACATAAAATGATAGATGTTTGGAAGGCAACAATGTTTGAGAGATTTTCACACCCATGTGATCCTTTCAATGGGCAACGGAAAAAGGTGAAGTGATTTATATTGAAACAATTGATCACCAGTCTACTAAATTGTATTGACAATAGATATAACATTGATCAAGCTGATATCAGTAAAAATAAAGCCATATATAAACAAAAACTTTACGATATGTAAAATATGTCTCAGTTAGTGTTGAGTGGATGTTAAACCCATTATTGGGGTGATTGGGTGGCCAAATGGTTAACATGTGCGCATTGCATCATAAGTTCTGTCACTGAGTCAAGTGGTGTGGTTTCGATTCCCCACTTGTACGTGACAAGGTCGCCTGTCCAACCTTGTGGGTTTTCTCCAAGTCCTCCGGTTTCCTCCCACTGCTAAAGACCCATACGCGCAAGCAAATTAATGAAATAAAATTAAACCTAGTTTGTATCAAATGGACATTAAATCCCATTTTTAACTCACTCTCTCTAAACCCATTATATCTCTCTCTCTCTCTCTCTCTCTCTCTCTCTCTCTCTCTCACACACACACCCACACACACACACTACATGTATATCTCTATATTTTGTTTATATTTAAGTAACTAGAATTTAATGATATTTTTACTTCTTTTATTATTTCAGGTACAAAGACAGCTGCATATCCCAGAATGAGTTTTCTAATAGAATGTCTTCATGATTTAAATAAACAGTTAAAAGAAAAGGGTGGACAGCTCTATGTATTTAGAGGAGATCCTGTGGAGACTTTTACTAATTTATTCAAAGTATGTATATACCATGAAATCTCTGCCTATAATCAATATAAGTCTATTAGAAATTCACCAAAAACTGTTTATTGAATAACAATTACTGGTTTATTAACAGGCATCGTTTCGACGATCGTACTCTCATCTTTATCAAATTCAGTGGCCTTTTTGGTCAACTATCTTTCTGTGAAACCTTTATTCCATTTCCGTTATGTATAACGGTACGTACTATTGAGATTCTCAGTTCTATTGAAATGTTTCTTGAATTATTTCAAATATATATAAACACCAATACCATTTATCAATAACATGAATGGAGATTTACACAGGGCTTAAAGGGCATATAGCTCTGTTCTTAGGAACGTTAAAATAGACGAAATTGTCCCAAAGGCACATGTTAATGTAATATGAGTATATATAGATATATAGTCATTTACATTCAATTTTTAAGATTCCTTTTGTAATTTCTAATCAATTATGTCCAGTGAAATACGCGAACAGTCTAAATTGAACAGCAGTTGTTTGTGTCTACTTAGTCCATTTTTTTATGATTTTGTTGTTTGCTAATATGCCATTTTTAACTGCATTTGGATATGTTTGTCAATTGAATTTTGCACTAATCAGGCCAAAGCTTTGAAATATTTTATCCTGTTTTTGAAGGAATGGGGTGTAACAAAGTTAACCTTTGAGGTGGATCCGGAGCCTATTTGGAATGAGAGAGACAATAAAGTGAAAGCACTCTGCGAGAAGAAAAATGTTAAATGGGAAGAATATCATGGCCATACTTTGTGGAATCCCAATGAGTAAGTTTTTTTTACGACTCAAGATTATATATTTCCTTCCACTTGTAATTAAAGATATATTTCTTCTATAGTATGGTTTATGCTAAATGTTAAAACGTATCCTTCATTATGGTATAGGCCATAAAATAATTTATCAAACAGTTAATTGATATCATTATTTACTCTCCCAAATATATAATTGATATTTGGATCACTATCATTCATAGTCAAATTTTATCTACACTAATTAGGACACTACTATCTAATGAGAAATATATCTGAATTGTGAAATACCCACAAGATAATTTTTATACGCCCCTGTTTCACTTTGTTGAACCTTGTCAACGCTCTAATGCCAAAAGTTAACATCCGATCTTTGTGGAATTTATATGCAATATTTAAATTAGGGAAACAAAGAAGCCTATTGAATTTCAGCAATTTCTGTTTATTATTTCTAGAGTTATGGCCCTTGTTTCACTTTGTTTAAAGGAGCTAAATCGCTAACATTTGGGACCTAGAAATTGACAAAAGTGGGTCGCAACGCATATAATACTGTTATATGAATGTATATAAACTGATTTACATTCAATGGTTTCCGTTTTTACTCCAATTTCAAATCAGTTATGTTCGGCGAAATAAGCCAGCAGTCTCAAGCGAGTGCAAATTTCTAGCATCTGGTTATTCCAGTCTACATACGCCGTTTGATTTGGTGCAATGTGTCTAGCCTCGTCCCTCGAGTCTCTTGATACAACTGGGGCTGAAACGCATTATGGTACACGATTCGTGTACTAATGGTAAAATGTTTATTTTGTCTTAAATATTGGATAATATTGGATGATATTGAGTTAGAGACTTGGCTACTTTAAGCTTGTGAACGCTCTAACACCAAAATTTATCATCCTATCTGTATTTAATTGATATGTGTCATTTAAATTAGTAGAAAGAAGAATCCTATTGAATTTCAGCAATTTCCGTTTATTATTTCTACAGTTATGGCCCTTGTTTTACTTTTGAACCTTGTGAACACTCTAACGCCAAAAGTTATCAGCCGATCTGTATGAAATTTATATGCATCATTTAGATTAGTGAAACCACGAAGCCTATTGAAATTATTCATCAATTTACAATAATTACTTCTCGAGTTATGGCCCCTGTTTCACTTTATTCAACCTTGTTAATGCTCGATTAATGATAGTTATCATCAGATATATATGAAATTTATATGCATCATTTAAATTTGTGTAATGGAGGTCTTGAATTAATTTCAGCAATTTCCGTCAATTATTTCTAGAGTTATGGCCCTTGTTTTATTTTGTAAACCTTGTGAACGTTTGAATGACAAAGTTATCATCCGATTTGTATGAAATTTATATCAAATTTCAAAATTTTCTGTAAATTACTTCCAGAATTAAGGCCCTTGTTTCAGTTCGTAGAACCTTGTGAACCCTCAAACGACAAAAATTATATTCTGATCTATATGAAATTGTATTGTAAATGCCCCCAATTACCTACAAAAGAATAAAAATGCAACAACCCTTGTCGACCGCTCGGACGATTTAGCTGCTGTGGGCGTATGATTCGTTGTCTGGCAACCTATCTTTATTGTCTTAAAATCAATACCTTACATTTGATGTCAATTTCAGGTATATCGTCTTTATATTTCCATCATTCAAACCTTTTTTTATACAGGGTTATTGAAAACAATGGTGGATCTCCACCTTTGACCTTTAAATTGTTTACTCAGACTAGCGAACTCGTTGGACTGCCACCAAGGCCACGTTCATATCCAGATTTTAGCAAAGTCAAGATGGAAGTATCTAATAATGATAGTAACAGATTCTTTGTACCTACTTGTGAAGGCCTGGGTAAGAATTGTAAACAGAGTACCGGACACAGTTCTTGACATTTCAGCTTTGAAATTTCTATAAAGTATCAGTACTATTTATAAGAAAAACCATTATTTTGATTATTGTTTGAACTAGGGTACAGTATAATCTTATCAACCTTTACATGTTTCAATAGGTGTGTTTCCAGAAACAGAACATCAGAAAAATCCATTAAATCATTATATTGGTGGAGAAGTGAGAGGTAGAAAATTATTGGAGACCAGAATGAAAGTTGAAAGTGTGGTATGCAATAAAAATTAATTTTTAAAAGCAAAGACTATTATTGAATTGTCAAAAACTGAATATCACATTAAGAATTATTGCTATTTTACATATTTTTTCTTTGAGAATTAATTGAGTCTGGCATATTCATGTTGATAATTTTGATGAATTTTGTATTTTTAGATTTATGTATAAATTTCAGGCTTATGAATCTGGCTATTGTATGCCAAACCAGTATAAACCTGATCTGTTGGGTCCACCACTCAGTCTCAGTCCCCATCTTCGATTTGGGTCTATTTCTGTTCGTGAATTTTACTGGCGATTACGTGATACTTATTCAGAGGTTAGTGAGTTCAAGTACATCTTGTATATTTACTATGGTCACGGTGGCTAAATGGGTAAGACGCTGGCTCACTAGCCTGGAGGTCGGGTGTTCGATCCCTGTATTGGCCGAGAAAGTTCATCCAGATTTACCGGCGTGGTTCCTCTTTGTCAGTGATGCATGACGGAGGGCCTGACAAGGACCAATCTCTAGTCGTTCGGATGGGATAAAAAACTGAGGTCCCGTGTACACATTGGCGTGCATGTAGAAGATCCCTTGACAGTTGAAATTAGATATAAGAGTAAGCTGTAGTGCCACTGTCCTGGAAAAATTACCCTCGTAGCACACTGTATGGTGTATGCCCGTCTTCATTAGCCCAGTTCGGAGCAGAACAGTAGGACGTTAAACCCCATTTCATTTCTATGTATTTACTGCTGTTATATTAATGTGACAAGACCTCTTTGGCCCCAAAGGAAAATGATCTGTTAAAATCGTTTAAGGTGTTCATTTGTTTTGTGGGATGGCAACCTTATGTCTGTAGATATGGCCATGGTCAGTTTTGACATATAACTGATTTGTTGATGTTCCACTGTTGAGAGGAGAAGAACCAGTGACATTTTCAGGTCTACTACCATTGATCCTATTCCAATTTTAGTTAAATGAAATGTCACTGAACAGACCCTATTGTATTAATTAGAATATATTTTTATTTTTTAGATATATCCTGGTAAAGACGCTCCAGTATCTTTAACAGCTATGTTAATATGGAGGGAATATTTTTACACCATGTCTGTCAATAATATCAAGTTTAATCAGATGGTAGATAATCCTGTCTGTCTTAATATTAAATGGTATAAAAACCAGGAACAACTTGATAAATGGACAAATGTAAGATATAGATAGTTTACTATATTATTTCAGATGATGTTATGCCCAATTTGTGCTCATTACTAGAGAATATATTTGAATTAGATCAACTAGATTGATATTTAGTCAATATAAGAAAATGTCAATAATACAAGAAGCACTCGACATGCTGCTTAATATTAAAATTTTACCTTATGTCTGTTTCTTTTTTTCTAATCAACTGCCGTTGTTTTGATTTCCCGTTTGTATGTGACAAGGATTACGGTCGCCTGTCCAACTCGTGGGTTTTCTTCAGGTCATCCAGTTTCCTCCCGCTGCTAAAGACCCCTACACAAAAGCGAATTATTCAAATAAAATTGAACCATATGCTAGTCCCAAAATGCCCTAGTTTGTGTCGAGTGGACTTAAACCCCATTTTTCTCTCTCTCTCAATCAGATTAAAAATATGTCCATTACAGGTTTCTAATGATGATTACAGGTAGTGCTGGCTTGTTATTACCAAATCATTTCATCATATCTTTCTAAATGCTGACAGGAATTGCACTATTTATGGACTGTTTTCATTTTAGAGATCTAGCTTTCACAATATTGTAGTTTGCAAGGGATTAAAAATCTGTCAAAAGACAATTTTATATAAATAGATATACGTCAATCAATTTCAGGGACAGACAGGATTTCCATGGATTGATGCTTGTATGAATCAATTACGTACGGAAGGTTGGATTCATCATGTAGGACGACATATGGTGGCTTGTTTTCTTACAAGAGGAGATCTGTGGATAAGTTGGGAAGATGGGCTGAAGGTATACTTAAAGTAGCTAAGTCTCAAACTCAATATCATCCAAAGTCTTCGACATTGAAAACATGAATTATTTGTCAATTTAAATCAACATTGATGTTGTGGTCTTACGGGGAAAAGATGGGCTTCAGATAGATAAGATAGACAAAATAAACATTTTACCATTGGTACACGTATCATGTACCGGTACCATAATGCTTTTCAGTTCCATTTGTAACAAGGGACTTGAAGAACGAAGTTAAACATATTCCACAAGTCATGTCAAACGGTGACCTCATATTCTTATCGGTGTAGACTGGAATAACCAGACGCTAGAGATGGCCATTCGATTGAGACTTCTGGCATATTTTGCCGAACATAATTGATTTGAAATCAGAGTAAAAACAGAAACGATTGAATGTAAATCAGATTATATACACTGATATGACATTATTATATGCATTGCGACCCATTTGTGTCCATTTCTAGGTGCCGTATTTTAGCGATTTAGGTCCTTTAACATGTTGTTTAGTCCAAACAATCTATAATCTTTATACACCATTTTAACTTTCTTTGAATAAAGATTAAAAGTTGTTATGTAAGAAATGTTTTGTTGTGGAAATAGTTATCAGGATTGAGATTTTTCCTTCGAAACGGTTATGGAGGTGCTAATGGACAAGTGTGATACAAAATATCTAAAATATTAGTAATTATATATACCTATATGTAATGCTATGATATTCTCAATATTATAAATATTATAATTTGTATTATCTATCTGCAGGTGTTTGATAAATATTTAATTGATGCTGATTGGTCAGTTTGTGCTGGTAATTGGATGTGGGTCAGTAGTTCAGCTTTTGAAAAAATGTTACAATGTCCGAAATGTTTTTCACCTGGTATGTACGGACGTAGAATGGATCCTACCGGAGAATATATCAGGTACTTGATACAGTTTTGATGTACTTGCAAAATGTATTCACCCTACTCACTTTCCCTTAACGGAGTGTGTAATGATCTCTATGCAGATTAATTTGGAATCGACAGAAAATATCTGTATTTATTGAAGGATTGTTTTGTTTGTTTATTGCTAGGCGTTATGTACCTGAGTTGGGCAAAATGTCACTGAATTATATCTTTGAACCGTGGAAAGCTCCACTAGAAGTACAAGAAAAGGCAGGATGTGTGATTGGTAAGGATTATCCGCCTCCAATGGTTAACCATAGAGAAGCCTCACAAAGAAATCAAAAACTTATGGAGGAAGCCAAGAACATGCTTATGAATAAAAGTAAGAATTTACATGAAGTTGTTTTATATTTGAAATATTATGACAATGGATAAGATCCATGGGGGCCCTGGCACACTTACATGTAAGTAAATGGGGGTTCCTCTCCAGCCTCTCCTCAACAATAGGGGAGGTTGAAAGGGCCGAATGGTTAGCATGTGCGCCCTGTGTCATAAGGTTTGTCATTGTGTCAACTGACGTGGTTTCCATTTCTCCGGTTGTAAGTGACAAGGAGTAGGGTCGTCTGTCCAACCTCAAGGGTTTCCTCCGGGTTCTCCGGTTTCCTGCCACTGCTAAAGACCCCTACCAGCAAGCCAATTATTGAAATAAAACTGAACCATATGTTAGTCCCGAAATGACCTAGTCTGTGTTGAGTGGACGTTAAACCCCCGTTCTCTCACTCTCTCTTCAACAATAGGTTATGCTTATATTGAAATTGAATTATTGATTTATTTATTGATTTGAATACACAATGTAGATAGACAGAAAAGTAAAATCTTAAATCACTGAATTTTCAAATAGCAATGTATGTCAAATATCAAATTGTTGCTGAGTAAACTTCAATCAAATGATTTGGTTACATGCCTTTGCTGCACTAAAGAATCAGTGATATCAGGGTTATTCGTAAAGTCCAATTTCTCAATACAGTCACCTTCTGTGTTCAACAATGCCAGATTGGGAATGATGACATTGTGTGTTGCAGTTGTGTTTTAGCCGGCAGAAGTTTCAGCATGTTAATGGGTGTCAACTCTGACTCATTTGTGTCCTTCCACTGGAACCAGTCATCTTAAACAGTGTTGACATTGTCTAGATGGTTGCAATAGACATCTATTACTTTTTGAGTGATACTAATTAAGTTTATATAATTTATTAGTTGTTAAAACATTCTTGTATTCTGACTCTTAGAGGCCCCTAATGACTTTTATTTACGACTGGATTCATGAATTGTCCGTCAAAGGATTAAGTCAGTCAATCAAGACAGATCACTTAATTACCTAATCAATCCAGCCTATTACCAACGATAATCGGGTTGAGTGGTAGATATATATTCAGTACACTACATTAATTTTGGAATTTTGAATATTATTCACCATATATTGATGTCCGATTGAGCATATTCCTGGTTTGACGTTTGGAAAATAGTGGAGGACATGTCCGGAATATACGGGCAAAATCCCAACACTGCCCTAAACCATGGGGATGCAGGTGCACTAAGTGTGCCATGGGTAATCCATCACTGTATAAAAGGCAAATTGTTCTCTTTAAGGTACTTGTTTAATTAAATGATATGAATTTAATTAAAACATTTAATTACTTTGTGATCTAGGGTTAGATAATAGGTAATAAAGAGGAACCGCACCATAAAATTATAGTCAGTTGTTTACGCTGGGGCCATATTCTCAAAAATTTAATGAACTGCATATTTACTATTTACTATTATGTATTCTTCAATAAAACAATTGTACACATTTTATCTTTTTAGAAAATAATCATTGTTGTCCATCTGATGAAAAAGAAGTTCGAGATTTTGTGTGGCTACCAGATCACACTCCAGCTGGATCTGTTTGCTCTGGAGATACATTATGTGGTGGTATAGAAAGCCTTTAAAAGGAAAATACCTATATGGATGTATTAACAGAATTAGAATATAAGATACCATTGAAAGCATCTGTCTTTGCATATTCTTTGTATTGGATTTCATTCATTAATAGTATAAAAATAGTTTCCGTAATGCATAATCCTAACTAGTAATAGTTTTACCTCTAATTAACAAATTAACACACCATCTGTGTCTTATGATGAAAACTATATATATACCAGTAATAATAATAAAAAAATATAATTCACTGTTTATACACATGCTATATTATAAGCTATAATAACTACTCCTGGTATTCTGTAAACAGGTGGTTGTCAGTGAATTCATTATAACAAAGTTTTTGGATCAATAACTCTTACATACAGTGGTTGACAATTCTCTGCAGTATAGGTAAATAGGTGAAATAACAAAGAAACAATTTTGTACTTAAAGGTGAACATGGTTGAAACTATTTCATTACTAGATAATGAATAAAATGGCTACAGTTATTAACAACTAAATCAATGTTAAACTGGTATTATGTTAATGTTGTGCTAACAAATGTTTGATATTGTACACAATTGTATTCGGTGACATTATTGTTATTATTACAATATCAGTATAAGATATAAATATATGTATGTACCAGATATTTGGTCATTAAATGACAATGTTAAATTTTAGGATAGTTTAATAGGATAAAAAGTAATTGTGCCTTTCTACTCCTGGTAACAATAGACATTATCATGATTTATTGATATATAGTCTTCTTACAGGAGGAGTATTATTGCAATTGGAAATAATTTTTAACGAAAAAATACTACCAAGGAAGTTTTATTATTATAATCAAAAGTCTTTATTTGATGGTTATCAAATATTTGTTATTACTATTTCAAGGTGCTATACAGCGACTGACCTATTTAAGCGGTCTTCTGTAATCTGCCAGATTCATTATCATGTACTAATCCACTCAATGAAAAATCATCAAATTTTAATCATATTTACAAATATTATTTATAGCCATATGAAATTCCGAAATTGCATGCCTTAAGTTTTTATACGCCCGCATGGAAATGTGAATGTATATTGCTGTCGCCCCCGCCCGTCTATTGGTCTGTCTGTTGTCCACAATTACTTCTGAACACTCTACAGACTACGTTTATCATCTGATTGTTTTAAAATTTATATATGTTGTTAACATTAGTGAGATGAAGAATCCTATTTAATTTCAATAATTTCCATTAATTTCTTCTAGAGTTATGGCCCTTGTTTCACCTGGTTGCACCTTGTGAACGCTCTAACATCAAAAGTTATCTTCCGATCTGTATGAAATTTTTATGCATCATTTAAATTAGTAAAAAGAAAATTCCTATTCAATTTCAGCAATTTCCGTTAATTACGTCTAGAGTTATGGCTCTTGTTGAACTTAGTGAACTCTCTAAATTAATAAAACGAAAAAGCCTGTCAAATTTCAACAATTTCTGTAAGTAACTTCCAGAGTTAAGGCCCTTGTTTCAGTTTGTAAAACCTTGTGAACCCTCAAACGACGAAAATTATAATCTGATCTGTATGGAATTGTCTTGTATATGCCCCCAATTACCTACAAAAGAATAAATGTCTGACAATCCTTGTCGACCGCTCGGACAAATTAGCTGCTGTTGGCATATGTTTCGTTTCTGTGGGGTAAAATTGTATCAATACCTCAAATTTGTGAGGGATATATCTCAACATAGACTGCATGCCTCAACCTAAAATTTTAAAATAGCGAGGTAGGACAGACTTTCATTAGAATAGGGCATAGGATGTAATAAAACATATATTATTATTTTGGAGAGATGATTTCAAAGAGGTTTAGCCTTTTTAAACCCAACACTGCCTTTAAGATACTCAAAATATTTTTATTTTTAATAATAAAAGTAGTAGAATTATTTCATGATGATCTCTGCCAAGGGGAAACTTCCCTTGTAAATAGAAGAAATCATTACTTTTTTTCATTATTTTCAATAAGTCACCTTCCTTACTCTAGCGTATTCAGTTAGGTTTAACAGTAGACAAGGCTTAATGCATCAAGAATCGAATATAAAAAAAATTACTTTTCCAGTTATTGATGTGTCAGTCAGTAATGTCTACAACATAGAATATTATTCTTTAACCATGTATGGTTTAACATTCCTAATGAATTATATCTCATATTTATTTATAAATGTACTAATGTTATTTAAATGTACAGGATATCAAGTTTTAAACATTTTGATTTCAACAGAATTGAGTTTGAGTCATATACTTTATGATGCATCCATTAGTTGTGTATCACAAGGGGACAACTTGTAAATATCGTTCTGTATAACTTGTCAGCATAAGTTAACTCTTATAGAAAATGTATTTATTGTTAGTGCTGCATTTCAGGTTCTGAGCGTGGTACAGTATTTACAAGCTGTAAAGATTTTTATACGTCCACATTATGTGGACGTATTATGCCGTCGCCCCTGTCTGTCCACAATTTGTTTGTAGACACTCTACAGGTCACAATTTTTATCCGATTTTGATGAAACTTGAAATATAGGTCTATCTCCCAAAGATCTTGATTCCTTTCGATATTGGTAGATATCAGACCATAACTTCATGGATTATGGGCCCTGATTGTACGAAAATCATATTTTTAGATTGTAGACCCTCTAGAGGCCACAATTTTGAAACTTGAAGTGTATGTTTACAACCCAAAGATCTCCACAGATCTTGGTTCATTTCAATATATCGCGCATATCCGACTGTAGCTTTCTGGATTATGGCCCCTGATTGTACAAAAAATCGTGTTTTTTAGCTTGTAGATACTCTAGAGGTCAAAATTTTTATCCAATTTAAAAAACGTTTCAATATATCACCATTCCACCATAATACAAAGTATGTAATACAAAGGGTGTAGAGGTCTCAATTTTTATTCGATTTTGATGGAACTTAAGATATTATCCTTATATCCCAAAGTTCTCAATCCTTTTCAATATTTGCACATTCCAGAGTCCAGACCATAACTTTCTGGATTATAGCCCCTGATTGTAAGAAAAAACTTTTTTGTTTTTAGCTTGTTCTCTATCCATCTCTTGCAACATGTGGGCTGACTTGCCTGGTTTAACATATTAACAAAAGACAGCTATTATTCTGGATGGGCAACCGATTTGTTTATTGTGTAACTAACATGGAGAACTGTGTTTTACATGATTTAAGTTTCTTCACACTCAGGACTTCCACCAGCAGTAGCATAGCACCATTAGGCCTAATTCGTTAAAATGAATGATACCAATAGCTGCAAATTAAAAGTGATCATATATAAATGCCATAATAACTTTCTTTTCTCAATCTTGTTCTTTATTTTTATCGTAACTGTTTTAGTTTTAGATGATATATGTTGTATTTTGTTATTATATATTGTTTTGATATATTTACAGTATTAACTCTTTATCAGTTATATTTAAAGTATTAACTCTTGATAAGATATATTTACAGATACATTTTTAATGTCACAAACTTGCATGGATTGAAGTTACAAGAGTGATGATTCATGGATAGATCTTTTGTTAAAAAAAAAAATCAATTGTGTTAAATGAAACCAGTTTGGCAAAACCAAAATTATTGGATGATTACATACAGTTATTGTCCTTTAGAAAAAAAAATTGATGACTAGTTCATAACTGTTAGTAAATTGTTGTAAAGGTATTCCTACATCAGCGTGTGATGACCTGGGTCTTTTGGAGACAATCTGGACCATGTACTCTTTGTTCAGTATAGCTAAAGCGGTGGACACACTAGCCGAATGATTTGGCCGAATCAATCGGCATCGAAATTCGCCTGGTGTGTCCACTGTCATTCGGCCGAATGATTCGCCCGTAAGACAATTTCATTTCATTTGGGGGAGAGGGTCTTATTTTTACACTTCATTGTAATATAACCTCTTGACTACTAAACTCGGATGACTTACTTTTATATACCACTTCGTTTTAAAATTCCCCATATTTGACAGAAACGAAACGTCATATACTGATGTTTACAGGTAATCACCACTTTATGAATACTGTCTACAAAGAAAATGTCTGATGTCAACAATATAGAATAAGTGTGATTTACAATTGAGAAAACAGGCTGCTAGGATGTTGTTTCACTAAAAATATTCAATTAATACTTGATGCTGTTGTGATGTATTATTTGGGAGCTAAAAAAATGTGATATTGAATAAAATATATATATATATATATACTTTAATGGTTGCATATTCTATAAATTTAAGACAATGTCTTCTCCTAGTCTGTTGGTCCATTCTACACCTTTGTCACATTTGCAGGGATAGTACATTTGATCATAGGATATAACTGGGCCCAAGGAGAGTGGGCTGCGATTGGGATAGTTCATTTGATCATAGGATATAACCAGGCCCATGGAGAGGGGGCTGCAATCAGTACATCACTCCAGGGCCCATGAACTGGCATGAACCCCCATAAATATCTAAGTTTTTTTTTACAATGTCACAGATTTATCTCTCCCATACCACAATCCCCACACACTTTTGATTTAGCTTATCAATTGCTGTACTATAGGTTACTGCATCTCCATTAGAACAATATCTTCAGTTAGACCATATTGTAATTTCAAAGCTGCCGGGCATTGGCGTATTACTATTAGGGAAGGCTGCAATCATGACTAGTAAGGACATGTTGAATGAACCACTCCAGTAAGAGTGGGGCTGGTCTATGCTGGAAATAGGGTATGTATTTGTTGCCATGGAAAGGATGATGATAGTTCATATAAATAAATTTATATATTTTATTTCATATTTATCACTATACATGTATTTATATATTATACTCTCACTTTCTTTTGGAATCCGGTACATTTCTCATCAAAACATGACCTATTTCAAATCCCTCCATTCAATTAAATTTGAACAAATTCTCAGGTTTTAATATTCCAAGTGGTATGTCTATAAAATATATCAGTAATATGACATTTAAAATTCTAGATTATATGTAATTACTATATTTTTTAAGAACTTAGCAAAGGTCTCAACTATTATACCATAAGATGTTAATTCGGCATTAAAAACATTAATTAATCCAATTAAATTTGAGCAAATTGAACGCCAGACCAGAGCTAAATTCCCAAGTCAATAGTAAAACTATGCCTGTTAACCACACAAAGCACAGATCACACATTTTGCTTAAACATTTCAAACAATAGATAAGTTGGCAAGACATGTCCTGTATTCCCCTATTTATATATTACAAATTCAATACATGATTATCAGGATGAAACAGAGTTGGATTTTTTGAGGTTATTTTTGTACAATAAATATTCTCTTAGATTCAAAGGAAAGATAAGAACATATGTCATATTTCTTTAATTAGAGATTTGATGAGTATTACCCAGAATGACAATAAGTTCTTCTATGTATTGTTTCGCCAAAATACATGTAGGTATGCCTACACTTTAAATAACATTCTTATCATAAACCTTAAAGCAGAAATTGCAAATTTTCAAGTTATATTTTTAAAATGTATTAAAATAAAGCCTTAAAATAGATGGTATCCATAAACAGTCCTACCTTGTTAAAGAATAATCCTATTAATCCTATAATTCGCTATTGCCAGCTGAGAAATTGGCAAAAATATCATTTTTAACTTCCAATTCCAACGTTGGAAAGGCTGCCCCATGTTGTCAATAGCAAAACAGGGGAGGTAATTGTGTTATTTCCTGTGTCATAGATTTTTAAGGGTGGGAAATAATGCCCATGATCGTATAATAGTGATTTTATAACCTATTGGGCAAAAGACATAGAAATAATTATGTTTTGACTTTCTTAGAAAATTTGAAATTCTCGCTTTAATATAAGACCTAAAATAGTAACTTTATAAAGTTACTTTCATCTGCAAAGCAGAAATCGCACTATTAAATATATCAGTACTTATTGTGAACACTATAAGATTGGCAAATAGATAAACATAATACATAAAATCCTAGTTTCAAAACATATCCCAAACATTCATTTCAAACAAAAAGAACAAATCTTTAATAGTGTCTAAAACAATAAAACCTTATCAACATTATACTGAATAAATATTTAAAAACAAAATAAATATTCAGTAATTTATAATAAGTGTGCAACTTGTGAATCACTCATTCTCTGTCAGAGTAGGCCGCATATTAACTTTGTAACGAAGCATCAGGATTTTCACATAAATATTATTTAGTCTCCAATCACTAATTTCTAGAACCAATTGACTAACAGTGTGTACCTGTAATTAATCTATTTCATGACAGGTTTGTAACTTACATTAAAGACATGAACATATACCTTGCAATACATATTGTGGCTTTGATGGTATTTTGTGTCCTTCCATTTCAGTTTTCCAAATAACGGTAGGCAATGTTATCCATAGGTGGGACATTGCCTTTAGCACTTCATATGCGTATATTAAAGCATGCAGTCTATAAGAAGCTTAGAGTGTATATAATCTATTTACAATATCTTTACACAATCAAACATTATTTTTATAATAAATACTATCTATCTAATGAGATGCTGCCATAATAGTGGGATCACAACCTCGCACTTGATAATCAGGTTCAGGATTGGAATAAATTTTATTATACAGTTCTTCTAAAGGTAATTCTCTATCATTCTTGGCTACTTCTGTAGCTTCATCTACTTCCTTGCGTACTTCAACATCTATTTTCTGTAATAAAATAGATATTAGTTACGGTAATTTTATTTAGACAGTGATGTAGCATGTTGGGGAGCTATTTTCTTATCACATGCATGATTGCTATAATATCTTCTTATACTAACCTTAATCTCTTCAGGTGTTGCTAAATTAGCAGATACAATTCTTTCTTTAAATTTGGAAATAGGATCTCTTCTTTCCCTAACTTCTTGAACTTCTTCTCTTGTGCGGTAGCTGAATAAATAATGTATACAGCCAATATTAATAGCTATTTCAAATCATCATGAACAATTGAAACGGTATATGAAATAATATATGCCGTTTCATCTTGATTTAAAGATGGGTTCCCAGAAAAGTATTTATCGGGTGGTTATTTCCAATAAAAGTATGGCAATTTTGGTATATATGGAAAGTAGAGATATTCAATCTTACTAGAAAATATACTGGATTCCCCTAAAAACACTCATGGACCGTATACAGGACAAAAATGTAAGGGTTCTCCTAATCGACAGCCCGACGATTAGGAATTTCTGCACGTGTGATGTCAAAGGTCACACGCGAACATTGAGCGCTTGATGTACAAGTTGATAAACTTTATGAAGAGTTAGCCTACAACACTTTCTGAGATAAAAATGACAGACAAAGACGCGGGTAGTGGATAATCCGAGAATTTAATTAGGATTCGATATTTGTAATAAATAGTAAGCGATTAAAGACAACATCGTCTTATGTATGCAATGATTATTCTCCCCTGACTTCCAAGAGAGGTAAGTCATGTGATGTAAACATGACCTGGTTTGATCGAATTTTTTTAGCAGGGCATTCCTTTGCAATTACAATGTTTGAGAAGGATTTGAAGCAAAATTATGACAAATTAATTAGTTTGAATATGTTTTTAGTCCATATATACCAATAAATCACCCAGTTTGTAGGCGGGAATGTATCTTTAATATTTATTGTTATGGAGCTTTAAAAAGTGTAAGATGTTTCCTTATTTGGTTCTTGGTTGTTTTGTTACGAAGTCTCCATTAATATTTTTAATACATCAGAAAAATGTTAGACTTTACCATACAGATAGACAACAGACAAATAAACACAAATTTTAGAGTTTCCCAGCAAAAATATGAAACTGTTACCTAACTTGATTATCAGAGGCTGTGTTTTGACTCCTAATTTGAGTGTTTTCATTGCATAAACATAATACAATGTTATTTTAATAGCCAATAAGCTTCCATCTTCTCTGAGATTGTGTTTTTAACAGTAATTCAATATTATTATATGCCATATTTTCAATACCCCTTATATTCCCTAATTCTCCCTGATAATCCATGTCCAGTATTCCAGTGTTTTCAGGCGTGTATATTAAATGTTACCTTGTGCCAGGATCAGACATACTGTGTCCACTGTATCTGTAGGTTGATGCTTCTATTAAAATTGGTCCATTCTTCAAGACAAAATCTTTACAAAATCTTGTACATTCTTTAACAGCTAAAACATCCATACCATCCACCTACAAAATGTAATAATTGTCATTTCAACCAAATCTGAAATAACGTCACCAAAGCAGCATGAAAGAACATGCCAAAATTATCATGGCATAAAAATTCTATCGCAAAGTGTGATTATAGCAGACAAATAACACCTGCACCGGAATCTTCATCCAAAGTAAATAAGCACTAGATCTTTTAACTTTACCCTCCTTTGCTTTTGGCATGACAGATCGACAGACAGACCGGAGTGATGACAATACACAACTATATTTAAATGTGGCCACACGAAAATAGTAAAAGTTATATTGGTACTTACCTGTACTCCAGGTACATAATCTCCCCTAGTAAAATATTGTGTACTGGCTGACGATCTATCCAAACTAGTTCCCATAGCATAACCATTATTTTCACACACAAATATACATGGTAGATTCCATAACTTAGCCATGTTATATGCTTCAAACAATTGACCTTGATTAGCAGCACCATCCCCATATAAGGTAATACAAATATTGTCTGTGTTTTGGTATTTCAAAGCAAAGGCTATACCAGCACCAAGAGGAACCTAGTTAAAACAAAATGAATAATTATTAATATTCTATTGCTGCAAATTTTTACCAATACATGTAATACCAATAACCTCAACCTAATTACCAAAATAATTTGATAACTTCTGTTGTAGATGGTTTACACCATCTTACAAAGTGAGCAATGGCAAAACTCTGGAAGCAAGTAATGGAAATTGTTGAAATGTAAAGTTATTGTTGCAAATACATGTAACAAATGAAGGATGGACAGCAAGGTACATGTATAATAATAGAACATTTCTATATGGACATATAAAAATGATTTTACCTGAGCACCAACAATTCCATTACCACCATAAAAGTTATCATTATACATATGCATGGAGCCTCCCTTTCCTTGAGCACAACCAGATTGTCTTCCTACAATCATAAATAAAAAGTGTTAAGAAGAATAAACTCGAGTCATTGTCAATTTACAAACCATAATTTTAATCTACTTGCCTGTTAATTCTGCTAAGACACCTACTAATGAAACACCACGAATATATGTCCAACCATGAGCTCTGTATGCTGTAATGACTGCATCTTTTTTGTTGAGTGATGCTTCCATTCCAACACAAATGGCTTCCTGTAAAATAAATAATATTTAGTTTAATCTAAAAACTCAGGTTATGATTCAATGTTCCACTTTTTTAAAGTGTCTCTTAAATACTGGTTCTCTTAAAGGGACAATAACACTCTTGCTGGCTTGACAGCTCCAGAAAATAAAAAATAGCCTTATTCTGAGTACTAGATGTGTTAGTGTCCTACCTGTTGTGTAAATTATCCATTAAATCCTATTTTACTTGTCCAGAGTGTTCAAAAATATTTTTAAATCCAAGTCACATTTGAAAAGCTTTATGTCAGGCTTTTCAAATCATTTAGTTGAATTTTTCCAATTTTTTAAATTTGGTGTGTTAAGATGAAATTTGTATCATCAATTAATTGGAATATTGTAAATTAGTACAATTTGTTCACCAGAATAAAGATTGGGACATATTATTCAGTTACAACAAGAGTGGTATTGAGCCTTTAAATATAATTAGGAATATGTTAGACATTTTGGATTCATTTTATTTTATTTCTTTTTTATACTATCTTCAGTGTTTGTATTTTGTTTGTTTTTAAAAAAGCTTCTGTACTATTATAAACCTCTAATTATTGTACCTGTCCGGAGTAGAGATGACAAAATCCTCGAATAATTTTGGATTTGTATAAATTTCCAGCCACGGTCTCCATACGTCGAATCATTTGCATCTGGCGGTAGTAGGTAAGAGCATCATCACGTGTAACATTAACATTAGTAGATGGACCCTCATCTAATTTGTGAAGTTTATAGGGCTGAAATAATAAGGCAAGATGTAAACAATTATTCTTGAAAGCCATCTTGCACAAGAAAGCCAATTAATCATTCTCTTGAAAGTGTTCATTAGGTAATAATTTATATGTCTAAAACAAAAAATCTGAATTAGATAACATCTTAAGCTTTAATCATTTTGGGACCAATATGCTTTTTTTGCATATGGCCTGAAGGCCGAAGAGTATATGTGCCTTTTTCAAATTTGTGCACTTAAAACTAATTCCATGTATATAAGCTTAAGCTTACCCTGATAAAAAGCAATAAATAAAAGGTAACAGATTACCTGTGTTTCAAAAGAGGCTTCTGTTGATGTTGCATAATTATTAATATGATAGGATTGGTAAATCCCCTGAAATAAAGAGATTAAAGACAAAACACTTAAATCTCTTTCCTGAAGCAAAGTCAACCTGATGTCCTGTACAACAATACATAAATGTGTTAATAATTTCAATGTCTTTCTAGTGAATCTGGTCTATATAATCATTTATGATTTAAATCTGATCTGACAAAACCACTGCACTGAATGGCTATAAATGATCAGATGATTGGTGAGTTTGTGCCACTGAGATAACAAACTAAATAGTAGATGTGATAGATCTATAGTAACACTTACATAAAAAAGTGGTCAGCGAGAAACCTGAGAAATGTAAGCTCCAAAATACAATTTATTTTGATTCATAAAAATATTATTAATACAGTAAGCCTATACATCTTGAACAAATCAACAAACAGTTCACTAACATTAATAATAACCTATAGCCACTAAAGATGTCCTTTTTTTTCCACTGTAAGCTTTTGATATAAACTTAATATTGTCAACCCTTGTCTCAGTAAATGAAATGAATGATGGTTTAATGTCCTGTTCTGCAAAGACTAATAAAGCCTGGCATATGCCATATGAGGGGAATTTGGCCCAGACAGTGGCACTACAGCCATATCTTATTTCAAATTGTAATCCTCAAGGCCAAGGGTTGTTTTTTTTTACGTGCATGCCAATGTCTACAGTCAAGGGACCTCAGTTTTTCGTATAATCCGAACGACTATACATTGTCCGTTGACAAGGACATATTTGGGACCATATTAATATGATGAAATAGAGAAATTGATGAAAATCAATCAGATTAAAAATGCATGTTTTGTTCAATTGTTATTGTTGCATTTGTCAGTAATGTCACATTTTCATTTTGTGTGAACGGTGGAACGAGCAAAATCATGAAAATGGCGATTTGTCATCCATGGTGTGAAGTCTATAATGAATTAACATCACTTACGCTACGGCCCAACGTCCGTAAGTTCCTGGCACAGACGGAAAGCATCGTTAGGTCTTTGTTAAAATATTAATGACCCTTTATTGATGAATCGGCTGTGCATGAATTTTTATTTTACACTACTCCACTACGAAATTGACCTTCAAGACAGGGGAGGTTACTCTCACGGTGTCACTGTAAAGGGAAACAAATCCAAACTAGAGCAGAGGTCCGACATAACGTTTTAAAAATGTTTCACGTATTTATTTTTCAAATATTTTCAAAAATAGTTTCAGAATTTATAATATTGACGCCTCTTTGAAACAAATTGCCTCATCCCTATCATCACCGATGGTAGCGCCTGAGCGAAAATTTACAACAGTAATTTTACTACGGACGGTTTGGGCTGGAACAGTTCTCTCTAACTTCTCCATTTTGTCGTAATTATAACTTCTGAAACTATCACAGATCAGAACTGATCCGTGGCCAATTGGAAAAATTCTTCTCTCCCACCCTTTCAAAATATCTAAATAATTGGTGGGCTATAATAGAATAGTACAGACCCCCCCAAAAAAAAAACCCAAAACAACTTGCAGTGTTATTGACTATACTTTCAGTATAGCCTACCGATAGATTGTATCAATTCTTAAATCAATGCCCATGACCACTTTGAAAAGTCTTGTCCCAATCTCTGGTTGTTATAGATCTTACACGACTGCCTTGAAATGTATACTATGTCACCCCACGTATCCCCTTTGGTCTGTAACACGTTATAAAAGGTATCCCAAATATCCGGTAATTAGAAAGGTCAAACCACCGGTAGGTCCATTCTTTAACATTTAAAGTGACAACCACAAAAAGGTGAAATTATATAGAATTTAAACAAGACACAGCAATAAGTACGATTACCATAAAACAAATTGGTTCAAAATCTATGAACATTTGAAGTTTAAATTCATTTCTATTCATATCATGCCACCCTCTTTATGCGAAATATATTAGATTCCTATGGGTATATTAATTTTTACCTTCTGTCCTGCTGTCGCTTTAAATACTATTTTATACTTAAATAACACTTTATACCGTCATTCAAGTACCACTGGAGGTATAGGCCCTGGTTTTATATCAATGCAAATACAAAATATAACACAGACACACAACTTAGTCAATATTTTGATGTAGTTAGGCAGTTAAGAAAGATATTTTGTTAAAAATGTGTTTTAAAGTAGCTACCGGTCTAGCCGAGGTTATCTTAATTAGAGAATCTCCGAGTCTTTTTTGATATCAAAAAAAATCAACACAAGTCGATAATGTAAATAAAGAACGGGGCTGTGCCGAGTTTCTTTGAGTTTTTTTACTTTATCGACGAGAGTTGGTATTTTTTTATATCAAAAAAGACAAGTAGGAGATTTTATTTATCATACAACCCTTTCTTACATGCACAAATAAATAAATATAATTCTTTAGTATAAATTTTATTTCATAAGCGATATCTCTTTTGGAGATATCGCACAGTAGATTATGAAAGTTATCACACAAGTGATATATAAATGAAATGAAATGGGGTTTAACGTCCTACTGTTTTGCCCCGAAGTCCGAAGTGATATTGTAGAATGTGTTATTGGGTGATAAATGATATTATAATATGAACTACGGCACACAATCACCAGGAATGGCGTTTAGTGTTGTTTCGGAATTTAAAGGGCTTTAAAGTCAAGGAAGACAACATTATGTAAATATAATATGTTCTACATGTATAGACATGTATAGGTATAGTGTCTTATATCTCTGTCGTATTCAACGGTATTCTTAAACATTGCATGCTTATTGCTTATATATAATTCAGAGTCATATGACAACACATTGTCAATAGGCCACTATACAGGTTTACAGTAGACCTACTTAGACCCACTGAACCAATAAAAGACGATTGAACTGATTAATGGTATTTCATTGGTGCGTATTGCCGATTGTAAAGCTTAAGGTTTCATTTGATCACTAAGTCAAAAGGATTCATCATTCTATATTTCAATATGAAGTAACGGAGTTCGATTACTTAATAGGTCTATATACTGCGTAGCTGTAATGTATTTCGTATAAAGCCTAAACCTTGTCCGGCGAGAATTCTTACATCTAGCATTCGATTTGTAGTTTATATAAGTTCATAAACACATAACAGACAATGGAGAGTTGATCGGATTAATCACTTTCATCAAGCAGGTTGTGTAATAGGCTTTAACACAGAACGACAATACAGACACCTAATACCTTATATTGGCAGAAAATTCCCCAACAACGGACAATGGATTTATTTTCATACCAGGTACAGTAGTTATATTACCAACACTACGGGAGACACATAGACGTTATGTAGCTTTTTATTTTACAAGAAAATGGGAACTCGGGTTAATCAACAACAAGGAATGTTATACAGGAGTGTTCCACCACGACCACACAGCTATACTTTCCCTGATGATCTGAATAGCCTCCCTCAATCAAGTCGCTCTAAAACGGCACCATTGCAAATAACACCTTCAGACGAATATTCTCAGAAATTTAATTCCAGACAAACAGCTCGACCTAAAGTAATCGACTTTGATGGAGGTAACGTTAAAAATACCGAGGTTCAGCATTTGAACAAAAATGGATTTTATCCACCTGTGAAGTTAAAACTGATTCGTATGAGCGACGACAGAAATATTGAACCGCAGGTAAGCTCATTATAGAATACCTTCATGGTTTTTTTATTATTTCATCCATTCCATTTATTTCTTTATTTTAAAGTGGCAGAGTCGTATGGCATTTAGCAGGACCAGGCAGTAGCCTGTGAGTATGGTAGGCGCAGGGGCACCTAAAGAACTTAATGTTATTACTTAGTTTGGGGCCCCTTATTATTTTGTTTGTTGGCCCTTTTAGTCTTGAATTTACATGTTTTGATGAATTGGTAAGCTTATCACATGCCGCTACATTTGTGCATAAGGTAGAAACACCAGGATATACACCAGAAAGCACCCAATCTGATTATAATACAGATCTATATTTCGTTTCGTTTTTTATACTTACAATGGCCTACACTACATGAAGATCTGAAAAAGTTGTACTCGGCTTTTGACCCTATGACGTCAGACATTGATTAATCAATCAGCGTTGACGTTTCTAGTGGTTTACCCACAGTTCCGTGCATTGCACGCCAAGAAGTCGCCGTAACAGACCGTTTCATTGGCTTACTCCTTACTACAACCAAAACGCCGGTAATATAACAACTCTACTAGATCCTAGTGTAGTAAAGACATGTTTTTGATGAATTGTTAAGCTACATTTGTGCATAAGGTAGAAACACCAGGATACTCCAGTCAGCACAATTTACCGTCAATTTATTATTAATTCCTCCTTATGATTGTATTTGTTTCATTGACATCAGGTATCATATATAATACGATTAATCAACGTGTCATCACAAAATGACAACGGTATTTTAAGACATGCCTCCATTCATTAAAGAACCTGTTTAAATTTTTATATCAAAAGAAATGATTCATAAGAATGTAATATTAATAAACCCATAAGGCAATTATGACCAGATTATAAAGAATTATTTGAAGTGGGTGCATACTTTCACTTTTCTTAAATTTTACAATTTCTTTTTATAAACCATTTAGAATTTCCTTTTCTGTTTATACATTGTTTACAATTTCCCTTTTCCTCTCGTTAAAGGAACCCGGAATCCAGCTGTCAAGACTTAAACTGGCACCGATGTCTAAAAAATCGTTAAAAGGTGGAAGAAATAAACACAGATCAGCTTCAAACGGCTCCTCCATTAAAACAGAAGTAGAGAGAAACTCTCTTTATAATCACAACCCACTTCCCACCTTGAACACACCTGAATACGATTCTACAAGAATAAAATCAAATACTTCCATGTCCACATCAAACCAATATGAAAAAGAAAAAAGCCGTCTATTTGATAGCATCGACTCCAAAGACTATTCGAACTTCATATCTAACAACGAGGAATTCGAAGAAGATCTAAGCAATTTCCCACCAACCGCACCACCCCAAATACTCCCCAGTCGAGAATTACCCTGGGTTTACAGATTCAAAGTGAAAAGAGGTATGAATGCTGTGTCAAAAATAATGGCAAGCAAACCTCCAAGGCCATTGTTTGATAGTTGGTGAATACAGTGATAACGGCTTTCGCTAATAGTAATTTATAAAAAAAATATTTGCAGACAAAAACACCAAGTGATGCTTTATAGCTGTGGATCAGACATATGAGGCTGGTATTAGATCAGCGATCGTGGTTGGTTTTGAGCATTTATATTTTATCAGAAGTAGTAATTATTTCTGAATTGTTGCCTATGTGTTAATTTTGTTTGACTTAAGAGAGAGAGAGAGAGAAATGGGGTTTAACGTCCACTAGACACAAACATATAGTTCACTTTTATTTAACAGTGGGAGGAAACCCACGAAGTTGGACAGGCGACCCTACTCCTTGTCACGTACAACGGGGGAATCGAAACCACGCCAGTTGACTGAATGACAGACGTTATGATACAGCGCGAACGTGCTAACCATTCGGCCATCCAACCCCCATGTTTGACTTAAGACTCATGTCAATCGAGGGTGTGTCCCATGTTTACAAATGAAATTAAGAAAAGAATAATTTTACGTCTGTGAAAATATTAGCGACTCATAAGCGCTAGCAGTAGCTTACCCCTTTTCATACAAAAATTACCCTGTCTTTTCTACAACCATCTCTGCTTGAGAACAGACACGAAGATGGTTGACCTACATTTTAATTCCTACATGGACTATTTTAGTCGGAAACACTAAGTATACTTCCAGAATTTATTCCACTTCCGTTTTCATAATTGACGAATATGCAAATGTGTATTTAATCTTTGTGTGTAAGAAAGGGGTAAAACTTATAAAATAATACACTCATTTTTAAACAGGCATTATGAAAGAGCTAATATGCCTATTGCAGGACTTTCTTTGGGCCTTAAATGTTATATAAATTATTAATTAGACATTAACTTGACAAGACCATAATCAACTCTCCATTCCGTCGGACAGTTCCGATTTTAAGTATATTAGAACGGTTCAATCATTTAATAATTTAAATTAAAAATGGAGAAGCGAGGCTAAGACTTGAATGACCAGTACGGTGGTTACGATCAATGCGCCCATTTATTGTTAGAACTACAATCATTGATAACGTCACTCAAAGTACAGGAATTTCAATGAAATTTTCAATACATTCATTTTGAATTATCTATTTTTGAAATATTATAGCGAGGACGACCATTTTGTTTTGGGGGGGGGGGGTGGAGGGGGGCGGGGGTATCTAAATCTTACACAATGCCAGCTTTTCCTTACAAAGGTGTCTTTATATTTCTCTGTGTGCAGAATTAGGCTACTTTTTAGAAATACCCCGTAACCCAGTTTAGGCCTACATGAGATTTGTTTTCCACTGTCATCTACAGAATTGTATTTTTGACTTCCAGTTAGGAGCAACTGTTTTATGGACAACCATCACAGAAAAGGAGAGTAACAGGCCCCGTGTTCTTTCAATTAAGAAGCTTACAAGATAATGGCTCGTCTTATTAGCCCAGTTGGAGCAGAGCAGTAGGACGTTAAACCCCATTTCATTTTATTTCCTTCACGGAAATGAAAAAAAAAGATAAACAGAAAACAACCCAGGTCATGAATTGTCTGCGTCGTATTGAACTATATTTATATGGAAGGCATGCATTTTCGCGTTCAAATATTAACTTTTGTACTAGCTTTCACTATATAATATATACTGAAGTCCAAAAGAAAGTATACACACTAAAAATATGACTAAGTTTTGTTTAAATCAAAAAAATGTGATAAAACTACACTGAACACGTCTCTTGCGTCCAAACTCAATATTTCTAAGCAAATAAAAGGCAAAACAAATCAACATTTGTACCCAAATACTGCATACAATGGAAAAACGACTTTGTTTGAAACAGGACGAAATGAACAGTGTATACTTTCTTTTGACTTCAGTCTAGTTTGAGGCGGGTACCATTGCAACCAAGCCAGTAGGTCTATTTCAGGAATATGAAGCTTTCCGTGCTTTATACTGCTTAGGACGTTTGCAAGCAGGCACAATTTCATATATAGTTGATGAACAATGATATGTAATCGAATCTAACACAACTGACTGTTTTTATTTAATAATAAAAAGCAATTTGTACACCTTGTTGTTCTTAGTGTTTAAGGTTCGCTTCCACTGAAGGTGATATCGCAGATAAGTCTTATTTTTCATTTTTATTATCTTAGCGCACGCGCAGGGGTCTTTCCTGTGGGAGGAAACCGGAGTACCAGGAGTAAACCCACGAGGTTGAGAAGGCACATCTACGCTCACACCAGGGATCGAAACCACAGCCGCAAGCCAGAGGTGACCGGCCAGCTAGAGGTGGAAGCGCGGCACTCTAGACCACCCCAACTCCCCTTTGTACACCCTCTGTGACTCATTTTTATAGCCCACATTTAAATGGGCGTATTATATATTATGGTCATCTCGTATCCCCCCGTTCCACAAATTCTTATAGTTAAAAACAATTATTGAAGGCACCGGCGGTCTTATACAGAACGGGAATTATTGTTCATTTGCATCATAATCAATTATTCATGCATGAGAAAGAACCCTAGTCAATTGTACACTTCGAACGCACTTTCCAGAGTTATCTTTCCGGTAACATTTGGACTTACTGTGCATGCCAGATCTTAAATCTTTTGTTGGACTGATCAGTGTGTTAAAATTCTATCAGCAATCAGACAAACGAATCCCAGTTTCTTATTTAGCTCGCTAGGCTTACATCATACCCCAATGTTAAAATTTGTCCATTATTTTTTATTATTATTATTATTTTCGACCTGACGCGATTGTTTTACCCCGCATGGCCAAACTGTCAAACTCAATCTGATCATTTTGTAATATTATAGGGTTTATTTTAGTTATAAGAAAGGTGTTCTGTTTAATATAGAAATTCTTGAACTACATGATGTGTGACGAAAACTAGGGTAACGAAGTAACTTGCATTATTCTACTACTATCTTAGACTCACTCACCGACAGTTATGTCAGTATCCATTGCTGGAAGTAGGGTACCATAGTCCAGTCATCTCGTGCACGGATTAGTACAATTAACTAGAATAGTGTTAGCGTAAAACGGTGCCTATACGAAACACTTACCCACAAATGGTAATTGTCCCACCCTAATAGATGACGCATTATACTTCCTCTATAGGAGAGAGCTTGTTTGATTTACCCTCAGATATCATGATGAGACCGTAAGGAAGACATATTCGGAGCTCAAGGGGAACATATCCATAGCCTCCTCGGCTTAGAGGCTAGTGTGAACACCATCCCAAACCTAGGCTGCCTGTTTACAGCTAGCCCCGCCTGATCTATTTCTCGAAGTATGATGTGGATCAATCTCTGCGTGCAGTATGGGGTGGGCACATCATCCTAGCGCGAACCTTATGTAGAACTATCAAGAAGTATGTGGCTCTTGCCACGTTTAAGCCGTTCTGGGCTGAGTTAGAAAGGATGTTAAACTCTGACCGTGGATATTTTAATAACTCAAAAAGTGCTATTATAACTTTGTAGTTTGCTGTATTTGTTTAATTATATAAACTTAGTAACAACATAAACGGTGTTCCAGAGTCAGTTAAATGATGATTGAAATAATTGATCCCACAACGTGAAGTCGAAGAAAGGCCTAGAAAGTGTCAAATCTGTCCAGGATAGTGTCACAGTTATGTTTATTTGGTGCTCCGTGGTGTCATAATTTTGTCTCTGTTAAGCTGACCGTGATATCTGATAAAAATATTTATATTCTAAAAATCTCAAAACACAAACCAGGCAATAATAACCAGACTGGGTTGTCTTGTGGTCCACGATAATGGTTGATATCTACAAGAAAGAGGGTGAGAGAGGGGGGGAGGGGGGGAGAGACGTGGTCTGTAGGGGTCTTTAGCGGTGGGGGGGGGGCAGAAAGTTGAACCGGCGACCCCATCTCTTTTCACGTACATACTTGGAATCGAAACAACGCCACTTTACTTAATGACAAGCCGAATGTAAATCGGCTACCCAACAATGAGAGTCAGATATAATGGTGTAACAGAAATACATATGCACGGTTTTTAAAATCATATAAAAATTGTGACCTCTCGAGCCTGGGATCCCAACTTTTCGCAGGGTCGCGGCGGACTACTCTGAAACCTTTGAAAAAATGCCATGTTTTCATGAAAAGCATATACACGCAGGGGCCGGTCGGATAAAAAATGAAAATAATTTTGTCCAATTCGTCTAAAAAACCTCTTTTCTGCTCAACATTATATGGGGGGGGGGGGGGGGAATTGGACCGGCCATGGAGCGATGATGATCATGTTGTATGTGGCCGGTGCCTTTAACGGGCCGCCACGCCATCACTGGAGTCTGGAATGGGCTGGTATAATAGACTTTCTGGACCGGGTGTACTGGGTGTGGGCCGGAATTCGGAATCCTGCAATGGGGATTCCGAATTTCAACCGAAAATTTCATCGGATTCATAGTAACTGGTTAATCAAATGGTCCCATTTTGAACGAGTTAAATTCTCTTGACTCTTGACGATACAATGATAATACGTTAATTAATAATATGGCGATATGATAATTTCACAGGTTGATGGTTGTAAATTACTTGCAGGTCGGGGTTTTGGCCTAAATTAAACGATTTATGAGATATATTATTTGACAGAGATTATAATCAGATATGCCACCAAATCGCATATATGGGGTTCATTTTACAAAATTTCCGCGGTCAGTAAAAAGGGCCACTCCGACACGGGAGCCCGGGCCGGTTGCCGGCCCCAATCCGCCCCTATATACAAGAGAAAGACAGAGAGAAATGTGGTTTAACGCCCACTCGACAGAAAGGGAACGTTACGGAATGCTGAATATCGATAGCGTTCGTCTTCTCAAGAACCCAATGCTTCTGTCGCGTTCACAAGCTTTTCGACTAAGGGTGCATCTGGAACGAAGTTTCAGTCTTCTGTAAACACTGTTTTGGCATATTTTACGGGGTTAAACTATAACATCACACCAACATATTGAGATATGTACAGGTTCTATACGATAAAAACTTAACTAATAATAATAATAATTGTTGTAAATAAAAAGGAGTTAGGGCCTACTTTGTAAATTTTTAGGGGGTCCAAGTATATCCCCCCCCCCCCCGAAAAACAAAGTGTGACGCCCATGGTTTCGTCTACAAGACTTGCCGTCTCTTGCATGCCCACAGCCTTGGTATACATATCACATGCTTTTACAGTATTTGCGTGAAGTGGAACGGCCATTTTGACGGGAAGTTTTGGTCTGATTTTCAAGATATTCGAACTAAATTATGATTATGGAGTAACGGCGATATATTGGAACGGTTCTTAACATAAAAGTGACCACTAGAGGACCCATGAGCAAAACGCAATTTTCCATATACAGGCTATAATACGCACCAATATCGAAAGGAACAAAGATCTTTGGGATATAAACATATATTTAAGCCTTGTCCAAATAGCATGAAAATTTTGACCTGTAGAGGGTCTTACAAATTTTAATGGAAACACGGACAGGCGTTACCAAATAATACGTTCACATGAAAACGGGGCGTATTGAAACTAGACTCTCGACAAATGGGTAGGTGGGATGCATCTCCGGAAGGAGAGGTCGCGGAATACGGATCATCGACAGGGTCCGTCCGTAACCAAACCATCTGACACACCTACAAACTTCGTAATACATTTTGCCATAAGCCAATCATTAGAATTTGTTTGACTTCCAGTTCTGCCCTGTACTAAGACTTAGTACACAAGATTCGATAGTCCTCTTCGCCTCATGACCTTACACACTGTGTATAAATATAGAGTCAATCGGGTATCAACTAGAGCGTCCGTATCGGAGATCGTTGAAAATCAATAGGATATTAACTTCAGCCTCTAGAGCGTCCACAAACAACTTTGGACACCGGGGAGGTCGGGTGTTCGATCCCTGCATTGGCCGAGAAAGTTCATCCAGATTTTCCGGCGTGGTTCTCCCTTGTCAGTGATGCAGGATGGAGGGGCTGACAAGGAAAGCTGTCTAGTCGTTCGGATGGGACGAAAAACCGAGGTCCCGTGTACACATTGGCGTGCACGTAAAAGATCCCTTGGCAGTTGGAATTCGATATAAGAGTAGGCCGTTATAGTGCCGCTGCCCGGGCAAAATTTCCCTCATAGCACACTGTATGGCGTATGCCCGTCTTCATTAGCCCAGGTTAGGAGCAGAACAGTAGGACGTTAAACCCCATTTCATTTCATTTCATTTTTGGACACCGGACCGACGACACGGTGGGCGTATAAAAATTAGCTGGCATGTGTGTTCCCTTTGAAAATTACATTAGTGTGCTCAATAATTTTATAAAGATATTGCTCTAGGGCCTATACTAATAGACCGGGAGCCCAGGGGGTCAACCTAGCTGAAAAGTGTACCAATTTTCTCCTATATGGAATCAATGTATGTATATCTGGTATCATCAGAATGTAAGTCTGCCGGGTTTCTGGTGGTGGGTGTGGTATTCCACGCCCTAAATGCCATGATGCCCAACTAGGCTAGATTAGCTCAAAAGTGTACCACACGAAAATCTTACTGCAGTGTACCGTACATCTTCAGGTATTACAAAAACACTCTGACAGACATTTCTAGTGGTGGGGTACCCCCTGACAGAGCTATGTAATTGCCAGACATTTGTAGTAGTGGAGTATCCCTGACAAGAGTTATCTTATATATAGACCAAAGCTAGGCTAGATTAGCTGAAATCTGTACCACCTAAAACAGCTTTGGAGTTGTTCAGTACCACCACAGGAGTCATAAATGACCACTGCCAGACAGTTTGTGCGGTGGGTTACCCCTAACAGACACGCCCCAAAATGCCACGCCCCCAACTAGGCTAGCTTCGCAGGCACTGTTCCCACGTTCTAAAAAAATAGATTTTTAGCCAGAATGCGTAGGATACAAATACCTAGCACGTATGGAAGAGGCGATAAACTGCGATTGCAAGAAATTGATTTTTGGGCTAAAAATGCGTTTTTGAAAAATAAAATTGTTCCTACAACCGCAGTTTATCGCATATGTGCTAGGTATTAGTATTCTACGCATCCTGTCACAATTTTTAATTTTTTGGACCACAGGAACAGTGCCGACTAATCTATCCTAGTTGGGGGTCGTGTTATTTTGGGCGTGTCTGTTAGGGGCAACCCACCGCACAAACTGTCTGCCAGTGGTCATTCATGATTCCTGTGGTGGTACTGAACAACTCCAAAGCTGTTTTAGGTGGTACAGATTTGAGCTAATCTAGTCTAGCTTTGGTCTGGAAATTAGATAACTCTTGTCAGGGATACTCCACTACAAATGTCTGGCAATTACATAGCTCTTTCAGGGGTACACCACCACTAGAAATGTCTGTCAGAGTGTTTTTGTAATACCTGAAAATGTACGGTACATTGCTGTGCGATTTTCATGTGGTACACTTTTGAGCTAATCTAGCCTAGTTGGGGATCATGGCAGTTTGGGCGTGGAATACCACACCCACCACCAGTAACCCGACAGACTTACATTCTGATGATACCAGATATACATACATTGATACCATATAGGAGAAAATTGGTACACTTTTCAGCTAGGTTAACCCCCTGCTCTATAATATGGTTAAATCAAAAATATAACCGGTGTGACAGTGAGTTGGTTTCTGGTGTGTGATTACCGTTTAGCGCATGAGCAGTTGTAGGAGTATGGACACGGTGTGCATCGACTCCCCGTTATAGGATTTCCCTAAGATTTTCTTACGCTCAAATCGGTTTCTACACTATTATATACCAATATTTACAGAATTACTATAGGAGAGGGTGTGAGTTTCTATTGTTTGTTTATTTCGATAAAAAGTAGAAATACAAATTGACTTTGGTAACTACTATATTTTAATGCAAATTTAGAATTTATATTCTAAAGCGTCTCCCGTAAAAAAAAACGATATTTTCGCTTACATTTCGATGTCTTTTTAGCCCAAATCTTTCCAGACATTAAGATTGATATTAAACTATTACAATACATTTGCTAGTAATGCATTTAAATAAAATAGTAATTCAGAATCTTATTTTGAAGTGGAATGTATTTCAGCCGCTGACCGTTAGATTTCTCGCTAAAGTCACGTGACCCGAAACCCCTAATATGAGTAAAGTTGTACAAATTTTTAATAAGAAGTACAAAATTAAAATAACAATGATACAGAGAAATCCCAATATTTAATCTGTAAGATTTTTAATTATTAAAACATAGTTAACCCTCAAAAAGTGTAACGTAATCACTAAAGAAAAACACAACGGCAACAAATCACGAACGACAGAAGTGTTAGTTTCAAGCCAATCAACTTAAATCCGTTGATCGTGTAACTATTACGAAAACAATAGCTAATCACGATAACCAAATACGTAATACTTTTTCCTGAAATGATCAGTGATCAGGAACCATCTCACAACATATAGTTTCGTTGTTCACGCTAACAACAGTTTCGGACATGCGCAAGTGCCCAGGGGCAAACACACACCGGGAAACAATTCAAACTGTCACACCGGATTCCTCATTGCCTACCCCCAAAAATTATTACTATAATTATTGAGAAAAGTTATTATTATGGCTGTCCTCACTTGCTTTTTCCATTGTTAGTAAAACTACGTTGTTCATTCACCAATATTGGCCTTCCCACCGTCCATACATTTTTCCAAATGGGAAGAAAAAACATAAAAACAATATCTTTTTAATTTTTATTAATAGATTACTTTTTTTTTTTTTTTTTACCTTTCTTCTATAAATCTATTTATACATTCTATATTAAACGTTTAAGAAACATGATGTATGTATAGAGTTATGTATAAAGCATAATATATATAATTTAGTTTGAAAAACGGATGGGTTTGTGGAGGTTTTTTGTTTTTTGTTTTTTTGTTTTAATTACAATGACTGCATTGTAATCTCTCCAAATGTTCAAAATAGTTATCAACCACTAGGCATGAATACCGTATTACTAACCCATTACGGAAATAGCTCTATTCAATAAACCTTACCCTATTCGACTGAAAAGAACCATATACCACCACCCAGTTTATCAGTGCAATTAATTATGCAACCCCTAAAACATGTATACAGATAAATATATAAAATTACTAATAGATCATATTAGTAAAATCATATACCTACAGGTAAACGTTGCATAACCTTGCAATTTGTGAAATTTCAAGTTCAAGATAGAATTTTGGAAAATGGAAATGAATGAATGGTTAAACATTAGTGATTAATCTTTAAAAAAAAACTATTAAGACATACCAACTCTTATTAATGAAGAATATGTACCTATAACTTATTTTATGTATTTTAAGGGGCAGGAAATCTAAATTTCGTAGGGAAGCTTTAAACCATTTAATTTATTGACATGAAAGTACAAAATAGTACAATGTACTAAAAGAAAATTAACTGTATGTATTAAGTAGAATTATGTTTCAAACTGAGCAAATCATTTCTAACAATTTCTTTGAGGGGATGTCTGTTTGATTTTCTATAATTATTCCCCTTTTGCAATTAGTAAAAAAAAAAAAAAAAAAGAAAAATGGTACATGTTATTACATAAAGGGGTCATGGGTATTTTATATCCTCATATTTATGGAAATTTTAAGGGGCAGGAAATGTATATTTATTAGAGAAGCTTTAAAATATGTAATTTATAGACATGAAAGTACAAAATAGTACAATGTACTAAAAGAAAATTTACTGTATGTATCAATTAGAATTATGGTCCAAACTGAGCAAATCATTTCTAACAATTTCTTTGAGGGGATGTCTGTTTGATTTTTGTATAATTATTCCCATTTTGTAGTTAAAAAAAAAAAAAGTAAAGAAAAATGGTACATGTTATTACATAAAGGGGTCATGGGTATTTTATATCGTCAGATTTTGGGAAATTAATCAATCAAGCATCTCCAAAAAGAAAATTAATTTTTAAGCTAATTGTAATGTACATACTTTCAGAAATATTTGCTAAAATTTTAGTTAAATTTAATTAATTTCATATTCTAAATTTTTCAGAGAATATTGTATAGAAACTTTTAAGAGAGATACAATTTTTTAAAAAATATCAGCTTGCTGTAGTCAATGTAATTTAAATACCATCTCATAACATCTCTCTTTAACCATTCTCTGAAAAATAAATTCTATTAGTGGACCTGAAAAAGAAAAGATTAGGAGTGTCTGATATGTGAAAACAGCACAGGATCATCACTATATACACATCTATATGCACAAGTCTTTATGGTATTCATCACAGCACTTTATAACAAGTTTTGATGAGTCAACAAACACTCCACACAGACAACTACAGAAGTAGAACAAGTTCAGTCTAAATTCTTTACAACACACACCATTACACAATAACAGTTTATTCCTGCGATATTATTTTAAATTCAGTTCTTATCTGCAACGTAAAATTTACTTCTCTATGATTGAAAAAAAGTTCATTAACACAGTGACTTCTTTCTTCTGGAATATGATTTCGGATAAGAATCTGGATCAATCGTGAAAGGTTGGGACAGAAAAGGTGGTATCTTCACATCTATTGAAATGGGTGAGAATTTGGACCTCAATAAGGTGGTTTCTTCTGATAAATTATTTTGACCCCAGTCAGAAAATTGACAGAAGCCAACTTGAATTGGAGCTTGCTACTGTATGTAGACCAATGGATTATCTACAGCTTGCAAATATGTTAATACTGGAACTTGGAAAGCTTAAACTTGGACACCTGGCATTAACATCTGGGCTTACAATATGAATGAATAATTATATCTCGAGTAAATAAGGAAATTCGACTTCAAATTTGCATTGTATTTAAAGGCTCATGGCATCAGGGTATTACTGGACTAATTCTTACTCTTAGGAATTCATCTAGACATCATGAAGAAAGATGACCAAAATACTCTATGATCTGGTATAAGAATAGCAGCTTAAATCTTAGGCTTACTTTTAAATCTAGGGTTGAAGACAAAATCATTGGTCGTCATGATCCAAAAGAATGACTAGAATCAAAATTTTAATCGGCAATGATTACATCATCAGCATCCCAGACAAAAGACTATAATAGAAGCAGAAAATTGTAGATAGGATTCCCCTCGTCGTCAAAATTGGATAGGAACATACAATGAAAAAGACAAATGAAAAGCAAACTGGAAACCTTCAATAATTACATCTCACTCGCTCTGTAATGATGGGAATAGAGACTGGTTTGGTACTAAAATTGATCACGGGATAACTTGCTCATTTGTCATTTTTTCATCTGCTTAATCTTATATCTCATGATGTTGATATTCTTGCCTCACCTATTTGAGAATACTAACTTACATATTAACATCGTGATTTATAATGGCAAACCTGGTGGTACTTCATAACAGCGTGGACTGATGACAGTATGCTCAACATCTATTACCCTAATGACCCTATGTATTCTTCCATCTTCTCTCTTTATTTCATCACTCCTCAGACTTACTGGTACTGGAACACTTACGTTTAATAATGCGCAGTATGGTCAACATCTATTACCCTATCTATTCTTCCATCTTCTCCCTTATTTCATCACTCCTCAGACTTGATGGTACTGGAACACTTACGTTTAATAATGCGCAAAATGAGGATCAAATATACGCTTCGAGATAACCTGTCTTCTTCATCTGTCATCTTTGTCAACAATTACTGAACTCATACGCTTTGTAGAAACAAACACGCAATCTGACAACCTCTGAACCAGACATTATAATGACCTTCCTAAAAACTTATCACGCTTTAATACACAAATGCTTGCATTCTACGACGATCAAATTAACTGCTACATCACAGCGCTTGAATAGCAGCATTGCATGATTTACAGTCTAATTTAGATTTATCAGCATTGAAAGTGGCACCTTTCTCTTGCAGAAACTCAATACATTGGTCCATATCCGAGAATCCTAACTCCCTCTTGACAAAATCTAATGATATTAGTGGTCGATACCTACACAACACAAACAATGCAGCCAGCACAAGTGGAATAAATGAAAAAGAAAATGAAAAACATTAAACATGTATATTATAGAATATCACAAATATTTTTGTAAGAAATCAAACAATTTTTATGTTGATATGACAACAATAAATTCATCATCTTCAAATACTTACCAATAACAGTGAGTGAAAATGAAAAAAAAAGTTAAGTATATTATTTTCTTAACTTATGAAAAGAGTGTAAATAATTATAACCCTGTATACGTACGATTTTACTATTGCCTTAATTGCTGTTTTTCGCACCCGTTCTACAAACCAATCCATTAAATATGCTGACATCTTAGGTGCACTGAGATAGAGTTTAAAGAAATTGTGATAATTGTTACACGCCCAGGAAGATCTGACTTTCAAAGCATGCTTGATACACTCATCTTCATGATCTGAGGCTGACAACAACGATAATGCTGTTGTCATATCTGAAATAAAAAGCAATTAATTATATATATTACACTGCTTGCAACTTAATTTAATAAATACATTACCATGTGTAATTACTCAACATAAAATACCAGAAAAACTGTTTCTTTCAACGGGAGTTATAAATACATATGTACTGAAAATGGTGTTTAATTGTTAAGTGAATCAAAAATAACATTACCTATAACAAACTTACCTAAAGAATTAGATGTAAATATATAATATAATATTCTATATGCTGTAAATTCTACTTTATTGCCCTCTATTCCTTCTTGATATAATAATTTGAGCTGTGTCTGACATTGGTTAAATTCCTCATGATCAGCCTAAAAAGAAGAGTGGTGATTCAAATAAATTAAGTTGCATTTCTTATTACCTGCATCAAAATAGATAATCTAAATCAGTTACACCACAAACTACAATAAATGTCCAGAAGCTCTGAGCAATTTGATAGTACTTTGTCCTATTTAAAAATGCACAAAATTAGATACTCACCTTTTCCATAGCAATTCTAGCATGTGTTTCATATACTTTTACTGTAAATGCATCTCTTACACCTTGGACCTTTTAAATGAAAATAAAAACCAATTACAGAAATTTTCAACTTTAATAATGTTGAATAACAGTCAATTTATTGCCACATATTTCTATTAATACACCTTAAGACAAAAAAGATTACAAAAGTAGAGAATATAGCCAATTTTTTTTGATGTTACATAAGTATTCATCCAAGCAATAGACAATTTAAGTGCATGAAAGATGTCTTTACTACCACTTTCTACTTACTGTTAAATCTTGTCTAATTGATTTAAGTTGTTCACAGGCAAAATGGTAATTGTGAGTTTCCTTCCATCTATTTTGAACCATTATTAGGGATTTTCTTAATATTTCTACTGGGCGGATGGTTTTAGAATCAGGTGCCTATAGACATTAAAGCTTAGATTATTATATACATTCCAAATTACAGCAATCATTACAATATTTCGTTCAGTTAACAATGATCACATTTGTTGATAAAATTAAATATTCTGATAGGCTATATATTTGTTACAGTTACACAGTAGTTTGCATTCTAAATGTGGGGAATCCTTCAAAAACTTACACTCGTTAATCGTAAATATTGTTTTTCAAGGTCTTGACATGTTCCAACAACATCAAAACTACACAAATCAGCATCATTACTATCCGAATTCTGTAATTAAAAAAAAAACTAATAAATTACAAAAATAAAATAAGCGTTAAATAACAGTTTCCCTTTGAATAATGCGGAAGAAAAAAGTTTTGATTGGAGAAAATTTTATGTTTATCTATACAGTGTTAAATTATGTTAAATTTATGTTAAAAATTTTCAGATTATTCAAATACCTCTAGTCATATTTATTGTATTTAATTTTACAGGTGTACACTTACAATAAAAGTATTTAAACCCATAGTTATTCTTTGCTTAGGCTTTTTACTGCCATTTTCTAATTGATTTCCAAATCGTGCAGCCCGTTTTTGCATCCTAAAAGCTTTCTCTGGATCATGGAAATTCATTCTGGAAAAAAAAGGAGAAAAGAAAACATAAAAGATTAATTGAAAGAATGATATGTGTACTTGATCAATGGAAATCCTTTTTGAACAATACTACTCATTTTATAATTAACTATATTATCCTCCTGTTAAATCAATATCTCACTCACAGGGTTACAATATAGAGCAGGAAATGGGATTTAATGTCCAGTGAAAGCATTTTTGCTTAAATAATCCTTCTAAATACAAGGGTCTTTAGTAGAAAGGTTAGGCAGACAACTCTACTCGCCAGTCAGTAACAAGCATGGGATCAACCCACAACACTTAAATCAATGAAAGATGGTATTAGACCACCAATAACCAACCATACATGTATAAAAGCAATAGCTTACCCTTTTAAACCACTTTTTACATGCATATTCTTTTTTACATTTCTATCTTGAGGACCAGCCCCTCGACCTCTGGCTCCTTTCCCTCCTGTCTGTTTCATAAATCTCTGTTTCTTTGACGACTGGACATCCTTATCACCATCTATACTAGGACTGGATAACAAAAGTAACTCATTTTATCAAGGGCATAAATTGGCAATTTAAAATCATGAACAATGTTAAGATTCAATATTGTTTATGATAGTATTCAAACACTCATCAAACCAAGTTTGCATGGATCATTTTTAGATATATGCCATGGTTAATCTTTTATCAAATGTATTTCGAGTGTCTAAAATCTAAATGTAATGGGTTTTTTTAATACCTTCTGCGTTTATTTAATTTCCTTGGTGATCTCCTCCTGTATGGTGATCTTGATCTAGATCTGGAGCGTGATGAAGAACGTGATCTTGATCTGCTAGAAGAACTGAAGGATCTAGAACGGGAATGTCTATATGTTGGAACACGATCACCACTGTATATACTTTTATTCATTCCTCTATTGTTACCCCTTCCATGACCTCTCATTGGTTTGTTAACAGCTGCTCCTTCACCCCATCTACTCTTTCGCATAACTTTGTTATTACCAATACTACATAATGAAATAAGTATAGCTTTAATAATATTTCTTTTCAGATTGTACATTTTAAGCAGAACAGATGGTAGTTAAACAATAACAGTTACATTTTCTTTTAAAAGCATAAATTCTGTATAAGATCCAATTCTATCCACAGTTATAGTTGTAAGATTTATGTTAAAAGAATACGAAACATCAACAAACCTTGGCATTGGCTCATTGGCCCAATCTATTTTCCATACATCACCAGAATTGAATGCTTGAGTCAACCTGTCCTTTAAGATTGATTCTATCTGATCTTTCTGACTTTCATGAGAGAAAGTGGCGAATGCTTTTTGAACATAAAGCCTGCAAATGATTTTTAAAATACATGTACATTATCAAATTATTACTATATTAGATTACATATATCAAATTCTAAGTCATACAAGCAAGGGGTCATTAGAAAAACTATGCTAGGTCTATGCATATTTAAGTTGTTCCAATAACCTTGATTCATTATAAAAAAGACCCCCCATTCATAAAAAAAAAATCCCTAAAAAATGTTCATAATGGGGTATCAATAAACTAGCTTTTTGATCTTATAAAGTCCTTTGGAATTCCTTACACTATACAATATTGTAGAAATTTGATCTCTAATCGGAATATCACTCCAAAAATGTTTTAATTCCGTTCAGTTTTCTCTTAATCAAATCGTAAATAATAATTTGAGAACACCATCGGTGTTGTAGTAGTATTGAAAAAGTCAATATTGCCCGAAAACTGCAAAAGACGATCAGAAGCTTTAATTGAAAAAAAAATTTAACATACTTTAATGCTGGGGGCCATTCTCCTGCAGCACAGCCAAACATACCACCATCACTGAAAACAGTGAGAGAAAGATTAAGATTTACCATCCATGCAACACAAACCCGGTTGTTATGGGACTAACATGTTACATTTTCTTGAGCAGGGTCTTTAGCATTATTGTATGGTAATCCAAGGACACCTTGTTATCTCCACTATGACACTTAATAATGACTTTACATTAGATAAGCTTAACCATGCTATAAAATGAATTTCTTCCCAGTCTTGAATTTGATAAATTGCCAAATTGTCGTTTCACGCAATCTCTACAACAAGGAATTTCTGGTGGTCATAAACTAACTAATCTAAATCATGCTATATCCAATTTGTAGTACTATTTTTTATTTGGATACTTACCTAGATTTTGTTTCATTTGAGTTTGCTGCAGCTTGTACAGTATCTGTTGAATTTGGTTTGAAAGGTTGGGGTCTACTTTGATAATTAGGGGCTGTAAAATGCTTCTGTTGTCGTCCAATTGGTGCCTGTGCTATCGTATTTACTGGAGCAACTTGGTTCTTTTTAGGTATTTGAAATCTGATACCACCTGTACCTGGGGCTTCTATAAATCAAACAAATTTAGTTTAATTATTCTTAATCATACTTCAAAACTGTATTAAAACAAACCAACAATCAGGTTGATGCCCCCCCCCCCCCTTCAATCCCAAAACAAATAGATGACCTTTATTAATTCCTTGCTCTTTTTTTTTGTAAAGTATAATGAAAATATATGCCAGGTTTCTTCACTCTATTGTGGTCCAAAGTCTCAATCAATGAACAGCTACACCAAGTTTAAACATTATACCACAATTACAGAGTTATCGTGTTCCAAAGTCTTGTTCAATCAAAATCTTCAAATTGCCTATTTCTACTCATCATTGTATTCACCTAATAAACACTTATACTAAGTTTTAACATTCTACCTCTGAGTTATTGTGTTTAAAAAGTGCGACAACACAAATCCATTCTCAGTTACCTGCTTTCTACAAATGGTGGGGGACAATAACGGATATATTTGCAAAGCATGTCATGTTAAAAATCAACAGACTAAGTCAAACAAGTTCTTTAAAAAAAACATTTTCTAAAATCTACAAAGATTATCTTACGTTTTCTCTGTTGATTGTTATTGAACTGCATATTATTTCCTTGGTTAGGATACCTCTGCATCACTGGAGGACACTGCTGAACTTGAAAGTCATTATTGAAATTATTCTGAAAAGTGACAGGAATAATGTTGTGTCAATAGTAAAATCAATAATACTTTGTTCCAGATAGTTTTAACTTACATGTAAAGTAGAACTCAAACACAAGAAGTTGTTATATGAAAAACTAATCAAGTTAGAATAGTTAGATGTTACTCTTTGGTATTCTGACGACGTAACATCTAATATCTGAACAGTCAAAAGCTCTGTGCAAAAGTTGATAACTGGTTTACTTCTTTCAGCTGACAGCAAAATTCACAAATTTCAGTTATCTGCATTGCTAACACATTAAACTTATATATCCAGTCCATTAAGTTCACACAAAATCTTTTTTTTACTGTTGATTTAATGAGATTCCAAAATTTCAACACTGACAATCCACTGCAAAGCATTAAACAGGAAATGACCTTGTTGAACTCTGGCAAATTTCAAAGTTGGAACACAGGATTCCATACGATCAAAATTTATCTACTTTTCATTTATTTTCAATCACGGACTTTGTTATTGTAATTATTGACATTGTCCAAAAACATTTATATAAAATTATAGATTGTTTCAACTAAAAATTTTAAGACTATATATTTTGGTCAACTTATCTCAACATGGTGTTAGGTTTTGGTGGATGTGACTTTGGATAAACATGTTTTACTGGAAAGTCATTGCTTGTCAGTGTGTTTGGAATTTACCGACAGGCGCCTTTCAGCTTGTGGGTATTTGATCTGCCAAAGATTCAGGAGGAACCCACTTGAAGTAAAGCCACTTAGAAGAATCTAGAGGTTAAGTGTAAATGAAACCTCTAGACACTCGAAATTGCAATGGATCCATAAGATAAAATATTACTTAGTTACCTCTTGATTGTTCTGTCCATATGGTCCATTTCTAAAACCATTTCCATATCTTGAAAAAATAATAGTCTATATTTACATATATATATATTTCAACCAACCTTGCAAAAATAGAAAAAATAACTTCCAAAATCTACTCTGTTGCAATTCTTATCAAAATCAGTTAAGCCATGCCGAAAGGGACTGATGCGTTCTGCTCATCAATTTCACAAAATCTGTTTTATAAGATACCTGTACTTACGGATAAGGGTATTGCTGACGTGGTGGGAACATTCTTGGAAAGGGTTGATTGTTGAAAAAATTTGGTGTTCGATTGTCCATTTCTTGAGGAGGGGGTGGAGGAGGTGGTGGTTGAGCAATGTTATTTATGGATGCTTTGATTGGATCATCAGGTCGGCTTTTATTACTTTTAAGTGGACTAGTATTTGAGGCTCCCATTGCCTCTAAGGCTTTCCTTGCATGTTCCCATTCAGGTCTTTTATTTTCTGAATCACTGGTACGGTTAAATTGTTGTGCCCTATAAAAACAGAACACAAAAATTGGATTACTGATATATCACTATCATGAAATAAGTTGTAATTGTAAATATAGGCCAAAAATTGTAATAAAAGATAGGTTGCCAGGCAACGAAACATACACCCATAGCACCTAAGTTGTTCGGACAGTCAACCAGGGTCGCATATTTTCTCTTTTGTCACAACCTTCAACACTGTGTATAAATCAGATATTAACTTGAGCCCCTAGAGCATCCACAAGATTTTACAAAGTGATCAAAGGTCATAACTCTGGCAGTAATTTCTCTATCTCATGACCTTAAACACTGTGTATAAATTTAAAGTCAATCAGATATTAATTTTAGCCTCTAGAGTTGTGTTGCACATACTGAAGCTAGCGAGGTAAGCAAGGTCTTATTTTCCCACTAAAATGTTCCTTTACATCATTCAGGGGTTCAGAGACTAACACACAACCATTTAGCAGTAAAAAGTTGCCCAGTAAAAAGTTGCCCAGTAAAAATGACTGGGCCGATTTTATTTTCAACAAGGATTCAATTGATTGCCCATCTCTAGCATCTGGTTATTCCAGTCTACACCGATAGTATTTATTGTGTGTGCTCTCCAGATAAGTATATGACGTCACCATTTGACATGACTTGTGGAATATGTCTAGCCTCGTTCTTTGAGTCCCTTGTTCTAAATGAAATGGCGCCGAAACACATTTTTGTACATGATTCGTGCACCAATGGTAAAATGTATATTTTGTCTTAAATATTGGATATCAGAAGTCCATCTTTTCCCTGTAAGATCACAACATCAATGTTGGTTTAAATTGACAAATAATTTGTGTTTTTACTGTTGAAGATTTTGGATGATATTGAATTAGCTACTTTAACCTTTAACTAGTAGTAGTCTGGGGGCAAAGATCTGATATTAATTAAGTAGGATTAATACTAGAAAGTAGACTGCGATACATCTTTAATTTAACTCTAAAAATAGCTGCATAAATAGGTTTTGCTAAACAACGTTTTTCATCCAATCAGCATTTTTTTCCTAGCTACTAACTAAGCTAAGCTAGACCAACTCACCAAATCAATTGAAAATCAATAATCACACACGTTGAAACCTAACCTTCCCTTTCAAAAACTACTCAATAATAATCTCAAGACCTCTCTACTTTCACGGAAAACATTGGTTTAACAGTAATCTCATCCTACATAAATTATTTGTCTCTATGGACAAATCTGTCATTACTAACGGCACGCAATCCTTTTGTTTTGGCGGCCATTTGCATTTTTCTTTAATTTTGTTTCATGGCAATTGCTACCACTTCTTTCAGGTTGGCTGTAGAGACAATGAAAATAACTACAGTAAAAAAGGTTTCTTGGATCTAAGCATTATGTAACCATGTAGAAATATTCTTACCATGTGGCTGCTTCGTAAGCAAAGGAAGCCATTTCTCGACTTTTACTGCGCTTCAATTTCTTTTCGCCTACAATTTCTTTGGCTATGATGATTACCCAGAAATCCCTGAATTTACTCTCCCATAGTTCAATGCGATAAGTAACTGAGCTTGCGTATTGAAAGCAAGTTGGTACATGGAAGCTAATGTTATAATAATAAGGCTATTTAAACTCACACGTGAGCCGTAACAATCCAATGTGAGTTATATTACAGATCTAATTAAGTTTATGACGTAACACACAATATAAGATCAGAGGTGTGAATCTAAAAACTTTTCAATTTTTGAACTGTCGGCTGTCACTGTGATACTGATGGGTGAGAAAATATTTTCATAATCATTCAATTCATACTACTGTCTGATTCATCGTAAATTTTAAACGGATTTCTTCGATTATGAACAAACTACTTAACTTTGGTTATTATAAACGTACCTGTGTGTTTGTAATGAACTCCCGTTCGATAAAATCCATTGCACAACTAATTATCACAACGATGAGAACAATTTCTCTCTTGAAAAATTTGAAAATTTACTTGTAATTTCGACCGAGTCGATGTCAACAATGTCTTCGTGACGTAATGGTCGAATCCAATATACCTGTTGCGGGGGTTGGTTAACATTGAAAGATAGTTTGACAGCGCGATTATTTTGATCGTATATGGGTTTGGGCGACGAAAAATATCAATTGAAGGCAATTACATAGGAGATTTATATGGAAACCATTGATCGCCAGTCTATCAAATTTTCTTCACAATTAAAATATCACTGATTGCACGGATACTCGTAAAAATAAAGTCATGAATAAACTATAAATATCCTATCTTCTTTATGTTATAAATAATTTAACAAGGATCATGAAGCTTACCTCCGAATTCTCTGAGTGTATTTTTAATTTTATACGCATTCTTTCGATAGAATAATAACCGCTTCAGTAACATCTTTAAGCGTGTTGCGGCAGCCCTCAGCGTGTCTATTGCCGTATTGGGTGCCCGGGTGGGTATATAATGCTACTAAGCCCGTATGACCCCGTAAGAAGCGGAACATTAATTCTCGATTCGACAGTTTTGACCGAAGTGTGATAAAGCCCGTAAAACGAATGTATAGTTGTGTTTGTGCGGCATGTGTGTTCAAAAGTAAATAATCCCATCTGAGTCGCTAATCAAATAATTAGAACAAAATATTTCAAAAAGTAAAGCTATAAAATTTGCAGAGATTTTACTAGAATGTAAAAGACGGTAACTAAATACAGGAATGCGGGTAATTATGTGTGCGAACGCTCAAACTCAATGCCAATTGTCGTAGGTATTCAGACCACTCGGACCAAAGACTACTCGGACTAAGACCAGTCGGACCAAAACAAGACCAGTCGGACCAATTAAATTATATTATAAGGCTAGACAATATGCTATTTATTTATTATTAAATCACAATCCAAAGAAGCAAATAATTCTTATACGGAATTCTTATATTTAGAGTTGTTTGGTTCAATTTTGTGTACAGAAAATAAATCAACGATTAGTTTTAAAATTAATTAATAATGGTGCCAAAAAAAATATCAATCTAATTTTTCTTTACTCTTGCAATGAGACTCATGTCCAGACTTTTGACAGTTTCTACATATACGGGTATACTGTTCTTGTCTGATAGCCTAATTTTACTTTTTCCACATTCGCGGTATCCCCAGTGGTTTCATTCCGTTCTACCCCACTAACCCCTGGGTTACTATATATGGGGGTGGGGTGGGTGGAGACACGTTTTCAAGTTATCCGCCCTTGATCCTTGATGCGTTAATATAAACAGCACATAATAATACGAAGACCGGACGTTTATATGCCCCTTTTTAAACGTGACTACAAGTGTGGTTCTCGATATTTTGCGATTTGGAATACAATTATCAATTTATTCAAACAACACGTTATTATTAGTTCGAGTAGTCATATTAAAACACACACAATTATCAATTTATTCAAATAACACTTTATTATTGGTTCGAGTAGTCATATTAAAATAAACACAATTATCAATTTATTAAAATAACACTTTATTATTGGTTCGAGTAATTATATTAAAACAAACGCAATTATCAATTTATTAAAACAACATTTTATTATTGGTCCGAGTGGTCTTTCTGTTGGGTCCGAATAGTCTTTTTGTATGGTCCGAGTAGTCTATTTGTTTGGGCTGAGTGGTCTATCAGTTGGTCCGACTGGTCTTGAACCGAGTGGTCTTTGGTCCGAGTGGTCATGGATTCTTGTCGTAATTGTACTTGAATTTCCTATGCTGTCACCCCTAATACGAAATGATATCTTCCGCAGAGTGACGTAACCATCTTCCATATTGGTATTTTTCTCTGGGAAAAGTTTGTGATATTTCAATTTTTCAAGAGAGAACTTGTTTTCATCGTTGTGATAATTAGTTGTGCAATGGATTTTATCGAACGGGAGTTCATTACAAACACACAGGTAAGTTTATAATAACCAACGTAAAGTAGTTTGTTCATAATCGAAGAAATCCGTTTAAAATTTACGATGAATCAGACAGTAGTAATTAAATTAGTAGTAATCATAGACCTGGCTTTACTAAACAACTTCACACAACAGCGGGTCCAGTTAAGCACTGAAAGCTCAGAGACTTGAGTAAAGATTCTTCTTCAGCTTGTCGGGATTCATCACATTATGATACCATGTACCTTTTATTAACTGAGCTAAAACTGTCAAGTCATTTATTCAGTTTCCTCAACACCTAACTAAGGCAGTGGCTAAATACGACGCTCGTCCCTATACAATGTAACGTGGTACGAGTTTTTGGTACCACGTACTTTATAATTTTTTGTGATTTTACATGATTAAAAGCTAATTTTGCAAATTACATTAATTATTTAATGAATTTCGATGTTTTATTCTATTTATAGATGATATTTACACTTAATGTTTAATATAATCTAATTCAGACCGTCGATCGGTCGGTTAAAATAATCGCTATTTAGGTACGGTGTAAAATTTATTGTAACCCATTTAAAAAGGCCCTACGTGGTATATTGCACTATTGGGTAGATATGAAACAATAAACCGTAGCAGATAAAAACGTGGTACAATAAAATAGGATGATACGAAAGTGCAATGAGTTGATAAGTAAAAAAAAACGTTGTACAGTAGAATCCAAGGCTGAGATAACAGTACCACGTTCGCTTACTGCTTCTATACAAACGAAACGTGGTACGCGACTTTAGCAAATTATGTTTATTATTTAATCAATAATACCACGTTTCAGTTGTATAGAAGCAGTAAGGCGGTGTGGTACGGTTATCTCGATCAGTATCGAATTCTATATTATTATGGTTTTTGTACCAATGCCGCGTACCACGTACCGTTTATATAGAACCAGTAAGGCGAGCGTGGTACGATTATCTCACCCCCGGATTCTATTGTACTACCTTTTTTCAACTATTAACTCATGGTACTCTCGTATTATCCACATATTTTATCATACCTCCTTTTCACCTGCCACGTTTTGTTTCATATCTACCCAATATACCACGTAGGACCTTTTAAAATGGGTACAGTATATGCCCTATAAAGTACCATGAGTTGATGGTTTAAAAAAAGTGGTATAATACAATCCGGGGCTGAGATAACCGTACCACGCTCACCTTACTGCTTGTATACAACGGAAACGTGGTACGCGGCTTTGGTAACGTAACAGGTAAAAACATGGTACATGTATAATAAAATATGAGGATGATGCGAAAGTACAACGTGGTACGCGACTTCGGTACAAAAATCGTGGTATAAGAGATAACTGCGAGTATACCACGTTTCAGTTGTATTGAAGCAGTAAGTCAGACGTGGTACGGTTATCTCGATCATTATCGAAGTCTATATATTAACGTGATAGACTACAATAGTATCCGAGGCTGAGATAACAGTACCGATAATAGTACCACGCTGCCTTACTACTTCTATGCAAACGAAACGTTGTATGCGACTTTGGCTTATTTTGCAAATTATATTGATTATTTAATCCATTTTGATGTCTTTTAGTCTTTACAGGCCACACACTGTACCACATTTTAAAAGGTCCTACGTGGTATATTCGGTAGATATGAAACAAAACGTGGCAGGTGAAAAGGGGGTATGATAAAATATGTGGATAATACGAGAGTACCATGAGTTAATAGTTGAAAAAAGGTGGTACAATAGAATCCGGGGATGAGATAATCGTACCACGCTCGCCTTACTGGTTCTATATAAACAGAACGTGGTACGCGACATCGGTACAAAAAACCATAATATATAGAATTCGATACCAAGTTTTTACCTGCCACGTTTTGTTTCATATCTAGCCAATAGCCCAATATACCACTTAGGGTCTGTTTAAGTAGGGTATAGTAAAATAACTTTTACACAGTACAAGTATTATTAACCATATGATTATTAACTGAACAATCGACTATCTGTCATGTAATTTATTTTAACATAAAGTGTAAATATGGCCTATAAAAACTTCAAAATGGATTAAATAATCAACATAATTTGCAAAATGAGCCAAAGTCGCGTACCACGTTTCGTTTTTATAGAAGCAATAACGCGAGCGTGGTACGGTTATCTCAGCCTCGGATTTAATTATACCACGTTTTATTTACTTATCAACTCATTACAATTTCGTATCATCCTCGCAATTTTTTATATACCACGTTTTGTTTCATATCTAAGTGGTTGAGACGCTCGCTCGCTAGCTTGGAGGTCGCTTGTTCAATCCTAGATAACAAACCTCATCTCTCAACCCTCCGTGTTTCAAAAAAAACAAGCACATCAGCATATCTCAACGTTTTTAGCTACGTTCTCGTAGCTAGTTCGATTCCTGCATTGACCGAGAAAGTTCATCGGGATTTTCCGACATGGTTTCCCCTAGTCAGCGGTGTAGAACGGAGGACCTGATAAGGACAGCTGTCTAGTCGTTCGGGTGGGACTAAAAACCGAGGTCCCGTGTATACATTGGCGTGCACGTAAAAGATCCCTTGGCAGTTGGAATTCGATATAAGAGTAGGCCATAGTGCCGCTGCCCGGGTAACATTTCCCTCACAGAACACTACATGACGTATGCCAGTCTTCATTAGCCAAGTCGTCGTAGCAGAACAGTAGGACGTTAAACTAAACCCAATTTCATTTCATTTCCAATATACCACGTAAGGGTATAGTATAATAACTTTTACACAGTATTATTAACCGTATGATCATTAATCGACCGATTGGTTATCTGTATTATAATTAATTTTAACATAAAGTGTAAATATGGCATATAAAAACATCAAAATGGGATAAATAATCAACACAATTTGCAAATTTTGCTACAAATAATGTAAAGTGCCTATAGTATAAATAAAAAAGACGTGGTACCGAAGTCACGTACCATTTTCCGTTTGTATATAGCACAAGTAAGCGTGGTACGGCTATCGCAGCCCGGATTCTATTACATCATTTTTTTTTTAAATAGCAATTTATGGTTCTTTCTTTATTATATCACGTTAATTTTTACCTGCCACGTTTTGTTTCATATCTACGCCTATCTAATATTCCAATGTGCAACGTATGGTCTTTTTAAATTCGGTATAATAACGGTTACACTGTATTATTAACCGTATGCATCAACCGACCGATCGGCTATCTATATTATAATTTATTTAAAGATAAAGTATAAATATGGCCTATAAAAACACCAAGATTGATTAAATGATCAACATAATTTGCAAAATTAGCGTTATATAATGTAAAATCCCTATAATTAAATAGTAAGTGGTACAGAAACAGCGTACCACGTTTCATTTCTATAGAAGCAGTAAGGCGAGCGTGGTATTTTGCAGCGTGGTATTTAGCCCCTGCCCCTAACTAACATAAGATAGGCTACCTATAGTTATAATTACCTGACTTGGCATATGATTTGATATTAATTTTTATTGAGTCGAAAACTCAAAAGTATGCAATTTAGACAGACTGTCTCACACAAAAGTGAAACATGTCACCAACTAGTTTGCCTACTAAACAATAATGCTCACAGCGTTTTGTAACTACATTAATAGCCATACTATTACTGGAATAAAATTATGTTATTTTTGAGACATTACACTTAGACTTACACACGTTGATAATTAAAGTGAGTTTGTATGGTGAAATCAAAGGGCTTCAATCATTCATAGCTAAAAACAAACACATCTCGTAGCTACTGAGGCACACATAGTGGATTAAGTGAGTAGCAGACTGAGCGGAAGCCTGGAGCCTCCAATAATTAGTGTGTGTGTGTATATATGGGGGTATTTAAAATTGTTTGAGTGTACACTAAATTATATAGATGTAGATTGTACCTAGATAAAGACCAGATGAGGTGGGAAGGGTGACCATTATTAGCAATAAGGCCTATTGTGTGTGATTACTAGACCATGTAGCTGGGATATTTGCTTTTTGTGCCCCCTCTAGAACTTGTTCCTCATCCAAAATCAGTTACTGTTTCAATTGCAGTTTATAATGGGAAGACACAAAACATATGGACATCATAATAATGGACCAAAGAAGACAACTAAAAGAGACAGACATCAAGCTAGAGAGAATAAATTTGATGAAGAAAAATTTAATGAAGACATTTCAACAGTATTAACAAGTAAAACATGAAACATATTGTCATATCAGCAACAATAATGGCAATGGTAAAGAAAGCAATAGATTTAAGATTAAATGCCATCAAAATGACTGTAATACTGGATCTGATTATTCTCTTTAAGCATATTAGTTCAGGAACTCCCTAAAATAAAAGCCAGTCAAAAACAGGAGGGGATGAGCTAATTGCTTAAGGATGTTTTACAAATATACACAAGAAAACTTTGTGTGTTAATCTAATTTGAAGATGCTTTATGTAAGAGTTAAATCTGCATATTGCAGGTCTTTCGTTTGGCCTCAAATGTCATATAAATTATTAATTAGACATTTATTCACATAAGCCCATAATCAACTTCCAGTTGAAATACGATAGCCATTGAATAATTTAATTTGAAAATGGATATCATGACTTTTGTTATTACCGTAACAATGGTACTTCACAAAAATATATTGTGAAAACAATAAAAACTGATTAACCTTGCTCAGAATAAGGTAATTAAACTGAAATTTTCAATACATGTATATTCATTTTTCTTTGTCTATTTTTAAACAATTATGACAAAAATGGTCAGCTCTTTATCTAAATCTTACATAATGGATCTTTAACCTTGTAGAATCAGCTGAAGCTCAGACAACACAGCAGTACTCTCATCAAAGTTTCTCTTATATTTCAATATATTAAAGATACATTATGGGAGATTAGATAAAGAGCTGGCAGTTCTCACTATAATAGTTAAAAACTAGATAACAAAAAGGAATTTGCTGAAAATTTCAGTCAAATTGATCCACCCTGAACCAAGATTTTAGCGATTGAATTTTCGGCCTAGCCTCGATCATCATCGGTACGATGAAAAACATATTCTTGATTATCCATTTCATGATTAAATTATGAATGGAAGTCGAACAGCAAATTAGAACCTAATCCAATAAACATCGCAGGCAAGCTATGACATCAAGAGTTGATTATGGTCTGGATAAGTTAATTAATGTCTGATTAATATTTTAGATAATATTTCAGGCCTCAAGAATGACCTGCTATAGACAGATTTAGCTCTTGCATAATGTGTGTTTAACATTTCAGATGAAGAAAATGGCGAAAGTGGAGCAGCATTTTGGTCCCCAGAAAAGTTTCCATGTCCTCTTGCTATGTGGGATTTTGAACATTGTGATCCCAAAAAATGTACAGGAAGAAAGCTGATCCGATTGGGTTATGTTCGCAACTTAAAAACCAACAAACGGTTTAATGGTTTAATTTTAACACCTGTTGGCACAAAATGTTTATCACCTGAAGATAGGTAAAATTATAAATTAAAAATCTTCTTTACCAGGCATGATTTAAAATTCAGTATTTATGGCTGTAACTTAAAGATGGGTTCCCAGAAAAGTATTTATCGGGTGGTTATTTCCAATAAAAGTATGGTAATTTTGGTATGTATGGAAAGTAGAGATATCCTATCTTACTAGAAAAATACTGGATTCCCCAAAAAACACTCATGGAGCGTATACAGGACAAAAATGTAAGGGTTCCCCTAATCAACAGCCTAACGATTAGGAATTTCTGCACGTGTGATGTCAAAGGTCACACGCGATCATTGAGCGCTTGATGTACAAGTTGATAAACTTTATGAAGAGTTTTACGTACAACACTTCCTGAGATAAAAATCACGGAAAAAGACGTGGGTAGTGGATAATCCGAGAATTTAATTAGGATTCGATATTTGTAATAAATAGTAAGCGATTAAAGACAACATCGTCTTATGTATGCAATGAATTCTCCTCTGACTTCCAAGAGAGGTAAGTCACGTGACGTAAACATGACCTGGTTTGATCGAATTTTTATAGCAGGACATTCCTTCGCAATTACAATTTTTGAGAAGGATTTGAAGCAAAGTTATTACAAATTAATTAGTTTGAATATGTTTTTAGTCCATATATACCATTAAATCACCCAGGTTGTACGCGGGAACCCATCTTTAATGGCTGCTCATTGAATTAAAAAAAAATTGAATCACAATATTTTGTTTTGTTTAGCTTGTATGATGTAAATTGATACGATTTGAAAGGTGGTGGTAAACACCACACAAATTGCATTCTTGACAGCTGCTAAATTTATGAAATGTTGAATACAACATTAAATAACCATTCACTAAAATCGTGGTTAGAAATTTTTTAGTAGGACTATTTGCATTATTTGTCCCCCGCCTTTCGAAGAAAGCAGGGGACTATTAAAATGGGTTCGTCCGTCTGTCTGTCCGTCTGTCTGTCCGTCACACTTTTTGGGACACAATAACTCTCTTCCTAATTGGGCTAGAATGTTCAAACTTGGTGTATGTGTTGATTAGGTCAATGCCTTGATGGAGTTCGAAGATGAGCATTTTCCGCTTAGGGTAAGCAGAGATAAGCAATTTGATTGGTTGATGCTTTGGGACACGATAACTCTCTTCCTAATTGAGCTAGAATGTTCAAACTTGGTGTATGTGTTTATTAGGTCAATGCCTTGATGGAGTTCGAAGATGAGCATTTTCCGCTTAGGGTAAGCAGAGATAAGCAATTTGATTGGTTGATACTTTGGGGCACGATAACTCTCTTCCTAATTGAGATAGAATGTTCAAACTTAGTGTATGTGTTGATTAGGTCAATGCCTTGATGGAGTTCGAAGATGAGCATTTTCCGCTTAGGGTAAGCAGAGATAAGCAATTTGATTGGTTGATGCTTTGGGACACGATAACTTTAGTTCTAATTAAGTGAGATTGATGAAACTTGGTGTATAGTTTCATTACAGTAATACCTTGACTAAGTTTGATAATGAGCATTTTCTGCTCAGGGTAAGCAGAGCGATACGCAATTTGATTGGTCGAGACTTTGGAAAACAATAACTCTCCTACTTTGATTGTCCCCCGCCTAGTTCGAAGATGAGCATTTTCCGCTTAGGGTAAGCAGAGATAAGCAATTTGATTGGTTGATACTTTGGGGCACGATAACTCTCTTCCTAATTGAGCTAGAATGTTCAAACTTGGTGTATGTGTTGATTAGGTCAATGCCTTGATGGAGTTCGAAGATGAGCATTTTCCGCTTAGGGTAAGCAGAGCCGTAAAACGGTGTCGTCTGCTAGAAAGACAAAACGTGATTTATCATCACCCAGTTGTGCAAACGAAACGTCTTTATACAAACTTTTCCTTTTTATAAGCTCGTTTATATAGTTTATGCTTTAGTTCTTGAAGAAGCTTTCCAATGTATTACCCCTGTAATTCCTCCTCTTTTATCTGTACAATATTTTCGAAAAAAATGAAACGAAATCCACTTATGTATACATTTAGGTTACATTATAGCCTACATGTCCCGACTCAACTTGCCACATTACATGTCATAATATTATAACCAGGTATTGATAAAAGCATCAATTGAGCAATTCCAATACAATCCAATACAATGAATATAGGCAAGGTAAATAAACAAATAAATGGAAAAAACAAATTGAAAAAGAAACTATTATAAATTAATTAAATATGTAGTATGCAATAATGAATTGACATTTAATGACAGAAAGAAAACAGTGAACTTTGCACAACTTGCAGCAAGATGGAAAATAGACCCGTTGATACAACCAAACTCTAGATCTGTAGGCATAGAGCATGTTTTCCCCTTAATATGCTATAATTATTCCATCAAAAACATTGTATGCTTAGACTATAAGTAAAGATATACTGTTTGATTGTTCCATACTTTGTAAAAGATAATTTGTGATAAATTTATATGTGTCCTCTAATTATTTTCCTATTTCGGCGGGGGACATCAGCCTCACTGTTGGCTTGTTTAGTTTAATTTGTATTAATGTAAACTATATCTTCAGAGAAATCATTGCTGACAGGGGTGTGGCTGTCATTGACTGTTCCTGGGCTAAATTGCAAGAAACACCATTAGCAAAAATGAAAGGATCCAATGCCCGCTTGTTGCCATATCTAGTTGCAACAAATCCAGTTAATTATGGTAGACCATGTAAATTGTCATGTGTAGAGGCATATGCTGCTGCATTTTATATTACTGGTATGTTTCTTCAAAAAGAATCTCTGTCTACTAAAGGTGTCAAGGACTGAAAAGATTAGTTGACTGGCTAGAGCCTGGACTTTTTATCACTGCTAATACTTGTTTGATGTTCATAGACTATAGACTTTAGCTTTTAAGCAATGACAGATATCATCCAGCATGGGTTAATGCTGTCTGCCAATTTGTTTTTAATTAGCCTAACAGAAGTTTTTGTTGTTCAAAGATGTCAAACTTAAAGGACGATATTGTTGTCAGTCATTATTACATATGTGATAGAACTGGTTAAATACATTCCAAATATAATTTTAACACAAAGATTATTGCTACGGGAGATGTGTAACAAGCACTTGAAGAAACGGGAAGTGACGCCAAACATGACAAACACGAGTTATCCTTCTATACAACTGACTCAAGTAACGAGCGATAACAGACAAACGATCAAATTTCATTTCATTGTATTAGAATTATAACAACTCAATAACTTTTATTGATTTTAGGGTTTAAAGAGTTAGGTAAAATTTTGCTGAAGAAGTTTAAGTGGGGTGGAGAATTTTATAAGTTAAATCGAGAATTGTTAGATATTTATGCTAGTTGTAGTAGTGGTCAAGAAGTTGTGGCAGCTCAACAAATTTATCTGAATAAGTTAACAAGTGAACAAAAGGAAGAAGACAGTTGTAAGTTTGTGTTTTTATACATTCATATTTTAATGTTATCTGTAGGAACAGCTTTCCCTCACAAATTTCTACTGGATATTATTATCTTACCGGGGAGAGCTTCTACTGAAACCACAGTTGTTGAAAACTTCAACTAGAGGCACAATTATTATCTTTCCCACCAGAAATCTGCTGAAACAACAATAGATCTTCTGCTAGAGCCACAATTAATATCCAGTATGTTGAGTTTTGAGCACTCTTGAAGGCAGGTGATCACGGTGGCTAAGTGGGTAAGACGCTGGCTCGCTAGCCTGGAGGTTGGGTGTTCGATCCCTGCATTGGCCGAGAAAGTTCATCCTGATTTTCCAGCGTGGTTTCCCCTTGTCAGTGATGCAGAACGGAGGTAGGGCCTGACAAGGACAGCTGTCTAGTCGTTCGGATGGTACGGAAAACCGAGGTCCCATGTACACATTGGCGTGCATGTAAAAGATCCCTTGGCAGTTGGAATTCGATATAAGAGTAGGCCGTAGCGCCGCTTCCTGGGCAAAATTTCCCTCATAGCACACTGTATGGCGTATGCCTGTCTTCATTTGCCCAGTTTAGGAGCAGAACAGTAGGACGTTAAACCCCATGTCATTTCATTTCTCTTGAAGCCACAATTGTATGAAGACACAGAAGATCTCTTTTTAAATCTGTATAGATTGTTTAGCTACTGAAAGAAAAACTATCAGTTTATAGATTCTCTAGGTGACAGGTTTATTGGAGTGTAGTGAATGTATAATAAAGGAAATATGAGACTAGCAATAGCCCATAACTGACACAAGTGATTTTTTTCCACGCATTAAATTTCTTTACAATACTGTTGAATCTGTTTATGTTTATATGATCCTGATTGTCCAAGTTAATTGTTGCCAATGTTGCCAGTAGTAGAGGGTTTAACTTTCAATGTTATTATTTATTTGCTATACTTACAATGAATAAACCTAACGGAATTAATGTTAAACTAAAATTAAATTTACAGCTATGATGTCTTCAGATCTTGGATTAGAACATTATAACCCCAACAGAAGGGATTTTCCTATATCTAGGTAGGTTTGTATAGCATATAGTTAGTTACAGCATAACTTACAACATCTATGCTCTAGAGATGACATAATTTTATAGATAATAGTCCATAGCCAAGAGATATTTATATGTTTACAGTTGAATATAGTATCTAACTTTTCTGTTACCTTTAATCAAATTATCAACTAACAAATAGTCTTATTATCAACTGGACTAGACATTTGAATTTATTATCTATAAGCTGCATATATAGTCTCAAATACTAATCTCACAAATACTAATAGCTTTCAAAGAAAAGAAGGTGATATCTTTTAAAGTGAATTGTTATCATAGATCTGTTATCAATACAGGCCATGAGTTCTATGCCCTGATTCGGGTACATGTAGCTTAAAGTGACTCATATGTCTGCCACTTATGCAACTTCGATACCACAGTTACACATGACAAGGACTGGGAACTCTTAAGATTCTCTTATTTTCTCCAAGTTCAAGTGCCTTGTGTGAAAGATAAGACATACCTTATGGGGGGTGGGGTGGGGGATGAATGGCCGAATGGTTAGCAGTGCATCACAAGGACTGTCATTGAGTCAACTGGCGTGGTTTCGATTCCCCGGTCCTCCAGTTTCCTCCCACTGCTAAAGACCCCTATGCACATGTGAATTATTGAAATAAAATTGAACCCTGTGTCAGGTGGATGTTAAACCCCATTTCTCTCTCACTTATACCATATGATATTCCAAGTTCAATGCATGGTTAAACCTATTTCTATCTTTTTATCATCTGATTTCAGTTCTTCAGATTCAAGTTCAGATGAAGATAGTGATGATAGTGAAGAGGAGGACTTACACATTAGTGACAAAAATAAAAAGCGTGATATCTGTAAAGATGATACTGATGATGAGGAAACAGATGATGAGGAAGATGCGGATGAAAATCTATTAGATCTAGATGTGAATAATTTATTAAAACAAACTATAGACAATAGAGATAAACTTTCAGAACAGTTAAAAACAGATGATGAGGAAGATGACGATGAAAATATATTAGATCTAGATGTTAATAATTTATTAAAACAAACTAAAGACAGTAGTGATAAACTTTCAGAACAATTACAGTTAAAAACAGATTTATCTAGTTGTATTAAAGATACAAGCTGAGAAAAATATTTGTGTGCTTTTATTTAACTCTGTTTGGATTTCAAATGATAGAAGATTATTCAGTGCCATACAGAAATGATGTATAATCGTAAACCAATTAGTCTCTATTATCAAGAGTGTGTCATTGATATTTCTTGTGTCAAGGATATTTCTTATTCTATCATTGCTCATCTGGAAGGCACAAGAAATTCAGATCACACTATTGAATTATAATATCAAACGAAATTGGTTTATTAGATATACATGATTGACTTTCAAAGGTTTACTAGTAAGCCTGGATCATCGTGGCATATGCATAGTCTGTAATACAGACTCTGTATCCTGTCATTTTCTATCTTACCCAATGGCTAAATAGCATTTGGAGCTGTTTCTCTTTGGGTTTTCATCTGTTTCCTCCCACTGCTAAAGACCACTACGCGCAAGCAAATTATTGAAAAAAAAAATTGAACCATTTATTAGTTCCAAAATGAACTAGTTTGTGTCAAGTGGACATTAAACCCCATTTCTCTCTTACCGTACTCCACACGTGATTGGTATGTGTGTTAATACAGTTATTTTATTGTTTGGGGGCCATGTGTAGTTATGATATTGATCCTGTTCATGCCAAGCCGAAGATAGTGCATCTATACACAGCTAGTGATGATAATGCATGTGCTGCATCACTGACGTGTAATCACTTGAAAACACATCTCCATTAATAAGTTAACTTTTATTAGAGCCAAACTTTGGCTGTGTGGAGCACCTTACATTTTAACCAAATGCAATATATCAATTTTTGGAGTTGCATCCCTTTAATAGATCTACCTCGGGTGGGGGGGTTGCTGAAGAATTTTCAATCTATCGTGTTGTTTTGTTCTGTTTAATAGGATAGTCACCCCGCGATCATCTGATGGCATATTTCTGAAAGCGTGTTTAGGGCTAGTGGGGACATAATACTTTACACTTTAAAAATGCATTATGTAAGATTTAGATCAAGCTGGCCGTTCTTGCTCTAACAGTTTAAAAATAGATAATTCAAAATAAATATATTGAAAATTCCATTGAAATTACTGTATGGATTGGTTATTATTGTAGTAACAATACTTGTTAATCGAGACTCTGCCTCTTTTCACCATTTTTATATGCCCACATTTTCATGTGGATGGATATATCCGTCGCCCCTATCCATTTGGACGTCTTTCCATCCACAATGTGCTTCATGAATTATGTCCCCCGATTTTGCGAAAAATCGCTTTTATTTTTAGCAATGTTATCTGCCCATCCCTTGCAAAATGTGGGCGTATCTTGTATGGCAACTGCTTGTTAAATTAAATTATGGCGATAGTGTTTCAATCCATTTAAATCTCGGCCATTGGATGGTCTAGAGCAGGGGTGTGAAACATGCGACCTTATCAGCCCACAAAGGGTTTAAATGTGGCCCGTCGAACAAATTTCAACAAACGGACGTGTTGATAATTCTTAGAATCTAGTGGTGGAAATCTTTTATTACTGTTTTCCAGTTTCAGTCAAACTCTTGACTTCTGTACTGTATGTCACAGATATCTAAGTTGTATGTAATACAAGAGAACTTGTTATCAATATTACTTCGTTGGCAATTTGGAAATCAGTCTTAAAAATTACCTGTGTCAGGGACGTTTGGCTTTGTTTTCAGAACTAAGTAAAGTTGAAGGACGTTTGGCTTTGTTTTTAGAATTTTTGTATATCCCTGGCACACTTGATGAAAATTTTAGTTCATGTTGCCCCTGAATCGAAATGAGTTTGACACCTCAGGACTAGAGAATTTAGCTCTTACATAATGCATCTTCAAACATAAATTATGCAAGAGCTAAATCTGTCTATTGCAAATCTTTCTTTAAGCCTGAAATGTTATCTAAATTATTGATTAGACATAATTAACTTATCCAGACCATAATCAACTCTCGATGCCATTATTAGCCTGCAATATTTACTGGATTTGAATACATTTTGTGATGGATAATTTAACATAAAAGTGGATAATCGAGACTTTGTTTATTATCACACCAAAGTTAGTAATGACGTTCAAGGCTAGCCAAAAATTGAATCGCTAATATCTCGGTTCAGAGTGAAGCAATTTGACAGAAATTTTCAGCATATTCTGTTTCCATTATCTATTTTTTAACTATTATGGTGAAAACTCTCACTATATTCACAGTGTCTTCATGATTACAGTCAAGATGGATACTACCCATCTACCTTGAATAGCACCCTTATCTCAATTTTTGTAAAAAATGTGGGTTATCCGGTTCATGCATGGTGCCACAGAATTCTACTTAATAAAAGAAACTCAGCAATGTATAGGCCTAATTAATCTTCCTTACTATGAAAGTTTCTAGGGAGGCCGAATGGTTAGCGCGTACACGTTGTATCATAAAGTAATTGAGTCAACTGGTGTAGTTTCGGGTCGTCTGTCCAATCTTGTGAGTTTTCTCCAGGACCTCCAATTTGCTCCCACAGCTAAAGACTCCTACACGCAAGCGAATTATTGAAATAAAATTGCACCATATTATGTTAGTCCCGAAATGACCTAGTTTGTGTCGAGTGGAGGTTAAACCCCATTTATCTCTCTCTCTCTCTCTCTCTCTCCACTTGACACAAACTAGGTCATTTCGGGAGGTCCCATTTCTCTCTCTCTCACACACTCACACACACACACAAATTATGTGAAAGTATGAAATGCTTGTGGACCCTCTGTCTAGTCTCCTAGAGGTCATAATTTTTATCCGATATTGATGAAACTTAAAATGTATGTTTATATTCCAAAGATCTCGATTCCTTGCGATGTTCGCGCTTATCGGTTCGTATCTTCCTGGATTACGGCTCCTGAATGTATGAAAAATCAGTTGTTTTTTGGGAGGTCTTGGCCGGGCTGAGTCATTTGCCCATTTTATCGACATTTTAATATTTTTGGGATAGTAAATGGCAATTGACAGAGAAAGAAAGTTGGATGTATATTAAATATTCATTATTGTTGACTTTGATTAGTTTAGGAAAAGTAATAATAAGAGAACAGGAAATATTTTGTGTGGTGACTCGTCCGCGACAGATTACATATCAAATTCACAGTTATTTGCTAGGAAGAAAGTAACTGAATATTGAAGGGAAGTACTATTGTGTAACTGTAAAACGCGATTGAAACATTTACGTTTCCCCCAAAACTGTATAGATAATAACTGTAGAATAATTATTCTGAACCCCCCGAAGCCAAGCGGGGGCAGTGCCTCCCACCCGAAAAAAAATTGCCGGCCATAGTTCTAAAATACCTACTGTTTGTAATAGACAGCAGTCAGGGATCATCACATGTTCTGACATCTATCTGCCATATATCTTGTACTGACTTGTCGTGGGGCCCCTCTCTTGTCACTGTGTATGTAATTCATTGTTCAGAGTTCGCTTGAGAACGATTTTCTAGGATGGAAAACGTGTTCGCGGCCCTCCAATTTTCCGGGGGAGAAACGAGAACCAGTGACGGATCACGGTAAGGACAACAGAGGTAAAGGGGTCCGGCAATTTCGTGACAAAAAAACAAATTTTTTATATTTCGTAGAAAAAATTAATGAAGACCTATTTCCCCAAAATTGTGAAACATAGTTGTCTTTTTCGGTGAGTTTTGAAATTATTAGGTAGGGGGACTCCAAGGGGTGTCTGTCAGTAAATTGATATCAAATATTCCATGATGGGTGGGTTGGCAGCGCGAAGTTGATACCAGAACTGAAATATTCCGTAACCCGAAATATTATATCTAGTTGACAGGTAGCGAGCGGTCTTGTTAATTGTCCAATATTTACGTCGGGCCCCGTTTCTCATTCAACCAACTCGCTTGACAACAAAAATCGTGAACCGATGTCATCGGTCCCGGGCTGGCCCATGTACTGGTAAAATGCACACTTTTCTGGAAATTTAAATTCCCTTTAGTTCTTTTTGTTAAAAAATGTATTGGTCACCTGGGACCGGTTGCTTAAAACTAAGTTATTTTAATGATTGGTTAAACTTTAACGGATCGTTATCTTGCAAAGTGTCGTTTGTTAACGGTCCGTTAAATTTGTGTTCCTGGGAAGTCAATTTCATTATCCGTTAATTTATGGGCTGGTTTAAGTTAATCCAAGAGAAGACTGTTTGTTCATTGGCTGAATTTTAAAATAATTTTAAATTTAATGTACGTGCCGAAGTGATGTTTCTAGGGGTTGTATAATTATTCCAACACTAACGACGAAAACTCAGATAAATAGTTAAAATTGTAATTTTAATAAACGATGTACAAAACTGGCTAACGGTCACAATAACGAGATAGGTATCGCTAGGGCGAGCCGGTCACCAGACTAAAGTTACGGTAGAATATAGAACCAGGGCCTATTTTAACGTGCCTCGAAATGAAAAATCCGTGCTTGGAGAATCTAAAATTCATGCTTTGAAAAGATGGTATAATGGTATGTTATGTATCCTTGTGAATCTGAAAAGATCGCATGAAGAAATTTAGCAAGTGTGTCATTAACAATCATTGTGATCATCAATCAATGCGTTTGGTTTCGATTCAATTTCGTGGATTGTATGTACATGTCGAAAAATAAAGCAGTTGTTGACGCAAGTAGTCAGCTGCATGTTACAGTAAAGGTTCGTCTGCTTTTGGGCGTTTCTCTGGACTGCCAATGATACTGATACGCAGCTATAAATACAAATGTCAATAGTATGCAAATTTTGATTTAGGCCTCAATTTTTGACCGCTTTAGATGCTGAGGATCAAAAGATCTTGGTTGAATACGATTTTGGTGCACCTGCTTGGATTATCATGGCCTTACATACACAGAGCGTAACAAAGTTTGTGAGCTTTATATTGTGACGAATTGAGAACACGGGAGCAAGAATCATGCCGATAATCAGCATTCCGCGACCTTCTGTTCCGAAGTTAAGCCCCCTGGAAAACCTTGTGGAAACGACAGGGACTTGCGTTTTAACCGTATTTTATTTTTTCACATTTAATGTGAAGCATTGGGGTCATGAGACGACAAACCCCATCAAGTTACCAAACTTTGCCAAAAACCTTGTGAACGCGATATATTCGATGTGTAGTATTGGGACAATAGGTTGAGCCCTATCGATTTTCCCTGTTCCCTATCCATATCTTACAGAATCTCGGCGTATCGTGTATGCCAACTGCTTGTTTTGTTTTAAAAGTGTAAGCGTGGTGATAATTCAGGAAGTTTTTATTTCACTTCTGGTGAGCCTTTTGGTCACAACTAATTTGGTCACGATTTCAGAAGGTTTATTCCAACACATAAGAGCTAATAACGGTGATGGAAGAAGCTAAATTGAGCTACCCAGTTCTGTGTGGAAAATCGTGAGTCACATTTTGGAAATTTTGTCGGAAACCAAAGGGGGGAAACCCAGTCAAAAAACTTCCATCTCCGGAAACCGTGCTTCGTCAATAAAACCTTAAAATAGGCCCTGTATAGAACATATATATACAAGCTTAGGATTAAAATAATTATATAATAATATTTGATCAGAGATGTTAAATTGTACATAGGAAACAGATGTTTAAATACAGACGAAGATATCCACATATGGTTCATTCCCATATCGCCGACCCACCGAGTTTTAGGGGGAAAATTTTGGTCGACGTTATGGGAATGAGTGGCCAAAACAATAGACCCAAGCTGAAGGATAAACCTCATTAAGCAGATAATTTTGGGAGCATCTATTTTCTATTTTTTTTTTAATTTACAACAATCTTTAACACATAACATAACACATAATAGATTCAGTCTTCCTTGTTCATATCTATGCTTGCAATCTTCAATCTTCCTGTTGATATCGGTGTTGATAGTCGTGATTCTTTCTCTTATTCACTCTATACTTAAAACCGCCAACACAAAGGTACCTGCCACGTTTTGCTGTAGGAATATACTTAGATTGTGACTGTGCATTAGCCATCGTAAAGAAATGAATATGAAATGCCTTGGAATGATTTACGTATTTACACTTATTGAGAAATAATCACAATGAACTGAATTTCGATCACCTGTCAGCTTCATGTTGAACTGCAGCCTATTATTTTATTAATTAATGAGTGAGTTGAATTGACAAAATCCAAGTTCATGTAATTTAAGTGAACTATATTCATTTTATTAATGTGAGTAAGTCGACTTCTGATAAAAATCAATTTCAGTGAACTATATTAATAATGACTGCGTCCCTGCCTCATTAACGCTTTTAATCCGTTTTAATCCCATCAAAGGGTGCCGCGGTCGACTTTCCAAAACTCGGGGGGTCGGCGATATGGGAAGACCCCCCCACATACCAAGAACGCATGTTAACTATAATTACGTAATATATATAGAGGATATTTGTCGTTTTAGAGTGAATAACATATTTTATTTCATCGAGAAGCAAGAAAACTTATATTTTCACGAATGCGTAGCATGAGTGAAAATATAAACGTTTTCGTGCTTAGAGATGAAATAAAATATGTTATTCACGACAAAACGACAAATGTTCTATTTATTTTATGATTTTACAATCATTTTAGGTAAAAACAACATGGACTACTGCTAGCCAGTGGAATAACACTTTTATTTCACTGATAAAACGCGGTATTCCACTACTGATCATAAAATAAATCGTTATATTAAGTATAAACCCAAACAGGAAATTAGTATTAACAAGACACTGAAGACAGTGGAACACTGTGCAGTCTCTTACAAAACTTGATTAAAGACAAAAATATAACTGTAGAATTTACTACAGAAAACACTATTAAAAAAACCCTATAGAATACTTTATTTAATCCTTTAGAAATTTTAGCATAAATTTGTTGGAAAAATCATGGGATTTGCACTACAGAACTGTAGAATATTTGGGGCCATTATTTGCTACAGGGCCCCAAACCGACTTTCCGTTAAAGGTAACGATTTATCAACTCCATGTCAACGGGTCGTTAAATGTTAACGGAGCTTTGAACAAGTGGCCCCTGGGTGTCTCATTCGTGTTATAACCTTGTGGTAGGACGTTAAACCCCATTTTTATTTCATTTCACTTTTATAACCTTGTGTTTAAATCACGATGTAAATGTAAAAGGCTTATATAATTGTGTAGATCCGATTAAAAATGTGTTACAACCAGTGCTTATTTATAACCTTTCTTAAACACACAATAATTATAGTAGATCTTCAACTTCTGACATTTTTAAACTGGAAAAAGATTATTGATCGGTGACGCGTGTTTTTATTAAGTAGCCTGCATGCAATGCCGGATTTACCATTTGGCAAATAAAAATGAAATGAAATGAAATGGAGTTTAACGTCCTACTGTTCTGCTCCTATGCTGGGCTAATGAAGACGGGCATACGCCATACAGTGTGCTATCTATGAGGGAAATTTTGCCCGGGCAGCGGCACTATCGCCTACTGTTATATCGAATTCCAACTGCCTAAGGATCTTTTACGTAATGTATACACGGGACCTCGTTTTTTTGTATCATCCGAAGGACTAGACAGCTGTCCTTGTCAGGCCCTCTGTCCTGTATCACTGACAAGGGGGAACCACGCCGGAAAATCTGGATGAACTTTCTCGGCCAATGCAATGATCGAACACTCGACCTCCAGGCTAGCGAGCCAGCGATTTACCCACTTAGCCACGTGATCTCCCATCTGTTAAATAAGGAACGTGCCTTGAAGGAACGTGCCTAAGCGCCAGCCAAAATCCAGGCCATAAATAAATAAAGTAAAAAAAAAAAGTTGTAATCTATAGATGCTGTAATCTTATAGTAATAACAGTACTGTCAAAATCATTGGTTCTGGAAATTATACGAAATATTTTACGAAAATCATCATTAATCATCATTGAGGATGTAAAATATAAAGGAATTAAATACTTCAAAAAATGACTGAATAATTAATCGACATGGATATCATCTTTCATCGTATTCTGGTCTAAGAAAACTACAAGTCAGTAAATGGTAGAGGGTTTTTGGCCGTATATTCCCGGTTCATAATTTTATCGAAATATTTCAGAAATAATATGAAGTGATCGTAGATTTTATAATTGCGTATAGGTCCTTGATAGCCTAATAGGCTTACTTATTATAATTAGGAGTTACTAATTCCTATTTATGTATATTTTATGCCCTATTCCTAATCCGAAGAAAGAGTCTACTATAAATACCATAATTTTAAGCAGGTGCCGATTACATTTTATACTATTTCCATAATTACGGCGTTACGACCCTTCCTCGGAGTTTTGTAAAATCATTATGTAAATTATAATTCAAAAGGATCAACGTTTCAATCACCTTTGTTTCGGGAAATAGCCTAATATCAACTAATACTATAGAAAATATAAGGCTCCGCGATTGCATGAAGGCAACATTTACATGTACACAACTTTTTGTGTAAAGCGGTCAAGTCACGTCACGACAGTAGATTGTCACACAATCTAAAACGATATTTGTATTCTAAAGTACAGGTGCCCCTTGAACTTGGACCATACCGCGCAACTTTGAGCACCTGTTTAAAGTTATTATCTCCCCTGTAACTATGGAAGTACCGTTATAATCCAATTGTAATAAATAGACACTGTCACATGATAGATGTAATGGTCGTTATGTTTATCGAGGTATCCAACGAGTTATAATAGCTTGATAACAACATATTGTCACACCAACAACTGTCGAAGAAAGTCTGTTTGCAACAGCACGGTGTTTAATTAACACGCCAAAAAAAACCGTATGTATGGATTTTATGACCTGTGCATAATTAATGTCATAATTTTATTAATTCATTTTGGAATATTTGTATCTGACGCATTTGATTAAAAATCAATTTTGACTTATTTAAATCAAGTAGTTGTACGAAAAAAAATATAAGATCTTTTCTGATAGATTTGACATCTTGGTCATATTTTATTTATTTTTTTTTATCATGTGTATATTTCATTTAATCACGAAGAATGTTATTGGAAAATAGAAAATCATGTAATTTTAATTTATAAGCCATAATTTTGTATATTGGTTTATTTTTTTAATCAAATATGGTTCTCTTCACAAGTAGTTGCAGGTACTTTAGTGCAAAACCATTAGTCAATGGCCTAAACATGGCACATGCAAGTTGTAGGCTACTTGGAATCTTAACTGTTTTTTTAAAATGGTTATAATATGAAATGACTTTTCTCATGCATGTAAAATTGAACAATTTTAAGTAGTTCAATAAAAAAAAATGTACCTCAATCAAATGATTATATAACTTATGATCAAGACTCAGATAGTTATTCTTATACTAATTAGGCTTGATAGATTAGGATAATCTATCCAGTTGTAATCATATACAGATTATCATACCTAACATGTTACCTGCTGAACAGTAAGATAATCCCAAGTAAATCAATATAGTCCAACATGTATTGGCATGTTGCGTACACTAAACGTTTTTTTTCCCCACATTTCTTTGATTCAAAATTGATTTTGGTTTACTTTTAGTTTCAAGATGACTGATATACCAGCACGGACAATACCAAGGGGCCCCATAGCTGCCATGTACAACAGTCCTGGGCCACAATATGGTTTACCAGGCCTTGTTGGTGAAATAAACCATGACCCCCGTAGTGTGCACACTAAGAAACCAGCTTATTCCTTTGGTTTAAAGCATGGAAAATACAGGGATGACTGTGGACCTGGACCTTCATATTTACTAAGTAACAGAGTATTCAGAGATGGTCTGGTTGGAACTCCTTCTTATTCCTTATATGGTAGACATAGAGACCAGTCATCGTATAAAACCCCCGGACCAGGAACTTATAAACCAAGTAGTTTAGCTGACGGTTCCAAACCCGCTCCTCCTAGTTATTCTTTCGGTTCAAGACACAGAAACCGCCAAACAGATAATTGCCCAGGTAAATACCCTCATCCTATAATAATAATAGACATCAAAGGAGAAATGTACAGCAAAACATAGTATTAACAAAAAATACAGTGTAGGCAGCACAATTAGATACATTGAGCTAATAAGCAGGGTTCTCTCTTCAAAAATTTGGCCACCCAGTGTACCCAAGTATAGACATAATTTTTCAGGAAATATGACAATTTTTTCGTATTTTCTTGATTTTAAAAAACAGTATATAATTGTTTTTATCTAAAATCTCAGAAATTTAACTGTATTGTTTGTGAATGCTTTAAAATACATCAAGATGGAATATCAGTTGACTAACAGGTAAAATATCAGTTGGAATATCAGTTGACTAACAGGTAAAATTTGTTCACCAGTCAATTTCCCCAAGAATTGGCATAGATTCTCAAATGTTACGATTTTTTAAGTCCAGTACTTGATAGTGTGGGCTGTTTACTTGCTGACCATCTTAGTTTGATAGATTTATAGCTAATCTTGTTATTAACTTCTGAGTCAGAGATATATCTGTGTAGACATCCTTTCATTACATGGGGTGATAACCTAATCAAATTGGCTAATACAAGGGAATAACTTCCTCACACCTATTACAGTCTTTCATTATTGATGATTAATTGAACACCATCAAGATAATAAGATCATTCATTAAAGTATATATTACAGGGTTTGTATCATGCTAGATTTTATACCTAAATTCAGATGCATACATGGCTAATATTAAAGCTAAAATGTTTAGCCATAAAAAAAAACTGGCCATGGGTACAAATTAAGCGAAGAAATTCACTCTAACCTAAAATGATAAACATGTTCTCTATTTCGTTTAAATTTTATTTTAGTACCCACACAAATATCTGAACAGTTTTCAAGGTTATTCGAATAGAGTTTTTTGTATTTGTTATTTTTGTCAGATTTTTGTCTTATGGAAATTAATGATATTAATTCTATGAAATCAAATTAATATTCAAAAATAATAATTTAAAAGGTTCACCATTTCCAGATATCAGACAAAACAAATTTAATCAATTGAATTAAAGCCAAGTCAGCATTTAATGTGACTGATATTTGATAAGAGTACAATAATATTTTTAATTATTTTATCGCTATTTTTTTTTTTTACTAGGACCAAATGCATATAATCTTCCAACAATGATAGGACCTTGCAAACAGGGTGGAAAATCTGAGGCACCAATGTATTCATTAACAGGGCGTAGTAAAATAGGCAGTTTTCATGAAGATCTACAAAAGGTAATTACACCCCTCCCCCCAAATGTCGGGCAACCCGACTTTTCGGGCAGATGGGTAAAGTGAAAAAAAAATTAATATACCATCTGGTTGGCCAAATCTAATAAAACTCTAATTTTACTTTTCTTTTTATTGAATACCGCAAATTTGTACTGAATTGACTATAGATTAAAACATTTTGTCTGGAGCCACTCTGCTTTGTGCAACATTTTTCGGGCATCGCTATTATTTGTGAATGCAGATTGGATGATCAAACGGGATTTCGGTAACAATACCAATGGACAACAGTTAAATTGGTAAATTTTTTCGAGTAGGGCGATACCACAGCTCCGTGGACTAAATGACTGATTGTTTGTTTGGAATTCAAAAGAAATGAAATAAAATGAAATGGGGTTTAACATCCTACTGTTCTGCTCCGAACTGGGCTAATGAAGACGGGCATACACCATACAGTGTGCTATGAGGGAAATTTTGCCAGGACAGCAGCACTACAGCCTACTCTTATATCAAATTCCAACTGTCAAGAAATCTTGAATCGGTTTTTCGTCCTATCTAAATGACTAGACAACTGTCCTTGTCAGGCCCTCTGTCCTGCATCACTGACAAGGGGGGAACCACACTGGAAAATCTGGATGAACTTTCTCGGCCAATGCAGGGATTGAACACCAGACCTCCAGGCTAGCGAACCAGCGTCTTACTAACTTAGCCACTGTGACCCCCTGTTTGGAATTCAGGTCAGTCACCTGGGTAAGTTAGGTTATATTGAACCACATTGAAGTTGCTGTATATACGGACTGGAATAGCAGGAAAACATGTTTGCGGCTGTTAAATTTTCAAAATTTTCTCCCAACAGTTGCATCTCCGTGGATTGTAAACGGTTGATTGGAATTCAGGTCAGCTACAGAATTTATAGGCTATATAAGACCACTTTGAAGTTGCGGTATTCACAGGCTAGAACACTCGTTTATGCAGCCGTCAAATTAAATTTTCCAAATTTTCTAGGGGAGGCCTGCACAATCTGATTCAAACACAGATCCAATTTCGTTTCGTTTTTTATAGTTCAAAATTTCGTTTCACTTGTCTTTACTTCTTTACTACACTAGGATCTGGAAGAGTTGTAAAATAAACCACGTTCTGGATGATGTGAGGGATTAGCCAATAAAATGCGAATTTTTGGCGTGAGGCGCACAGAACTGTGGGTAACCCACTAGAAACATCAACACTGATTGGATAATCAAATGTATGACGGCATAGGATCAAAAGCCACTCGTATGGCCCCCGACGCAAACTTCCGCTACAACCGGCAGAGCTTCATGTAGTAGAGGCAATCGAAAGTATAAAAAAAACGAAATATAGATCTGTATTTTAATCAGATTAATCTACGCCTTCTGTAAATGGGAATTTTTTCAGGCTCTATAGGTCTGCCCCCCGGAGGGGTGAGGGTGAGGGGGAATGGCCGAATGGTTAGCACACCGCGCTGTATCATAAGGTCTGTCATTGAGTCAACTGGCATGGTTTCGATTCCCCATTTGTGTCGAGTGGATGCTAAACCCCATTTCTCTCTCACCCAGGTCTGCCCCCCTAACATTGGACTTGCACTTGAACCTCCTACTACATTATATAACAGAAAAAAAATCTAATTTGTTGGTAAGTGGTAACAACAACTTTCTGTCTCATTCATTAAATGAGAAAAAAAAAGTCTGAGTTACAGCTTTCTGGTGCAAAGATCTTGTAATCCTGTATAAGTCCCAAAAGCCCTATAAAATTGTTATGTCCAAAGTTTTGATAGCAGTTTAATTGTACAGCTATTTACGTATAGAGATTAATGGTAGCTGTTCTTAGGGTTGTTTTAAATGTAAAAGGGTCTATTCTAGAAAAGTCCCATGCAAATATTTACAAAGTCAACTTATTGCTGTGTTTGTTTGAGAGCTAAAATCTATGTGTTAGCCCACAAACCATTATGAATGTGTACCATTATGTATATAAAGCAATTCAACTGAGACACCAAGTCTAGCATAACCATGCTAACAAAGTATTGCAATGCAAAATTTCCATTTTCTTATCATTTCTAAACATAAATATATTTTTTTAAAATGTTTCTGATATATTTAAACTTGAAATTTGTATATTATTTTTAATAATCTGAATATATCTACATATTACCATTTTTTTTATGTACTATAACATGTTATGTAAATGAATTGTATGCGGATTGCGGCCTGAAATGGATTTGAGATACAATAAAATCTTATCTTTTCTAATCAGGTCACCCATTTCCATAATTTTATTATTTGTAATGGTTTACCTAGTTTTTCTTTAACACTAAGATTTGACCTTTTGTTATGTTTATTCTGATTTGTCTACAACTTATAGCACCACCCACCCCCATGGCAACTATTAAATACATTTTGATCAAACCTCATCATGTTGGAACAACAATTAATTTTGATTTTCATACTTTTTTTCATGGTAAATTTGTTCTTTATAGACACCAGGTCCCAGTCATTATCCAGTGGTAAATACAGGTGTTTATAAAAATAAACCACCAGGTTATAGCATGACGAGTAGAAATGCAATGCCAGGTGATTCAACAACTAAACCAGGACCAGGAGTTTACAGTCCAGAAAATGTAAGTTTCACACCATCTCATTGTACCTTTCTCCATCAGTTTGGTGTGGTGTTTTCCCAGTGTCAAATTCCTGAAAATATAAATAAAGTCAGAAATAATTTATCCCATCACAATTCCTGGGATGTTGTGTTTGCTTACAAATCAAAGAAAGTGCCCAAAATATCATATACTATGATAAAATTAAATAAAACTAAAATGCCAAATGCCAGTTACCAGAAATGCTTAGCAGTTATTTTGGAGAAAATTCATTTGATCCATGTTTATTGTTTTGCTTTGTTTCAATAATATTTATTTATAGGTAAGACTTTGTTGCGGAAGTAGAGGAACATCATTTGGAATACGTCATTCCCAATATGCAGGCACTTTTTTTGATAGATCAGAAGATTGAGACAGATATTAATTATTAAATCAAATCAGTATGATGATTTTTTAAAAAGTTATATTTAGATTCTTTAGTAATTCAATAGGATGCAGACCAGTTATGCTTTAATAATACAATAATAGCATAAAGGAATACTGTTAGTATTTATTCCTTTAATACAATAGCAATAATCATTTCAACTCTATTCCTAAATTATCAGACATATTAGAAACTGATATCCAAGTACCAACCAATATTTAGTTAAAGGGATTATTAGCCAAACCGACAATTAAATTCTATTTAGATAGTGCTTTATAAATTTGACTACATAAGCAGAGACCTAATTCAGCATTAAATATTAATAAAAATGGTTGCCACATTAACCATGTAGTAGGCCTATATATTTTTTTACAATTTTAATAAATCAATTGAATGGTTAAAATATAGAACCAATCAAGTTCATAGTAACAGCAGCTAGTTCAAATTAAATAGTGAACTAGTGACTGTTAATAAAATCTAACATTTAATTTAGAACTTTTTTTTTTCTTATTTTATTTTGCTTATAATAAAGAGTAGTGCTAGTAAAACCCTCTTTAAACCATGTATTTCAGCTAACAATTCTTAAAAAAAAGAATTATTATGTAGGTAATATCTTATGATAGCCTACATGTTGGCACTATCTACTATTGGTATATATATTACTGTTTGGTAACAGTAAAATTAATTAAAATGCTAGTCAGATTCCCTAATCCCTCATTATAATCATCTCATTATCTTGATTATATCTTGACCTATTCCTACTTTTTATTAGAATTCATTTATCAACAATCTGCTACTGTGGTGAACCGGGCATTTTATTGGTCATCAAAAATTGATTCTGTTAGTTTCAAACGTCTGTATACAAGAAAAACATGTTACACAGTAGCTATAGGTCATGTCATATTGATGATGTGTGAATAAGAAGATATTAACTGAGAAGATTTTTGGTTATAATCCTGATTAATCACTTTTTGTAGCAATAGGTCAAGTTATAGCTAATTATTGATAATATGTGGTAGCTATGACAATATAGATTTCAGTCTTGAGGGCTTTGTTGGGTTTTTTTAATAAATGGTTAGCTATTCAGATTTTCCAGTGGTAAAATAGGGTTAGCTATATTATAGCCACAATGTTTTTTAATTCAAATAGTGATGCAATTTACATTCAAATTTGAATGGATACCCTATTTGGGTGGTGTTTTACAGATTTTTTTAGCAGGTAGTAATATGTATTTTTAAAACCATCTTAAATTTCAGGTTGAGCTTTAGATTTTGTTAATTTGAGATTTGGAATGTATTGGATTATCAATAAAAAAAACTAGTTCTTTGTAATCATGAACTATTTTTAGTAAAACTACCGATAAATGTTGCCGACATGCTAGGTAAAAGATTTGTAGAGGGCATCAATGTTTTTGAAAAACATTCAATAATCATTGAAGAAATAATAAACTATTTCTCTATTTTGACAGATATGGGTCCACAGGAAACAACAACCCAGATTTTCGTTTGGTATTCGTCACAGCCCGTATACAGCACCACTCATTGTAGATGTACAGGATTAATGAGGATAACCCTTGATAAAACTATTAATGTATTACTAAACCAATAGTCCATCATCTTACCTTGATTCCTACGCATTTGTGTCCTTCAGTGTTTCCTTCTCCTTAACTACTCAATATTAAATGATAATTTGTTTTTTTACAATTTTCTTTAATTTCTTGTTATTTTCTTTATTGATTTGCAGATATGTATTTTAATCTTTAAATCTTGTTGAAATGTATAGAAGTGTTAATTTTTTATATAAATTTTTTTAATGATTGTGTCTTATCGAGCTATACCATAACAGCATTATTTTAACATGAACCTTTCTGATACCTGAAAATACTAATATATATAAGTTATATCATTGATGGTTGTTTTTGTTAAATTGAATGTGATAGTTCATTAATTATTATCAATCTGATTAAAGCCGATGTTTAGGGTTTTGTAGGATTCGTGGGGGTGGGGGTGTCTACTATATTGCCATTTGACATATATTCTTTGAAGCCATTGTCCAGACCACATACACTCATTGTCTGTATTGGTATGCAGGTCTGCAACTTGAAGTTAATTCTGGGAATTTCAACATTCAAAGATATGAGCATGACTTTAAGGTTAAAGTATGATTGGCTTGTTGTAAATAGAAATGGCTGTGATATATTTGCCTATTCCCCATAGATATTCCCAGTGTGTAATAGATATGGAAGAATTTTAACAGAAGATAAAATAATTCAGGTAGCAAGCAATTCCAATCTAATTAAAAGTATGTTAAATTTCAATGTTGTGTAACAAAACAATAAATGAAATGAAATTGTAATATAATTTTAATAAGATTGGAATTGCTTGCTACCTGAATTATTTTATCTTCTGTTAAAATTCTTCCATATCTATTACACACTGAGAATATTAATGGGGAATAGGCAAATATATCACTATGTTTTAATTAACAATTAACACACTAATATTGAAAATGCATGGGTGCAGGGTATATTTAATTATAAAGCATAATTTTTTTTATTTAGATATTAAGTAAAGAGTTGTGCGGTTAATTTCAAATAGATCTAAGTAAAACTAAAACATAACTAAAGTATATGTACATATAGCTTTAATATTTTGTGAATTTAGCAAAATTATGTTGGCATTTGTTAGAAGTATTTATACTATATGCAAGCACAATACTATAACTGTAATATTAATCCTTTAGAATATGATGACAATTAGTGCTAATAACTTTTTCTGAATAGGTTCAGCTTTTAGGACACACCAATTTTGTTTTTTGTTTCACAGGCCTGCTATTGTTAATATTCACAGAATTAAAACAAAAATAAAACTGAAATTTTCACAATTGGAATATTCTGGCAGTTGTATTTCATCCAGAATAAGTAGAAATAGTACTACAGTGCGAAATCTGTGGAATACAAGTTTTTAATGATTGAAATAATAGTTTAAATTGTTATTTTTGCTACCAATAATATAAAAAAAAATGAGAAAACGAAAATCAAAGAACTAAAACATCACAGTATTTTGTTCACTTATCCTTTAAGACCTATACTGCATATTTGAAATAATTTTGATTGTCACTCCTGAATACACAAAATTAATTTTGTGTGGCCTTAGGTATTAGATGGGGATGGAAGAGCATGCCAAAATATCTCTATTTGGAAACATTAAGTGTCTTCTTTTTTCTAGCTAAATATAAATCACAGGATAAATAGCTGTCTCAAATTTTGATATGAAGCGGGTTATAGATCAATACTCACCACATTTACATCTATTTAAGCCAAAGAGTATCATTTATAGTACTATAGACGCTATTTATGTACATGTATTGAATAAGTGGTATCAGTTACAGCTAATACTTGATTCATTTTAAGATGCAGAGCTTCATTTCTATAACATTGCTAAATGTTTTTAAGCTAAAAGATTCTTCAATCAGTATTATTGTACATGTTCTAGCCCCAAAATAATTATAATTTTATATACATATATTGTAATATTTGGAAGGCTTATAATATATATATATATTGTTCAGTAATCCTATATTTTATATAATATCTTTAGCCAACTTGTAGATATATAAATATACAATTTGCTAGAATATATAGTTATATGTGTGTGAATTAATCTTTGATAAAACTATACAAAATAATACTTTTATTGCTATCATATTATTTTATACATATTTGCTCAACCAAAAAAAGGTGATATTATCCTGGTGTGTCAACAGTATTAAATCATTTAAAAAAATAATTAGTCTAAAATCATTGGTGTAAGAAGGTGAGTTAAAAACAAATATGCAAAGCTGAATGAGATTTTACCATAAAACTTTTACATATTTTAATATTTATTAAAATAAATAATAAGTATGGACTTCACTCCCTTCACTTCCTATATCTACTAAACAGCAAAAGAAACGTCAGGTTAGTATGTTACTCTGAATAGACGCATTGCATAAAACTTGCCAAATGTTTTTATTGTATATTTGTGACCACATCTCCCAAACACAGAATTGAACCCAGAAAATGTTCTCAAAAACACAACATGACTTCTGAGATGCACACGCTGTTTACCGGGACCAGCCCTATAAAATGCACCCCCATACCTGGTTGAATCATTCCATTCACACTATACAACATCAGCAGTATGGAACGACTCACGACAGCTCAGAGGAACCAGGCGCTTGTAAGACTCGACGCTGGCCACACTGTCCAAACCGTTGCCCATCACTTCCAGGACAATGTTCGGACCATCTACAGGCTTCACCAACGCTTCGGGCCACCAACACCACGGATGATCGCCCCCGAACTGGTAGACCAAGGGTTACCACAAGGCGATATGTCAGCCATGTTGTGCGACAGCACGTGCGGAATCCTTTCACACAGGCATCTGAGACAGCACGTCAGACACACATCGCCCGTGCCCACACCGCCAGAGATACTCGGGACTTTCTACAGCAGAACGGTGTCAACATTATGAACTGACCAGCCCTTAGTCCGGACTTAAACCCGATTGAACAACTTTGGGATGAAATTCAGAGGAGACTTAATAACGTTGTACCGAGACCAAACACAGCCGATGGATTGCGCCAGGCTTTTCTGAGATTGTGGTTCCAGGTGCCACGCCATGTAGGCTACAGACGCCAGAAAATTTTGAAAAAACAGGTTGCCGGAAATGCGGCCTGGCAGTATTTCAGGCACTGATCGATGAGGTAAAGTGTCAAACGAACGGACTTGCGAATCACGACGAAGCCCATTCACGAGCGTCAAAGCAGGGAGTCCTCCCCTAGAAAATTTTGAAAAATAGACTGCCGGAAATGATTTCTTATAGTATTCTATCAGGCACCAATCGTTGAGATAAATAGATCTGCCCAGATACCGTTCGTCGCCTGATCACTATAGTTTATCCAACTAGAGAACAATAAATGTCAAACGAACGGACTTGCGAACCTCAACGAATTCCCCTTATGTGAGCGCCAAAGTAGCGAGTCCATTGGGGACCTCGCCAAGAAAATTTTGAAAAATAGACTGTCGGAAATGCTCTACAACATGCAAGTTTATGACTGAGTGGGGATGTGGGGTTTATTCACCGTAGAAGGTATTGATTACCGAAACGTATCACAAATACTTTTTTTTATTTTCTAAAATTATTGGGGGGGGGGGCAAACAGAGGGCAGACCAGATTAATGGGGGTGGGGGGGCAAACGCCCCCCCTTGCCACCCCCTCCCCCCCCCCCCGCCCCTGGCGCCGCCACTGCTCGGGTTCCTGGGGTATTATAACCCCCTAATTTCTGTACGTCATAGACTGACCATGGCGTTAATTTCCTTCCAAAATAAGGAATAAACATCCCCATTCTCCATGCAAAGACCAGGAAGAGAACATTACCTTATTTGGTCTACCAAACAAACGTGGATATTTTGACAATTAAGGATTTTAGTTTAATGCTGGAGTGCGAGACATTAAGTAATATATTGCAATATCATTAAGTGCGTGTGCATAGGCGTACGAGACAGGGGGCGGGGGGGGGGGGCAACTGCCCTCCTAACTTTCGGGCAAGCTGACTTTTCGGGCAGACGTGTAAAGTGAAAAAAAAATTTATTTCATTTACTTGGCAGAATAAAGTGCCCGAAATCTAATAAAACAGTAATTTTACGGGCTGGAATAGCAGTAAAACGCGTTTGCGGCCGTCAAATATTCCAAAATTTTCTTTGGGGGTCCATACAAGGTCAGCTCCTCTTCTTCGCCTCTCGATGAAAACCGGCGCCACTGTCTGTAAACCTGAAATATTATCGGGCGAGCCCTAATAAAACACTAATTTTACTTTTCTTTTAATTGAATATGACGAATTTGTACTGAGTTGACTAATGGATTAAAACATTTTGTCTGGGGCCACTCTACTTTGTGCGACATTTTTCGGGCATCGATTATTATTTGTGAATGCAGCTGCAACAGTGTGATTGGATGGTTGGAATTCAGAATGGGATTTCGGTTACAAAACCATTGGATACTTTTGGAGTTGGTTACACGCGCTAGAATAGCAGAAAACGCATAATTTGCGGTGGTTAAATTTCTAAAATTTTCTCCGGGAAAGTGAGGCCCCCATACCCCGCGACGATTGATTGGTGTTTGGAATTCGGGTCAGCATGGTAGGTTATATTGGACCAAATTGAAGTTGATGTATTCACAGGCTGGAATAGCAGGAAAACGCGTTTGCGGCAGTTAAATTTTCTCCCAACAGTCCCGTCTCGAGTCAGCCAACTTAATTAGGCTATATTAGACCACTTTGAAGTTGCTTCGTTCACGGGCTGAAATAGCTGGAAAACGTGTTTGCAGCCGTCAAATATTCCAAAATTTTCTTTGGGGGTGGGGGGGGGGGATACAAGGTAAGCTCTGCTTCTTCGTCTCTCGAGGAAGACCTGCGCCGGTGTCATTAAACCCGAATTTTTTTCGGGCATTTCGGGTCCTGCCCCCCTAACTGTCATCGAGCCGTACGCCTATGCATGTACGTGTTATTTGACTCTATAGAAAATGTGAACCAAATAATTAGTAAGAGAAACGATAAGGTCGCAAGGACCATAGTATTACACCTCTTCCCTTTTTTAAATCCTGAATAGCCTATACAACACTGATACATTTCTCACCATGCCCCATAGCCCCCTTCCCCGCGCTATATACCTACCCCAATTTAAAAATCGTCGCTTCCTCTCGGTGATTCAGATCAATAATTCTGGCAAATTAGCACTCTAATCAGATCTAATAAGTTGCATGGGTGGGAATAGTAGGTCTAATCAAACGAAACACTGCGAGCAGTCTTCTCCGAGTGTCATTTTAGCAATTGACAAACGCAATAAACACAAAAAAACATAATATGGAACACAATTACTATTTTAATAAAAGCCACGTTTCGTTGAGGGTTGTCTTAACGTTATCAGACAAATGATGATGAATATAATATACAAAAGGTTTATATACTGCGAGGAGTATACGGAAATTGGGCTGAATAGATGGCTTTTAAAAAAAATTGGTAAGATTTGACTTAAAACTAGGAATATATATCTGTGATCTATTAAAACACTATATATTTACGTCTTTTCTTGGAAATTAGAAATAAAGAAACATTATGTAGGATTTAGATAAAGGACAGGTCGTTCTTGCTATAATATATAGTTCGAAAATAGATAATGCAAAATGAATATATTGAACGCACCACATATCAAAGCTCTCCCTCTCTCTCAAAAAAAGAAGAATTAGACAAAATGGGAAAGTGACACATTAAGCATGTTGGCTACTGCTCGCTGTGTAGAACCCATTTGAAGCATGTCAATAGCACGTAGACGTTCATCATGTCGAAGACGACTCATTGCAAATTAAACGTAACACACTAAAGCAAAGATACGCTAAACAGTAAATCTTATGCAAGAACCGATAGGAAATCAAACATGGATAGGATAAACCAGCACGCGGCAGTTTTCATCAACCCTTCCTTGAAGTGTCAAATTTGACAATGAACCCCTCCCACATGTATGGCGCTATTGCGTGTGGCGTGACGTGCAGCTCAGTGGTTCTGTTGGGGCGATAAGTTCTTCATCTGTGAACATACTCTCAAAGCATGTCAAGTGTCCATGACTATTTATCATATCACAACCTGCATAGGTATCTGCATCTGAAATCAGAATATCCCCTACTTTTTTGAGGAGTATATAAGATACTGCATGTGGCTAATTGACATAACAATGAATTAAATGAATTAAATCAGTCCTATAAAAATAGAAAATAAGGGTAACATCTGCTTTAAAACAAGAACATAAAAACATATATCACGATTCACAAAAACACTGACATGAACTGTCAGGCGGATTTTGTATTCGATTCAATTTCCTAAGCTTTTTACTTTCCAAGTTTTTTCCAGCAAAAGGGAAATATCTCAAATTACGACTTACAAATTTTAAATCTATTTTAAACTATCAGTAAATACTAGTTATTGAAAACCTGCTTGTGCAAATTATGTAGAGAAAATGTCGAACAAAAATTTGATGCACAGATAAAGTTACGTGGGCGAAACGAACCTACTGCTTTTGTAAAAGTAATATGGCACGATATGCATAATACCATTACATTGTCATACTCTGTTTAAGTGTAAGCGTCTAATATATTGGTTTAAACCGGCAACGGGCGAACAAGATTATATCTTAAATGAGCTAAATCTCTGTTTTTTGGCACCTAGAAATAAATACAAATGATGGGTCGCAACGCACATAATAATGTAATGCATTTAAACTGATTAACATGCAATCGTTAGTTTTACTGTATCTCTAAGTATCAGTTATGTTCGGTGAAATGAAATGAAATGAAATGGGACACTGTTCTGCTCCTAAACTGCGCTAATGAAGACTGGCATACGCGATATACAGTGTGATATGAGGGAAATTTTGCCCGGTCAGCGGCGCTACGGCCTACTCTTTTATCGAATTCCAACTGCCAAGGGATCTTTTACGTGCACGCCAATGTGTACACGGGACCTCGGTTTTTCGTCTCATCCGAATGTCTAGACAGCTGTCCTTACGTATTTTGTTCGGTGACAGTCTATGGCTTCTGGTTATTCCAGCCACTATAGTATTCTCCTGTGGGGCATATCTAGCCTCGTTCATCGAGTCACTTCATTACAAATGGCGCTCGATAGCATTCTGGCACACGATTCGTGAGCCGATTTTAAAATTTTATTTAAATATTGGATATCAGAAGCCCACCTTTTCACGGTAAGATAATAACATCAATGTTGATCAAATTGTCCATTAAGTGGTGTTGGCAATTTCTAAGATGGTATTGGGTTCGCGTGGGTTAAGCCTCCTTAGATATTAATTATATAAGTTGGGAAAAACAACATACATTATTACATACCCCATTATTATAATCCGATTTGGCATTGATTGAATGACCAATTTATAAGGGGTTATTTGTTATTTTAATTTTTTTTTTTTTTTTTTTTTAATACATGTGTTTTTGTTTTATCTATGTTAAAACAGGCATTATCGTATTCATTTACGGTTTAACAGCTGGGGTACGTGCTTGGTCGCTTTTACAGAGACTATCAGCATTTCGTGATTTCTAACGGTAGTTAAAGTGCTATATTTAGATATTATTATCGAAAAACGGGTATCGACACGACGAGCTGTTATTTTCATAGCACATTTTAATAACAAGTAGTGTATAAAATAAATATATTTATAAAAAACTATTACCATCTATTACCGTAGTATATTGATTATTTTAGGCTGATAGAGACAATATTGTTTTTATCCGTATTTGCCGGTTATAATCCTTACAGCAGTTTCGGTCACAATGATTTCTCCCTGTTTGACGTCAAGCTTTGGTAAATAATCTCATACATTGACTGGATAAATTATCGCCTTGGAAGATCGGTGCCAAAGTGTGTGGAACATCAGGAACTAGAAAAGCACCGACGCAGCTGTTGTAATTTTGTTCAGATTTGTAGATAGACAATACGTTGTTTAATTGCTTTGTGATGTTTGTTTATTCAAGAGTGTTGGTTGTCAAACCAATACTGTTGATATTGCCATTAATTTGTTATGGTTTTGAGTTGAAACACCACAATTATGGAGAGATGCAGGCCGTCATCAACGATGTACATAAAAAATGTCCAGAAATCACTCGAATATACAACCTAGATCACCAATCAGTCCAGGGCCGAAATTTAACCGTTTTAGAAATAACTGATAATCCAGGGATACACGAACCAGGTAATTTTTAAGGCATTATTTTTTTTTTTTTTTTTTGATCATTTTCTTTTTAGGGCCAATATAAGTGGCAATAGCCATAGGGGTAAGTATGCGTGGCAGTGCTAATTTAATTAATAACAATAAAAACATACGAATAATGCGTCGTACGTCTATGTACGCTTACGACAGTATTTTGTGCCCTGATGGGAATTTTTATTAATTCTTTCTTTAATATTAGAAAAATAAAAATAAAAAAAAATTTATGTAAGAAAAATTTGATAATGGAATTAATATTTAAATGAAAAATGTGGTAATTGAATACTTTCCCCCCATGTTTTCGAAGATTTAAATACATGTACCAGATGTCTGGTTGAAAAAGGTATCGTATAATTGAAGCTGTGTTTAAAAGATGCCTCCTCACGTACAAACCATGCGATTTGATTTGGACTAAAAACATAATAATACAAACTAATTATCTACCAAAAGTTTGCTTAATAAAATCCCTCTCAAAACATTTTAATCGAGAGAAAATTAACCCATGCTGGGCGAATCAGCTGTATTTATCGTGTGACTTTATTGAGGGAGAAACAGCTTATATTTGTGGTTAGTCACTGACCCTTTACCATAAACATCCAAGCCCTAGAAGTAAATTCCTGCATTATGCTCTGCCAGCTTCTTTTTTTCACTGTTTGATCACAGAGTTAGATCTCCTTATGTCATGCGAGGATTCTATATAAAGGGCTGCCGTCACATTTTTGTATTGTGCGTATCTCGTGTGTTTTTCAGGGTATCCAGTATTTTTTCTAGTAAGATATGGTATCTCTACTTTCCATATACATATACTGTACCAAAATTCAAATTGCCGTACTTTAATTGGAAATAACTACCCGAAAAAATTCTTTCATGGAAATATATCTTCTACGGTTGAATTATATCCAGCAAGAATAAAAGAGACACCAGATTATCACTTATTTCACTAAGAAAATAAATGTTATTTATTAATTTTGAACAACTTGTAAACCTGGTGTGTGTAATTGTAAATCCAAATTCATCTTGATTATTTTGTCTCAAACATGGTCACTGGTGTGGTCATCAGTTTGAAGAATATTTGGTATTTGCTGGTTTGTTGAAACAAAACAAAATATCAAATATTGTAACAGCTAATACTTGATCTTGATGTATTCATTCTTGTAAATGAATCTTCTGTAAACTTTTGTACCTGGGAAGCCACGGTGGATAAGTGGGTAAGATGCAGGCTCGCTAGTCTGGAGGTCGTGTGTTCGATCCCTGCATTGGCCAAGAAAGTTCTTCCAGATTTTTAGACATGGTTTCCCCTTGTCAGTGGCGCAGGATGGAGGGCCTGACAAGGACAGCTGTCTGGTCGTTTGGATGGGATAAAAAAAAAAGGTCCCATGTTTACATTGGCGTGCACACAAAAGATCCCTTAGCAGTTGGAATTTGATGTAAGAGTAGGCGATAGTGCTGCTGCCCGGGCAAAATTTCCCTCATAGCACACTATATGGCATATGACCGTCTTCATTAGCCCAGTTGGTGCAGAACAGTAGGACGTTAAACCCCATTTCATTTCATTTTGTAGCCAACCGCTTCTTCTGTTGCTTCATTAACTTATGTAGTATTACGTATATAAGACATTGTTTCTGACATTGTGGTTGACTTGTATTAGAATTCAGGAATAATGAAGAAATTTCATATGGTAATCCGGGCAACTAATTGTAAAAATGATTTTCCGTTTCACAAAATTGCCCTTCATTCCGATTAAAAATCCTTGCAAATACCTAAAAAGAATTAAAAAAATTAAGCACCAACCATACAGTTTTTGTGACAAATGATTGAGACTACATTTGTGTTTTGAATTTTGGATTGTATTTCCACTGTTTAAAAACACAGACTTACGTAATCAAAAATTTAAGTACTGTAAAGGTATTTTGAAAGTGTGTTCATTTAAAAATCTCTTTGAAAACCACTAAACAATGTGTGTAAAAACTTATTTTATGGCAGCTGTATAGTCAGTCAAACCGCATCAAACAAAAATTATATTTTACTAATTTTATATTACAGGGCAGCCAGAATTCAAATATGTGGGTAATATGCATGGAAATGAGGTTGTGGGTAGAGAGATACTACTTGCTTTCATGGAAGAATTATGTCGAAGATATAAAGAAGAAGATGATAAAATTCGATATCTGATCGATAACACTAGAATCCATATTCTACCATCCATGAATCCAGATGGTTGGGAAATGGCTAACAACAAAATGCAGGTAGGCTAGATTAATTATTTTCGTGATGTTTATCTGGGAGTATATCTCCCTACAGGGATTTTGTTATGGTGTCACTCTGCAATCTTAAACCTCAAATATAGGCAGCTGTTATACATATACATGAAGATAACTTGCTTTATTTCAGCTTAACAAGGCAGTTTATAACACTCATAGGTATATGAACAATACCATCGTTTTTACCATCTAATTAAGCTAATACTGTATGTTCAATATGGTAAAACACACTGTGTCTTAATGAACCAAAGTTTTTGTACTTTCTATTTTGATGTATGTATTAATACTGGTATCAGCTTTGACATTGATATAGAATTAACTGAATCAAATTAACTGACTTTGCAGATGTCACAAATTCACTATATTTTATGGGCTTTTTTGTTTTAGTCAAATGGAGGTGTGTCTGATTGGTTATCTGGTAGATCAAATGCAAATAACATTGATTTGAATCGTAACTTCCCAAACCTCAACAAGATCATGTATGATCATGAAGCTAAAGGAAAAGGCAAAAACAATCACTTGCAGAAGGTTAATCTAGCCATGAAAGATCCCAACTTTAATGTAAGCATCTTAATTTATGGTTCTAAATGAGGAGTTTACACAATCAGATTTTTATCAGATTCTTTTTGCTATAATCATTTCAGTATAAAACGATCCATTTGTTTTTTGGAGAAATAAGGGCTTTTATATGGAAATTTCAAATTTCAGTACCCACACAAATTAAATTTTAATGTTTTTGGAGAAAAAAAAATCAACCTGTCAATTATAATAGACCTTTATTTAATATGGGATTTAAGAAAAAAAAATCATAGTATTTTTCATGCTCTACAATTTGGAGAAATTAAACACCCGTAAGAGAGCACCTGTTGTTCAATACTGCATGTTAAATTCATATGTTACAATAACTAAGACTAAAGTTTGTATTTTACAGTTACAACCTGAAACAATTGCTGTGATTCACTGGATTATTCAAAATCCCTTTGTTCTATCAGCTAATCTACATGGTGGAGATCTTGTAGCTAATTATCCCTATGATGCTACTCGCAGCGGCAAACCTCAGGAATATACAGCTTCACCTGATGATGCTACTTTCAAGTAAATGTTACATAAATTAAGATTAATTGGCACATAAAAGTAGTGTTAAAAAGGAGTATCACAAATTTGTATCAATGTTTTTCTTGAAACCACACAGAAATAAATCATAGATCTTAATGATCAAGCAAAACTACTTTGTTTTTGGGAAATTGACAAATTGTTCTACAAATCCAAATGTCAACTGAAGGACAAATTATTTTTTCAATTCTTATTATTGCACTGTTGGGAATAACATTGACATTTCCCATTCATTTAACACTTCTCTTCTATGCTTGTAACACATTATTCAAATTTCATTTTCTACTTTTAACCAGCAGTTGCCAGGCAAAATACGCCCGCATTTTGCAAAAGATGGATAGAGACCCATCTAAAAAAAAAAAAACCTGATTTTTCGTACAATCGGGGGCCGTAATACAAGAAGTTATGGTCTGAAATGCCCAAATATCAAAAGGGACTGTAATCTTTGGGATATAAAGATCTATTTTAAATTTCATCAAAATGGGACAAAAATTGTAACCTCCAGAGGGTCCACAACCTTCGTATTATACTTGTACACAATTTGCGTACAAGGAACGGATATTTTGTCGTGCAGTTTCGTTTTGATTTTCCCGAAATCTGAACTCAACCTTCCTTATGGTAAAGTGGTGATATATTGAAGAAACGTTTTTTAAAATCTGATAAAAATTGGGTCCTCTAAAGAAACCATGAGCTAAAAATGTGATATTTTGTACAGTCAGGGGCCATAATCCATGAAGTTATGGTCCGATATGTGCAAATATCCACAGGAACTGAGATCTTTGAGAGATAAACCTATATTTCAAGTTTTGGCAAAATCAGATAAAAATTAAGACCTGTAGGGTGTCCACAACTGACTTCCACTTTTCAGACAAATTAAGGTCAAATATAGGGTCCGATGGACTTGTTTTTGTCCGGAAGGCCATTTCAGAAGGGCCTTGGTTCGATGTGACTCCGATAGTTTTTACCTGAAATTGATTGTTCCACAGAAAGCTTATACAATTTGCTACCAGATGGCGGCGCCATTAACTGGGGTTTGTTGAACAAATCACTTACATCGTTCTTCCCCAGGGCTCTTCAATTCTATTCTAGAATAAATGAACTTCTGTGTGTGTTCTAATTAATATTCTAAAATTATAGAATGTTAATATTTACAAACAGGTCTGACAGTTATATTTATATTTATGTAGATCATTGGCTGCATCCTATGCAGATGCTCATACTGTCATGGCAACAGATCATAAACCATGTGATATGTCTGGAGATGATAATTTTGGTAAACAAGGTGGTATTACAAATGGTGGAGCCTGGTATTCTGTACCTGGAGGTAAAATTTGAAACAGTTTGATTGTTCAACAGAAATCAATAAATTATACCAGGACTATAAATACATGTATAGTATTGAATAGTCCTAGTTACACGTCTTCGAAGGTATACGTTATGTCAGCGGCGTGATGTCCCATGATTTTGCATGATGAACAAGATCCCGTCTGGGCCCCCAAAAAAGCAATATGTATATGTGTGTGTGGGGGAGAGAGATGGGGGTTCCCTCCCAGTGCCGCGGGGTAATATAGTCCTGGTTTCACTTCTTCGAAGGTATACGTTATGTCAGGGGCGTGGTGACTCATGATTTTGCATGAGGTACAAGATCCAGTCCGGTCCCCCAAAAAGCAATATTTATATGTGTGTGCAGGGGAGGTGGAGGGAAAGGGTGGGTCTCAACCAGTGCCGCCGGGTAATATTGGGCTGTGTGGGTATGCTAGAGTCGATTTGTAGCATATCTGACCCACGTATATGTTTGACACTGGTTAAGCATGATGATTATAAGCGAGAGTGATGAAACTTGGTGTACAGTTTCATTACATCAATACCTTGATTAAGTGCAATAATGAGCATTTCTGCTCAGGGTAAGCAGAGCGATAAGCAATTTGATTGGTCTAGACTTTGGAACATAATAACTCTTCTTCTAATTGAGGTACAACGTTCAAACTTGGTGCAGGCATTCATTAGGTTTTTCTGCTTGATATTATTAACGCAATGTCTGTATCATTTGTAAACATGTCAGTATTGATAAAGTGCAGGTTTTTTATTTTGTCATGTACATGTAATTTATTATATATTTTTTAAAAATTATCAGGTATGCAGGACTATAACTATTTAGAGAGTAACTGTTTTGAGATTACACTGGAGCTTGGGTGTGACAAATTCCCACCTGCATCCAAACTACCTGATTTCTGGAACCAGAATAAACAAGCTCTCCTCAACTTCTTACTTCAAGTAAGGAATGGCATCAATTAATATACTACTATTCAGATTGTTAACTCATTTATGGAATTATGCAGTAATTGATAATTACTGAAGTTTAAATTTGAACAAGTGTTTAAGGTTTCGTTAACACAACATTTTGAGCCTATAAGACTAACATAATATGGTAATTTTTGTGAAATGTGAGGGTGAGAATTTTGGTAGTAATTACACCCACTCTTCTTCGAATTCTGACTGGCAAGGGATCGGTAACGTTAACTACCGATTTGTTCACTGGAAGTATGTTTTATGTCGGACTACAGACGGGCCACTGTTATCACCGTACCTCCAGGTGTTATTTGGAAATTGAACAAAGTATATATTTTTCCTATCAATTTAGAATGTTTATGTTGCAAGCATCAATTGTTATTGTAAAACATAAAAGCAAATGGACATGGTAAACAGAATACAAAACTTATTATTACATAAAAGATATAAATTATGATAGATAAAGATAATATTTTTATTGTAAATATTTAAGGTACATACTGGTATCAAGGGTTTTACAAAGAGCACATCTGGTAAAAGTATCAAAGAAGTTGAAATCAAGGTGACTAATCTGACAAGTGGAGAATACATTGAGCATGATGTTCTAAGTGGTAAATAATTTTGTTTTTCCTGTCTTTAAGTGTCTGGTATTGATATGTTATCCAAAGATTTTGAGTAGATGTTTTTCTTTTCAATCATACTTGTATGATATCCTTAGTACTTTGGCTGGTAAAAATTAATTTTCAATTTGACATAATTTCACTATGCAGTTAAATTTAATTGAATTGCATACAAAATCTGCGACAAATCAGTCAATAAATTCATCCGAGATAGATTTTTATATCCAAATTATACAAAACTGATTACATTTATTTTCTTGTTGAAAGTTATAATACCTCTTTCTTAATGTAATTGTATATTACCATTATCTTTTAATTGTAGATGATGATGGAGATTACTACCGTCTACTTACTGATGGTTATTACCAGGTTACCACAAACAAAACTGGTTACCACCCAGTTACCAAGTGTGTTGTTGTCAGCAATAATCCTTTCCAAGGTGCTCAAAGACTTGACTTCACTCTCATTCCATCTCACAAGAAAGTTGATAGATCAGCAGATGAAACAAACTGTGAAGAGATCAAGAGTAGAGCTGAACAGGCAATAAATGTAAGAAATTATAGTATTCAATTTCAAGATATACGATTCTGATTTTCAACTTATATGAAAGAGGCAAGATGATCTGCATTAATTCTATATATTCTTTGATGCCATAATATAAATCATTAATGTAACTAGTAGGTGTATATATAGTATTGTATTCTGAACATTAATTCTTTTTACAGGGAGATGAGACTGATGAAGAGATGATGGCCGAATTAAAGGAGCAGCTTAAAACTAAAGACTGGCGTAGTTTCATGCAGTATCTCTATGACTACCAGCAAAAATAAATCTCAATTAACAACATTTACATTATGACTACTTAATAGACCTGTTTTTCCTCAGCCAATTGATATTGTTCAGTGACAGATGCATGGTTTAAACAGTTACTTATAGGGAATCTAAAACTCTTGAAGTCCAGAAAGGATTGTCTCACCACAGATTTGCTGTGTTTGGTATCTATCTATGCCCTACATCTGCCACTGTCATAGTTATTTTGATTCAATTACAAGCATATATTGTTTTCAATCATTCAATTTCTCATATCTTCACCTCAGTAGAAATAAAATCAGACATTTATTCAGTAGTATATGTAATATTTTTGATAATCTATCATTATAATTAGTTGATAAAATTTTATTTTGCAAACTGTACTTAATTACAACTATAGCACGTCTTGAGTAATAAGAAAATGCAAATATATGTGAATGACATCACATAAAATAATTGTTATCAATTGGTAATTTACAAAATGATTAGATTTGTTATGATTTTATTGTATATGGTCATTTTTTGTTTCATTACTTCCTATTTCCAAAATATTACAAAAGACCAATTTATTTGATAGGCTCACTCATTCAAAACATTCCTGTTTTAAGTATATCTATTCTAAAATCAAACATTGCTCACAATACATACACTTGTTGCTTAACATAAAGATTATTATTGTTGTTATTATTTATCCTATCATACTTTGTGCTGGATGTTGTTTATTATTAATATTCTCTTGACCTTCACTCCCCCTTTGTTTGTTATACACTTTCGTCTTTCCCCCCCATAGTCAGTATTAAGAAATAATGAATTATAAAAATAAACATGTTGTTAATAAGGGACAGTGCAATTAATTTTTATAATTAGAAATATTAAACATGAAAGTGGCGAAACCTCACCATTTTAGGTCAAAGTAAAGATTAAATTGGTTTAATATTTGTACCATAAAATAGATATAAATTTATAATGTACTTAAACTTTAAGTTACCCCGTCTCATGTATAATACTGTGCATTTACAAATCAAAATACAATGGGATATCAAAATGTGATAATTATAAATATATGGCATCAAAAATAAAATTATATATTGTACTTGACCTTTTATGTGAATATTGTATTATGTATTGAATGTATCCTGAAATATTTTTAAAAATTTATGTTGTTCACATGATCTTAAAATGAAAATAATTGTAGATAATAATTGCAAATAATTAACTCATATATTGTTCTGTATTTAAAATTAATTACCGGTGGTAATAGTGTTTATAAAGTAAATTTTATTTAGAAGTTGTATTTTTTGAACAAATTCAGAAATAATTCAGTGTAATTCTAGTCATGTTAAAAAAAAAACCCCAAAAATCTTATAATTCTAGTCATGTCAACAAACAAATCATTACTTTTTGAACATTAATTTTAGTATTGTTGTTTTTTTTTGATGATATAATAACCCTCTGTAATAAATGTATTTGGCATACCTAGGCAAATCCTGGGAGTACAAACGAAGGGAGTAGATATAAGCTCTGATTAGAATTAGAATCTCATTCATCCCTCAAATGCATATTAATGTTTATTATGTTAGGTGTTAAAGTTGAAAATGATTTATTTGTTATCAACAAAAGTAACAAAAAATCCCATTTTGTGATGATAAATTTTTTTGTTAATGTGACAATGATATACCATTTGGAGATATCAAAAAAGAGATTAAAAGAGATAATTGAAAAGATTATAAAGGAGCTTTTACTCCCTTCTTTTTACCTCCCTTGGTCAAGCATATAATCTGGTAGATAAAGTCTAAGATAATGTTTTTTTCACGGTCATTCCATGTTAAGTGGGCAGTGCTTGTCGGGAGACCCCCTCAGAATATTATGAAAAAAATATATTTTATAGTACATACAAACTTCTGTAAAACTGCAAAGTTATTTGACTCTAGTATTAATAATTATTGACAAAGATATGGTGAATTTTTAATCTATATAACATTCTCTACAAACCCCAAAATTCCAAGAATATAGACTGACTAAAAGGAATGAAATAAGAACACCAAAATCAAGTCATAGAATAGTAGTTTAAAAGCTTGTGAAAGGGTACCCCAATTCAAAAGATCTTATCTTAGTCAATATTAATGCTAGAGTCATATAACTGTAGAGTTTTGCATAAGTCTATGTACTATAACCTGTATTATTTTAATAATTTTCGGAGAATTTGGTCCACTTGACATGGAATGACCCTTCAGGCATTAACTGGTTTTGTCTGCTGTATAATTGTGTGAAAGTAGATATAAATTCTCTTGATTATATTATTAGCCATTTTATATTCATAAGTCTCACACACATGAAACTAAGCTTCTAGAACTTCTAGTCTCAAAATTTATCTTACTTCACTTTTATTCATTTATTTGCTCAAGGATCATGAAGTTGTGGTTAGTGATAAAACTATGTGTTCTTCCATGAAATCCATATTCCAAAATGACATGCAGCCCGTGATACATTTGTATACAACCAATAACTATTGCTTTGTTTGTGATAAAACTTGGAATTTTGTGCTCTTCCATGAAATCCCTATTCAAAAATGACACTTCTCCCATGCAGTAGCATACAACTCACTGTAAAATTCCTCCATAGTAAATAAGTATGTTTGTTGTATTCAAATTAATATCTTAAAATAAAATTGTAACAATTATAGTTTGTTATCTTAGTGTCATATGGTTCCTTGTATTTTTGCACCTATTTAACCTCCTTATATAGGCTATAATGGTTCCATGTATTTTTGCATCTAAACTTTTTGAAAGCATTACTAGTATCTAAGATGAACTCAGAACAGTACCGTATCTAGAATTTTATCATCTTTGAAACATGGAATCTAGACTTAAAATCACATCAATAATTTGGTACTACAAATCCTCTATTTGGCATATATACATGTACCACCATTTTACAAAATAAGTAAATGTTCGCAACCACAGGCCTACAGTACAGTTTTATTCATTCATAACTCTAAAATTGATGTGGTTAATACATGTATGTGGAGTAGTGCAAGTGGTTGTAACTCTAGATTTGCCTGAATACACTTACTTATATGCCTAGCTGCAGCATCTGTGTTTCATATATGGCCTAGTGTGCTTGATAGATGTTTTTCAAAATTGTGGATACATTTCATTGGTTAATTGGGGAAAATCCCATCAAAATACTCTGCACATAAACATTTGTTAACAGACTTTGTAAATTGCTGTACATGTATCTCAAATATTGTCCGAGATAGAGCATAACCTTTTTGTCAACTCTCTTCTTTAATTTGGGTCTTTTATAGGTACCTTGGTGCTATGAACCCATAGCTAGTCAAACTATACAAATTGAGTTACAATCTCTTGCAGACCACAACATTCATATAGAATAAATCTTTTAGATGTTTTGTTTTGTCAATAAAAAGTCACATGTTGATCATGTTGATAAAACTGCTTTATTTTTCTATTTATGTCACAGTAATGGAAGAGTTCTGGAGTCAACATTTAAAAAACATAAAGATAGGTTGCCAGGCAACAAAACATACGCCGACAGCAGGTAAGTCGTTCAAGCAGGCCATAAAGGTTTTCACATTTTATGCTTTTGTTGGTAATGGGAGCATTTACAAGACACTAACAAATACCTTGGGAAAGATTTTTTTATAAATGAAATGAAATGAAATGGGTTTAACGTCCTTCTCCGAACCGGGCTAATGAAGACGGGCATATGCCATACAGTGTGCTATGAGGGAAATTTTGCACAGACAGCGGCACTACAGCCTACTCTTTTATCTAATTCAAACTGTCAAGGGATATTTTATGTGTACACGGGACCTGTTTTTCATCCCATCCGAACGACTAGACAGCTGTCCTTGTCAGGCCCTCCGTCCTGCACCACTGACAAGGTGAAACCATGTCGGAAAATCCTGATGAACTTTCTATGCCAATGCAGGGATTGAACACGCTACTACCAGGCTAGCGAGCCAGCGTCCTACCCACTTAGCCACCGTGGCTCCCACCTTTTTTCAAAGAAGAACAAGAAGATGAGTTGAGCTAGGGGCCTAGTTCCTGTCCCAAAAACACAGCACCAATAACATACAAATATTTCCACAAAAAAAAGTTAATAAATATATCTTAAAAGCCTAGCTTTCACTATATTCTTTTTCGATGTCTAAAAACAGTTATCTTTTCAATGTTCACTTCACTTCCCTTCCCATGAATATATTACATATAAGAAATGCAAACAAATATGTAGCAAAGTCTTCCACAATAGCATTCACATAACCCATTATTTGATTGTATGTAGCTATTAGCTCTGGTTTTATTCCACATAATACCAAGGCACTAGACAAAAGAGATCCTTTAGCTCGTAATATAATTTCCTGAAATAGAGCAAATACAAATATCTTAATTATTACTTATACTTAATTTCATTGTTATATATGATAATAGAATACGACATACAGTGTGCTATGAGGGAAATTATGCCCGGACAGTGGTGCTACGGACAACTCTTATTTCGAATTCCAATTGTCAAGGGTTCTTATACTTGCACACCTACATATATGTGTACACAGGACCTTGAGTTTTTGTCCCATCCAAAAAACTAGACAGCTGTTCATGTCAGGCTCTTCGTCTTGCACCACTGACAATGGGAAACCAGGTAGGGATATACCGAGGAATTTCCTCGGCCAGCGAGCCAGCATCTTTCTCACTGAGCCACAGCGGCTCCTGCATAGTATAAAGATTGCAAACTATACAAATCATTAAACTACAAAGGGCACAGTCATACTTGCCACCACTTTGTGCATTACTGTTTGTTTTGGAATGTGGATCTTGACTATGAAACACCAAAAGAGAGACAGAGAAATGTGTTTAATGTCCACTCAACACAAACTAGGTCATTTTGGGACTAACATTTGGTTCAATTCTTATTTCAATAATTCATATGCGAATAGGGGTCTTTTGACTTCTTAGCAGTTGGAGGAAACCAGAAGACTCGTAGAAATTGTATGAGTTTGGAAAAGCTACCGCACTTCTTGTTACGTACAAGTGAGGATTCGAAACCACGCCACTTGACTAAACGACAGCCCTCATGATGCAACCACCCCACACCACCCCCATGAAATAGCAAATTAACATATCTATATTCAATTAATTATTATTACTTATAGACATAGGCAGAGTACCCTTTGCTAAAATGAATCACCAAATATATTGATAATTATACCACTAGAATTTGCGATGACAAGAAAAGTTAAACATTTACTAAGTGGTTTCAGATTTTTGTATATAGATGATTCAATTGTATCAGGGTTTTAACTTAGACTATTTCAATTTAATGTGTTTTAGAATAATTTACAGGTGACTATATTTCCCTAATTTCGTTGTAATATGGGGTAGATTTGGCTTGTATTTTGGACCAACTTGAAACTGATGTAATATAAACCTCTGTATATAGGAATTTACATACCTGATTGTTCATATGATGGAAGGCATAGAAAGCTATTTCAGTAATTATGAATGGAACAAACATGGACTGAAATGAATTGAAAAGAAAATAGAAATAACATAAAGTAACTTTCTATCAATTAACATAATGAATATGAATTTCAAACACAAGAAAAGACATAAAACAAAGGATACATGTATGGTCCAATGTTTCAATTCCCATTTTAACAAGAGAGAGGTAGCAATTAGATGACTAATCTATATTTAAAAGAATTTTATGCTCTTGATCTGGTTTTATGTACATACCTGTAAAAAGATAATCCCAAATCCAAAGGACAAAATCCATCTTACAACTACAGCCAATAACACAACAAGACCCAATCTCATCACATCTAGCATTCTCTGTATGTCATCTTTATTTAATTGATCTGTTTTCTGATTGACTGGATGCTCAATACCAGTACCTAATGTCTTTTTGTCTTTGACTACAGGTTTATCAATTTTATCTTTGTGAATTGGCTCACGTGACAAACTCAGACTATTAAATATAGTAGACTCTTTCTTCGATTCTGACAGAACATCAGCTGTGGTGTTATTAATCGATGATTTTAAAGCTTGATCTATATTATTCTGTTCAGATTTTATAGTTGTCTTACTCTTATTCAATGAAAATTCTGAATTGGGTGGTATGTTATCTTTCTCAATGTCTTTACCTGCTGAAAAAAGAAATAATTCATTAAAGTAATAATATAAATAAACCTGGACTGTGCAATTAGCTTTAAAGGTTCAATCAGTTACAAAGAAATAAATTGACAATGCATTAATGAAACTAGTTCATACATTAACTGATATGATACACCAGCGCTGCCGTAGAAAAGAACTTGCGAGTAAATGTATATCATAATATATGCAATGGAAATACCACTTGATCTGACTTTTAGCCGTAACTTCATAGATATGACGACTAGAGTAACAAAGCAAAGTGAACAGTAGGGCTGACATGTCCCTCTCCTTAATAGATGATAGGGCTGTGTCGATAAAGTTCATTTTCAATACGATACGTATTGACGATACAGCAAACTGATACGCGATATGTATCGCGATATGATGACATCACGAATTATGCCCAAAATAATCTCAAACTACATTCTGTTTCAAGATGTTTGAGATGGGTAAGCATCAGGGTTCTTAATCCATTTTGAAATGAACCGGCCAGAATTGGGTCAATTGAAGTCCCGTAGGATATGGGTTAATTATAAGCTTCATTCCCTTTAATATAACTAGACTTCAACAAAAATAATTCTTGGTAATTTGTTATGGAGAATGTCGTATTTTAATGTATGTGATTACCACAAAAATAACGACAGGTACACCTTTTGAAAATTCTCCATAATTAATTCACGTACCATCTTGAAGTTCACGTCCGTAATAATCCAGAATAAATTAATTACTGTCTTCGTTTATTTGATTAAACGTTCGCGTTTTATAAGTCGATGATCTAAAATATTAGTATTTTTCAACTATTGCCAGTATCAGAAAATGCTGTAGCCAAAATAAGCTGATACGGCACCATGACATTTCTTCATAACACAATTTGTAGTCTTTGTCTATCAGGTAACTAGTCACGTAACTTGCAAAAGCGCTAGTAACAACAGATTTTTCGGAATGGCCATTGGTGGTATGAATGACTAAATCGACTGATTATTAGATCTAGTGATCGTAAGTCATTATGCAAAATGTTTTTTTTTTTCGTTTTTTTTTTTCACACACTGTACGGGTTCTTCTGGTCTTACTTTTCGCAAAATACAATATTATGAAAGTTGAATGTCTACAAAGAATATCAGTCCAAAGATATGATACGAATTGAAAATTTTGCAACATTTGATATCCTGCAACATTAAACCAGTCAGCACCACCTATAGGTCTAAGTGTTCAGTTATAAATCTCTTTATATTGTCTGATATTAAATCCAAGCCGGAATATCTAAAGTTTAAATAATTAATCTGAACAATTCAAATGACAATCAGCGGCTTTATATGCAGACGAGTCGTGTGTTGACATGAAATAAAAGGTTAATATTCCTGAAGTATATTGCTTATTCTGTATATTCATTGAAAAAAAAAAATAAAAATAAAAACCTCCCTCCCCCCCCCCCCCTATTTTTTGAAAAAAAAGGACTATCACCAATTATTTTTTTTAGGTGGCCTTATATAGCAAAAATATAACAAATTTTGTTTGTTCATTTGAAAACTACAGGGATGACGACAATATATGGTAATATCACATAGACTCAGGCTATGTATGAAATCACATTTAATGGGATTGAATTAATGCTCGACACTAAAGAATATAACGAGCTCGAGATATATTCTTCGGTAATTGCACTTGAGTCAGTGACTGAGTGAGTATCTAACTGTAACCCTAACCCTTCAGAATAGTTTTAGCCACAATCCACCGTTGTTACAGCTTCAATTTGTACGTTCGAAATGTTTTTTTATAAACCTAACCCGAACCCTAACCCTAACGAAAGATATTTCTCAGATCGTACAAAGATCTAGTTTTCAGTGCGAGTCCGACGGCAATATAATGAATATATAGTTACTTTAGTATCGTAAATTGTATCGGCTCTGCTCTCTATTACGTTACTATCAGCTCCTAATGACAACTAATATGAAAATAAGGCTTTTCCCCTATCTCGGTTCTAAGGCAATTTTGGAATCCTTACCATCTATTTTTCACCGTGATTCTTCTTTGGTCGCTAAAGGGAACCATTTCTTGCCACATCCAACACAAATTTATAAAAATCCAACTCTATTTTCATGTAGAATTGTGCGATACAAAACCATAAACAACTTTCATTTGAATTGGAATTTTACCGTAAACGAACATTCGTGCTGTACATGGTAACTAAAGTTTTTTTTATTCAACATACATGAATAATTATTACTTAAATATTGACCTTTATAAAATATTTTAAATATTCTATGTTATTCTCATGTACAGCGAGAATTTTCATTTACGGTAAAATTCCATTCCTAAATTTGGAATATTAGCTGAGCGTTAGTTTGAACATGGCGGCCCAATTCAAATGAAAGTTGTTTATGTTTTTGTATCGCACAATTCTACATACTACATGAAAATAGGGTTGGATTTTTATAAATTGGTGTTGGATGTGGCAAGAAATGATTCCTTTTGGCGACCAAAGAAGAATCACGGTGAAAAATAGACGGTAAGGGTTCCAAAATAGCCTTAGAACCGAGATGGGGAAAGCCTTATTTTCATATTAGTTGTCATTAGGAGCTGACGTAGTAGAGAGCAGAGCCGATACAATTTATGTTACTAAAATAACTAATGCTAATGAATATAATGCACCCTTGTGTGTGGGCAATGTGCAATTGACAGCTGTGACAGTCTTGGGGAAACATTTTATGGTCACGGCAAGATGCATTTATTACTATTTACTTTGGCCCAAAAGTTTTCGCATTCGATCTTCTGAATTTTGAAGGATTTTACGCCGCCTCTCCTCTCTTTTCGTTTCAGCCGACGCCATTTTCTCAAAAATGATGATAATCTAGTGTAGACATGGTTTCGAATTTGTCGAAATCGTAGCTTCTTAAGTTTCTGCTTTAATGTTTTCATTTTAAATCAAATATCAAATCAAGAATAGAAAAGCCGTCATTCTCGAAATTGAAGATACAGATATAAATCACGATATTAGAGATTTATTATTTACGCAACTGTGTTTTATTAATTCTATATAATTCATAATTTTAATTTGCGTTGCGCAAGAGCACTCGGCAAACCTCGGCCAATTTCGTCACTCTTAATCTCATTCGGCAAACCTCGACAGATTCTACGCATCTAATCTAGAGTAACAGAATAAACCGAGGTTTGCCGAGTGTTGAAATGCCTATTTTTAGCACAACAGGAAGTAGACGTTATCACTGGGTCCTGAACTGGAATGTTTATGTATACATTTTCTGTAAAAATCAAAATGCTATAAAAACAAAATCGACACCCAAGTAGGCCCAGGTTGTGATTTGTGTGAAGCTTATGGTTTTTATTCATATCAATGACAATGATTATTTAAAACACTGGAGACTTGTCATGTCGTAGTCATTGATCAGTGTCCAATTATGCCAACTACCTGAACTATGACCTATGTCTCCTATTCCTATCTACTAATCTAGGCCTATATCTTGACCGAAGTTGCCCTAATCTGTAAACTTTAAATTCTGTATATTCATTCAGTATAACATTAAATATTGTCATGCACTAATATGTCTGTGAATTATTACCCTGCTATGCACTCAGATCACCCTCTTCTTAAATAGGCCTACAAAAACTACCAAAATCTACCTCTTTTATTGTACAATATCCTTCTAATATTTTGAAAGGTACTGAACAATAAATAAAAAAATGATGAGGTTCAACTTTAGATTTTGGCAGAGCGTACCAGAATACCGTAATGACACCTACATGTAGGCTAATTGTAATCAACCTCCAAGTTGGCAAATTCAACGGTTGCATTAAGAAATCTCATCGGAATCTAAACCGGAATCAAAATAGCTTTCCTAAGCTCACCGTATTACCGTATTAAAGGCTTTTTGTTTAGATATTTTGCTGCTAATAATCTGGTAAAAATTACTGAAATATATCCCTTGGATTGTAATTTGGGATTTGCAAGAGCTTTTTTGTATGAGGCAAGCATTTGAAAGTTCACCTTCAACTGGATCTACTTGGGTTTTGTGTGGATGCGGCCAATCACTCCCCTCCTAATTGAAGTCCTGTAATTATAATACTGAACATTAATTCCAATGACATGATTGTAGATGGAGATGTGAAAAATGTAGTTAATGCCAATGGATAATATTTCTATGGATCTGTATGCCTAAGAAGGTTAAGATGCGATTTCTTCGTTTACCAAAACAAGATGTTAAAAAAGGCTGATGATAAGAGCCTTAATCCGAGCATGTCCGTGCCAAGCTCTGCACCACATCCAGAAGAAAAAAGAAAGACACACGATTTTAGTAGAAGACAAGTTCTGTTCAAAACATTTATTGCAGGAGGTACAGTACACTTAGTTATGGGAGCCATGGTAGCTCAGTGAGTAAGACGTTGGCTCGTTAACTTGGAGGTCCTGCGTTCGATACCTGCATTGACCGAGAAAGTTCATCAGGATTTTCCGACGTGGTTCTCCCTTGTCCGTGGGGCAGGACAGAGAGCCTGACAAGGGACAATGAAAAGTCATAGGGATGGGCTGAAAAACTGAGGTCCTGTTTACACATTGGCATGCACATAAAAGATCCCTGGGCAGTTGGAATTTTATATAAGTGTAAGCCGTAGTGCTGCTGTCTGGTCAAAATTCCCCTCATAGCACACTGTATTGCATATGCCCGTCTTCATTAGCCTAGTCGGAGCAGAACCGTAGGATGTTAAACCCCATTTCATTTCGTTTGATTTCACACTTAGTTATAATAGTAAGGCCATTGTGACAAATGAGTCTTCCTGTAAAAAATGGCATCTTACTTTCATTTCATGACATAACATATAAGCAAAGGAGGAAATATCTTTCATGAATCAAGTTTCCAAATTTTGAGTTCATCTCAATATTAAAGCAAACCATGATGTGCAAGTATAATTAGGATTTTGTATCTTTAATATCCCAGTTTTAATTTTGGTCACCATCAGGATATTTATATCCCAGATCTTTTATTTCAGGTATAGAAATAATATTATTCATTAATGTATAATTAATTAAATAGTTTTAATTTCACTTTTCTAGGAATAGCAGGATGTGTGGCAAAAACAACAGTTGCACCTTTAGATCGTGTTAAGATATTACTTCAAGCTCATAATCAACATTACAAAAATCTAGGTATGTATGGTCAAGTATTGAAATAATAATACTATGATGTACTATAAAACAAGAAAATATTGGGTCATTTGTTACATACATGTATAACTAGGAATTTTATGTTATGTGTTTGCTATATTGCACGGAGTGGTAGCAAGGATCTTCAACTGTCAATGTGTATTGTGTAGGATATATAGTTTACATTGGACGACATTTGTTTTTATTCAGCAGACTCACTGATTCCCAATCTCTTGATCTTGACATTGAATTTTTAAAAAAGGCAAGAACATAAGAGGAAACATTTTTATGAGAGCATGTTTTGAAATGCCTTTGGACTAAGTGGTCTTGTCCTGGTCCCAAAAATATGATACCTTTGCTGCACCAGAATCGTGATCTTGATTGTGGATAACTCTTGGTTAACAATATTGATTATTACTGATGTAAAAATAAAACATCATAAGAATAACTTTATTTAGAATTTTTCTCAAAATTATCGATCCGATAACATACTTTTACATTATGCCTACAGGTTTGACTCAGTTTATATTTTTTTTTTTCAGGAGTTTTTTCGACAATCAGTCAAGTTGTTAAAAAAGAAGGTGTACTTGGTTTATATAAAGGAAATGGTGTTCAGATGTTAAGGATATTTCCTTATGCCTCCATACAATTTATGACATATGAACAGTATAAAAATGTAATTTAATGTCACTTTTTAACCCATTAGTTCTATGTGCTCCCTGACCAATAACTTTTTACATTTTCAACTTCTTCTCCTAAACCACTTAATAGTTTTCAAATAAATTTGGTTGGTATACGTTGCTTGAGTGGTGGTTATTCAGATTTGTTGAAATGACGTTTTTTGGGTCCCCATCATAAGGGTGGGATGCCACACCTCACAGTGGCAGATTTAGACATGTTAAAACAACATTTTTGATTTCTCCTGAACCACCTGATAGTATTCAACCAAGAACAGGTAAATGTAGATAGTTCATCAGAAACAGAGAAGTTACTAAAATGTTTATAGCATAATATGACACACAGCACATATCTCCATGGACTTCTTGAAGCAAAACAACATGGAAGTGCTTAATATGTCAGATCCTTCTCCTACCTCTCACCAATTGAGCATCTGTTTTGACAATATTGGATGTTGTGTCTTGTTGATTTCTTGTGACAGTGTAAATCACATTTCCACAACATTATATCTCGCCAGCATTTCCAGTCAATTGAGTTTTCATTGTGTCTCAGTAGATGCTGTTTCCATTAGCAAGACAAAGAAAGCTGTTGAATTTCCAGAGTTATTACTCTTGATCACTTTGTAGAACAAAAAGAGTTTCAGTTTATTAATTCTAGAGTTATGAATCTTTTGAACTTTCTAGCAACAAAATTTATCATTTGAAATTTTTCTATATTGTTCAGATTAATAAATTGAAATTATTTTAACACTTATCTTGATATTTATATGCATTTAGATTAAGAACCATGTTGAATTCCAACTGTTTATGCGCAGTAACAGTTGCCTTTAATTACTTCTAAAATTATTGATTGCCCTTGTTAACTTCGAAGAGTTTGTCTTTGTATATAGTTTAATCATTTTTTTAAACATTTGCTAAAATTCACCTTTTTTTCTTTAAGGTGACAAGGAAGTTGATTGGGAATCATCCACATCTGATTAAGTTATTAGCAGGTTCCATGGCAGGTACAGGCTATATTAATAATACAATGGCAAGTGTAAAATGTGTAAAATGATTTTATTAAAACTGGATTATAACATAATCATTAATTTTATCAAATGTTTAAGATGATTGAATTTAAATAAAACAAGAAATTACAGTATATTGGTACCCAAATTAAACAATCTACAATTTGACCATTTTAATATGTGACTTTTTTTTCCTTTGCAGGATTAACAGCGGTTTTATTTACATATCCTTTAGATGTGGCTCGAGCTAGATTAGCATTCCAAGTTAAGGGAGAACACGTTTATTTAGGATTTGTGGATGTTTTTAAATCTATGATATATGTTGAAGGTGGCCATAAAGCTTTATATAGAGGAATTGTGCCGTCTGTTTTAGGAATGGCCCCATATGCAGGTACATAATTCTTTGAACAGTTGTATGTGTTACTTAAGATTACCTAGTTAATATTTAGTGATAGGTACATAACAAACTAGAATGATTATATGGACAACAATTATTAGGAATGGCATCATATGCAGGTACATAGTTTTTTTACACGGTTGTATGTGTTACTTAAGATTACCTGGTTAATATTTAGTGATAGGACTAAGGTACATAACAAACTAGAATGATTTTATGGACAACAATTATGGGTTGATTGTACAATGGTCTGTATGATAAACTTGTGATTTTTGTCATGTATTGGCTTCCAGTTTAGTTAATATTTAACCTTTATGAAACTCAATGTGTTGGTATCCGTATGTAATATATGGTGTGGTGGATGGCCAAATCGTTAGCATTGGCGCGTTGTATCATAAGGTCTGTCATTGAGTCAACTTATGGGGTTTAGATTCCCCAGTTGTACGTGACAAGGAGTAGGGTTGCCTTTCCAACCTCATGGTTTTCTTCGGGTCCTCCGGTTTCCTCCCACTGCTAAAGACCCCAAAGTGCAAGCAAATTATTGAAATAAAATTGAAACATATGTTAATCCCATAATGATCTAGTTTGTGTCAATTGGATGTTTAACCTTATTTTTTCCTCTCTCTATAATATATATTGATGTATAAAAATTTTGTAAGACATGATCTTTTCAAGATTTTGGTATGATTTACTTGCATCATCAAGAGCAAATTAATGATTGATTTATTTATGAAAATGTATATCTTTCAGTAGTTGAACGAACATAATTGTACAACATCTTTTATTAATATTTTTTGATATTTTCTCTTTTAAAGGGCTTTCATTTTATAGTTTTGAAACTTTGAAGAAGATGTGTTTAGATAACTTTCCAGAATTGTGTGGCAAACCTTGTCCCCAGAATACAGGTGGTTTAGTTCTTATTTTACCAGCTAAATTAATTTGTGGTGGGTTAGCAGGGGCTGCAGCACAATCATTTGCGTAAGTTAAGTGAAACATATCAATTTGTTTAATTAGAGTGTTGAATATTCAAATTCTGGCACAAATAAGCTTAGGTTTTGGTATGTGAAAACAAAATCACAAAGAATTTGGAAATTGGACCTAAATAGTTCTGATGGATCCAAAAACAGCAAACTGCAGAAAAATGTGCCTTTAATTGTTTACTAATAAGTAAGCTGATATATTCACAGGCTTTATTGACAAATCATGCGCAGATTATGGGGCATGGAGGTATGATGGTACCATGTAAATGTACTGTACTTCTCTACTGTACTTACTATACTGTACTGTTCTGTTCTATTGTATTGTATTGTAGTGTACTGTATTCATCATGCCATATTGGTATTTAACCAGTTTTATAATATAAATACCCTTTTTATACCAGGTATCCACTAGATGTAGTAAGACGAAGACTACAGCTCTCCATTATGTTACCAGATTCACACAAATATGATAGGTATTTGTTTATACTAAAATTTGTCTAATTTACCCGTTCAGCAATTTTTTAAAATGAAATTGAATAGTGTCACTTTTTGGCTGTATATTAGTGTTGGTGAGCAACAGAAATTCTACATTAACATTTACATCTAGCAAATTTTTATTTTCATTTTTAAAAGATACATTTTTGGGGGCATTTATCTGTATGATCATGTTAAATATTGATATAGTAATAGTAAGGTTTAAATTGTAGGGGATGGTTCAATACATTGATCTTGATCTATAAAGAAGATGGTATTGTGCATGGACTCTATCGTGGACTTAGTGTAAATTATATACGGGTTATGCCAATGGTAGCTGTATCTTTCTCAACTTATGAAGTCACAAAGCAATTGTTTGGTCTTGATACAGGAGTGGATAGGTGATGATATTTGCATATGGAACTATAGTGAATGTATAAAAAATATATACCAGTATATATCCATTCATTCCCGGAGCTCCATGAAATAACAGCACAAGACTTGCAGGGAATGTTTCGAATGTGATAACATAGTCTTTCAAACCAGATGTATTCTTTTTTTAGTTATTTGAACTAACATATATCAAATAATTTTGGTGTTGGACTAATCGCAGAATCCATCTTGTCGTTAAAAGAACAAAGGATACTTGTTAAGTAGATACATATATCATAATCTTTTAGACCAGTATTTAACTTTATAGTTAATTTGAATAAAATGAATACATATTTACACAGCCAGATTTAAATGTGGTCATATATTGTCTTCACCCTTGTTCGTCCGTCCTTTAGTCTATCACAGTTGCTTGTGGATGCTCGATTGGCTAAAATTTATTATCCGATTGACTTGAAATCCATATAGTGTTTACATTGGAGTTATGGCTCTTGATCAATTTGAAAAAACTTGTGGATGCTCTAGAGATAATATAATTATTCAATTGACTATGAATTTATACACAGTGTTTAATAAGTTGATAAGACCAACAAGCCTCTTCATTTCAGATATTTACTGTCATACAATAAGAACTAGAAGCCCATCAAATTTTATTTATTGCAGTCGCCCCTGTCCGTCCGTCAGTCTGGTGTCCACAAGCAAATTTGTGCCAATTGCAAGGGTTAGTATTGGTGGTCTAAATTGTTGCTTTGGGAGATCAATGTGTTATGACCTGTGAACACTTTGAAATATCTTTTCATCACTCTAGTGGCCCTTGATCACTTGAGAAATCTTGTGGTCGTGCTAGAGGCTAAAGTTTATACAAATTTATACCCAGTGTTTAAAGATACTTTCCGGTGTACAAACTGTGTGATTTGATGATATATACTATTCAAAAAAAGTAGGGGATATTTGATTTTTAAGTGTTATTAAAGTCACCTAATGAAACCGACGAAGAAACAAATGACAAAATGAAATGAAGTTTACATTCATCGATTTATTCCAAATGATCGTTAGACTAAGTAAGGCACAGACTGACCAGTATAAGGGTAAAATGATACCCGGGGTCAAACAGCAAAGTTACCACAGCATCACAACCAAGTCAGTAACGGGTAAATCCTCCTCTGTTTGCCAAACAAGCATTGATCCGACGTGGCATACTCCTAATGAGACGTCTAAGGTCATTTTGGTCCAGATTGTCCCATTCCTGTTGCAACGCAGCAGCAAGTTCTTGGACATTGGCAGGACGTTGTTGACGTTGACGTAACCTCTGTCCAAGCATGTCCCAGACATGCTCGATGGGGGAGAGGTCGGGACTCAGTGCTGGCCAAGGTAATGTGGTGATGTTCTGTTGTTGGAGGTAACCTGTAACGATCCTGGCCCTGTGACATCTTGCGTTGTCATCCTGGAAGATGAAACGGCGGCCATGACGTCGTGCGAACGGCACAACATGGACTGCCAAGATGTTGTCCCGGTAGTACTGGCCTGGAACACGCCCTGCAACAACATGTAAAGCCGTTCTTCCAGCAACAGTGATGCCTCCCCACACCATAACAGAACCACCCCCAAATCGATCATGTCTGATGACGTTAACGTCTTGGAAGCGCTCGTTTCGACGACGCCACACCCTCCTACGTCTGTCCAAAAAATCAACAGTGAACCTTGACTCATCTGAAAACATCACGTTGCTCCAGCGTCGATTATCCCAGTGTTGACGATCCCAACACCAACGACGTCTTGCCTGAATGTGATGATCTCTCAAACAAGGGATCACGCGCTGATCTGATTTGCTGTGATGACACGATTTCTCAAGGCCAAGGTACGGATAAATCGATCCTGGGCTTGAGTTGTCGCCCTTGGTCGACCTGAGCGTGGTCTGTCCTGTACAGATTGTGTATCACGGTATGTGGACCATAGCCTGCTTATGACAAACTGAGAAACATTCATCGTCCGCGCCACAACCGCCTGTGTTGTGCCGATCTGTAGCATGCCAAGGGCACGTAACCTTTCATTTTGGGTAAGCCGACGCATATCAAAATTTGTTTTCTGGTCACTAAAACAATTAAACTGATGTTTCCACCCTGGAATTCAATGCCACAGTGACTGTAACATTCAAAGTCAGAGTCGTGCAAATCTTGGGTTGGACCCCCATGATGATCCCAAGCATCACCTGCATTCCATGCGGTAGCTATTGGTGCGTTTGGGCGTCACATGTAACTGGAAATGTTTCTTCTGTTAGGTTCTATAGTGACTTTTTTCGTAGTCATTTGCATATTTTAGTATTATGCCCCCAAAATCAAATATCCCCTACTTTTTTTGAATAGTATATTTGGACTAAAAACATATTCAAGCAAATTAATTTGTCTAAAATTTGCTTCAAATCCCTCTCAAATCTTTGTACTCGCGGTGAGATACCTCAAGCTATAAATAAACTGTTGTTAGAAGCCATTACTGTCTCCTCACTTTCAACTTGCAGAGTCTTTTGTACATTGACACCCCTCAATGTTCCCAAATCAAGCAATAACAACCGCTCCCTCAGTCAAGCTAGCACACAATAAGCTGGCAGACAACAGTTGGGTTGCCAGTTAGTGATACCCTGACATTTTTGTCCAGTGATTGCCCCATATGTGTTTTTGGGGTGATCCAGTATTGGGTGTCTTTCCATATATACCAAATTTGCCATACTTTTATTGGAATTAACCACTCGATAAGTACTTTTGGGACAATGTATCTTTAAGCTCATGAGACAAACAATCGAAACAAATTCTAATGATTTCTGATAATTACTTAATGGGTTGTTACTCGTTATAAGATTTTAGTGTTTGTAAATGTGTTCATTACTGACAAAAACAAATATGCAAAAAACCTGGTTGACTGCCCAGACGACTTAGCTGCTGTGGGCATATGGTTTGTTACCTGGCAACCTATCTTTAGAGTCTTGAAAGTGCTCCCAGAATACATTTGCGACAGCCTTTGTTGACTGTTCACATGATTTAACTGATGTGTGCATATGTTGCCTGGCAACCTTATCTTTTTTTATTTTGTATGAAATAGAAACTTTGTAAGTTATTCTTTCAGCATTATCATTCTGATTAAAATCAGATGTAATTTCCATTTGTGTTTTTAGTCCATATTTTAAAGTTCACCATTATGATGTGTTACAGAATAGAATATGTAAACCCTGTAATAATAAACCCCAATCAACATGTTTCTCCCTTGACTCGTTCATTGATGTAGAATTTTAAAAGTATACTAATCTCCCTTGTGTGTATTCAGTGGGGGATGCAGGTTTTAAAGGCAGAGGTGTCAAAATATGTGCCAGTGGCAATTGTTAGTATTAGTGGTCTAAATTTTTGCTTTGGGAGATCAATGAGTTATAACCCGTGAACACTTTGAAATATCTTTTGGTCACTCTAGTGGCTAATGTTATTTTCTGCTTGATTTGAAATTGGTACACAGTGTTTATGTGAAAAATCCAATTGATTTTTATATGCCCACATTGAAATATGGTTGTATGTTGTTGTCGCCCCTTCCGGCAGTCTAAAATTCTTGAAATGAATATCCGATTGATTTTAAATTTATACACAGTTTTTAAGGTCATGAGACGAACAAGCCTATTGATTTATAACGATTTTCGATAATTACTGCCAGAGTTATGGCCCTTGATCCAATTGACTTTAAAGTTCTACAGTGTTTAAGTTCATGAGACGAAGATTCCTATTGATTTTCAACGATATCCGATAATTACTGCCAGAGTTATGGCTCTTGATCACTTTGAAAATCTTGTGGATGCTCTAGAGACCAAAGTTAATATCCAATTGATTTTAAATTTATACACAATGTTTACAGTCATGATATGAAAACACCTATATATTATGGGCCTTGATTACTTCAAAGATGCTCTATAGGCCAAAGTGATCATTCGATTGACCTGAGATTGATACACAGAGTTTGAGGTCTTGAGATGAACAAATATATTGATTTTCAATTAGGAGATAAACACCGACTGTTTAGAATTTAGAGGACTGTTATTGTCCATTTGATACCGCTTAAATCATTAGAGGCTGATACCGTAACTTGAACAGCTAAATCCATGATATTAAATGTTTTGTATACTAAATGTTAACACAGGGCAGAACTGGAAGCCAAACAAATTCTAATGATATTCTGATAATTACTTAAAGAGTGTATTATAAATGTTTCATTACTAACAAAAGAAAAAATATGCGACAACTCTTGTTGACAGCCCGGACGATTTAGCTGCTGTGGGCATATGTTTCATTGCCTGGCAGCCTGTCTTTACTATTTCTGATAACTCAAACATAAATTTACAGTCTGACTACCCTACATGTTTTGTATAATAGGAAGAACTGGATGTCAATCAGATTTTAATTATTTTTAATTATGAGTTACGGATAATATAATGTTATAAATGAACAGACCACATTATAGAAATGTACATATTTTAAGGTGTTGACATTAAAAAATGTTGTTTGATTATGTTTTGTTTCCTTAGAAATCATTCTGCTTATTGTGTCACTTATAAATGAAATGGAATGGGATTTAACATCATATAAATTTCTGCGTCAACCACGTTAATGAAGATGGACATGCATCATACTGTGTACATGTACTATGAGCGTAATTTTGCCCAGACCGATATGTTAACACCTACTCCAATTTTAATTCCAACTGCCAAGGATTCTTCTATGTGCATGCCAATGTGTACACAGGTCCTCAGTCTTTGTCCTATTTGAAGCTGTTCTTTGCCACGTTCTCCCTCCTGCAATATTGACATGGGAAAAGCACACTGAAAAATACAGAGCAACTCTCAAGGCTGAAACTGAAACTTCCTGGGTCAGCACCGTATTCATGGAGCCACTGTATCTCCCCATCCATATGTCCATTTGTCATACACAATTTATGTTTGCGAATAATCTTCTCGTTATTTGGTGTCACAAATCACCAAAATGTTAATATCCTACAGGTCAGGGGTTCTTTTTGATTGGATTATTTCTAAGGAGGAACCTCGGAGGTAATTTATAGGTTGCGGTACCCAGGCCAGCTTGCTTGTTATCCCGTGACAGAGACTTTATAGTTTATAAACAAATTTCATACAGAGAGAGAGAGAGAAATGGTCAGGTTTAATATGGATGTGGACAAAAAGAAGGTCATTTGGGGACTAACATATGGTTCAATTTTATTTCAATAAATCATATGCGCGTAGGAGTCTCTAGCTGTTGGGAAACTGGAAGACGCAGAGAAAACCCACGAGGTTGGACAGACGACCCTACTCCTTGTCACGTAGGCCTACAACCGAGGAATCGAAACCACGTCACTTGACTCAATGACGGACCTTATGATAAAACGCGCACACGCTAACCATTCGACCATCCACCCCACAAACTCATACATGAAAATTGTTGGGAGACCATTCATCAGAAGTAACGATATATTTCAGCGCATTGTGCATCATCAGATACTTAGGAACATGTAAACATTTCACAAGTCCCGCAATTTTGAAACAAAAATGCTTCGATTTTCATTTAATAATGACAATTTGACATAAAGAATGGTATATTGAGGTGCATTTTGGCACATAAATCTTATGATTTTAGATACGGTATATATAATCATCAAATATCGATATAAATTTTTGTCATATGAGTTGAAACGGTGGATTTGGGTGGATATGGGTAAATCGTGCTATTCGTGGTGTGCAAATACCTAATGCCATGTACATTTGGGTGCAAGAACAGTTTAGTTATACATTTGGTGGTACTAATTGTGTAGTATTGCCAGAGGGGGCAAGGGGGGGGGGGCAATATGCAGAGGCGGATTCAATGGGGGCGCGCCCCCCCTAATTTTCGACAGTGCCCTTTTTTACTGCTAAAAGTGCCTTTTCTCAGTCTCAAATATGTCCGTTCCCAACCCGTTGTAGGGATCCCAAATGACTCAAACCAGTCTGGGAATATGGCTACAGATGCAAGGAAATGACGGATAATTTTCTTGGGCCCCCCCCCCCTCAGCGGCGTACCCCCTCTCTCCGCGGTCAATGCTTTCATTTTGCAGCGCCCTCCCTTTTCAAAATTCCTAGATCCGCTCTGATATGCTCCCCGAAAAAATATTTTGGCCCCACCCCCACCGAAAAAATTTGCCGACCATAGCTGTAAAATACCTACTGTAAAAACTTCACTGCCCCTCCGAAGCTATAGCAAGCTGGATATATACGACGGGCCTGATTGCGTGTTTATAATTAATTGAGACTTTGACCATCAAAATTTATGGTAATTTTCAGGATTATGTTTTGTTTATAGTTTAATTTTCCATTCAGTTGTAACTTATATTTTGTGCAATGTGTGAAACCCATAACACAAGTAGTCCTCTTACCACCTATTATTTCTTTCTCGGTCTCTGCTAAACATTGAGTTTAGTCTGCTTCTAATTTATTCAGGTAGTTACATACAAATACGCAGTCGCATAATTTAAAATACTGGTTGGCCAAGACTATGGATTTTACCGTTACTTTACTTCCTGTTTATCGAGATGCACGAGAAACGAAGTACCGTTTGTCATATTCATCATTGTTATTATTAATCCCAGGTTAGTCAAATTCGATATTGAATAAACATAGTATTATCAATGTGTTATAAAAACAAAACTGTGTGATAAGCGCACAGAAACATGTAATTAAACCACATTAATAGTATTACATTTCACCGTAACTCCCCGTAAAATAAAACCTATGACGGGTATATTATAACTAATACATGTATTTTATAGTACAATATTTAACAGTGTGTATCATCCAAGTTTGTGTAAACTCGGGTATAACTCCTGAAAAAATTTTTCTTGTGAAAAACATTTTATGAAACTATAATGATCAAAATTTGAAGTGATATCCTATTTTGCTGTGGTGGTCGATCTATAGTTGTATATATGAATATATTAATTTTGTCCTAAAAATCAATGTTTATTGTATTTCTTAAAATACAGGCTGGTTGTATTTAACATATATACTATTCAAAAAAAGTAGGGGATATTTGATTTTTAAGTGTTATTAAAGTCACCTAATGAAACTGACGAAGAAACAAATGACAAAATGAAATGAAGTTCACATTCATCGATTTATTCCAAATGATCGTTAGACTAAGTAAGGCACAGAATGACCATTATAAGGGTAAAATGATACCCGGGGTCAAACAGCAAAGTTACCACAGCATCACAACCAAGTCAGTAACGGGTAAATCCTCCTCTGTTTGCCAAACAAGCATTGATCCGACGTGGCATACTCCTAATGAGACGTCTAAGGTCATTTTGGTCCAGATTGTCCCATTCCTGTTGCAACGCAGCAGCAAGTTCTTGGACATTGGCAGGACGTTGTTGACGTTGACGTAACCTCTGTCCAAGCATGTCCCAGACATGCTCGATGGGGGAGAGGTCGGGACTCAGTGCTGGCCAAGGTAATGTGGTGATGTTCTGTTGTTGGAGGTAACCTGTAACGATCCTGGCCCTGTGACATCTTGCGTTGTCATCCTGGAAGATGAAACGGCGGCCATGACGTCGTGCGAACGGCACAACATGGACTGTCAAGATGTTGTCCCGGTAGTACTGGCCTGTAACACGCCCTGCAACAACATGTAAAGCCGTTCTTCCAGCAACAGTGATGCCTCCCCACACCATAACAGAACCACCCCCAAATCGATCATGTCTGATGACGTTAACGTCTTGGAAGCGCTCGTTTCGACGACGCCACACCCTCCTACGTCTGTCCAAAAAATCAACAGTGAACCTTGACTCATCTGAAAACATCACATTGCTCCAGCGTCGATTATCCCAGTGTTGACGATCCCTACACCAACGACGTCTTGCCTGAATGTGATGATATCTCAAACAAGGGATCACGCGAGGACGTCGGGCGCGAAGGTGACCCCTATGCAGTCGATTCCGAATCGTCTGGCCACTCACTCTCACACTAGTGTCTGTTTGAAGACGAGCGCTGATCTGATTTGCTGTGATGACACGATTTCTCAAGGCCAAGGTACGGATAAATCGATCCTGGGCTTGAGTTGTCGCCCTTGGTCGACCTGAGCGTGGTCTGTCCTGTACAGATTGTGTATCACGGTATCTGGACCATAGCCTGCTTATGACAGACTGAGAAACATTCATCGTCCGCGCCACAACCGCCTGTGTTGTGCCGATCTGTAGCATGCCAAGGGCACGTAACCTTTCATTTTGGGTAAGCCGACGCATATCAAAATTTGTTTTCTGGTCACTAAAACAATTAAACTGATGTTTCCACCCTGGAATTCAATGCCACAATGACTGTAACATTCAAAGTCAGAGTCGTGCAAATCTTGGGTTGGACCCCCATGATGATCCCAAGCATCACCTGCATTCCATGCGGTAGCTATTGGTGCGTTTGGGCGTCACATGTAACTGGAAATGTTTCTTCTGTTAGGTTCTATAGTGACTTTTTTCGTAGTCATTTGCATATTTTAGTATTATGCCCCCAAAATCAAATATCCCCTACTTTTTTTGAATAGTATATATTAGATTATTGTATAGAATTACCATTATCAATATTTACAAGCGGATTTATTTGGCAATTGAATATTCAGAATAAAGATATGATAAGAAATATCTGTATAATTAGCTACTGGTGTATCATGGTATGTAAAATTTTTATTTGGATAATCAAATGATTTTTTTTTTCTCTACTGTCTTTTGCAAAAGTTTTGTTCAGTTAAACAGTTCAGTACATGTATTTGAATTCCAGGCTTGATGGGATTCACAGCTATTAAAAAGAACAGGTACCCGTAGATCAAAACAGAGACAATCATTTAAAATCATCTTAAAAAGAGGATCGAGTCAGCAAATTATTTATAGGCAATACATTTGTGCTTTTGGGTAAATAGTTTTTGCACTGAGGGATAATTGCTGTGTTGTTTGGTTTGTTTATTGCATTGGGTGTTCACAAAGAAAGAAATATGACAGATTTTACTTTTCCACTTTCAATTCAACTACAATCTTTTGGACAAAAGAGTATCATTCATTTTTTTTTTTTTTTTAAGTTTATATTGCTAATAAATTAGTTGTTCACACCTTGATCTAAGCAACAAAAATGTTTTGGGGTATTTGTTATCTTGTCTGGCAATTAGCTATGTAGGCCTACATGTAATAATCTATTTTTTTTTATTATGTAGATCTTCATGCTAGGAGAGAAATGTTATATCTTTTTAAATGTTGTGTTTTATGAGACATAAACCAACACTATAGATATGTGCGTAGCATGATTACTCACTGTCCATGTTGAAAAAATTGGCACAGAAATGTTTGTGGGTATTAGAAGAATATAAATAGACTAAAATTGTTTTTTTTAAAATGTAAATCAGGCATGAAAAAGCTAACAAAAAAGAGCATGGACTTTTTCCTATATTTAATTGTTTATTCCATAAATTGCTTTCACAGATATTGGTGTGTGTGGCAGATGTTGTTATTTATGAAACTTGTAAAAAAAAAGTTGTGATTTATTTACCGTATTGTAGGGCAACATCCTGGTTCAGTTTTTGTTGTCCAATGTCAAACAAATATAAAACCAGAACAGGATATACTTTAAGGATGATTGAAATGTTTACTCTGAATTTACTAAAAGCAGTATTTGATGTGCTTTTGTTGCCATTAAATATTCATGTTTGAATACAATATATTATAACATTTATATTCTTAACTTTAGAGGGTCTGTAATATAAAATGTCATTTTTAGAAAAAAAAGTACTTAACATTGACATCCTTAATATTTTTTCTGGTGAAATATGTGAACTGTTAAATTGTTGACCTCAGGCAGCTAGGATTGATAAAGTAAACTAAGTCAGCTGTGACTGCCATGCTATTTACAATCTGGTTAAAACACACATCCTATATATATATTTTGTTTTTTATAGTTCAAAATTTTGTTTTACTTGTCTTTTGCTACACTAGGATCTGGAAGAGTTGATATATTACCTCCGTTCTAGTTGATGTGAGGGATTAGCCAATGAAACGGTCTGTTGCAGTCAGTTATTGCGGTGCTATGCACGGAACTGTGGGTATATATCCCACTAGAAACATTAACACTGATAGGTTTATCAAATGTCTGAAGTCATATGGTCAAAAGCCGCTCCTATGACCCCTGAAACAACCTCACACTACAACTGGTCAGATCTTCAGTATTTTAATCAGATTGTGACATTTACTACTAGACTTGTTTACAAGAAAGGCACAAAATATTACATGTTGTGTTGTATTATTAACAGTTTAAAATATGTTTTGAGAGATTTATTGCAATGGAGTTTAGACATGACCTGACAAATAACGTTCGAATTTGAAAAAAAATTGAATCCAACCATATGAAAAAATATCAGATTCGTGAAGAATTAACTTTATCGCTTCATTAAATAATTAGACATATATAACTGATTTTATAACAAAATTTGGATTTTATGACTGTCATATGTTACTTATAAAATTATTAATATATTTCAATTTGGATTTATAGTTTAAAATACCTAATGGTGTGAAATTTGATTAAAAACAGATAGCCATCTTTGTATGGTGACATTTTCCATTTTGTGCTGATGGCAGTGTGCGTGAATTTTTGTGATTAATCCCATGAAATATGAACTGCCAATTACAGGCATTAAAATCAATAACATGGCCGTTGTATAACTGGAAATAGTGGGTGCTTAAATGTGGTGAACAGGCTGTATTTAGTCAGTTATACTGACTTTTGTTGTAGAACACAGAATATTGGAGGATTTTAGAGCATAAGGTTGGGATTAATATGATTTGGATTTAATTATTTGTTGGTTTTATATTTATCTGTATATGAGTATCTGGTAAATATGATCATATTGTTGTCACTATATTTAGCCCATCAGGCTTATCTTGTACCCTCAGTCATCTGTCGTCCATTTGTTAGCTTTTTATATTTTTAGATTCTTTCAAATCATTTGATGTTTTTCAACCAAATTCAGTAGGCATGTTGTTGCTTGAGTGCTGTTTATTTACCATAAATATATTATGGGGTAATGGTATGTGTACATTAAAGGGGCAATTTAGACATGTTGTACTTGTTCAACATGGTCATCAGGATATTTGGCACTGTCAACACATGTCCAACTAGGATTGTCTAAAACTAAGACCATATGGAAATTTAGCAGCTGTGTGAATTGCTGACAAAATTAACAGATATCAATGCAAGATTTGTCCAAGTCTTTAAAAAGTCAGCAAATAACCATTGATAAATTCATAAAAATTTGTGAAAATCTTAAAAGGTGATCTGTATGAAATAGACTATTTTATGATGATCCTGTGTGTGTAGACATGTGGATAGATAGATAGATAGATAGATATCTTTTCATTTGTCGAATGAAGTTAATAAAATATTTTTGAAAGGTAAATCATTAACTCTCATTTTATCATGTCACTTTCTTGAATGTCATTTTTGATTCATTAGGTATGATGACCCTGCCTTCGAATCTTTAATAACCATAGTTGTTTGTTTATTGTGAAAATGAATTAAATATCAAAGTAAATGATGAAATCAATACTTGTTTACTTCTATTACATGTAGTTTAATTAATGTACACTTTGATGTTAAATGTCACTGTCTATATTGTCTAATAATGAAACCTTACAAATATAGGAAAACATCCTTGTTTAGATGACTATTTTCATGTTGTTGTGATCAATATAATTTCAGAGATTTATTGTGTGATGACGCCCATACATTTATATTCATTTAATGCATTTTATGCCATTAACCAATTTACTTTAATATTTATATTACTGACATTTGGAATGTTGTACCAGTAAATGTTAAAGGCTGTTTTTGAAATAAGACGAAAGTCAGCTAAAATGAGAATTGACATTTTTAAAAGCTCACATGACTGAAAGTATAATTTCGTCAGCCAGTGTTTCGTTTGATTAGGCCTAATCCTACTCGAACACTGCTGGACTACGTGATGATTTCTGTTACAAATTATTACTGATTAACAATCGAATTAACAACCAAACAATTACAGCGTAACAAATCAGTCAGAATTAACCAACTCTTTAACTATGTTGACGTAGTCCTTTTTTGTTTCGTTTTTTATAGTTCAAAATTTTGTTTTACTGGTCTTTACTACACTAGGATCTAGAAGAGTTGTTATATAACCAGTGTTCTGGTTAATGTGAGAGATTAACCAGTCATCCTAATCAAATCTAATACTGTACTGTATAGTAACTTTTTACTTTTATAGCATTTTCTGTGGTGAAAATCAAGCATCAGAAAGATGATTCTTACTACCAGAAGTGCCAGACTACTGCTTGTCTTCCAAGTACTGCTGCTCTTTGTTTTGACGATTGACTCTGCTACTATTGGAAGTCATGATTATTGTATTATCGGGGCAGGGCCCTCAGGTCTACAGTTAGGATACTACATGGAAAAAGCCAAAAGGGATTATATCATATTTGAAAGATCTAATACTTCAGGTAAGTATTCCTATAATTATTGAGTTTAACTAGTGACCAAGAAATAATCAACATTCATACTGAAAATTGAAATAGCAATGGCATAAATTCAGTGGCGTGGTTGGATGGTGGCTGCAACAACAGTTGTTTTTCGAGCAAGTGACTATAGCTCTTGAGTAATCCAGCTAGCGGGGGATCTGAATCCCCCCCCCCCCCATGTCCTCATCGGGTCAAAAGAAAACCCTGAAATTTCTGCTATTTTGAACATAGTTTTCTGTTCAGAATATGATATTGTGTTTGCAAGTTGATTGTGATTTGGAATAGTAAATTCATGCAAAATTTTATATTTTATTTTTTAGGAAACTTTTATGTAAAGTATCCACGGCACCGAAAACTTATCAGCATTAACAAGAGACATACTGGCCAAACAAATAAAGAATTTAATATGCGTCATGATTGGAACTCATTACTCAGTCATGATGATTCTCTTCTATTAAGGCATTATTCCAAAGAAATGTTTCCTCATGCTGATGTTCTGTTAAAATATTTGAAAGATTATAAAGAGAAATTAGGAATACAAGTTCAGTTTAATACAGAAATCAGTAATATACATACAGTTAAGAATGAATCAGCACCGGATGGTCACCTCTTCTATATGAATGATCAAACTGGAAAGCAATACATTTGCAGGTATGTAGTTATAAGTATATGAAATCAGATAGAACATCCATTTAACAGAGGGGGGTGGGGGGTGGATGGCCAAATGGTTAGCATGTGCACGCTGTATCGTAAGGTCTGTCATTGAGTCAACTGGCATGGTTTCTATTCCCCGGTTGCATGCGGTCGCCTGTCCAACCTTGTGGATTTTCTCCTGGTCCTCTGGTTTTCTCCCACTGCTAAAGACCCCTACGTGCAAGCGAATTATTGGAAATAAAAAATTGAACCATGTGTTAGCCCCAAAATGACCTAGTTTATGTTGAGTGACCGTTAAAACCCATTTCTACCTCTCTCTCATTTAATAGTGATGTAAAAAATATAGTGTGCTTTTTTTTTTAGATGAGTAGGGAACACAAAGGATATATTTTAAAACATTAGTTGCCCTGAAAAAGAAAATTACAGCAAAAATCCATATTTTGAGTCTGATCCATAATTATGAGTCTGATTTTCTTTTAGTAACTTCTTTGTTGTCATATCTAAATATATCTATGTGAAAAATGTTTTGTTATTGCATTTTATCAGATTAACAAAGTTGTATATGTTATTTAAATTTCAGAACTTTAATAGCTGCTACAGGTATGTGGAAACCTAATATACCTGAAGTACCAGGTATAGAATATACTGAAGGTTATGAAGATGTATCCTTGAATCCAGAGGAATTTGAAGGACAAACAGTTTTAGTATTAGGTATGTGTCCAGTACAGAATTAAACTCTCATCCTGGTCGTAGGATGGGGGGTGGGGGGTGGTATGGCCAAATGGTTAGCATGTGCGCACTGTATCATAAGGTATGTCGTTGAATCAACTGGTGTGTGGTTTCGTTTCCCCGGTTGTACATGACAAGGGGTAGGGTAGCCTGTCCAACCTCGTGAGTTTTCTCCAGGTCCTCCGGTTTCCTTCCACTGCTAAAGACCTCTACTTGCAAGCGAATGATTGAAATAAAATTAAACCATGTGTTAGTTCCAAAATGACCTAGTTTGTGTTGAGTGGATGTTAAACCCCATTTCTCTCTCTCTCTCGCTAGATGGGGTGATACAGAGATAGTGGTGGGGGAGGTGAAATGCTGTGTATTTGCTATAAGCCACACCCAGTTTATTGTCCATCCCTTTCTTCTACTATGAGCACACCTTCTTTACCAAATTGCTGTATTGAAAAACAACACCGCCATATTTTAGTTAACGTTTAATTAGATGTTGATAACACTAATATATTAAATTGTATGTATAAACAGTTATAAAAAAACTGCCACGATTAAAAGTCATCAGAATATGATTGATAAATCTTAAATAATTCAATTTCAAATGTTGCTGAAAATGAAGATTTTTGACTTCATCTTTACAATAATTTTTCAGGGCGAGGTAATGCAGCTTTTGAAACTGCTGATCATATTATGGGTTCAACTAATTTAATACACATGGTTGCCAGATCTAGAGTAAGGTTATCATGGGCTACTCACTATGTCGGAGATTTACGGTAATTAATAATAATTATTACAACACTTATAAATGACTAAACAAAATTTTATGTACTTATAGCCAGTGGTTACTATATACCAGTTACACTTTACAGCAAGTTCACACCAATCTTATTAAAATTAATTGTGCCATCTTCACTTAAAGTCACAAAACTACTTTGCCAATTATTGAAAACACTCTTAATCCCCTGAGACGCCAGTGACGTCAACAGTGACTGAATGCATATTACAAATGTTTATTCCTTAATTACGTATACACACCGGGATGTGTACACATTAATGCCTGACTGGTCTCTTAATCCCCTAATTAAATAAAACAATTAACTACGGAATAGTTTATTTTAATTTTAGGTTCTATTTAGAATTTGTTTTAGGCAAGACAAATAAAATAAGTTATTTCTAATAACCAGAACAGGAAATATAGAATTAAAGCAAAGAGTCTAGTATACCTACAATATATTGAATAAGTTAATAATTACAGAGAGCGTCAACAACCAGCATGGGCACATGTTGCCCCTGGTTTCTTGATGACACACTCTAATTGCTAGCATATTCACCCCCTTGTCATTAATATAAGGACTCCTGAATTAAAATATGTATTTTAAATATTTCGTTATTTTTTTACAACCAAATAAGTTTGTGCACCTGTATATGAATTTACATGTTACACAAAGAAATGATCAAGAAATTGACATAGTGTTAAATATTTTATATGTATTATTTTAGAGCTATCAACAATGGATTGTTAGATACTTATCAACTAAAATCATTAGATGGTGTATTAGAAGCTGCTATTAATGAAGTCAAGATAGTTAAACGTAATGGTAAACTGTTTCTAGATTTAAACACAGAAGATGAAGAGGAAGAATCGCTAGTATATCTAGATAATTTTGCCATGAGAGAACCATATGATAGAATTATACGATGTCTGGGATTTAAGTTTGACATGTCGATATTTAGAAATGAGTAAGTATCGATACTGTGTGTATTAAAATAATTATTACAGGTCCTTAGTCAGGTGGGGCCAGCATTTCCAGAGCTAGCAAGACAAATTCTTGACTTGCCATTATCGATCACACACTTTTCATTTGCTATCCAGTCAAAACTATTCACTTTTGATTTCACTGAGAGAACAAATCGACAAACATGTTCAAGTCTCATTTTGCATAATTTCATGTTCAAATTGGAACTGTCAATTATGCCAGTAATTTTACTGTTTATATGACTAAAGTTTTTATGTATTTTTCGATTTTTGATTGGACCCCTTGTTTTGCTTTACTAATACTTCTGTATTTCTTGCATTTAGCACTGATGTGATAAAAAAAGCTTCAGGTTTGAGAATTAGTAAATTCCCATCTATAATGCACAACTATGAATCAACAACTACTAAAGGCATGTTTGTGGCTGGTACAGCTAGTCATTCCTTAGATCACAGAAAATCTGCTGGTGGCTTTATTCATGGTTTTAGATACACAGGTAGGAATATTACCCTCCATTACTTTTCTCAGTTTAATCATAGATATTATCTATGGTTTAATGCATATTTTTCAGCATACTTAGAGATATGTCTAGTGAATCGGATGCAGACCACATTAACAAAATTTAGTTTTAGTAGCTTGAAATAATTTTAATTAAAATAGAAAAATTAAAAAAATTGTTGAGAACCTAATTTCTTTTTCTCCGAACTGTTTGTTATAGAAATTTTAATTTTCAAATTATATTTACAGCCCGAGCATTGCACCATATTTTAGAGAGTCGTTATGAAGGTGTAATATGGCCCCATAAAACATACAAATCTTCTGAGTTAGTAAATGTTTTATTGAAGAGAATGAATGAAGCTTCTGGAACATATCAGATGTTCAGTGTACTTGGTGATGTTGTTGTCTTTAGAGAGTAAGTGTTACATTTATATCAGAGTTTATGATCAGACATGTTCATTTTAAATTTTCGGTTCTATAAGTTCACTATGGCTAAAACTGGTAGTGTACCCACTGGCAGACGCAGAAAATTTAGTATTGGATGACCCCGATGGTCCTCTTAATATATTTTGAAAAATTCGGGTGGTACATATCTAGACCCAAATATAACATTCAGTTTCATTATCCACATCGCCACAACCAACATAACCCCTCATAGAAACAGAATAATAAGTGAATATTTTAGGGGGTGAGGTGCATCTCGATCCAATATTAGGTGTACCCATGTTCTGCAAATGCTGTTTCGTGGTTTTTTAGTTCAGCCTATCATATCTCTCTTCTGTCCGTCTGACTGGCTTAAACAATTAGTTATCTATATGGCAATATTTAGATTTATGTTTTAATTACATTTTATCAATAAACATTTGTTTTGATTTTAGTAACCGAGAAAGTTTTGAATATTATGAGGAATTCCCAATAAATCTCCTACACGAGTTTACCAATATAACAGGAGCAGAAGCAGGAGAGTTAATAGCAGTGGTTTTACAATATGGTGCCAACTTCTCTGGTCCTGGAAATGATATTTTCCGAACTGACCGAGCCACTGGTGAACCATCGGAGGCTCATAAATCCAACTTTCTTCACCCAGTATTATATTATTATAAAGACATTCCAACAGGTAGGTATCTTTTCAAAGCAGTATTGTGTTAGGAGGCTAAAAAACATTTTCCTTTTTTAAATCTAAAAAAAAATTTCTGCAATGTTTAAATATCAAAAATCTACCCAAATGACAAACTAAACTGAATTCAAATTAATGCATAATGTTTCAGGAGGCGGATTTCAGAAACTTTTAAACATAAACCTCATAATGTATATTTTCAGCAAAACAGATGAAGACTAAAAAACGATCTGAAATATTGCCTCGACCACATCTGATGCATCATATTGTTGAAGATTTCCTTACTATGTGGGACGCACCAATCAGCCATGTTCTACCGTTAAGACGATTTATAGAGGATGTGTTACAACTTGATATCAGACATTATTATATGGAAGATTGTTTCCGTCTGTCTTTGTTACATTCTACAGTACCAAGTGGTTGTCAGCCATATCTTAATGGACAGGGTTTAAGTGGAACAGGACTTTTGATTGAATCGGCCTTAAAACAGGGGTTATTAATGTGAAATTCTGATTAAATTATATTAAACCTTTTGTGTTTTATCATGTGATTATATTTAATTCTATTGAGTAATATTCCACAACATTTTTAAAGGCTCAATCAGATATTGTTTTAGTTTCTGTTTTTAAAGTACCAGTATTGCATAATCTTTGCAAAATTGTAACAGCTGTTGTATGCTTTAAGTTTAAATCAAAAGCTTATCTTTCATTAGTTATATATTTAAATAATAATATCATTAATAATAAACACCCATATTTTTGTAATCTCGAGGATCAGGCAACTTCTTGGAAATCATGGTCAGATGGTATGTTTAAAAATCAGTACTATTGGATTTACTTGGAAGACATTTATCTTTTATAAAGACTTTTTACAACATATTTTCATAACTTCAAATTTATTGACCAGTTATATGTAGGTTATTGTGTCTTCAAGAGTTATACTATTTTAATTTTTATCCATTCATTTCTCAGTAATATATGTATTTTAGTATATCAAAATTTAATTTATAATGTGTTATTTTTTTATTTGTTTACTTTTAGATGACTTTAGCTTTAACGATGTTAATTAGTAATCCTTTCTTTAGTTATTATAATTTATATTTTGGTTAGAGGGTCAGAGATAGTTAAAAGAAACTGTTATAGATATATAGCTCATATAACTCCCCATATTATAACAAAAAGGTGCTGTGATAAATATATGATTTTAAATCAGGGACGAGTCTGTCGGATGACAAAAGTCATAATGTACAAAGGGCAAACAAATGAAAAAAAAAAAACTAATCACAAAATATATTACTAACAATGGCTCTTTTATTTAAAAAAATAGCAAACCCCAAAACAACATAGCTCTAGTTTAAGATTATTGTTCATTCTTACCCCAGTTCACCACAAATGATTCTTGAACTGCTATCATTATTGTTATTTTATTGGACTATCAAGGTGGTCCAGAATAAACGTGGGGCCAACTATTTCATTACAATCTGCTGTAGAACTTATGGTCTGAAGCTAAAAGTATTGATTTTTGTCACGTTCATAATACAATAACACTATAAGTGTGTTTGTGGGTGGGGAGAGGGGATGTGCAAGTTGTCCTTAGTAGGCTATAGCTTTATTGTTTAGGATAAGATGTATAGGCCTGCATAGGTTTGAAGATTGTTTAAAAGGCTGTGGCAGTGTTTTGTTTGTGTAAACTTTATTGTACAAATATGTATTTCTTTATAAAGAATAGCATCTTTAGTTTGTTTTTATATTATATTATATTATTGTTTGTTTGTTACTGAAATCACATGCTCGCAAGGGCTTGAATTTATCATTAATTGTTATCTTCCAATGTGTTCAATAAATTAAAAAACCAAGTGGAATATTATAGCTAAATGTTTATATATACTGGGACAGATATATGGATTTATAAGGGGAGGTTCACATTAAGTAACAATTTTACTTGGAGAATTTTCCTTCCTTTCCTGCAATCTAGCTCTGACTTGACAGGTTTCAAGGCATTAAATGTGTGTGAAGTTAATGGTACTTTTGTCCAAGAGGGTGTAAAAAGGATCACATCAACCAATGAACTCCATGGGGATACACCCCTGATATATATGATGTAATATAGTATATTCGGGATGGGACTAGAGATTTTATTAATTATTATATAAACTTATGTAAGCCCATGAAATGTACATTATCATTTATGTTGAAATAAAAGCTTTAAAAGATTAAAGCAATAAATCTATCAAAGTTTCTTGTTTGTATAGTCATATATATTATAACATAGATAGTCTGAGATGATTGAATAAAGTGACTCATATTACTAGCTCTTGATAAGAATTACTTCTAGGGTCTATATGTGGTGGCAAGAAATAGGTTAATAATAATATTTAGGACACACAGTACACACAAAAATTGAAATGGTAGCCTGTGCAAAAATAAAGAATATTTTAAAATAGAAAAGTTCCTATGTGAATTATTCAATAACATTAATTCAAATATCCTGGATAATGAAGATAGGCATAGGTCATGCATTGTGTTAAGAGGGAAATTTTATTTGCATGGACTGCAGTTCTATATATGTTCTGTTCACACACACACACCCACCCACACATCCCTACTTTAAATCAACTGTGCCCACTACTATAGACCCCTATAACGTGCAAGCAAATTATTGAAATAAAATTGAACCATATGACTTAGTTTGTGTGAGTGAACGTTAAACCCCATCTCTCTCTCCCTCTCTATTTAGACATCGTTAGCAGATAGTAGCCGCTGTGGTCAGTTCGATTTCAATACAATTTAGAATTTAATCTTAATTTTGAGTAGAATACTGTTTTTGGTTACTTTAATTTTGATAACAACAATTGTCTCGGTTTCTACTGTGAATAATCTAACTGCATGCACTGTCCTTGACAACATAGGCATAGGGAGCCAATCTGTGAATTTATGAGACCAAGTTTTCCTAGACCAGTTTTTTGCGTAGATTCCGAATCTGGGTGGTGATCAGGCGTTTGAGGGGGCGTTTTCGAGATATGGTGGGGGGGGGGTTCCAATGTCTACGATTGGGGGAAAATGTGATTATGTTGACATAAATGGTGATGATGTTATATATAAATAAAACATAGATTTCTAGGACTGTCCATCTCTAAATAAGTGTATCGATGCCCTTGGACAACTGTTTTGATTTGTGGCGAGGTGGCGTGGGTGGTTGCAGGTGTGCTTGTGTGGAAGTGGGGCTGGGTAAATTGGCGGGAAATGAATTCACGTTGATTTAAATGATGATTTTCTTAGAACATTCTGAAACATCTCTACAAATATGTATATAAGATTCCCAATGTGTGTGTGTGGGGGGGGGGGGGTCGGGATGGGTGCTCATGGGGGGGGGGGGGCAACATGTATCTTTGTGGACAGAAATCATTTGGTTCAATATTAATCTTAACAGTGGTTTTTCGTTAGCTTTTCGTTCAGTACCTATATTTGGTCATTCAAAATATTAAATTATGATGGTACTTTTCAAGATATCTGGAAATGTAAATCAAAAACACTGTAAATCAGAGACATGTTTAGATATTAGTTTATTCTTAGTCTTCATCAGAAGATTCAAAATCAAAAGTTCATAATATGAGCGAGATAAATATCTTCTTGGTTGCTTACCAAAAGCTCGCATATGTCCTTTGGATATGCTTCAGATACCAGTTCACATTGTAAATCTTCATTCCAGCCATGTTACTTTTTCACCCAGAAAATCTTTCTTCTAGCGTCATCTACTGATGTAAGTCGCCTTCCGCGATATGTTCTACCTTTGCCCGTCTCATTATCGACCAAAATGTGTATTTTGGGAAAATCGTTTGCGAGGAGAACGATTGGGATGTCTATTTCGCCCGAGTAAGAACACAAAATACAATTTGTTTCAGCGCCTCCATTAATTTTCAATGCGAAGAGGAGTACGTGAGTTAGTTTGGTGTCCTCGTGGTTTGTTGTCAGTTCTAGGATATTCTCGACACTTTCAATACTAATCTTGATATAATTAAGTGTCTAAGAATATCTAGGCCTCAGGGCCTAAAATAACGTGCCTTGGAGCACGAACGTGCTTCGAAATGAAAAATCTGTGCTTCGAAAATAAGAAAACCGTGCTCTGAAAGAAATGGCGTAAGGCTCTGAAAAAGTGTAAGGTAGCAATGCCTCCTGACTCCTACTGAGTGTTTCCTCTTGTGGTGGTCAGTTGCGAAGGTCAGATCGGATGAGTCGAGTAAGCGCCAGCCGCATCCGCCTTTAGTCAGGTGTTCAGTAGGTTTGGTATCTGATCCGCTGCGTCTTTGACCGTCATTTCACTTTCACTTTATTTTTGACATAATTTTCACTAATTTTCGGTATTATCTGTGATCTTAAGTATTAAAATAAGGATGGGAAACCGGAGCTTAATCCACCGGACACAGAATCCGTGCTACAAGAATTTAACCTTATTTTAGGCCTTGCTAGGCCTGCATGCTTTCAGTGGTAATGACTATTTGTTTTTCTTTTACAAGATAATTCAGTGGTATTGACTATCTGTTTTTCTTTTACAAGATAATTCCAACTTTCTAACAATTTTTAAAGAGCTGTGACAGGCAAATGGTGTTTCTGATGTCTTAATTACTGGAATAGAAATAATTGTTTGTGCCATGTACGGCGAAAGGCGACTTACATCAGTAGATGACATTAGAAGAAAGTTTTTCTTGAGGAATTTTAATGGTTTCTTTTATTACCATCTTGCCTGGGTAGTCTTTTGCTGCACATTAAATGATCGAACAAGATCACCTTGCGATACAATACAAAGCTGGAATGAAGATTTGCTATGCGAATGGGTATCTGAAGCATATCCACAGGATATATGCGAGCTGTTGATCACACATAAAGAAGATATTTATCCCGCTCACATTATGAACTTTGATTTTGAATCCTCGGATGAAGAATATAAGAATAAACTAACATCTAAACATGTCTCTTGTTTACTGGGGGGGGGGGGGGGTCCCAGATCTCTTGAAAAGTACTGTTATAATCAATCTGATTAAAATACAGATCTTTATTTCGTTTCGTTTTTTTATACTTTCGATGCCCCCCAAAAAATTTATTTTCGGGCAATGAAAAATTCGACGACCTTTTTTTTTTCTATTAACGTTTAGAGAAAAAATATAACTAACTTATTTCTATGAGATCCACACTGCCCGAAAAGTATTTTCTCGTCTTTTTCTTGTCCACTGCATATGCCCGAAAATATGCCCGAAGCTCTCTTATGATAGGTATGCCCGAAAAAACGGTATTGCCCGAAAATAGGTATTGCCCGAAAAACGGGCATCGGGCCGGAAAGCGGCAGAGGAAACTAGCAGTAAAACGCGTTTGCGACCGTCAAATATTCCAAAATTTTCTTGGCGGGTCATTCGCCTCTTAAAGAAAACCGGCGCCGCTATGTCTATATAAATCCGAAATTTTTCGGGCATTTCTAGTTTTGCTTCCCTAACTGTCATCGAGCCCTAATAAAACACTAATTTTACTTTTCTTGTAATTGAATATCACGAATTTGTACTGAGTTGACTATGGATTAAAACATTTTGTCTGGAGCCACTCTACTTTGTGCGACATTTTTCAGGCATCGATTATTATTTGTGAATGCAGATGCAACAGTCTGATTGGATGGTTAGAATTCAGAGTGGGATTTCAGTTACAAAACCATTGGATACTTTTGGAGTTGCTTACACGGGCTAGAATAGCAGAAAACGCATTTACGGTGATTAAATTTTCAAATTTTTCTCCGGGAGGGTGAGGCCTCCATATACCGCGCGACGATTTATTGGTTGTTTGGAATTCGGGTCAGCCAGGTAGGCTATATATTGGACCAAATTGAAGTTGCTGTATTCACAGACTTGAATAACAGGAAAACGCGTTTGCGGCAGTTACATTTTCAAAATTTTCTCCCAACGGTCCCGTCTTCGTTGTCTGTAAACGATTGATTGGAATTCGAGTCAGCCACCTTAATAAGGCTATAATATATATTCGTCCACTTTGAAGTTGCTTTATTCACCGGCTGAAATAGCAGGAAAACGCGTTTGCGACAGTTAAATTTTCAAAATTTTCTCCTAACGGTCCCGTCTTCGAGGACTGTAAACGATTGATTGGAATTCGAGTCAGCCACCTTAATTAGGCTATATTAGACCGCTTGAAGTTGCTTTGTTCACTGGCTGAAATATCGGGAAAACGCGTTTGCGGCAGTTAAATTTTCAAAATTTACTCCTAACGGTCCCGTCTTCGAGGACTGTAAACGATTGATTGGAATTCCGAGTCAGCCACCTTAATTAGGCTATATTAGACCACTTTGAAGTTGCTTTGTTCAACGGCTGCAATAGCAGGAAAACGTGTTTGCAGCCGTCAAATATTCCAAAATTGTCTTGGGGGGGGGGGTATACAAGGTCGCTGCTGTCTGTAAACCCGAAATTTTTTCGGGCATTTCGGGTTCTGCCCCCCTAACTGTCATCGAGTTCTACGCCTAGTAGATGGCATACATTACATGAAGATCATACGATCGGTTTTTGACCCTATGACGTCAGACATTGATTAATCAACCAGCGTTGATAAGAACTCGCCATAATAGACCGTTTCATTGGCTAATCCCTCACATTAACCAGAACGCGGCTTATATAACAACTCTTCCAGATCCTAGTAGTTATGAAGACGAAATTTTGAACTATAAAAAACGGAACAAAATATATAGGATCTGTGTTTTAATCAGATTGCAATATATAATATTTTGAATGACGAAATTGGTACTGAACGAAAAAAAAGCTAACGAAAAGACACTTTTCAGGTTAATTTTGAACCAAGTGGTTTCTGTCCCCAAAAATACATTTTACCCCCCACCCCCCATACAATGGGACTCTGATACATATATTTAGAGATGTGCAATGAAATTAAAAAGTAATGTTTTAATCAAGCTCTAAGAAAATCATCATTTAAATCAACGTGAACTCATTTCCCGCCAATTTTATCCCCCACCCTTCCACACACGAACACCGGCAACCCCCAAACCCACAAATCAAAACAGTTGTCCAGGGGCATCATATACACTTATTTAGAGGTGGACAGTCCTAGAAATTTATGTATTATTAATATATAACATGATCATCATTTATGTCAACATAATGACATTTCCCCTCAATTGTAGACATTGGACCCCCTTATCTCGAAAACGCCCCCCTCAAACGCCTGATCACTTTTGCCCCCCCCCACCCCCATTAAATAGGAATTTATACTCATACTTAGAGATGTGCAGCTGAATTTAAAAAAGTAATGATTTTATCAAGCTCTAAGAAAATCATCATTTAACTCGACGTGAACTCATTTCCCACCAATTTTATCCCCCCCCCCCCCTCTACACACACGCACACCTGCAACCACCTACCCCGCCTCGCCACAAATCAAAACAGTTGAACAGGAGCATCATAAATACTTAGTTAGAGATGGACAGTCCTAGTAATGTATGTTTTATTAATATATAACATGACCATCATTTATGTGAACATAATCACATTTTCCCCCAATTAAATTGTAGACATTGGACCCCCTATATCTCGAAAACGCCCCCTCAAACGCCTGATCCCCACCCAGATTCGGAATCTACGCAAAAAAATGGTCTAGAAACACTTGGTCTCATAAATTCTCAGCTCGGGAGGCGATCCCCCCCCCCCCTTCAGCCACCGGACTAGAAGGAGATAAAACAAATCTTTGTCATTGAAAGAGGCATCTGAATTTTTAATAAAACAAACAAAGTGTGTTCCGAATGCAGAATTTAAGTAGCCTAGATTATCAAGATTCAAAAATCCGGATATGACCTGATGGTGTAGACTACATAACAACATGGCTGCTTCTGTGGAACTTCGAACATGTGAAACTCCGGGTTGTGACGGAAAAGCTAAACTGCAATGTCCTACCTGTATAAAACTGGGAATAACTGGTTCTTACTTTTGTTCACAGGTTAACCATCCCTTCATCACAAATAATTCGTACATGCCTTCAATCTGAAGACTTAATTATACCCGATTTTACTTCCACTCCCATTTATTTTGTCAAAACTTCGTCTGATGTCGGTGCCATAATTGGAATATCCAAAACTTTTAATTGAACCGTTATGGCATCTACTAGAATCAACTGTTGAAATCTTAAATTTCTAGACACACCTTAATTATATATAGCTACTTTAGACTTTATTAACAGATTCTTATGGACAGAGTCTGCTATCGGTTACTTGCTGATGCTAAAGACTCCTCATCATATGATATGATTATAAGGCTCTTCCCCCATCTCGGTTATAAGTCTTTTGGAATCCTTACCGTTTATTTTTCACCGTGATTCTTTGTTTACCAAAAGGAATCATTTGTTGCCACATCCAACTCATATTAGGGGGGTTGGATGGCTGAATGGTTAGCGTGCGCGCGCTGTACCAAAAAGGCTGTCATTGAGTCGACTGGCATGGTTTCGAATCCCCAGTTGTACGTGACAAGGAGTAGGGTCGCCTGTGCAACCTCGTGGGTTTTCTCCGGGTCCTCCGGTTTCCTCCCACTGCTAAAGACCCCTATTGAAATAATATGTTAGTCCCGAAACCATATGTTAGTCCCGAAATGACCTATATATAGTTTGTGTCGAGTGGACGTTAAACCCCATTTCTCTCTCTCTCTCTCCGACTCAAATTTATAATAATTCAACACTATTTTCATGTAGAATTTAGCGATCCAGAAACACAAATAAAATTCGTTTGAAATGATCTGGCTTTATGAAGCTCTGCCAATATTCGAAATTAAGAGATGGAATGTTATCAGAATGAAAATTCTTGCTGTCCTTCATAATTGTTTATTTATGTTGAATACATAAACTTTAGTGGTATCAATATTGACAGTTTTGTCTATTACTTGAAGTACAGTGAGAATTTTTCGTTTAGAGTAATATTCGCCATTCCTAGATTTAGAATATTGGTTGAGCGCAGCTATGAACTTGTGACCTCCGGTCTGCGCAGGAAGGAATGAATTTCATAATGGCGGATCAGTTCAAACAAATTTTTTTGAATAGCTAAATTTTACATGAAAACAGTGTTGGATTATTATAAATTTGTGTCAGATATTGCAGAGTCTGATAAGATTCTGTTAATTAAAGTAACTAGGCTCACCTCCTTTCAAACGTTGACAGGAGATTCTACTGGGGGATGGCTCATCATTGTGTCACATTCCTGCTTTATACTATATCGATGACTATGGGTATAAATATGCATTACCGCAAGTCTCTTAAATTTATGATTATAATTTCAGGAGTGCTTTAAAGGAATCTGGGGAGAACATAAAAAAGTGCATAAAAAAGCAAGTAAGTATAATTGTTGTTCATTTGGCATTTTAGTAATTGGTGACAAGACACATGTTTTGTATAATTTTTCAGTTACATAGTAAGAGTAGAATGATTGACGAAGCGTATAGTTTAGTCTCGAATGTTCAGAATTTTCAGCTAATATTTGAGAAATTATAAATGGTCATATCTCTCGTCATTGATTGGCGTGTAATATGTAATTAAACATAGATTTGTATCTAGAGGTATGGTTGATTAACTATTTTAGAATTATTACTACATTATGTTGCCTAAATCAGTTTTCAATTTTAACATGGACACCCTAACATATAATTTCTTTTTCATTTTCAGACTCTTCAGAGGTTAATGGGTTAACTCAAAACTACAATCCATGGCCAGGATTTCGTTTTACTGGGAAACTGAGACCATATCCAGTGGTAAAAATTGATAAGAGATTATTTAAAGGTTTATGAGTAGGGAGACCCAAGGGTTAGATATGACCTCAAATAAAAGTTGAACTTATTTCTGTGAATAATGATAATAACTTTGTTCTTTTGTTATTCAGTTAGAACAGCTTGGAGAATAGTTTCAGGATAATTTTATACAAGTCATAATATATAGCATAGTATCTAAATATTGGCACAACAAAACAAATAGCAATTTTAGTATCAATTGACACTCACTAAGATAGAGGGAGAGAGAAATGGGGTTTGCACAAATTAGGTCATTTTAGGACAAACATAATGGTGATTTTACTAGAGCAGGAAAAAGTGTGATTACAAAATATTTACCAGGCAAAACAAGCAGAACTGTGAATGTTTAAACTGAACAATGATATTTCTAAAATGATTACATATCAGTTCCAGTGCAATACAAATTAAATGTCAAATGATAGGTTGCTTATCTAGAGAAATATCATATCAACCCAGTTAACACACAGTATGAATTTGAAAACCAGTTTATTTGTATACATGTTATGAATGGGCTGTCTTTTATTTTGATTGTTTTTAGACACCAAAAAGAAGATTACCAGATACTATTCTTAGACCTGATCATGCTGACCATCCTGAAGGTTTGCATCTTAATGAATTTAAAATATTCTGTTCATTAATTACTACAGTTACATTAAAGTAAGGTGAAAATTGATTAAATTCCATCTATATAGTATGAATTTGAATTTGACTTACAACACTGGGGTCAAATACAACGAATGAAATAATACATTACTGTTTTAAATGAACCTATCAAGATAAATAGTTATATGTTATTTTATAGGTGTTCCTATATCTGAACGACAGATGAGGGGAACAACATCAATCAAAGTTCTTAATGATGAAGAAATTGAAGGCATGAGAATAGCTTGCAGGGTATATCTTGTTTTATTTAGATTTTATTTTAGAAAGATTTTATATATGTATGTGTTTAACTGTGTTCTGTTTTAGTATTGTTAGCCTATTAGATTTGTCTGATTTCACAAATTTCAAGTTTCTATTTAATTGATATTTAACTTACACGTCATATTTGTTCACTGTTGAGGTTAAGCAGAGAAAGCAATTTGTGATGTTTCCTAACATGATAACCTTGTGTTATAATGTGGTTTCGAATCCCCGGTTGTATGTGATTAGGGTCGCCTGTCCAACCTCGTGGGTTTTCACTGGGTCCTCCGGTTTCCTCCCACTGCTAAAGACCCCTATGCGCAAGCGAATTATTGAAATAAAATTAAACGATATGTTAGTGAATAGTCCAGAAATGACCTAGTTTGTGTCGAGTGGACGTTAAACCCCATTTCTCTCTCTCTCTATCTTTGTATTATGATGGAATTACCCCTCTTTGCCAAAATTCTTCTGAATGCCATAGTTTTATCTTAAATTTTGCGTGAATCATTTGGGTCAGGATTCACGAAAGGAATTCTATTCTATAGTATTAGTGATGGTCAATGAAATATGTTGATCATCTTTGTTTGACATTTTTTGTTTTGTTTTTATACGCCCACAATTTCATGTGGACGTATTATGCCGTCGCCCCTGTCCGTCCGGACGTCCGTCCACAATTGTTTGTGGACTCTCTACAGGTCACAATTCTTATCTGATTTCGACGAAACTTGAAATATAGGTTTATCCCCAAAAGATCTCGGCTGCTTTCAATATTGGCATGTATCGGATCGAAACTTCATGGATTATGGCCCCTGTTTGTACGAAAAATCACGTTTTTAGCTTGTGGACCCTATAGAGGTCACAATTTTTATCCGATTTAAAAAAACGTATTATTATATTACCGTTCCACCCTAAGGACAGTTGAGTTTGAATTTTGTGAAAATCGCCCCAAAATTGACAGACAAAATGGCCGCCGTTCGTTCTCAAATAGCGTAAAAATATGGTAGAGGTCACAATTTTTATCCAATTTTGTTGAAACTTGAAATGTAAGTTTTTTACACAAAGATCTCAGTTCCTTTCGATATATGCGCACATCGAATTGTAATTTCCTGAATTATGGCCCTTGATTGTAGGAAAAATCACTTTCTTGTTAGCTTGTTCTCTATCCATCTCTCGAAAATGTGGGCGTATCCTGCCTGGCAGCCGCTGGTTCTAAACAGTATTTCTATTCAGTAAATATCTGAATTTGGACTGGGAAACTGACCACCTATTTCTTACCCCTCTATTTGTACTCCACCTTAATATTGTGGTTATATGTATATTTATAGTTGGGTAGAGAAGTATTAGATGTAGCAGCTAGAGCTATTGGTATTGGTGTTACTACAGAAGAAATAGACAGACAAGTTCATGAAGTAAGATCACAGTTAATGTTGCAAGTTAAAATCCATGAATGATCATAATAAAAAAGGAATATATACTCTTCAAAAAAGTAGGGGATATTGAAATGCAAATACCTATGCAGGTTGTGATATGATAAATAGTCATTTACACTTGACATGCTTTGAGAGTATGTTCACAGATGAAGAACTTATCGCCCCAACAGAACCACTGAGCTGCACATGCGACACGCAATAGCGCCATGCACATGGGAGGGGTTCATTGTCAAATTTGACACTTCAAGGAAGGGTTGATGAAAACTGATGCGTGCTGGTTAATCTATCCATGTTTGCTTTCCTATCGGTTCTTACATAAGATTTACTGTTTAGCGTATCTTTGCTTTAGTGTGTTACGTTTAATTTGATCAGGAGATGTGTTCGTTGACTTCAACATCAACCAACAACACTGCAAGAATTAGCCGTGGCACTGCAAGAGGAGTGGGTCAGATTGCCCCAAATTGTGATTGGACGGTTGATTAGGAGCATGCAACAACGAATTGCTGAATGTCTGAGGATTGTTGGAGCAATTACTCATTATTAAGACAAAAATCAAAAACGTCCATTTTCACTTTTGACAGTGTATCTCTTTGCATTCATGTGTAGGCAATTGGCCTGTTATTAACATACACTGGTGACCTCTAATAAAAACAATAGTGCATTTCCACAGTTTTGTATTGTTTCTGAATATTCCCTACTTTTTTTGAAGAGTATATTATGCACTGTATACACCAATTTTTGAACATTTCAGCAAGTGTTCTAATGCATGTTCCAACCTCATGGGTTTTCTCTGTGTCCTCCGGTTTCCTCCCACTGCTAAAGATCCCTAAGCGCAAGCGAATTATTGAAATAAAAATAATTAAACCATATGTTAGTCCCGAAATGACCTAGTTTGTGTCAGTAGACGTTAAACCCCATGTCTCTCTCTCTCTCTCTCTAATGCGTGCATTAAGGTCACCTGTCTAAGCTCATGGTATTACTCCTTGTACTCCACTTTCCTGCCCACTTCTAGAGACCCTGTCCCATACGGATAAGGTAATGGTTGAAATGAATTTATGCAATCTTTCGGCCGCGAAATTAACTTGTTAGTGTCAATATGTCAAGTGGACCTGAAACCTCATTTCTCTGTCTTTTTTTGAAGATTTCAATAATTTTGTGGAGTTTTGTGTTTAGCTGGGGATAATGTTGTTCTGTTAGACATACTGTACTCTTTTGTTTGTGTGTGTACATTTTGGATAATATTTCATTTTTTGTTTATATATTTAAGGCCTGTGTAGATAGAGACTGTTATCCTTCTCCTCTTAATTACTACCAGTTTCCAAAATCTTGCTGCACGTAAGTTATCCATATTTTCCTTACATGTATTTATAACAAAAACACTTTATATATTGAGTATTGTCCATTGACCGATAATATTGATGATTTCATATCTTAAAATATAAATACAATCCAAAAGGAATAAACCTTATATCAAACCACAAGTTCAGTCACAGCAAAATGTCTTCAACTGGTGTCAACATGATATAAATAGATAAAAATATAAATACAATCCGAAAGGAATAAAACTAACATCAAACCACAAGTATAGTCCCAGCAAAATGTCTTCAACTGGTGTCAACATGATATAAATAAATTAAGGATAATGTATAAAGATATGGGGTATAAATAAAGTCATCAGTATGACAAAATTAATAGCACAAAGCTTTATTGTTTAACATTTTGTGTGTTTAGGTCTGTGAATGAAGTTATATGTCATGGTATACCAGATAAACGTCCTTTAGTAGATGGAGATATTGTAAATGGTATGTTAGTATGTTTTTTATATCATTCTCAAAAACCCATCATCTTACACAAATACATTGTGTCTGAGTTTCATTGGTTTTGTAAATGCATTAATTAGACAATCTATACTAATATTTGTGACTGTCGTTTGTCTGTCTGTTTTGTCTGTCTGTTCGGGGTTGGCGGCTACACTAGGTCTACCCCGAGTCTGAAATTTGGGGTAAAGGGGTAGCTCGGACAGGGGAGTAAAATAGGCCAGGTGGCGTTAGTCTACCACTTCCGGTTTCGGGGTTACGACCCCGAGCGAAGCCGGGTATCCTGGTAGTAGTATAATAAATAACACCAGCACATTAAATATTTATTGACTACCCTATTCAATAGAATTGTCTTGCTACACAAAACCCTTGGCCAGAAAATATATATAATAAATCAGAGTTGACATCTTTGTGTAGGATATTAAGAACATTATTAAATGACAGTGTACAATGCATAATATAATTCATGCAAGGTTTTATATATAGATTTATACATAAATTCTGGCATTATCAGAATCTTGATTTTTTTTTGTGGCCAATTTGCTGTCTTTTATATACAATGTATTTAATAAACAATGGTTTTTTTTTTTACAGTTGATATATCTGTATATCATAAAGGTTTCCATGGTGATTTAAATGAAACATTTTTTGTTGGTAATGTTGATGAAGAATCAAAGAAATTAGTTCAAACAACTTATGAATGTTTAATGTTAGCTATTAATGAAGGTGAGTTCTGGTTTATATAATTAAATTAATTGTGGATTTCATTGTTAAATAAAGCCATTCATACACCCATAGTGCCGCTGCCCGGGCAAAATTTCCCTCATAGCACACTGTGTATAGCGTATGCCCATCTTCATTAGCACAGTCCGAGCAGAACAATAGGACGTGAAGCTCCATTTTATTTATTTCACACACATTTTACTTCCACTAGTAGCCTACATGTGTGTATATAATCTACAAATCATGAACACGTTTTTCACTTTAATAGAAAGTTCACAAATGTGTAGGAAAATTTCTTTCGTTAGGTAAAACTTATTTTAAAAATTAAAATGCATTGTACCTAAAGAAGAGACTTGAGTAATTATGTTTAAATAGTGTAGACTAATTTAGTTTACAGATAGTAATTCTGGATATTAGAACGGAATTGTTCGAATACTTGAGTTATTGATATTAGTGTTTATCAACCTACCTATACCAGAAAAACTCAAAACAATTCCTGATTGATAAATATATGGTTAAAGACTGATTTTGGTTAAGATATGTGTTTATTTTTAACAGTGAAACCTGGTGTAAGATATAGAGAAATAGGAAATGTTATTCAGAAACATGCCCATGCTAATGGTTTTTCTGTTGTTAGAAGTTACTGTGGTCATGGTATTAACTCGTAAGTATTATAAATCAGGCCTCGAGTTCACAAAGCATTACTCAACTTTCAAACACTGTTTATGAGAAATATCTTTGATCTAGAAACACCAAACTTTGCACATTGTTTCTTATCGATGTATTTGATACATTAAAACAACAAAAGTTTTATAAAGGGCTATATTTTAGTTAAAATAAGGTGAACAATTTTGAGTAAATTCTTAACTTAAGTCTGAGAATGCTTTGTTATACCGGAGCCTGTACTCTACACTGTCATGAAAAACTCACTTTCATTTGAAATGTCAGTTTAATGGTATGTGACTTGTGTCATTACTAATTGAAATAACAGATCAGATCAGCCAAATTTAACACTCATTCTTTTGTTTTTCAGACTTTTTCATACTGCGCCAAGTATTCCACATTACGCAAGTAAGTTTTCTATCTTGGTGTTTATTGTTACTATTATGAAATGATCTGAATCTTGGTATTTGATGGCCGAATGGTTAGCGCGTGCGCGCGGTATCATAAAGTCTGTCATTGAGTCAGCTGGCGTGGTATCGATCCCCAGGTTGTACGTGACAAGGGGTAGGGTTGCCTATACAACCTCGTGGGTTTTCTCCGGGTCCTCTGGTTTCCTCCCACTGTTAAAGAACCCTACGCGAATTATCGAAATAAAATTGAACCATATGTCAATCCCAATATGACCTAGTTTGTGTCGAGTGGATGTTAAACCCTACTTCTAAAGACCCCTGTGTGCAAGCAAATTTCAATATAGCGATATGATTTATAACTAATAAACTAATATTCTTCTATCCAGATTATCAAAACTTTAAAAGATGTTAGAGATTTATAATATTTAATATTAATTATTATTTTTTTGTAGAAAACAAGGCTATTGGTATTATAAAACCAGGTCATACATTTACGATAGAACCTATGATATCACAAGGTAACCTGTAGTATTTTATATGTGTGAATTAAATTTTGTTTCCATTAATACATTTGTTTAGATCACAGTAAAAGTTTCTGTCTATGAATAGCCGAGTTTATAATCTAATCTAGTGCATAAATTGCAGTACAATTAAGTTCAGTGTCAAAACAGAAAGGACACATTGGTAACTATGCCGACTTTCATCAAAGTTCATGAAAAGAAGGGGGATTGGATGGCCGAATGGTTAGTACATGTGCGCTGTATCATACGGTCTGTCATTGAGTCAACTGGTGGGGTTTCGATTCCCTGGTTGTACATGACAAGGAGAAGGGTCGTCTGTCCAACCTTGTGGGTTTTCTCTGGGTCCTCCGGTTTCCTCCCACTACTAAAGACCCCTACGCGCAAGCGAACTATTGAAATAAAATTGAACCGTGTGTTAGTCCCGAAATGGTTTCCTCCCACTACTAAAGACCCCTACGCGCAAGCGAACTATTGAAATAAAATTGAACCGTGTGTTAGTCCCGAAATGACCCAGTTTGTGTACCATTTCTCTCTCTCTCTTTCATGAAAAGATTTTAGAGTTTTTAATCATCTAACAAGTGTTTGCATAGATCCTCTCGTCTCCTCACAGTCCAGTGTCATGAAATATTTAAACAATGTTCTAATTAAACAGGTACATTTAGAGATGAGATTTGGCCAGATAATTGGACTGCTGTAACTCAAGATGGAAAACGATCAGCCCAGTTTGAACATACATTATTAGTAACAGAAGAAGGCTGTGATATTATAACCAAAAGATTGGAAAAGGATGGACAACCACATTTTATGGATGCAAAATAAAAAAAAATCAGAATGGTTTTAGTTGGGATATTATTGACTTTTGAACAATTTAACCCTGCCCTTCCAACTTACTGATCAGTGATATGTTGAAATATGTGAATTATAATTCCAAATCTGTAGAATTACCTGAAATGGTAAAACTTGACAGCCAATATCAGTAATAAAAAAGCTTGTATTTTCTGTAAAAAAAGGTAAGCTTAAATTATTTGGAAGGCAGTGAACATTATATGGCTCTACAGGAGCTGTAATATGTGTTTTGGAATGGTTTTAAGGATAAAGTAGTTTTTGATAGCTAATATTTTGAAATAAAATGAGATCGTTTCTGATACTTATGTGGATGTGGAGAAGAGCAAATGTTTCTGTAGTGAGATTCTGAGTTTGTAGTTTAGCTACACTTGTTTATATCATGATGAATGAATATGATGTAAATTATATCTTATAAAAGAAATTACATTTTTATGAATAACTTTGTGGGTTCACAATAACACTACAGGATGCAGAACTGTTCCATTATTAAATCATTTTCCCATAGACGAAGACTAAATCTGATGCTATTTTTTTTTTTTATGGCTGTCTGAATATGCCATTAACAGTGTAAGCTATTTCTATATTAATTTGGTTGATTGTTTTGTTAAGCTTAAATATTCTAGAGATAAAATATAAAGCATATTATTATGTAACTCTCATCTCATACCAGATCAGCCCAATATAAAAATAAAACCTTATTTCATAATATTTACATTATAACTTCTCCAATATCAGATTTTATGGAAATGATGTTTTTTGTTAATTTCATAATTATTGTACATTGTATGAAATGTATTGTAATAAAATTATTCTGGGTTTATGTAGTTGATGGTGATTGGGAGGAATTGTGTCATTACAACAATTCAGACTTCCCAGGTAGCCATGAAGTGTGAAACATCATCAGATGATTTTGGTGACGGTTGTGAATTTTTTCACTTGGTACATGTTACTAAGCTTAAGTTTATGTTGTACCAGTAATGCAAACATTTTTAATAAGTTTGACAACCTTCCTTCTGATCATTCCAGAACACAAGTGTACTGTCGTTAATAGTCGTTTAGTTTTAAATCCAGCCACCGAGAAAAAATGTCTTGGTTTACATAGTTCACAATCACAACTCTAAAATACAAAAAAAATATTCAAATCTTTTGTATTATTTTTATTCAAACAATAAGATACAAAACTCAAATAAATAATTTCATATGGACGGAAGACTGTTTATATTTAAGTTACAAAATATACTAACTCAAAACTTATTGCACTTTGAAAACAATCAATTCTGAATATGGTATATCTGTTATTCCTCTCAAATATAACATGGTATTTTCACAAATGTCAATCACAAAAGTGTTACCACATGCTCACTCTACAGTGTACACTGCTATATCAGTTTGTCTAAAATTTTAAAGCAATTCAAGTAAAAATACCCTTGATATTAGTGATACTTAAATGCACAAGCATTAATATGATTTAGATAAACAGTTCTATTGCAAATTAGATTATGTTGTGATACTTTTGACAATTGTGTAGATAATGACATCCCGACAGGTATAATTATTTCATAATAAATATAAGACTAGGATATTCTATTGATATTCACTGACTAGAGAAAAACAGTATTGTTGATACACTTATAACCTTTATATGCAAGCTAATGTGGGAGCTCCTCTCAAATTCGCACCTCAATTTTCATGCAATATAATACTGTGACAAAGTGCTCCATAAATTGTATCATATTAAGATTATATTATATGTAAAGTATTTATTTAATGCATAGAACCAATTTGAACCCCACATGTTATTGACCTATGATATAACATATACTGTCCACTACATTTCCACATGTAGTGACAATGCTCTTGATTAAATAGAATTTTCACAGTCAGCTATACGAGGGTATATAAGACCCTGTGCTTTCTGTTGTTAGGAGAGAAGATGAAGAGAGAGACAGGAGGAAGAGAGGAGCTGAGACGGGTGTATGGACTCGCCCAAGTTCAGCCGCAGAATGGTTATCTTAAACTATTAATGTACTGTGTTAATGTTATTGTTTATATTCCTGGTGTAATTTAGTTCCTGTTTTATTTATGTAGCTGTTTTATATTCTGTTCCCGATGTAAATAAACCCTATAGGTACGAAACTGATCTCTGTTATCACTACTATAACAGTGTTACAGTACACACCAAAATCCTCAATCTCAATTTTCATGCCATATAATACACATCAAAATCTGCACCTGGATTTATGGTTATAATACACACCAAAATCTGCAGCTGGATTTCATGCACTCCAAAATTCACACCTGAATTTCATGGTTATAATATACACCAAAATCTGCACCTCAATTTTTATGGGATATATAATACACACACCGAAATCCGCACCTCCATTTTCATGCAATATAATACACATCAAAGTCTGCACCTGGATTTCGTGGTTGTAATACACATCAAAATCCGCACCTGGATTTTATGATTATAATATACACCAAAATCTGCACCTCAATTTTTATGTGATAATATACACACCGAAATCCACACACCAAGTTTCATGCGATATAATACACACCAAAATCCGCACCTAGATTTAATAGTTATAATACACACAAAAATCTGCACTTGGATTTCATGCAATATTATGCAAACCAAAATTCAAACCTGAATTTCATGGTTATAATACACACCAAAATCTGCACCTGGATTTCATGCGATCAATAATGTATCAAATTTGAGATGTCATCAACTGTACCTTTCCTTTATACTCTATAGATACCAATATATTACACATATAATTTGTTCATGCAATTCAATGGGTGAGGTCCAGTTTCATGCTCAAAGTCAAACACAAATACTGAATCTTTTGATGTTGTTGACAAGTGTATTTGCTAGTTGATTTTATTACTGTATATATCCCAATAATGTCAAGTTCTGGTGATAGTGTTAAGTAATGCAGGTGTTACGTTGGTGTTCCCAATCCCAACACACTTATCTCCAGTAGAGAGTTGATTTCATCTAAATGTAGTCGAGTTTGAGTCGGTTTCGAGTTGATGTTGATATAAAACTAATGTGTGACTGTTGCCACATTATTGAAACTCAATCTTATGTTTTTGTTGAAGCTAATCCTTCTTTTAATTAATAGTGAATAATGACAGTCACACTAATCCCCAGGGATTCCTAGTTCTGTGTGTTTGTACATGAGTGAATGCAAAATGTCAAATGCTGAGAAACACAATTTTAGAAGTGTTAGAAGATCTGTTTGTAAATATACAGCATTTATAGGTTGAATCATTCAGCAGTTACCTGTCACTAACTGAACTTTATTCAACCCAAACATAACAAAGTGATGAGAAACATAACCTCACCCAATGCAAATATATAAATAAACATGAAAACATATTATTATATCAGAAATAACACAAATATTAAGACCACCCATCAGATAACAACTCTTCAACAGGTGCTTTATCTAACAAACTTGACATTAATAGATAATCCTTCACCTTATTAGCAACTTGTAGCTTGCTAACTTTATCCTTTAATGGCGCCCCAAGATGACTTCTGATCTTATTACGACAAATAGTTAACAGAGATCTAGGCATTTTCATTGCATTTTGAAATAATCTGCCTAACTCTTGCCTCATGCTAGCACTATAGTGTACATTGATTTCTGATGTTGTCTTCAGAATTGTGTCTAAAAGTTTAAGAACTTTATGTGGCAAATGTTCATAGCTTTGAATCATGATTTTTATCATTTCAATATTTTTGTGTGTCATGGCTAAGAAAAATGGCTCAAGACAAAAGTGTGGATGTGGGTCATCATAAACTAGACAACATTTCATCAAGTGTTTCATTTTAGTATTATGAGCATCAATATCACAACCAAAATTGAGCAAAATTTTACATATAGCTGGCTTATCTTCTTGAAGAGCAGTTTGAAATGGTGATAATCCTTCAAAATTAAGCTGAAACAAAAATTAATTAATAAAATTACATGTACCTAATTTTAGAAAATAAAATTGAAGTAATTTTGAACAATAATATAATATTTAAAATAACCTTAAACTCCACTAATTATAAGTGACCCACTAAGTAATTTTGAACAATAATATAATATTTAAAATAACCTTAGACTCCACTAATTATAAGTGACCCACTAAGAGTAAGGTATTTTTCACGAGCATAGGGTAAATTAAAACCACTAAATAATCAGTACTGCTTGTAAATTAAAAGCTGCCATTAAAAATGTGTGGTTTTGTGCTGTCCACATTAAGGTTAAGGAATACCCTTTCCCTTTCAATCATTACAATGTACGGGTATGAAAGGGTTGTTTGAAATCAATCTTCATTGTTAACCTGTAATTAGTCAGTGATATACATGTAATGTAGGTAATTTTTGTTTAAATTTTTATTCTGAATTGACCAAGTTTGGACTATAGTGTCGTATTGATCCTTTACTGGATGATCATTATTGTAATATAAGTCACGCGAGACGGGAGTTATCTGCCCCTGTCGACTCTTCTGTGTAATATATATATTGAAGCTAATAAAAAGGCACACATACTTCGAAGTGTGGTCGTACCACGACAATGTCTTGTTTTAATATATAGGGGCCATAATCCAGGAAGTTTCGGTCCAATATTCGTGTATATCGAATGGAACCGATATCTTTAGGTTATAAACGTACATTTGAAGTTTCATCTAAATCGGATAAAAATCGTGACCTCTAGACTCTCCACAAGCTAAATATCAAAAGGAACCGAGATCTTTTTTGCGATAAACCTATATTTCAAGTTTCGTCAAAATCGGATAAGAATTGTGACCTGTAGAGTGTCCACAAACATATTGCGGGTGGACAGACGGGGCGACGACAATATACATGGACGTATAAAAATATAGCTTACCATATCGATATCATAACCAGCTTCAACTAACATCTCTACAATATGTATAAAACCTTGTTTACAGGCTATATGTAATGGTGAAACTAGGGTAGCATTAGCTGGTTTTTTATTTAATGCTGGTTGTTTTAATATATGCTGTACGACTTTATTACTACCCTTCTCGCAGGCTTTAAACAATGGTGTCTGTCTTTTATCATTCTCCACATTCAAATCACAACCTAATATAAATGATATAATGATGCAGTCAATAATTTAAATCTACAGTCAGATTTGTAGTATTTATGACAATGGTAGAGAATCACTGCTAATAAAGTAGTTTGGTCTGGGATGATGATTAAAATCCTGCTGTTCATGTATCAGTATTGTAAAACTACATGTAATATATACAGAAATTAGCTACTTCTTTATCATAGAGACCACTAATGGTTGGTCAGTGGATCCCAACATTAGCAATGCAAGTCTCAGTAGGCGTTTTTGTGAACCGATTAGATTAGACCGATTAGCTATTATACGCATTTGTGAACCAAGTTGATTATGCTAATCGTTACATTTGTGAGACGATTTAACTCAACTGATTAGGCAAATCGACCTAATCGTCCCAGGAGGTGTTTAGGCGATTAGATTTGACTTTTTCAAAATGGCGGAATGTTCGATGTCGTAAGTAATTTTTAATGCTTATTGTTGTTTTTCTTCATAAAAAATGTTTTTTTAAAACGCATTTGACGTGTTTAATGTTAACTTTATAGTCCACAAGAATGTTAGATCACCTCTAAGCAATTTTATTCATCTACAGTTTTTTCAATATATTCCTCGATCCTAGGTTTTCTCAGGACACTTTTTACATGTTTTGTCACTTCAGTTTTCAAAAAAATACTTGAACTTGTTGGACATAGGAGATTGTTTCTTATAACGGCAACCATTTTCCTTTTTTGCGTAGATAACCTTCATTTGTCTTTAACAAGTCATCAATAATTAGCAGAGACAATTTTTTTTTCTGATCGGTGTCCGTGATGGCAGCCATCTTACCAAATCGTAATTATCAAATTTCACATTTGTGGACCATAGCTAATCAAATCGAAATCATACCAAATCGTACTAGCAAATCAAAACCTAATCTAATCGACTCACAAAAACGCCAAGTGTATAGTCTTTAATACATATACAAGTCCTCATCACCATTAAATTTTCTTGTATTTATATATATACCTGAATCAATAAGTAAAATAGCAGCTTCTGTATAATGCTGACAAATAGCTTCATGTAATGGTGTCTGTTTCTGAGTAGGTTCTGGTAAATTAAGATTAGATCCTGCCTCTATTAATGCCTTTATAATCTACAAACATTACAATATATATACATGTAATTATAATATGTGTAAACATTTTGTGTCGGAAAGAAAAAGAAAGGACTTGGGTTTAACATATTACTGCAGTTATTTCAATTCTATTGGGAGAATCACCATTATTAGACTACCTTGTAATACAATACTTTACTGCTTCTGCTAACACTAGTAACAGCATAAAATCTCTATTGTGGTGAGCTAATGTAAAGAATGCACCATTGAAATACACCCACCAATCATAATGGATAAATTATGTTAGATCTTAAGATATTCTAAGCGTGGCTTATAGATAGATGGTGTGTGTATAAAGATAAGTTAATACATGACATCCGTTTCACATTGGCATAGGGAGAATCCAACTACTCTTCCTTGAATTCCAAGGACACCTAACAAATATAATTAATTACCTCATATTTACTCCTGGTTGAAATAGCTGTATGGAGTGGGTGTTGACCATCTTTATTAACAACATCAACTGGACAACCTGATTAATTAGAAATCTAAATTACAAAATCTGTAACAATTTTACAAAAAATCACAAAGCTTGGTGAAGTGAAAGTAAAGTTGATACATGTACATGGATATGATTGATGTGTCTATATGTGAATATGAAAACAATTTACGAACTTTCAAACATAATACATACCTGCCTCAACAAACATTTGAACAATTTCTTCATTATTACCAAACACAGCACCATGTAATAGTGTCTCTCCTTTTAATGTAACGCCATCTATTGGTGCCTGTTTTTCATATAGCAGACGGCATAATTCTGAAGTAGATATCAATTACAAAATAGAAATCAATGGTTCTGGTCTACTAAAACAGTAACACAATTAGTATTTCCAATTTTCAATGTTTTAGAATCAGAGAGAGAGAGAGAGAGAGAGAGTTTAACATCCACTGGATACATACCAGGTCATTTCGGGACTAACATATGGTTCAATTTTATGCGCATAAGGGTCTGTAGTAGTGAGATGAAACCGGAGGACCGGGAGAAAACCCACAAGGTTGGACAGACGACCCTACTCCTTGCCACGTACAACTGGGGAATCGAAACCATAGCAGTTGACTCAATGACAGTGCGCACGCGCTAACCATTCGGCCACCCAACCCCCTAGAATCATAAAACAGGCAACTTACAATATAACCATCAGGAGCTTTGTGAGCAACTTTCACAAGTAATCAAATTCTAATAAAAGCTTGAGCAAAATTAATGGAAAAACTCTGGCCTTTGTGCACTTAGTTTCATTAGGGTCACTACTCGAATTCTTATAGTATGATCAAGGCATTATTAACCAAAATATCTAAACTGTTAGGACTATCTGATTGCTTTGCAGTTCTGAGAAAGATTTCTCCACAATTTTAAGTTTGACAATCATCTAATTCCAACCGAATACATACTCTTATGATATAAATACCTTTTTCTCCACTAAAACCAGCCTGATACAGAGGTGACCAGCCCTGGTTGTCAAATACATCTAATTTGACATTAGCTTGAACCAACAAGTTGACGAGTTCAACAGGTTTACTTTCCTTGGCATCAAAATACTGTGATACTACAACAAAATAAAGTGGGTACAATATGAGTAGGTCTCAAAAGAAAAAAACACAACACAAATTACATGGTAAAATATCACTGTTTTATACACATATAGCACTACATTTCGACAAGTAGTCTCTTATCATTTTCACGAACAAATAATAGTTAGTATAATAAAAGGTAAAATGAATAATTTGAAAATTTCATTAAAATTACTCTATTAAAAGCGAAGATATTAGCCTTTGAAGGTTTGACAAGGTGTTCAATAATTTCAACCACCGTACTGGTTGTTCGGAGCGAAGTCTCGATCCTCCATTTTTAGCTTAAATCAAAATATGGCTGAACCATTCTAATCTGTTTAATATCAGAGAAATCTGATGCCATCGATAGTTGATTATGGCCTGGATATGTTAATTAATGTTTAATTTTATTTATAATTTAGAAAACATTTTAGGCCTAAAGAAAGAACTGCCACATGTGTCTCCTTTATTTGGCTTGTTAATGACATTTTAGTATTAACTGTAGTCTTCTAAAAATCAAACAATTGTGACATTTGTATGGAAATCTTTGTATCCAGTTTTTAACATGTTTGGCTACCTTTTCCATCCAAACTGTGTACTTGTTAAGCATTAACTTTATGATTTAAGTATAAGAACTGCAGAGTATTGTATAGAGAAATACCTTGTTTTAATGCAGCATGTAATGGAGTCTGTTTTAAACGATCAGCTTTATCTATATCACATCCTGCCTCTATCAGTAATTTTACTACTTCAACATGATTATTACGAATTGCACCTAAAATAGATTAATTACACAATTAAATCATAACAAGCCAACAATGAGGTTAATGTCCCCTTATGAAATCCTAAAATAAATAGAAGACACATATTAATTAATTGAACATTTGCCTTTTTATAAAGCATCAAGCAATCAAACTGCTTATCTTTACTTGTAAAAGCAGAAAATATTTATGATCAAATTCAGTCAAGTTTCATCACTCTCTCTCAATTAGAATCAAAGTTATCGTGTCCCAAAGTATCGATCAACGACATTGCTTAGCTCTGTTTAGTCTTAGCGGAAAATGTGAAATCATTGAATTCAGTCAAGACATTCAGCTAATGAACATTTACACCAAGTTAAAACATTCTATCTCAAGTCTCAAATAAAAGCAGAATTGTTGTGTTCCAAAGTCCATGTACTGATGTGATGAAACTATACTCTGAGTTTCATTGCTCTCACCCAATTAGAATCAAAGTTTTCTTGCTCCAAAGTAGCAAGCAATCAAATTGCTTATCTCTGCTTAACCATAGTGGAAAATGCTCATCATTGAACTCTGTCAAGGCATTAACCTAATAAACACATACACCAAGTCTCGACCAATCAGATAGAAGTCTCTATTAGTCTAAGTAGAAAATGTTCTATTGAAGGTATTGGTGTGATGGAAACATACTCCAAGTTTTACCACTCTCTCTCAAATAGAATCAAAGTTATCGAGCTTCCATGCCCCATCAAATTGCTTATTGCTCTGCTTACACTGAGCAGAAAATGCCAAATATCAAACTTAGGCTACATATTGATCTAATGAAACTATACCCAAAGTTTTATCCATTTCAATTAATTAGATTCGAAGTTTTTGTGTTCCAAAACATCGACCAATCCAATTGTTTTTCGCTTAGCCTAAGCAGAGTATGCTGATCTTCAAACTCCATCAAGGCATTCACCTAATAAACACCTACACCAACTCTGTCCATAGGTTCGCCCAAAGGTCACTTTTTTATTAATTTATAGAGAACTTCATAGATTACCCTAGATGTTGTTTTAGGTCAAATATGTCACAGTTTCATATATCCACAAAAACAGTGAGGGACCAGTGTATAAAACAACATTTTTCTTGGTAATTACGGAACTGATTTAACTCAAACAAAATTTAAAATTCATTACAAATAGAACGTAATTTGATTTTACTGAAATAAACTAAAAATCAGGATAATTATGTGCCCCTTTTAGATCAGATGAAAATGGATTTATCTTGTGTTGAAAGTACAATTAATATGTTTAAATTGCTGCTTTTAATCCAAGCCATTAGAACGTGAATGTTACATCATACCTAATAATGGAGTATTGCCTTTTACTGTTGATATATTTGTATCTGCTTTAGCTTTGATCAGTTCTTTAATAATATCTATATAACCATTAACTGATGCTATATATAATGCTGTTTGCCCTGAACGATCCTGCTTATTTATCAAACAATCTGAAAAAAAAAGGTATAAAAATTGAGGTATAAAAAAAAATGTTTGATTGGGTTGATCTTGGGGGTAATATTGATTAGTGATGAAGCAATGATATGAAATGAAATGGGGTTTAAAATGAAATGAAATGAAATGGGGTTTAACGTCCTACTATTGTGCTCAGAACTGGGCTAATGAAGACGGGCTTACACCATACAGTGTGCTATGAGGGAAAGTTTGCCCAGACAGTGGCACTATGGCCTACTCTTATATCGAATTCCCACTCTCACGGGATCTTTTATGTTTTCATCCATCCTGCATCACTGACAAGGGGGAACCACGTCGGAAAATCTGGATGAAATTTTTCGGCCAATGCAGGGATCGAACACCCGACCTCCAGGCTAGCGAGTCAGCATCTTACCCACTTAGCCACCGTGATCCCCGTAGACAGATACCCACTTCACAAAACAAATCATCAGTTCAATGAAACTGATAATTTGATCTTTTACCCAAATCCAAATTACTACCAGCAATTACGATAACTTACTTGAACTTAGAAGAACTTTAACAGCTTCTAGACAACAGAGTTCACAGGAGATCATTAAAGGTGTGTAATGACTGTTTGAACCCCAGTTGATATCACATTCTGTTTCAGCCACCAGGACTTTCACAATATCAATATGACCATTTCTACAGGCAGAATATAGAGGAGATTCCATTCTATAGTTGCAAATATTTATGTCACATTCAACTGACAATAGAAGACTGGTGATGGCTGTATTTCCTTCACATGCACAAATATTAAGTGCAGTATCGCCATCTGAATTTTGAAAATTTGTATTAGCATTATGTTGTATCAAAAGTGTTGCTATGTTATCATAACCTAATTGACTTGAAATTATCAACAAACTATTTGCTTCTACATCAGCTGCATTCACGTCTGCTCCAGCATTAATTAACAACTGACAGATGTCAAAAAATCCTAATCGGACTGCTAGTTGTAATGACGTGTGTGCTCTATACTGAAAATCAACATCAAATTTCTCTACCAGTATTTCCTGTACCAGTTGGATATTGTTTACATCAATGGCTTCTTGAAGCTTGCGTATTCTTCTTCTTTTTTCCCTTTTTTCGAAATTCCTCTCACTATTATTATTACCATTCCCTTAGAAGAGATATATATATTTATAAGTACTAAAAAATATAATATTTACAAACAGAATCACTACTGCTAATAAATCAACTAAATTTTGGGAATATTTGATATTGAACAAGTACTGAAACCAAATTTGAGTTTATAGGATGATATGTTCCTTCATGGCCTCAAGCAGATTGACCCTCTAAACTTCAATTTAATTATTTCAAACCCCATTCCACCAAGTATTTACTATTTTGTCCAAATGTTAGTCCCTTGCCTTATGGTTATGATTCTTAGATGGAATCTGAATTTGATAATATTGTTACGAACACAGACAAATAATACTTAGCCTCAGTTTAATGTTATTTTTGAAAGAGACTTTCCATATTACAGGCACCATTACCCTGACAACAACCTACATGTATTAAAAAAGCGATTGACAAAGATCCAAAAGTTAATCTAAATATCTAAAATGAATACAAAAAGCTGTTGAAAAAATATTCAAACAACGTTGTTCTCTTGTACCAAAACGAAAATTATCTTTCTTTAAAAATCTCTCTCACACCAAAAATGGCCTACAAATTATAAGCCCATTTTTTCAAATCACTTTTTTAGACTTATTTAGTTATTTTTTTTTTATTTTTTTTTTTAGCTGTCAATATATCTTAAACCAAATTTAATATTTAATTTCATCATGATCAGCTACTTCACCCTAAATAACCAAAAAGCACAAATTTACATGCTTCAACTTCAAGTTCAATTAGAAACAGAATAGAGGGTCCCTAGCCGGGCCTAGCCACCGACCCAAGCACCTGGATCCGCCACTGCTTAGGCTATAACGTAGGTAGTTCGGTGTTCAGGAAATTGAGTTGTTAATGGGGCAGGGTACAGTGCCAAAGCGATATCTTTTTCCAAACGATAACTCCCTAGAAAATTAAAAGGAACATTTGCACTTTCAGTAATATAACGTTTTGTCACTATTTAGTTGTGTGTGTGTTATTGTTTCAATCATGAATTACCGCGGGCTAATCAGGGTCCATAGCTATACAGGAGGCGCCCATAAAGTTCTGGGTCAGCCAGTATCAATCAAAATAAAGGTATATTTTGCCCTTCTTCCTTTAGCACATGAGGATTCGATCTTAAAATAACTAAATATACGAGGTATGTTCTATTATTACGCATTATTTTACCCTTTCTTGCACTGGAGGCAGACATCTTGAATCAAGCAAGGGAGCTATCATTTTATTTTTTATCACATACCAAAACTCTCCGTGTTATAAAATATGAAGACAGACTAACAATATTTGAAATGAATTTTAAAAATGCTCAATTTATATTTTATTTGGTTCCCATAAAATGTAAAAATTCATTTAATAACTTTTGGTGGAGACATTAAGAGAGAAATGTAGTTTATCTCCACTCAACACAAACTTGGTCATTTCAAGATTAACATCATACCAATTATTTGCTGCACATAGAGTTGTTTAACAGTAGGGGAAAACCGGAGGCCCTGAAGAAAACCCACAAGGTTAATTAGGCGATCCTACTCCTTGTCACCCCCCACGTACCCGGGGGAGGCCCAGCGATTTGGTGACAAAAAAGAATATTTTTTTATATTTTGTAGAAAAAAAATAATGAAGACCCATTTCCCCAAAATCAATGAGTGTTGAAATTATTAGGTAGGGGGACGCCAAGGGGCATCGGTAAGAAAGAAAATTGATATCAACGATTCCATGTTGGGTGGGTTGACAGCAAAAAGTTGATATCAGAAATGTTTCTATTAACCCAATTGTTCCAATGGCAGGGAGCCCCTCTTCCCACTGGCCCCCTCTTTGTAATAGTTTTTTTTCTGTTTAGAACTAAGTATATGACTTCCCACCCACCAGGATATACTCTACAGACCACCATTTGCGGTTGAAATTTCAAAAAATTTGTCCGGGGGGGGGGGGGGGAACCCCCTAAACCCTGATCACTACCCCTCCGCAGCTGGCAAGCTGGCTATGAGTCTGCTTATCACAAACAAATATGGGACAGCAAACTCACGTCACTTGAATCGATGACAAACCATGATCTTAAAACACATGCTCTTTACATCCATTAAAATGGGGTAAAAAAACAAAATATTAATGTTTATAATATTAGTAAGATCCTCAATATGTCTAATGAGTTATTATAATTTAAATCCAGCAAATATTTTGTCCAATTTATAAAACATAGTGATCAATTTTGAAGGAATAAATCCACATTTTTCAAGACCATCAAAAAAGTGTTTGTGCTCCCCCAGTCACATGTCTGAGGTTCAGGCCAGTAGAGTGCCCTGTTCATGTTACCACTAATTAGTTATTAGGTAGATCTGGATGACACAAATGAGGTTTGGCATAGAGACTGCACTTCTGTTTCAATTTATGCTAACCCAACATGATTAATCTTTCTACAACGGCATGAAAATAAAATCTGGTTTAGACATTTTGAAACCCATATTGGCTTTGAAAAATCAATGAAACAAGTATAGGAAAGAGCTACATGATAACCATTTTCCAAATAAATGTAGCCATTGAAAGCCTACAACACAAATAACCACAGCAAATATTGCACCATCTATGGTTTGTTAAATGTACTAAAATGGACCTAATAATATGCAAACTCTAGAGGGTTAAATTTAAGCACATTCACATGTTTTTAAAAAAAACACCCAAGAACTAAGTATGAGTGATGACAAGGGCTATTTTGACTTAAACCCTTGTCTCCAAAAGACATATAATACCTGATTTATTAAGCTTGATATACTGTTTAATACAATATTGCAATGAATATAAACAAAATATAATATTAACAACAAAACCTGATAAAACAAAAAATGTTTATTATTAATAAAGTATATAATATAATATCAGTAATATATAGCAGCAGATATTTGGTGTTGGAATGAATAGACTAATTAATATAAAATAGTCTTGTGTCAATGGTTAATACAAGCTATATTAAAGAGGAATTGTTTTGGAAAAAAAAGATAAACATTGACAACTGGAACTGCTATATTGTGCTCCAATCAATGACCATGTAAGTTTTATTGTCATTGGAACAGGAATAGGTATGAGGAATTTCATTTCTGGGAAATGTGAATATGTGACATCAAGGGTGATCTGACCTTGATCTTGGTCATTAACATCAGACACTTGGTATTAGCGTATAATATGCAATGTTTGGTGCAGCATGAATCAAAAAAAAAACCATACATTAGAGCCAAATATATATATATGTCGCAAACTTAATAAATGCGATTTAACTTTATTTTTTGTTGAATAAATCAACTAATTGATTACCTAAAGCATTTTATGTATGACTCTGACCTTGAAATTCATCACAAACTTATAAGTGTATATAGACATACAGCACTGAATCACTGATAACAAAATAAAAATATGTTTTTGTATCTTGTATAAAAAAACAAGTTAAAATAACAATCAGATAACGTGAGCAATTAAAATTATATAGAGGGTTTCCCGATTCGGAATTCACTTAAATATCAAGCCGAATCCCGATAAAAACCTTATCTCTAAAAACAGATCACAATGAAGTGGTAAACAAATTTACCCACACAATCCTTTCACCTGTTGTCATTAAATAATAATTTCCATGTCATCAGAGATTGCCATAACAAACATGTTCTGATGTGATAGAAAATAATACTGTATTTCATAAATAAATTATTATTAACATACTTGGTTAGAAAATAGTCAAAAAGTTGTACAAATATTACAATATAATAATTAGAATATTGATATTTATTTTTTATATACAAATATTTATACATTACATACATGTTAGAAAAAGTTGAATACATGTATTATGTATGTACTTCAACTATATATTACACTTAAATACCGACACATAACAGAATTGACATTATGGATGGAAGCACTGTTTATAACTAATATTACCATTGCCAATCATATTGCTTTAATAGGAACGTTTGCTATTTTACTGAATTTTGGCTTGCTGCTGGTATCTACTTCATCTTGTAATACTGAAGCCCTCTGTTGTAGAGAATAAACCTGAGATTTCAATGCTTCTATTGTATCTTCTAATTCCTATATATACATAAAACATATTGTATCAAGCATTTTTTGTTTTATTACCACACTGAAGGTTTATGTAATTGATATACATGTAACATAAAATCATAGATGAGGACTTGTCGGGCAGCTAAGCCATCCATGCTAAATCTAAAATCATTGTCAACGAAACCCTTAAAGCAAGTGTTAAATCTATCTAAGCTTAAACGTTAACATGTGAACACAAAAATATCTCCAATATGTACAAAATTTATGCTAATAGCATTTTGAAGCTTAATAGGGTTCTTCCTTATACCCTATTCAACAAGCCCACTGAGGTTGAAAACTTTGTCCTGCGTAAAGCATTCTTAAGTTTGAATGTAAATGGGGAAATAACCCTGAGATTTCAGATTGAAAATAAAATTTTGAATTTAAGACAAGATGTTGGAGAAAGGCCAGTGAATATAGTTTAATACCATACTGGCAACATTACAATGTGGATACTGCATGATTAATTATAACAATATTCTAACCTGTCTAACTTCTGTTGGTATAAGACCTCTAATCCTTTCTTCATAATTCAACTTTAATCTTGTAACCTAGAAATACAATTCAAAGGTTTAAACTTTTGATGAGATTTTTAAAGATGTTGAATATTAATGAATGAGAGAGAGATGTAGTTTTTCATCTACTCAACACATACTAGGTCATTTCGGGACTAACACATGGTTCAATTTTATTTCAATAATTCGCTTACTTGTAGGAATCTTTAGCAGTGGGAGGAAATCGGAAGACCTGGAAAAAACCCACGAGGTTGGACAGGCGACCCTATACCTTGTTACGTAGAACCGGGGAATCAAAACCATGCCAGTTGACTCAATGACAGACCTTATGATACAGTGCGCACGTGCTAACCGTTCAGCCATCAAACTCCCTGTATTTATTCTAATTTAACATTGTTATTGACCCAAAAAATGATATTTAGTCTCAATCTAATTCTGAACTTAATCAAGATATCAAATTACCTTTTCTTCATAATCTGATTCCTCTTTCTGTAACTGTCTTTCTAAATTCCTCACTTTTTTTCTCTGAACATCTAATTCTTGAGAAATTTTCTGAAATATTTTTTCATTGAATATATAATAGTCAATTATTTTAATTGATTAGTCAAATTCCTAGTTGTTAAATACTTTGAAATAGAGGGAGGAAAAGATAGGTTGCTAGACAATGAAACACCAGCAGCTGGGTCATTCACTTGTTTATAAAGGTTGTCACACGGAATATTTTATTAAAACTTTATATAGTATAACTGTTTATTCTCTAATGGTAGCTGTAGTGGTTCAGAGTAAGGCACTGACCCACTAACCTGAAGGTCACAGGTTTGATCCAAGTCTTGGCCGAGAAAGTTTCTTTGGATTATCTGACACGGTTTCCTCTTGTGAATGATGCGGGATGGAATGCCTGACAAGGAACAGCCTCTAGTCAGTCAGATGAAACTAAAAACCTAGGTCCCATGTACACTTTGGATCACCCAGTTTGAAATCGATATAAGAGTAGGGTGTAGTGCCACGATCCGGGCAACATTTACCTTATTGCACACTGTATGGTGTATACCCATCATCATTCGCCCGGATGGAGCAGAAAAGTAGGATGTTCGAAGTTCAAATAAAAAATCTTACACACTCGGAACATAAGAGTTACTATTACAAAGATAGACTGGAATGCCATGCCAAAGACCGGAAATTCTTCTTTTGTCAAGTCCATTTAATTCAGTTATTATTGAAAGATATGATCTGTAATATAATTTTTACCTGCATGCTATTTGAGTACTGTTTTCTTATAGCCTTCTTTTCATCTTCATGTTGAACATCAATATCTATTACCTTCTTGTCTCCTTTTTCTTTAATTCTATTTCAAATTAAAACATAAAAGACAATAAGAAAAAGCTACAGCAATACACCAATAAAGCATTTTTCAGTGACCACTAGTAAAACCATTTCCAGAAATTAGTTGAATGATGAGCAACCCTACTATAAACAGTATACTTATATCAATGGGTTTTATTTTTATTAGCAATAAGTTTATTAAGGTATAGAATAAGAAATTAACAAATTATATTGCGATATTCTACCTTTTGTTTTCAGTTCTAAGATGATCAATTGTAGTTTGAAGACTGGATATATTCTGGAATACATCAATAATTTACACTCAATTAGATAACATTAACTGTAAATAGTATCTATAATGCTTACTGATATCCTTGTGATTATATAGCAAGAATGTCAATATAATCTTTTAGAGGCATTTAGTAACTGGATAGAGCAATGCACTATAATACATACTTATGGAAAACAGCTACTATTTATTTTGGGTGACGTTTCGAAGAGTATTCTCTCAACATTATCATTCTAATACAGTAAAACAAAATTGTGAGGCTAATTTATACATAAAAAAATAATAACAACAATTGAAGTTGTTGAACTGTATGTTTTCATGAATCGCCCAAAATAAATAGTAGCTGTTTTCCATAAGTATGTGTTATAGTTTAATGTCAATGTACTTTCCATGAAACATAAACATTTCAGTTCCTATGGAACATATGCCTTGAGAAAATGGTAGGGTTATACATATTTTAAACTTATATGGAAGCTGATAAAATTTAGTAACTTGTTACCTCTATAAAATTTTTCATCTTTTCATCATTTTCTTTCTCTAGATCTTTTAATCTTCCACTGGTCTGTTAAAAGAAATAAATTTAAAAATTATATAATTTATACAAGTTACTGATGTTGAAGGGGTCGTTGTGTATCCTTCTGTATTCAGAAGAGTACCCGATCGTCTGAAAACTGTAATAGTACCAAACTTCCTGTTACTGACCTTATAGGAATACATTAATTATAGTCTATAAAAGACAACTTCACAATAAATGAATTGAAACAAAAGTTTTAATGTCTATTAACACTCTGTCAAGGTCATAGGGTTATTTTTCCAATATACACAATTATAGAGAGGAAATTTTGTAAGGATACCAGCAGGAATTCGAGCTGTCATGGGTTCTTTTTGGGGCATACCAAGCGTCCATTGCTGAAACAGAATGACTACATCACTTTTTTCTGTCACCCCTTAGGCAAAAAACATGAAATGACTGGAAAGTAAAGAAATTTGATTCCAAAATATCTAAACTAATTCTAAACCCAGAAAAAAAATAAGTACACAGAGTAGTATTATAAATAAAAATACCTTTTGTAACATTTGTTCCATCTCAAAACTATGTGTTTTCTGTAATTCTAATCTTTGCTGTTCACTATCTGTTCTCATTCTAGTTATCTAAAAGTACCATATAACACGCTGTTTTATTATTCATACTAACATGAAATTTTCTGTTGGGATTATGTTCATTGCCCCTCAAAATATCCCCCTGGGTGAATAAAAGCTACCTTAAAGTACATGACACCCATTGAGGCACTTTTAAGTTGAATTATTTTATACACAGTTTATTAATAAATTTATAATCCATGAACTAGTGTGGATCAAGCTGAGAAATTAGAAATTAGATCATCAGCCCCAAGTTGTTTTTATCAATTTTGAATTAACCAGAGCAGAGCTTTGTGTTTTGACATTGGTTTATAAGGTTTAAATAATCACCTCTAATTCATGGTCTCTTTGCATCTTTTGTTTTTCTTCTTCACGTAATAATCCCAGTTCTACGAGTTGTTGTTTACGTAGTTGATTGGACTGTACTAATTCTTCTCTTAATTCTCTAAGTTGTGTTTCTAACTCACGCATTGTCTATAAAACAATGTGAAATATATAATCCAACAATAAAGTTTCTTAAAGCAAATATAGACTTTTAGTCCATGCACATAAACATGTAGTTTTATCAAAGGAAATATTAAAGGAACATGGCTACCAAAAGTTCCCATTACTTTTTATTGATTCCAAGACATGATCTTTTCCAGCTACTGAAGTATGATATTAGTTGTAGTTGACAAAATGTCAGGCACTGATAAACTAATACCTGACATTGTGCCAGACATGTGTTATAAATATTTTCAAAATAGATAGATTGTCAGGCAATTCCTCATGCACAGCTGTCACTAAAATAGGGTATCATCAGAACTTGGAAAATCAGAAATCACCAGATATAAGTTAACCAGAGAGAGAGAGAGAGAGAGAGAAATGGGGTTTAACGTCCACTCGACACAAACTAGGTCATTTCAGGACTAACATATGGTTTTAATTTTACTTCAATAATACGCTTGCGCGTAGGGTAAGTTAACCAGAGAAACTAGGTATATAACAGAACCTAGTGACTAAAATACAAATTTCCATCGTTTATTAGGCACATTCCCCCCCCCAAAATGTTTTTTAGAGTAATGTTCGATACTAACCTTGTTATCTTTTTCTTGTCTTTCCCGTGATTTCATCTCTAAACAATTTAATTCAGCTTTATGGGCCTCTTTTATATTATCTAAATCTTTCTCATGATCAGATAAAATATAATCTTTCTGGATGTGAAAATCTCTCAGAAGTTGTGTTTTATCATTATCAAAAAATATCTTTATTTCAGCCAACTTGAAAATAAAACATATTCAAAATTATATGACATTTCGAAAAATTAATTAGAGAGAGAGAGAGATTAATGTTGAATCAAATAAAAAGTAGTTTTTTCCAGGACAAACATATGGTATAATTTAATGTCAATATTCACCTGTGCACAGGACTGTTTAACAATGGGAGAAAACAAAGAAAAAGGGTTAGCCAAGGAACTCAACTCAAGGGATTGAGATAACGAATTTGCATAAGAGAGAGAATGAAATGGGGTTTAACGTCCACTCGACACAAACTAGGTCATTTCGGAACTAACATATGGTTCAATTTTATTTCAATAATTCACTTGCACGTTACGGTCTTTAGCAGTGGGAGGAAACCCACGAGGTTGGACAGGCAACCCTACTCCTTGTCACGTAAAACTGGGGAATTGAAACCACGCCAGTTGACACAATGACAGACCTGATGATACAGCGCCCACGAGCTAACCATTCAGCCATCCAATCCCCCGAATTTGCATAAGACAAATTTATGATTTACAATGCACTTTACACCACCTGCCCTGCAACCCTATCCCAAAACTTCAGTTTCTTTTTAGAAAATATATAATCTGAAATAATAACCTCTTTATCATGCTGAAACTTCTCTTCTTCTAATTGGTGAGCAAATTCTTGAGCCTGTTTCTCTCTACTTAGTTTAGATTTATGTAGATCTGATTGTACTTTATTCATCTAAAAATGTTACAACAACATAACCTCATAATAATGGTACAGTGTTAAATTTCATTAATTAAAATTGAAAGTCGAGATCCTAAATAACCATCAACTTGAAAACATGTCTGAACTACCGCTGAAATATGTTTCTTTCTAAAAGCATTTTATCTCTCCACATACTTGAAGTGAAGCTATTTTGAAGATGTTATGATCGTGGAGGTTCCCCTTACACCATAAAATTTCAATGTAAAGTATTATGTACGACTAGTTGAGCACAAGCACAAAAAATATATTTTTTAAAAAAATACATTTTTTATCATTCATTCAAACAATGATACTCCCTTTGGCAAGATGAAACCAAGTTTGAATATTATTACTGATATTAATTAATCACTACCTGCTCTTTCATTTCATCATGCATTCTTGTTTGATTTTTTTCCACTTGTAATTTAAATTCTTCTAGAGCTCTATCAGCTTGAGCAGCTTGTTCATGATTTTGTTCTCTCAGTCGATTTAATTCTTGTTCTTTATCACTAGAAATGAAATTTAATAACCCTTTAGTACATAGTATCAACATAGGGTTAGGGCATGTTACACAATTAGTAAATAGTATCAATATAGAGTTAGGGCATATTACACATTTAGTAAATATACTATTCAAAAAAAGTAGGGGATATTTGATTTTTAAGTGTTATTAAAGTCACCTAATGAAACTGACGAAGAAACAAATGACAAAATGAAATGAAGTTCACATTCATCGATTTATTCCAAATGATCGTTAGACTAAGTAAGGCACAGACTGACCATTATAAGGGTAAAATGATACCCGGGGTCAAACAGCAAAGTTACCACAGCATCACAACCAAGTCAGTAACGGGTAAATCCTCCTCTGTTTGCCAAACAAGCATTGATCCGACGTGGCATACTCCTAATGAGACGTCTAAGGTCATTTTGGTCCTGATTGTCCCATTCCTGTTGCAACGCAGCAGCAAGTTCTTGGACATTGGCAGGGCGTTGTTGACGTTGACGTAACCTCTGTCCAAGCATGTCCCAGACATGCTCGATGGGGGAGAGGTCGGGACTCAGTGCTGGCCAAGGTAATGTGGTGATGTTCTGTTGTTGGAGGTAACCTGTAACGATCCTGGCCCTGTGACATCTTGCGTTGTCATCCTGGAAGATGAAACGGCGGCCATGACGTCGTGCAAACTGCACAACATGGACTGCCAAGATGTTGTCCCGGTAGTACTGGCCTGTAACACGCCCTGCGACAACATGTAAAGCCGTTCTTCCAGCAACAGTGATGCCTCCCCACACCATAACAGAACCACCCCCAAATCGATCATGTCTGATGACGTTAACGTCTTGGAAGCACTCGTTTCGACGACGCCACACCCTCCTATGTCTGTCCAAAAAATCAACAGTGAACCTTGACTCATCTGAAAACATCACATTGCTCCAGCGTCGATTATCCCAGTGTTGACGATCCCTACACCAACGACGTCTTGCCTGAATGTGATGATCTCTCAAACAAGGGTTCACGCGAGGACGTCGGGCGCGAAGGTGACCCCTATGCAGTCGATTCCGAATCGCCTGGCCACTCACTCTCACACCAGTGTCTGTTTGAAGACGAGCGCTGATCTGATTTGCTGTGATGACACGATTTCTCAAGGCCAAGGTACGGATAAATCGATCCTGGGCTTGAGTTGTCGCCCTTGGTCGACCTGAGCGTGGTCTGTCCTGTACAGATTGTGTATCACGGTATCTGGACCATAGCCTGCTTATAACAGACTGAGAAACATTCATCGTCCGCGCCACAACTGCCTGTGTTGTGCCGATCTGTAGCATGCCAAGGGCACGTAACCTTTCATTTTGGGTAAGCCAACGCATATCAAAATTTGTTTTCTGGTCACTAAAACAATTAAACTGATGTTTCCACCCTGGAATTCAATGCCACAATGACTGTAACATTCAAAGTCAGAGTCGTGCAAATCTTGGGTTGGACCCCCATGATGATCCCAAGCATCACCTGCATTCCATGCGGTAGCTTTTGGTGCGTTTGGGCGTCACATGTAACTGGAAATGTTTCTTCTGTTAGGTTCTATAGTGACTTTTTTCGTAGTCATTTGCATATTTTAGTATTATGCCCCCAAAATCAAATATCCCCTACTTTTTTTGAATAGTATAGTATCAACATTTGGGACATATCATTTAATTGTAATATACCCAAGTTATCTTTGTTTGACAATACCAGATTGAACCTTGTTTACAGTTTGTATGATGCTTAAATAAAAAAAAAAGTTTCACTTACTGAAGTGTGTTTTCTAATCTTTTGATTTTTTTCTCTGACAATTGTTCTGATTGTTCATATTCTTTTTTGAGACTCCGAATCTGCAAAACCAACACAAAATTTAACATACACTGGCCTTTAGTGTTAAATCATTATCATGTTTTGGAATAAAACTTTGCATAAAGATTTTATTTAATTATCTTTCATTAAATAAAAGCATTGGTCAGTAAAACATATATTTAGTCTGGAGGCTCAGTGCGGGGCATGATCCATCAAATGGGCACAAAACCAAAGACAACTTTTCTATAGTAAAATTTATAGAGCTTATTAATTATAGAAATTTTATGACATAAAATGTCTTAATATAAACAGAGAATCTTTAAAATATCTACCTGTTTATCATGTAGACTTTCTAAATGCATTTTATCTTGTTGATACGTGTGTTCTTGTTCCTAAACAAAATTAAATCAATCAATATATTTCAAAGAACACTTTATGTGTTTAAAGGGATATACTACCAAAGTGTATAGACTTGGTTTTTGTGTTAATAAAGGGATGTACTAATACTTGGTTTTTCAGTTTTATAGTCAAATACTGACACTATCACAAAACCCTACAATTGCCATGTGTCATATGAACAATAAAGGAACAAAAGAACAGAGTGTTGGTGGGGGGGCTACTCACCTATTTATTTGACCAAAAATATACATGTTAAATTTAACATGTATATTTTATAAAGAAAGATTTTTTACAATATGTAGTAATCTTGCAAGATAAAGAAATGAGGTTTAACATCCACTCAATACAAACTAGGTCATTTCAGGACTAACATATGGTTCAATTTTATTACAATAAACCGCTTTCACTGAATGGTCTTTAGCAGTGGGAGGAAACCGGAGGACCCTGAGAAAACCCACAAGGTTGGACTGGTGTCGGTACTCCTTATCACTTACAATTTGGAAATCAAAACCACTCAACTTGACTCAATGACAGATCTTATGATCTGAAGTGCATGCATTAACCATTTGGCCGCCCAACCCCCACATAAAATTATGGGTTAGAATGAAAGCTCTAGGCTAATTTCATCATAACTTTATGATGGGTAACTGAAAACTTTACATTTTTTATTTAATAAATAATTCAATGGATTTGAGAATATTATCTACCCTTAATTGTCTGTGATTTGATTCCTCAGTATCTTTTAATGCTTTTTTGAGCTGTTCAACCTGTTGTTCTAACTCCGATATAGCCTCTGTATTCTAAAATATACCATATTTACTGTTGTAGTACAGAATCAACAACCACTGATTAATTAATGGAGATTCCTAATGAATGACCAATCCTAATGTTGTTATAAATCAATCTGATTTAAACACAGATCCTATTTCGTTTCGTTTTTATAGTTCAGTTTTACTTGTCTTTACTACACTAGAATCTGGAAGAGTTGTTATCATTGACGTGTTCTGAATGGTGTGAGGTATTAGCCAATGAAACAGTCTGTTACCGCGAGCTTTAGGCGTGTTTTGCACGGAACTGTGGGTAATAACATGAATGCTGATTGGTTAATCAAATGTTTGACGTCATAGGGTCAAAAGCCGCTCGTATGACCTCTGATGTGACCTATCGCAACAACCAGTCAGATCTTCATGTAGTGTAGGCCATCGAAAGTATAAAAAACAAACGAAATATCTGGATTTTAATCAGATTGGTATTATCAGAAAGTAAGTGAAAGAGTTGACAATCTTGTCTTCTGAACTCAGATTTCCCAATACTGTGTATTACTTACCCAGACAAACAATACTAGGGTGGATTGAAACACTGCATTACTTAGAGCCAGATAGAAATGAAATATATAGACAAACACAATAAATCAATAAGACTTGTAATGTAAATTTGACACTAAAACATTTGTGAAAAATTAAACGGTGGCCTCACACCCTCAATTCTCATAGTAGTGCTACTGCAGGAGACAATCATAGCCAGTTATGATAGGTTGATTACCTTTGATGATGATAAACTTTGTTCTTGTTTTATATACTGTAAACTAGCTTCTGTTTTACTTTTTAAACTTCTTACTTCTTGTTTGTGTGTGTCTATTAAATGTTTATATTCACTATCTAGATGACGGAATCTGAAATAAGGATGTAATATAATTATAAAGGAGATAAAAGATAAAAGCTAAAAACCAAATTCAAAAGGTACTGAAAAGGAAAATCAGTTGGTATACATTTTCTTATTAAGCCTACCAAATTGTTTATATGATTACAAATTGTAACTTTTCTCAGCCTTTTAACTGAAAATCAGACTATCTTTATTGTGTTCTGTATTAGGAAAATGAGAACAAAACATCATAGAAAAATCCAGTCTGGAATACACAACAAAACCAAGAAATGTTAGGAAGTCTCAGGCTACCCATTCTAAAAGCTCTTATGTTTTACCTGTCTTTAGAGTCTTCTAAATTTGCTGATAATCTATCAACTTTTATCTGTAATTCATTCTTCTCTTTTTCTATAATTACTCGTTGTTTGACTGTATTATCAACCTCCGTTGTTAACATCTGAACACGATTTTCTAATTCTTTAATAATGTTGGACTGAAAAATATCATTATTTCCAATATAAGTCTTGAAGTAGAACAATCGAAGTGATGATGCGTCATTTGCATTTTTTGCTAAAATATCAAATTTCTCACGACTTAATCCACCCTAATATGTACTCAGATTGATTATTTAACATTTAATTAAGAAACCAAAATCAGAATAACAATGCTAGATAATCTCCCAGCTTAGAATCCATCGGATTAAAAACAGTCTACCAATAAATTTTCAGGATAACAAAATGGCGGACAGCTTATTACATAGCAGGTAAAATAGATCGATGAAACTTCAATTTCAAACACCTTTGTAAAATTTACTGAATGGAATTGAACCATTTTTGGACAGATATTACTATCAGAGATTCATCTTTCACAATATTGTAGTTTGCAAGGGATTCTAAAAGTGCTAAGATGACACATCAAGACTTTAAAGAAAATGCAATATTAAATTAAACCTACAATTTCAAGAGGTTGCTTTTTTTTAAATCAAAAGACAAAAATCAGTGTGGTAATGAAAATAAAAATATTAAAGGAAAGGAAAATAAATTACCGTTGAAGTGGTTTGTTGACCATATTCCTTCTCCATTCGTCGCAACTTTACGTCAGTTTCCTCCAAAACTTCTTGTACATTTCTAGAGTGATGATTCTGCATTTCAAACTTTTCTTGTTCAAATTCATGTAACAAATCATGAAGCTATAAGAAATATAGTATTATTATTATACACGATTTACACAAAGCAGAAGTTATACATGATAAAACACCATTACATAATCGTATATAAAGCATTATGTAGATGCAGATGGAAATGTACATGATTCTAGAAAAATGATATATCGTCGTCTGACCTTTGACTTCTCTTTCAAACATGCTTTTGTCTCTTCCTACAGAAAATGAAACATAAAAAATTATCTAGTCTGCTATACTGCTTTCCTCAGAATCAGAATGCCAGATTTCCGATAAATAAAAATTCATCTAATCTTTGGTTGAATACTTCATAAATCTATATCAATCAGTAAAATTTCCTAGATAATGTTTACTTTACCTTTTTTTCATATTGAAGTTTTTTTGATTGATCAGTGTCTTCCACCATTTTCTTTAATTCGGACACCTGTTTTTCTTTGGATTCTCTCACCATATTGGATTCTTTTACAACAGATTGCACTATATATTACAACATAAACAAATGATTATCATTTCTCATATCCCTTGATTTATCATATTATTAATTCTATTAACCAATTATTGTTTGACAAACTTCGTTTAAATGTATGATTAAAAGATAATTAACATCATAAGAAATGAAATGAAATGGGGTTTAATGTCCTACTGTTATGCTCCGACGGTAACATCATAAGATCAGTTCTGGAGATATAAATAAGTGTTGTATTTTTACTAGAGTCTAACTAATTTTTCAGTAAAATGTAACTAAATTAAGAAGATTAAAAGATGTGTTTTCTTTTCAAGAATTCACCTAGAAAACATATTGTTGTTGTATTCACCTTTTTTATCTAGTTTTGCTACCACATCTTCTAATTCTTGTACTTTTTCATTATATTCTGATTTAAGGTCTTCTACCTCTAAATTTTTCCTTTCGATAACCTGAAGAATAATTTGCTTCATAAATTCATATAAACCAAATATCTCGTTTTCACGCCCATATATTAATGTGGATGTATGATAACGTGCATTTTACGTGCGTTTTTCCTCTTTCACCAAAAAACGTAATATTAATATGTGTGCGTATAAAAATAGATCTTGTAAACCCCAATGGTTTGCTGACAATGACTATCTGCTAATAGCACACAGTAATCAGGTTGACATAATCCTTGGTGTGATCAGGCCTTTACTTTTGAAATTTTTGAATCATACTTTTGATTGTTATAAAACCACACTAACTTAATAAAACTTACCTTCTGAACATAATTATCATGTTTTTGTTTTAATCTAACTTTTTCTTCATGAAAATTAGCTTCTAACATCTTGATCCTTGTTTCAATCTATAAAACAATAATAAAATTATATATGACTAAGAGTTTATTTACTTGATAACAAATGTTCTGAAACAATACATGTCTACCGACCCCCAAAAACTTTGCAATGCATGTATTTATAAGAGACTGATTGTCCGAATACATTTATGTGTATATAATCGAAATACATATTAAAGGCTCAATACCACTCTTGTTGTAACTGAATAATATGTCCCAATCTTTATTCTGGTCAACAAATTGTACTATTTTGGAATATTTCAATTAATTGATGATACAAATTTCATCTTAACACACCTTATTTAAAAATTTTGAAAAATTCAACATAATGGTTTGAAACATCTAACGTAAACCTTTTCAAATGAAACTTCGATTTAAAAATATTTTTGAACCCTCTGGACAAGTAAAATAGGATGTAATGGATAATTTACACAACAGGTAGGACACTTAAACATCTAGTACTTAAATAGAGATATTATTTATTGTCTGGAGCTTTCAAGCCAGCAAGAGTGTTATTGTCCCTTTAATGAAATAAATTCAGTGTATAACTGAATTTTTACTAATTGTTCTGTAAAACAGTGTACCAATCGAACGTCTCAAAGTTTATTTAAGTCTCCAAAGGGGCATAGTTAAAGGAGCTAAATCGCTAATATTTGGGACCTAGAAATTGACAGAAGTGGGTCGCAACTCATATAATACCATAATATGAATGTATATAAACTGATTTACATTCAATTGTTTCCGTTTTTACTCTAATTTCAAATCAGTTATGTTCCGTGAAATAAGCCAGCAGTCTCAATCGAGTGCAAATTCCTAGTGTCTGGTTATTCCAGTCTAAATCAGCCGTTTGGTTTGGTGCAATATGTCTAGCCTCGTTCCTCTAGTCTCTTGCTAGAACTGGGGCTGAAACGCATTATGGTACACGATTCGTGTACCAATGGTAAAATATTTATTTTGTCTTAAATATTGGATATCAGAAGCCCACCCTTTTCCGGTAAGATCACAGCATCAATGTTGTTTTAAATTGACAAATAATTTGTGTTTTAAATGTTGAAGATTTTGGATGATATTGAGTTAGAGACTTAGCTCCTTTAACTAAAATATTTACGGAATTCCATGAAACATGAACAGAATCTGTAAACTCTACCATATCAGTGTACCAAATTTCAATCAAATATCTTAAAGTTAAATAAAACCCTTTATTCCCATATAGCAAACCGGTAGGAGAATCAAATAATGATTTATTTGACAAAATATTGATAACGTTTAGAAAATACATTATTTGTCGCTATAAAAGGAAGGAAAACCTTCAGCAAACACAAACATTAAAATCTACAAATCTACAATGATTTCTTACCTCTGATGTATGCAATGAAAACTGTTCATCAGGATAGGGGGTAACTAAAAAAAAAAAACAAGGTATAAATATATTGTTTTATAATATTTAGAAGGAATCACATGAATTGTTGTTGGGGGGGGGGGGGTTGTGAGATATATAACGAAGCAAGCTGCTCACCTTTTGGATAAAGTGTAGATGTAACATGACTATGATGACTATATGGTCTTGACCAATCACTATCATTTACCTAAAATGATATATTAAATTATTAACAGACTATTCAAAACACATGCATGTAAAAATAGGGCACCAAATATAAAGCATATCGAGGTGAATCACAGGGAAATCTGAAAAATGGGTAAAATTGTTTTGTTCAGGAATAAGAAAAGGGCAAATTAATCATATGACAGTAGTTGACAGAAACAAGTCAGTTCATCAGCACAACAAGGAGGTTTTTTTATAGCAAAAATTTGTATCATACACAGAGGGAAATCTCCCGACAGTGATTGGAAAAATTAAGACTTTTACATCGTATATGGTGGGTACATCTGTGTTTTAAATTGAATTTTACATTTGTGTCAAAACGATATCTACAGTCAGTCTGTGATGTAGTTATAAATGGGATCTGGATCAGAAAATATCTGAATAATGAGTTCACCTGAGGGTTATTTCTTCTAGTAGGTGATTTACTTCTTGGTCTAACATCTACAATATAAACAAATATAAATGTACATGTTTGACTTAATACAACATCATCCATACCTTAAGATGTTTTAACTGCTGCCCTAAAATAATCCATATTTTCAACTACCGGTATCAAAATAAACACAGTCTGAAAATTTATAAAGTAAATTCACAGTTGTCCTTAAGAAGTTGCTAATTGTATTGAATGTAACTCACCAAACTTTCGTTGCTCTCTATTTAATGGTGAATGAGTTGGTGAAGATTTTGTATCAAGACATAAATCATCCTGTAAAAAGATACAAATATATAATACTTTAACTTACACATTCTACCCATAAATACATAGGCCTACTATTAATTATCTTATTTCAATAATTCACTTGCCTGTCTTTAGAAGACAGAAGAACCCAGAGAAAACTTATAAGGTTAGGTAGGCAACACTAATTCTTGCTACATACAGATGTATAATTCTTAAACATTCTACTCATAAACATTTAGGTGCCACATCCAAATGAAGGACTTAAATGACACATCCTAAAATCTATAGCACACATGTTAGTCACCTAATTATAACTGCCTGTCTAAAGAGAAGAAATGGAATTTATTACATAGGGAAGACTGGGGTAATTTGTATAAAACTGAATGTTAATAACTTACCAAAGCAAATGGCAGAGATTGTTCATCTCTATTTGGTAATGATAAATGATGATGGCTATCTAATGATGAAACACCTAGACTATTGGTTGATCTGTAATACAATAAGTTCACAGATTATATCAATTTAGGCAATATTAATCAGAAAAAAATCGACAAATCATATGTTTTTTCAATCCCTTTTTTTTTTCTTAATTACTAATGAATGAAGAAATCACTTTACATGACAATCTGTTTCTTAAGAAAATTTACTTCATATATTCTGATATCTAGATATAAGCATAAGCATGAGTTTCCTAAAATTGTGTGACTTGTATGAGCTCATGCTAGTCTAGAGAGTCCAAGTATATAAATGTACATTTCATAATTATGAGATATTGAACATGGATCAAATAAAGATGGTCAGTTGTGAATGTGTACATTTCATTTCAACTTCAACGAAATAATAAAACAAAACTTTAAACACCATGCACAATCACTGAAATGAACTTCTTCAACTTAGCATGCTAAGTAGAGATATCCATGCCTTCGCCTAGGAGAGTAGAAAACAGCACAAAACCTTTGTTTGATATCACGACTAGTTAGAAATGTGGAGGTAGCAGTTGGTTCCCAAAATGCTGATCTATGAAATAATGATGATCCAACAGAATGGGTCAGTTCTCCTGATACCCAGTCTGGTGTTTTATCCTGAAATACAAGAAAGCATTAATATAACTCATGGATTAAATAGACAATTTTACAGACAAGAAAACCCATAAATGCCAATGGGACTAAAATATTTCTTTTGATTTGTCTTGTAAACAGTAGGTTCTGGAAGCATATTTTAACTAAATTGTATTCTGTTTGATATAAATAAAAGTTAGTCAAGCTTTATGTCACTTGTGCATGGAATTATTTCAAGATACAAGCAAAGAACATAACAGAATCAAATCATAAAAAAGAGTTGATGTCATTCAGTCAAAGTTCACTATAGTATAAGACACCCAACATGATCTAAATCCCCTTCTATATTTCAAGATAGGTTGCCAGGCAACAAAACATACGCCCACAGCAGCTAAGTCGTCCGGGCAGCCAACAAAGGTTGTCGCATATTTTTTCTTTTGTAGGTAGTGAAATCATTTACAACACATGAAAATCTGACAAGTAATAATCATTAAGTACTTATCAGAAATCATTAGAATTTGTTTCAATTGTTTGTCTCATGACCTTAAGCAATCTATATTAACTTTAGCCTCTAGAGGGGCCACAAGATTTTTCAAAGTGATCAAAGGCCATAATTCTGGCAGTAATTATCGTTAAAAATCAATAGGCCTCTTCGTCTCATGACCTTAAACAGTGTGTATAAATTTTATGTCAATCGAATATTAACTTTTCCCTCCAGAGCGTCCACAAGATGTTTCAAAGTGATCAAGAGCCATATTTCAAAGTGATCAAGGGCCATAATTCTGGCAGTAAATATCGGAAATAGTTGACAATCAATAGGCTTATTCGTGTCATGACCTTAAACACGGTGTATCAATTCAATTTAAAGATGGGTTCCCAGAAAAGTATTTATCGGGTGGTTATTTCCAATAAAAGTATGGCAATTTTGGTATTTATGGAAAGTAGAGATATCCAATCTTACAAGAAAAATACTGGATTCCCCGAAAAACACTCATGGAGAGTATACAGGACAAAAATGTAAGGGTTCCCCTAATCGACAGCCCGCCAATTAGGAATTTCTGCACGCATGATGTCAAAGGTCACCAAGAACATTGAGCGCTTGATGTACAAGTTGATAAACTTTATGAAGAGTTAGACGTACAACACTTTCTGAGATAAAAATGACAGAAAAAGACGCGGGTAGTGGATAATACGAGAATTTAATTAGGATTCGATATTTGTAATAAATAGTAAGCGATTAAAGACAACATGATCTTATGTATGCAATGAATTCTCCTCTGACTTCCAAGAGAGGTAAGTCACGTGACATAAACATGACCTGGTTTGATCGAATTTTTATAGCAGGGCATTCCTTCGCAATTACAATGTTTGAGAAGGATTTGAAGCAAAATTATGACAAATTAATTAGTTTGAATATGTTTTTAGTCCATATATACCATTAAATCACCCAGTTTGTACGCGGGAATGTATCTTTAAAGTCAATCAGATATTAATTTAGCCTTTAGAGCGTCTAAAAGATTTTTCAAAGTGATCAAGGGCCATAACTTTGGCAGTAATTATCGGAAATCATCGAAAATCAATAGGCTTCTTTTTCTCATGACCTTAAACACTATGTATAATTTAAAGTCAACTGGATATTAACTTTAGCCTCTAGAATGTCCACAAGCAATTCTGAACACCGGACGGATGGATGGATGGACGGGGGCAAAGACAATATACAACCACATTTCAATGTGGTTGAATAAAGATTAATAAAATAAAACCACAACCAACCAAAATATTTTGCAGTGGGGTTTTGCCACATAATGTCAATGATTAATACAAAAAAAAAAAAAAAAATATGAAAAAACACAAGACACAGAAATACTTACCTCTTCTAAATTCATAGGATCGTCAAAATATATTGACTGAAAAAAATGTCCAATTGTTAGAGCTTAGAAATGTTAAGTCATATGAATTTCCTAATCAGCATTACTAATAAGGTCTACTAAAAAACTAAAAAAATAAAATTGCACTACTCTAATGAACCCAATGTGTTAGCTAATAAATAATCACTAGACAATCAAATTTTCATTAAAAACTAAGTTATTATCTATAACATTGTCAAGGTATTACAACATAGGTGATAGGTCACTGCATAGCTCACAAAAATTGAACCAATCACTGCACTTGATGCAAATAAAACCATCAAAGCAAATTAAGACTATCCACCATACTTTTTAATGTTTTCTTAAATCTGCTATATCTTAAATATAACAAAAATATTTTTCAGAAAAGTGAACGATCATCAAGTTGACTTATGCAGCTACGGTTGCAGACATATGTCATAATTCCTTGACATTAAGAAAATGCCTCAAGGATTAGAAAGCTGATATTTCAGCAAAGCTTACTGAAACATAAATGACTTTGCTATTCAGGAAACTAGCACTTAAGATTTACAATACTGGCAATTGATTGAAAATTTACCATATAAGTAGGTAATGTTGGCAAACTTCCGTCTTCAGGTTTTAAATCAAACGGTGACTCTAAAGTTCCTCTTCGAAGCATTCTTAACATCAGTTGTGAATAAAGATTACGATTTTTTCTGAAATATAATTTCATTCAACACATAGTACTTTATTAGTTATAGTTGATTATATACTTAAAACAAATACAACAATAAGCACGTAAAATTAAAAACAAAGTTTATTTTGTGAAAGATGTTTATCTTGAATCAGACTTATTGATATTACTCTGTGGAATTAATGACTTTAAAGTTTAAAGTGAGAGCCTTCATTAGGTTGGATCACAAAGTAAAGAATTATTGAAGACAAAATACCTGCTGGATAATCCAGACGATGGTGGTTCACACAACTTTTTGATCCAGACTGCACATCTTTGACGATCTAAATATAATTATGAAAGAGAGATGACTAAATCTGTTCAGCAGTTGTACAGAAAAATGGATTTTTATAATACAGGGCTCAACTAAAATGTTAGAAAGTGTGATGTATTGCTGTTCATATCCACTTGTATCAATAAATACCAGGTGAAATCTAGGATACCAACCTCTCTTCATTATTTAATCTCTCGGTTTAGTTAATCTGTTGGGCAAATAAATGATTACCTTGTTGATGGCCATTCAAATAGATCTATTTGTGTAAGTACAGTATTAAATTGGTTAATTAAGTTTGAGCTCACAGCTTTAAAATACCATTTAAATAAGGCAAGATTTGTAAGCTTACCTTTTTTTTCTGGCAGTTTTAAAACATATGGTTTCATATCTACTAAAATCTTGTCAAACTCTGTGTCAAGCTGTTCACTGGTCATAGTTTGACTCTCCATACTGGCTAAATATGAACCTATTGAAAAGAAAAAGTACAGGTGGTTAAATTAATGTTTACAGGTCAAGATAAAACAAAATTAACACAAAGATGTAATACAAAATTATGATGAAAGAAATCACTTTAAAAGTTATTCAGATTGAATTGGTAGACTCTTTTTGTATTGCCTGACTGGGTTTTTCCTTCATTTAAAAGTTAAGAATTATGATTATTATAATATTAAATAGAAAATATACTGAACATGTAAAGTAAGCACTAAGATGTTTACATTACGTACTAATATCCACACAAAGACTTGCCACTGATCACTAACCTATGTTTTTTTCTATCTGTAGCCCACTGTTAGTGACATATGCAGTGACAATGGTATTTCATAAATAAAGCGAAAGAAATATCCAGTTTCACTTCCATTCAAAATCATGGTGTTTGTGCTTTTTAATCATCACCACTCACTGTGATGTAATGACCCAAATTAGCAAATCAAATAACATTACTTTCATCTACTTACAACAAATTCCTATTTTTACTCTTGAGATTGGGATTTAATTTTACAAAGCCCAAGAGGCTGAATTCCTTTTCACAAGATTGGGCCTATAGTATGAATGATGAGCTATGACTACATGGAAACATTGAATAATCTTTTATCTAATTTATTTATTATATTCATCAATTATACCCTGCTCGATTTGTTCTGAGTGGAGGCCTTTAGTTTACTGGATTTACTCTTTCATTGGTTTCATTTGCCACAGGCCCTACTTACAGTACTTAAGTTAAAAAGATGTTGGTTAAAGTTAAAGGACAATGTTGGCGTCATCCAATATTCCATATGTGATAGAACTGGTTAAAAATATTCCAAATATAATATTTACACAGAGATCATCGCTGTGGTAGATGGCTAAGGAAGATATGAAGAAACCGGAAGTAATGTAAGCAAAAGGACTGACTGCCAGGTAAGAGCGATAACAGACGAAAAGATGTAATTTATTAGACTGTGAGAGGATATCTGTTCGAAATTAACAATTCATAAAAGGAATTGACTGAAACGAGAGTAGAATAAGCGAGAAAAACGGAAAAAGTCTGTGCGTTACCTTTTTTTATTAAAGATACATTATGTAAGATTTAGATAAAGAACTAGCCATTCTTGCTATAATAGTTCGAAAGTAGATGATGTAAAATAAATAATTTTAAAATTTCATTCAAATTATTCTATTGCAAGCGAAGATATTAGCCTTTGAAGGTTTGACAGACGTGTGCAATAATTTCAACCACCGTACTGGTTGATTGAAGCTAAGTCTCGGTCCTCCATATTTGATTAAATCAAAGTATCGCTGAACCATTCTAATCTATTTAATATCGGAGAAATCTGATGCCATCGAGAGTTGATTAAGGCCTGGATCAGTTAATTAATGTCTAATTAATACTTTAGAAAACATTTCAGGCCTAAAGAAAGACCTGCAATAGGCAGATTTAGCTCTTGCATAATGCATGTTTAATTAAAATTTTAAGCAATAATTATAGTTTATAAATAGTCCTATTTATAGATATACTAAAGTCATTATTTTTTTACAATTACTTCTGTCTCCGCCATGTGGATCACAAATCTCAATTTGATATGCGCTTCAAAGCGACAATTAGGCGGTCTTAATTTATCAAATACTGCATTCATCCAACCTATTAAAAGTAAAACAAATACCGTACTGGCTAGGTAGCGCAGACCACTATCAGACGTTAATTTCAGAAGCCGGCATACTAAAATTTCTCTGAAATACCACACCCACGAAAAAGATTACAGGCCTGAAATTCAATCCGGAAAGGCTATAAGTTTGCAATTATTTTTGTTGTTGATGGCAAATGGAATAAAGATCACAATCATAGTCGAACGCAGAATTGCTATTTGCAATCTATGTGGTGAAGACTGTAGAATTATAATTCACATGACTTTGTAATAATATTTATAAATGTACATGTTTGTCTTGGGTTTTAAAAAAATATATTAATATATTTCTATTATTCATCAGTAAATAGGCCAAGCATTACTGAATGAAGTAGGCCTAAACGGTTTTCTCTCTGGACTAATTCGCGGTGTTGCGATTTGTAATAATAATAGTGTGTCTATATTTATAGGCCTATCGGAATAAACTGTAGTGTAATTATCACCTAAAATATATGTACGGTAAGTAGATAATGAATAAAAACAAGGGAATTCACAGATTTTTTTCTATTTTTCTTGATTTCTCTTATCTCATGATAGTCAACTCTTTTATGAATTGTTAGTTTAGATCAGATATCCTAGCCCACGGTCGAATATCACAACTTTTCGTCTGTTATCACTTTTACCTGCAGTTTGAGTTAGCTTACAGATTACTTGTGAATTCCTTTTGCTTGTGTCACTTCCGATTTCTTCATATCTTTGTTACGCATCAACCACAGCAATGATCTCTGTGCTAATATTATAGTTGGAATGTGTTTAACCGGTTCTATCACCTAATATTGGTTCACACCAACATTATTCACTATCACTATATATTATTTTGTCATTGAGCATTGTCCTTTTTAATTAAAGCAAACAGAACAGGAAATTGTAAAAGAAATTTCATACTACATAAATTAAGCCCTAGAATATTGCAGAATATAAATATAACGGATTAGATTTGAATAATAAACTAAAATATAAACTCAATAACTAAAACAATTGAACCTTCTGTCTTACTCCTGTCAGACCAAACATGTCAAAACAGAACATCAATTTCAACCAGTTCCTGTCTGTAGTGTAGTGAGGCTGTAGGCCTATCGAACGAAAGTGTTAATTATCAATTCCATAAATTCTTCTGTGAATAGACGTAATTAATTAGGTACCTGCCTTCTTCACTGATAAAAGGGCATGATGCTTCAATATGTGAAACAGCATTCACTTCTTTGAAATGATTTTGACGTTTCGTTGTTTCAAAACAACCTCCATTTTAGTCGCGGTCACCTAGGCCATGTTGGAATTCTTAGTCTGGTTTAGCGACACTACGACCGAAGCTGTTCTTAACGCATGCGTATTTTAATTTATGATATCTTTAGCAAGAATAATACTATAATGATGAATATTAATTGATTTATAGATAAATGACACAGTATCATAGCACATGATGATTCAATTTTAGGGCATGGCAAGCAAACAATTTTCTACCCTTTCGAAATAAAGTGATTCTATCAAACTGTTCCATACTGCGGGTCGTGTTGGATCTCTTGAATGTGTTTATCGCATACTGACCTTTACCTTACACATTAGACTCGGTTTTCCGAGTGGCACCATCTCTCTCAGTTCTTGATCCTTGAACATGAGATTAGATATTATCTTTCACTAGTTTCATCTAGATATATTGTATTTTATGAAATATACGTCACTGTACACGACTTTTTGTCTTTTCTAAACACGTGCAACAGGCGTTAACTATGGCGGAAACGGTGGGAAAGGTAATCATTTGGTCAGAATGTATTATTCATTAGGAATAGGATTGGAATTAATCAATTATTATCAAAGGCCTGCTGTATTTTAAAAGTTAGGCCTTCCCAAGGTTTATGAAGTCTATTCAAGGTCAGTGGTATGTCGTAAGTGTAGGGTAGTCCAAAATGTTTAATATATCTTTGGTTCCTGATATTTTGTAAGCTAGCAATGTAGACGTCGTCACATCGCACAGTGTACATTCTTCCATGTTATTGCCAGACTGGACATGATTGCCAAGATCAAGATACTTAGATAGTATATTGGGTCGCAAGCAATCTGTCCGGAGAACCGGGCACTGTAAGCCGTGCGGCATGTCCAGGGCAAAGTCATCATAATTTTCAGTTTGCTCTAAGAGAACATCAATTTTTCTTCGATGAGGTCTCAGATCACACTGAGTCACTGTACCTTGGAATCAAAATAAGAGTAGGCAGTAGCCTTGGCTGCAGTGCAAAATTTCCATTATAAGTATTAGGCCAGTTGGTGCACAAAAGTAAGATGTTAAACCGCATTTCTGGTTAGTTTTCTAAATTTATAATGTTTTTTATTTGTGGATATGTGGTAAAAAAAACATTTATTGCTGGTCTAAAATTAATATCTATTTTATTTTTCTAATTTCATAGTTTTTTTTTATAATAATTGCAGTCATTACACAGGTTAATATTTCTGTAATATCAATGAATATCTATTATTTTATTTTATATTATGTTACAGACAATTACCTGTAAAGCTGCTGTAGCATGGGAGGCAAAGAAACCATTAGTTCTGGAAACAATAGAAGTTGACCCACCAAAAGCTGGTGAAGTTAGAATCAAGATTCTGGCTACAGGAGTTTGTCATACAGATGCATATACTCTAGATGGGTTTGACCCTGAAGGAATTTTTCCAGTTGTATTAGGACATGAAGGTGGTGGTATAGTAGAAAGTGTTGGTGAAGGAGTCACATCTGTACAACCAGGTTTGTAATCTTTTCTTCCAATTGAACATCAGTTTTTTTGTCAAGTACATCTAAGAAGCAGTCCAGATTTCTCAGGGTATTTGTTGATAGGTTGGAGTTGGAGTACTCAAATCATATGCCAAAATTTTAAGACCTAGTCCAATTACCTCATTTGAAAGTTTCAAATCAGTCTAGCTGTTTACAAATGATTGTTACATTTGTTTAACAGGGACTTGCAGTGTTCAGTTGTACAAATGTATGAGAAGCAAGATAATTGCATCAATCACTAACCATGTTATTCATGGGCAAGCATCACTTTATTAATCCAGACAATTGAATAGGGTGGAATTTGCAGATTTATTGCAGATCCACATAGAGATTCAGAAGGTTCCATAGAACCAGCATACTTAAGTCTATACTATAAAGAAAAATTAACTGGTTTTATTCAGTAAAATATATTTGAATTGTTACTTTTGCAATGTATGCCAAGGGGAGGGATTTTGTCATGATATACTCTTCATTGGATTCCAACAGCCAAGATTTTGTGCACATGTGGACCCTAGCTTTATTGTCCCATCTGAACACATTTCCTTGTCAGCTACCTGTGACAACCGATCTTGAAAAATCCGGAATGTTGTTCTTGGCACATGTTGGATCCAAACCTGGGACAGTGTTGTTGAGAGACTAGTGCACTGCCCCACCGCTTATTTACTGCCAACCCTCACCCCCCTTGCATAAAGGAAGTGGATATGACTCCAGAGCCACTCTTAGGGTCTAGAATGTAGTCAATTTTAATGAATCATCCACACAGGTTCACTGAATTAAATAACATGTAAGCTTAAAGTTACAATTTCATATTTTCTAAGAAAGTCAAAACATAATTATTTCTATGTCTTTTGCTCAATAGGTTGTCAACTCCCTATTATACTATCATAGGTTATCTTTCTCACACTTAAAAATCTTCACACCTGAAATAATAACCCAATTAGTTCCCGTGTTTTCCTATTCAACAACATGGAATAGCTATCTTCAAACGTTTGAATTTGAAGTTGAAAATTATATTTTTGCCAATTTCTCAACTGGCAATAGTGAATTATAGGATTAATAGGATTATTCTTTAACAAGGTAGGACTGTTTATAGATACCATCTATTTTAGGGCTTTATTTTAATACATTTTAAAAATATAACTTAAAAATATGAAATTGTAACTTTAAGAAGATTCTCTATTAGTTTATCAGAATAACTGGATTGATAACTGGTTTGATATCTTGTATTTTTGTATATCTTTTAGGTGACCATGTTGTGCCATTGTATATACCTCAATGCTATGAATGCAAATTCTGCAAGAGTCCAAAAACTAATCTTTGCTCAAAAATAAGGTAAGTTGTAAAAGACTAATAAAATCACCAAGCAACTTTCACAATATTGGGCACCATTATTGTACTGAAATCGTAATATGATAAATTTGATGTATTGGCATCCAAACTATCTATGTTTTTATACAACCATATCTTATTTCCCTGTCTGTCCGTCCTTCAGTCCAGCATTTGGCACCCACAGTTTCATGAGGATACTCTAGGAGCACTGTTTTCCAAAGTAGGCAATGAGAAGATCTAAAGAGTCAATGATAAAAAAATGTGAAATTGAGGGGGGACACCTAGTTTATGATGAGTGGACATTTAACCCAATTCTCTTTCACCTTCTCTTTATTTTTCTAAGGGCTACTCAAGGTAAAGGTGTAATGCCTGATGGGACATCAAGATTTAGATGTAACGGAAAACAGTTATTTCATTTTATGGGAACCAGTACATTTAGTGAATATACAGTTGTAGCAGAAGTGTCTGTTAGTAAGGTAAACATTCACCCTGTCATAATGTTTCATGGCTCATGTGCTTATCACTGAATTAAATACATTGAACAAGCTGCAAAGTGTTTCTAACTGTACCATATTACTTGTAGGACTAATTTGAAGTATTACGAAGTAGTCCACGCACGGCTGTGTTTCAGGTCCCATGCTTGTCCTGATCAAATTTACAAGTGTTTTCCTCCAAGATGTGTGCTAATACTGTATGTGTAATCATTATACTTTTTGAAGTGAAATATCTTGGAAATTCACTAGGTATTGAGAAATCTAATTTGTCAGAAATGGTAAGATACATGTAATTACCCAGAGGTAGATTATAAAAAAAGGTAAATTATGTTAACAGACATGAATACACCATAACACATGGCATAAAATAAAAATATCATATATTGCAGGTAGATGTTAATGCTCCATTAGATAAAGTATGTTTATTAGGTTGTGGAATATCTACTGGTTATGGTGCTGCCTTAAATACAGCTGGAGTAAGTATTATAGCTCAAAAATGAAATGAAATGGGTTTAACGTCCGAACTGGGCTAATGAAGACGTGCATACGCCATACAGTGTGCTATGAGGGAATTTTGCCCAGACAGCGGCACTACGGCGTGCACGCCAATGTGTACACGGAACCTTGGTTTTTTGCCCCATCTGAACGACTAAACAGCTGTTCTTGTCGAGCCCTCCGTCCTGCATCACTGACAAGGGGGAACCACGATGGAAAATCTGGATAGACTTTCTCAGCCAATGCAGAGATCAAACACCCGACCTCCAGGCTAGCAAGCCAGCATCTTATCAACTTGACCCCCGTAATATAGTTCAAGTACTTATCTTGCTTCTGAATCCTCATTTGTACTATGTTATTCTGTTCGATTTTAGTAAATCTAGTGGCTACCATTTCTAGCCCTGCTATATCAACTTTTATCGTCCTAAAACCATAATTCAGAATTCATAGTACTTTGATATTTTTACGTGTAGGTAGAGCCTGGTTCAACATGTGCTGTATGGGGATTAGGTGCTGTAGGGTTAGCTGTTATTATGGGATGTAAGAAAGCTGGTGCTACTAGAATTATTGGTGTTGATATTAATGCAGACAAATTTGCAGTAGGTAAGTCCAAAAAGGTCATACACAAACCAGCTTGTATTCATTCATTTGATCTAAAATGTGAAGTTTTAGGATTGTCAAGCATTGGCCATTCTCTTCCATTCTATTTGATTTAAAGATGGGTTCCCAGAAAAGTATTTATCGGGTGGTTAATTCCAATAATAAAAGTATGGCAATTTTGGTAAATATGGAAAGTAGAGATATTCAATCTTACTAGAAAAATACTGGAGTCACCGAAAAACACTCATGGAGCGTATACAGGACAAAAATGTATGGGTTCCCCTAATCAACAGCCCGACGATTAAGAATTTCTGCACGTGTGATGTCAAAGGTCACACGCGAACATTGAGCGCTTGATGTACAAGTTGATAAACTTTATGAAGATTAAGACGTACAACACTTTCTGAGATATAAAAGACGCGGGTAGTGGATAATCCGAGAATTTAATTAGGATTCAATATTTGTAATAAATAGTAAGCGATTAATGATTTTCAAGACATGACGTAAACATGACCTGGTTTGATCGAATTTAAATAGCAGGGCATTCCTTCGCAATTACAATATTTGAGAAGGATTTGAAGCATAATTATGACAAATTAATTAGTTTGAATATGTTTTTAGTCCATATATACCATTAAATCACCCAGTTTGTATGCGGGAACCCATCTTTAATATAAGCAATATGCCACAGAATGATCAGAAAAGAAAAGCATTCATATTAGTACTAATCTTTTCTGTTTACATTTAAATGTTTAAGGGAATAATAAAGTATTATGATTGTATATAAATATTAAGATGTCTTATGGAATTAATAGGATGGTAATCACCTTTTTTTACAGCTAAAGAATTTGGAGCAACAGAATTTTTGAACCCAAAAGAATTTGAACAACCAATTCAACAAGTTATTGTTGATAAAACTGATGGTGGATGCGATTACACATTTGAATGTATTGGAAATGTTGGAACCATGGTAAAATTTTATGTTATAATTTACCATATCAAGACTTCAAACAATCCCTGAAAATGCCAATGTCTAAGCCAGACAAAATAATTGTATTGGAAATGTTGGAACGATGATAAGATATTTATGTTATAATAAGATAATTGACTGTATTACCTGACTCATGAGTATTTTTATTTGGTACATATCAGCAAGGTCAACAAAGGCCCAGTTTGTGTTCAAAAAAAAAAAAATTAAAAACAATGTAAAATATTTCTGGTCTGTCAGTTATGATGGGTTGTAATATTTCCATACCTACTAGTCCTAGATCTGTGAATAAGAAAATATTTTTAGACCTCTGCAAATTGACTTTATATTATTTTTGCTACATTGAAACAATCCCCGGTTGTACGTGGCAAGGAGTAGGGTCGCCTGTCCAACCTCGTGGGTTTTCTCCGGGGCCTCCGGTTTCCTCCCACTGCTAAAGACCCCTACGCGCAAGCGAATTGTATAAATAAAATTAAACCATATGTTAGTCCCGAAATGACCTAGTTTGTGTTGAGTGGACGTTAAACCCCATTTCTCTCTCTCTCGCTACATTGAAACGATAATCTCATTATGCATACCACAGACATCTTTTTACAGGGAGACTACTTACAAACCATTATCTGCACACTTATAATCATATTATATTTCGTTTGATCTGTAGAGAGCTGCATTAGAAGCCTGTCATAAAGGATGGGGTGTATCAACTATTATTGGTGTAGCTGGTGCCGGTCAAGAAATATCGACCAGACCATTTCAGTTAGTCACAGGAAGAGTGTGGAAAGGCTCAGCTTTTGGAGGTACGTATTTTATCTTGATTGGTCAACCTACTATAATATTATAAGAATTTCATTATTGGCTATAAAAAAAAAATCAAACAATTTGATTTCTAATAGATAATTCAACATATTGAAGACATTTCATCTATAGATTTCAAAACATTTAGTATTAGTTAAAACTTATTCTCTGTAGTTTCAAAATGTTTAAATCTAGTTAAACCTCTTTGATTTAGTTAGGTCAAAATAAAGAATTGAATTGGGCTGATCTGTTCTAGTTTTCAGTTTCTGTCTTTTAAATAAAACATTATTATTTATAAATATGTATCTTGTCAACCTAGGATGGAAAAGTCGGGACAGTGTACCAAAATTAGTAGATGAGTATATGAAGAAGGAATTGAAAGTAGATGAGTTTGTTAGTTTTACACTACCACTAGATAAAATCAACGAAGGATTTGATTTGATGCATAGTGGGAAAAGGTGGGTGTAACTAAACGTTACAATTTCTTATTTTAGGAATTGTGGATTTTTATACCCCCACATTTTTAACACCTGTCCATCCATACTGCGGTCCACACACAATTGCTTTTAAAATACATTTTTCATCCCATGAAACTTTGTATTAGATTTTAAATGTATGACGGGTGTTCGATCCCTGCATTGGCCGAGAAAGTAGATCCAGATTTTCCGGCGTGGTTTCCCCTTGTCAGTGATGCAGGAAAATCCCGGGGAACCTTCTCGGCAAACCCTGTGATCGAGCCAGCACCATGGTTCCCAATAGTAATAATAAACACATTGTTTGATCAGATTTTAAGAAAACTTGCACTGTGCATTTTCACATAATTATTTTATGCACTGCAAGAACTGTTAACTAATACATTTGAAGCATGCATAAACATTTCATTTTTCCCAATTAAACAATGAACTAGAGTTATACTTTATAAAGACATGTTAAGCCAAAAGTAAATCTCAAAAGAATTATTTGCTCTCTTTTCAGTATTCGTTCTGTCATTACATTATAAAGAAAGTTGAAGAAAAACAGCAATGGTTTTTGATGCCTCTATTCCTGGTGATTTACATCACTATTGTTATTGAAATGATTTAAGATAAAATAATCAGATATCAGAAATATATTATACTGATTTGATATTCTTAAATCATCTTGTTAAATAAAGTCAGACTTTATAAATATATACATCCAATTATGTTGGTATTATTGTGGCATTACAGTACTATATTTGTTAAATAAATTCTTTCTTAAGTATGTGGGTCTTTGTTCTTAATATGTAATCACTTGTTAAAAAGTTGTAAGCATAAAGAAGTACTTTTTGTGTTTGAATCCCAATGAACACTGGATCAGTTTCTCTAAACTCATTTTTTTAAAGAATCTAAAGCTCTGGGGGATAGGGGAACCAGGTGCAATTTGTTGTAGATTCAGCATACCCACTAAGAGTGAATCAGATGTATAACCGAGGCTCAAGCAGTGATGTGTGTAGAGAGCACTCAGAATAGGACAACCACCTAATCACTCTAAATCATGTTTCAAGCATATTTTCTAGTTGTGCAATGCCCTATTAGTGTTGACACTTTAATTTTTAAAGATTTAGGATTTGCAAATATAGGCCCCTTTCTTGTGTGGTTTAAAAGTAGGTCAACCTCTTTTGTCAAATTTACATTACGTTGATCTCTGATCTATGTATAATATATTGCAAGACAATCTTAAAATTGTCATATAACAAGGTCAGATAGATACAGGTAGGCCAGGCCTACAGATAGCTTATCTGTAAAGATAATGAACCTTTATTGTAATATAATGGATTGCTTACACTGTTAATATACCGTTGAGTGATTTAAAGATAGTCAGCAACAAACAGCCGGGAGGAAGCACACATTTTTAATTTAGAATATACAATAGTATTATCTTCAATATGGAAGACACTGTAGGAAAGGTAAAAAGTTTCATTAGACTTAAAACTGTACCATATTCGATATTTAATACATTGTTTGTCGGTTTTCAAATTTAAGGCCTGTAGCAACAATAAATCCATCCAAATGAATTTTACTGATTAAGGAAAATTCCAGTCGTTGACATTTTTTTCATTATCTAATATTTAAAAAGTTTAGTAACTGCACAAGCGAAATACAAATCTTTTCATCTTTAATTAGCAAAGTGAGCGGCAGATTTCTCAAGACAGTGATAATGAATAAACTATAAAGAAATGCCCATGACCGGACTTTTAATTAAAACAGTATCGAAGTGCACTGACATTATTCAAAGAAAACCCCTTGATTGAAGCATAAAAACAAGGTTGAAGCCTATTTGATTTATTTCCTTTTCAATTAAGGTAATAACGTGTAGGGCTGCTGTAGCATGGAGTGTGAAACAGCCATTAGTTATAGAAACAATAGAAGTCGATCCACCAAAAGCTGGTGAAGTTAGAATTCAGATTTTGGCTACGGGAGTTTGTCGTACAGATGCTTATGCACTAGATAGATATGATCCTACTAAAGCGTATCCTGTTATATTAGGACATGAAGGTGGTGGAATAGTTGAAAGTGTTGGTGAAGGAGTGAAGTCTGTGAAGCCAGGTAAAAAAAATTGTTATGTCAGTAAGATGATTTCATGGATATATACTGAGCGCCATGGAAAACGCATCACTCAGTTTTTCGTATAACAAAATGATCCTGTAAACATATCTTATTTATTTTGCTTCTTATTGTGAACAATATTCAGATGGGAACACATCAATAACAACACATTTGTACACTTATGGATGTTTAATCTGTAATCAAGGGTACAAAGTCAGAGGGGTCAAAACCAAAAGTACGACACAGATGTCAGTAGCGCGTGTGTCCTCCACGGGCCATCATCACGCTAGGCTACAGCATTAACGGGGCCCCTGCAAATGTGTAGGGCGGTCTGGTGATGAAATGTGAAGCCTCCCCACACCATTACACTTCCCCAACCCCATCGATTCGTTTCGAAGACGCAGCAGTCTGCAAGACGTGTCCCAAGACGTCTTCACACACGTTGACGGCCATCAGCGTGATAAAGATGAATGCGACACTCATCTCTGAAGAGCACACTTTGCCAGTCTACTCCAGTAGCGGATTATCAGTGAGGCTGATGAGGCTTCAGCCTCAGGCCCAAAGATTTTGTAAAAAAAAATTTTTAGACTTGTCTGATACGATTAAAAACGCATAGACAATGAATGTTAGGGGGTGGGGTTTAGGCCCAACGGGAATCAACATAGGCCCTCACCCGAAATTAATTAGGCCCACGCCATTTTAAATAGACCCTATTGTTTGAAGATCTGATCTTATTTTTTAAACGTAGGCCTACAATGTACGTTAAATCCTTGTAAGTTTTCGGTTACGTCTTGCTTAATATATTGTATCCACGTGACGTCATTTATGGGCATATAAAGTTACATTACCAATACCAATATCAAACGACTTTGGCTTAAGAAAAAATATCTAGCAAAAGATCTTGCGCTAATTTCGATGTAAACACCCCATCATGAAGAAATATTATCCTTGAAAATAGGTGTATGTACAGTTGGTTTCCGGTGTCGTTTCTGCTGTCAAAGCATTTTGTACGACAAATTTCAATAGTTATAACTAATATTTTAATAATATTATAACCTCAGTAACGAATCCCGTTTTTAATGTTAGCAACTGCCTTGGCTCTAACTTTAAAAACTAAATAGGCCCTCCAGCAACTGCCGCCTCAGGCCTCAGGTCTACTATTCTCCATGTCTGGTGTCCTTAAGCCCATATCAAACGCCGCTGACGGTGATGATCCCTGAGGATAGCTCCAACATAAGGTCGTCGTGCACGGAGTCCTACTTATCTTAGACGACGTCTTACGGTGTTGGCACTTACTGGCCCTTGACGACTGCTGCACCTGTTCGAGTCGCTGGGCGGAATCTGTCACGCAGATGAGTGACCCGGATGTAGCGGTCTTGAGCCTGGGTTGTAACGCGTTGTGGACCAGGACGTTGACGGTCACGTGTTGATCCAGTAACTCGAACACGTTCCACCAACCTTACAATAGTGGACTGATGACAATTGAAGTGTCTGGCAATAGCACGTGTGGACATACCAGCCCTGGACATTCCCATGGCTTCATTCCGTTGATTTTCAGTAAGTCTCGGCATCTCTAGCTCGATTCCATCACACGTCCAACAACAAATTACGACAGATTGACGTTTCACAGTTCATGTACTGCACATTAAGTTGAAAACATGCTTTTAAAGGGCTCACACACAATGCTGCACGTGAATATTGGGTTTTTCATGGGCATCTCGTGCAATTTTTTTTTTGTGCACACGGGCCGATATTTTTTGCGTTTGGGAGCATTGTGTGAAACAATAGTTCATAGTATTGCATAATATTATACCTACAAAACCACCTAGTAATAAAATATTTGGGAAAAAAAAGTGATGCGTTTTCCATGGCGCTCAGTATATGTATATTTGAATCCGGTATGTAGATTAGCTCATGCATACCGTATTTAGATTAGCAAGAGAAATAGCCATTCAAATTTCAACAATTTCTGATAATTCATTCTAGATGTAATATCTAGCTGCTTTAGTAGCATGAGGCGTCAACTGATCTACTTGCCTCTAGTCTAAGGTTGCGGAAAAGTATCTTTGCCAGAACTTGAATTCTGCAAAGAAGAAAAGACAAACATAACAGTGACTAACAATTTTCAACAATTTATGTTAGTTACTCTAAAAATTATTGCCCTTGACAAATTTTAGCAACTTGTAAATATGCCTTAGCAAGAAACATTACTTCCAGATCGAGAATGTGCATTGTTTCCTTCAACAGAATCTTTAAAATGTTACCCGCTATTCGAGGAGCTGGTATAATATATGATATATTTGATCACTTATTAAATTTTTTCCCAGTACGCTAGAAGTTCTCGTCCAGTATGCATCTTGAAGAAATCATTTAACTGTAACAATATCTGATAATTGTATACTTGCAGATTTATATCCCCTGATTATATGAAAGAATACAAAACTTTTGGACTGCTTGGAGGTATTATAAGCTGCTTTGTGTGTATGTTCAAAGTAACTAGAATTAAACAAGATATTTTCTTTTCAGGTGATCATGTTGTCCCGTTATATTATCCACAGTGTTACGAGTGTAAATTTTGCCGGAATCCAAAAACAAACTTTTGTTCCAAGGTCAGGTAGGTCGTCAAAATTAGAAAAACTTATGTCCAGGATACTACAGGATGACCATCACAATGCATTTCATTACCAATGTCTTCCTATAACGAAATGAAATGGGGTTTAATGTCCTACTGTTCTGCTCCTATGCTGGGCTAATGAAGACGGGCATACGCCATACAGTGTGCTATGAGGGAAATTTTGCCCGGGCAGCGGCACTATCGCCTACTCTTATATCGAATTCCAACTGCCAAGGGATCTTTTACGTGCATTCCAATGTATATACGGGACCTCGGTTTTTCGTCTCATCCGAAGGACTAGACAGCTGTCCTTGTCAGGCCCTCCGTCCTGCATCACTGACAAGGGGGAACTAACTTCCTATAACAATTATGTATGAAAGGATACTGATTAGATGCATGTTATATTTCTGTTTAGTCATTACTTTAAATATATGGCGAAATGAAATGAAATGAAATGGGGTTTAACGTCCTACTGTTCTGCTCCGAACTGGGGTAATGAAGACGGGCATACGCCATACAGTGTGCTATGAGGGAAATTTTGCCCGGACAGCGGCACAACGTCCTGCTCTTATATCGAATTCCAACTGTCAATGGATCTTTTACGCGCACGCTAATGTGTACACGGGGACTCGGTTTTTCGTCCCACCCGAACGACTAGACAGCTGTCCTTGTCAGGCCCTCCGTCCTGCATCAATGACAAGGGGGAACCACGCCGAAAAATCTGGATGAACTTTCCCGGCCAATGCAGTGATAAAACACCCGACCTCCACTTAGCCCCTTAAATATATGGCCCTATAGTATTGATTATCTTTCAGAGCTACACAGATGAAGGGGGTAATGCCTGATGGGACAACAAGATTTAGATGTAAAGGAAAACAGTTATTTCATTTTATGGGTACCAGCACATTTAGTGAATATACAGTTGTAGCAGAAGTTTCTGTATGTAAGGTTTGTAAGTTTGTAAATCTATAAAAGTATATTAATTGCCGCCTTGTCTTAAAATTGCTGAATAAACAAAACAAAATCTATCAGGTTTTGGGTTGTTTTTTTTTTCGAATGTATAAAATTTTGTTTGGATGGCTGAGAGCATATGTTTTAGTAAATGATTAAGCAATCCTATTTTAATTTAGGTCGATACCAATGCTCCGTTAGAGAAAATATGTTTATTGGGTTGTAGTATATCTACCGGCTATGGTGCTGTAGTTAACACAGCTCGTGTAAGTTTTTTTATTTCTACTTTCTATATTGATATTACCAATGGTTAATGAGCTGATAAATGTTCGTGACCATTGCTTTAGAAATGTGTGGAAACATTGAGTACATTCTTCATGTATTCTCAGATATTTTTTGGGAAAAACAGACTTATTATTTCGGTTAGCATTAATGCCAAAACAAAAAAACTTGAAATTATAATCAGACATATTCAGTGCTTGGAAAATAATTGCATGGGTTAATAAAACCTTGTTTATTCCCTAAAAACACAATTTCAAGAGTTTTTTATTTGTTACACCCAATAATTTCACTTTGTGTAATTCCAGTATGCGTTCATATATTAAATTTCTGCTGTGCCATATTTTATTGTAAAAGTTCATAAAAATTGCCAAATTCTTACCTTCACAACAAACCTGTTTCTAGTCCAATGTTAACATAAAATATTGAATAAATAACATATTTTTACATGTAGGTAGAGCCTGGTTCAACATGTGCTGTATGGGGATTAGGTGCTGTAGGGTTAGCTGTTATTATGGGATGCAAGAAAGCTGGTGCTACTAGAATTATAGGTGTTGATATTAATCCAGACAAATTTGCAACAGGTAAGATTGAAAAAAAGTACAGGAATAATATATGTTCGCAATGTTTACTAACAAATGCTATGGCAGTGTTATGAGACTGCTTCCTGATTAATCCAGACTAACTTGCCTCGAGTTTGTTAACTAACAACTGTGTTTTTGATTTTGTGCTTACAGCAAGAGAATTTGGAACCACCGAATGTATAAACCCTAAGGATTATGATCGGCCTATTCAAGAAGTTATTGCTGAAGCAACTAATGAAGGGTGCGATTTTGCTTTTGAGTGTATTGGAAGTGTGGATGCCATGGTTTGTTAATTTTTATGCACCCACATAGTTACAATCTTAAAGTATACCCTCGTCCTGCACCCAACCAAATTCTGGAAATTGTGCCAAGATTATTCAATGGGTCGTATCAAAATTTAAAATTTTTAATGTCAAACAAAGTATTTAAAAAAACACCTTTAAATCTTGTGACTGCGTTCAGCGGTATGCCTAGAGTTTGCGCCACCCGGGAAAGTCCTTGCGTATGGGCTCCATGTCGTGGAAGTGGACGTTGAAACTCCAGCAAGCATGTGTATATTTTATTTAGGCCACATTTTGATTTCAGAGAGCCTGTATCGAGGCATGTCATAAAGGATGGGGCGTTTCAACATTGCTTGGTATGACAGCACCTGGAGCTGAACTTACTGCTAAACCATACTCCATAGTAACCGGTATTACATGTAATGGATCTGTTTTTGGAGGTAGGCTTATAAATTTATTTTTAAAACTAACTAATATTTTGTAAATATTGTAGAACTTTGGTCCTTGAGACAATTTTGGGATCTTTGAAAATTGTTTCTTTATTCTGTCTATAAAGTCAAGTCTCACGTACTTAATGAACGTGAATATATAGTTATACATAAAAACAGTGATATTTTGCTTAAATCATAATCATTGTCAAAATATCCAACAAATTCTGGCTGTTTATTTACCCATGGTTGGTAGACCAAAACAGGTAATGTCTCCTTCTTAGTGGTGGGAAATAAAGAGTTTTATTCCTTATATGGGATGGAAATTAACGTCAAGGTTATCTTAGACCTGCAGAAATTATGGGGTATAAATTAGGGTGTAGAAGCTAGTTGGATCAGAGCTCACCCAGAAATTCCTAGCAGCCATTATCATTGAGAATGAGGAACCTGCAAAGCCATTACAGCTTAGAAATAAAGTTGTGAAACTATTTTGTGCTGTAGTCTTAAGTTAAAGATCACCAGAAAATAAACACAATATTTAGGCGACAGTTTAATCTTGCAGGATACATGTAAATTATATGTCATTTTCTTCTATCCTAATATTGAGACGACATAAAAATGAACCATAGATTTAACTGAAAGTGCTGGGGCCGGTTGCTCAAAACTTAGTTATTTTAACGGCCCGTTAAATTCTAACATATATACTTTTCAAAAAAAGTAGGGGATATTTGATTTTGGGGGCATAATACTAAAATATGCAAATGACTACGAAAAAAGTCACTATAGAACCTAACAGAAGAAACATTTCCAGTTACATGTGACGCCCAAACGCACCAATAGCTACCGCATGGAATGCAGGTGATGCTTGGGATCATCATGGGGGTCCAACCCAAGATTTGCACGACTCTGACTTTGAATGTTACAGTCATTGTGGCATTGAATTCCAGGGTGGAAACATCAGTTTAATTGTTTTAGTGACCAGAAAACAAATTTTGATATGCGTCGGCTTACCCAAAATGAAAGGTTACGTGCCCTTGGCATGCTACAGATCGGCACAACACAGGCGGTTGTGGCGCGGACGATGAATGTTTCTCAGTCTGTCATAAGCAGGCTATGGTCCAGATACCGTGATACACAATCTGTACAGGACAGACCACGCTCAGGTCGACCAAGGGCGACAACTCAAGCCCAGGATCGATTTATCCGTACCTTGGCCTTGAGAAATCGTGTCATCACAGCAAATCAGATCAGCGCTCGCCTTCAAACAGACACTGGTGTGAGAGTGAGTGGCCAGACGATTCGGAATCGACTGCATAGGGGTCACCTTCGCGCCCGACGTCCTCGCGTGATCCCTTGTTTGAGAGATCAGGCAAGACGTCGTTGGTGTAGGGATCGTCAACACTGGGATAATCGACGCTGGAGCAATGTGATGTTTTCAGATGAGTCAAGGTTCACTGTTGATTTTTTGGACAGACGTAGGAGGGTGTGGCGTCGTCGAAACGAGCGCTTCCAAGACGTTAACGTCATCAGACATGATCGATTTGGGGGGGGGGGGTCTGTTATGGTGTGGGGAGGCATCACTGTTGCTGGAAGAACGGCTTTACATGTTGTTGCAGGGCGTGTTACAGGCCAGTACTACCGGGACAACATCTTGGCAGTCCATGTTGTGCCGTTCGCACGACGTCATGGCCGCCGTTTCATCTTCCAGGATGACAACGCAAGATGTCACAGGGCCAGGATCGTTACAGGTTACCTCCAACAACAGAACATCACCACATTACCTTGGCCAGCACTGAGTTCCGACCTCTCCCCCATCGAGCATGTCTAGGACATGCTTGGACAGAGGTTACGTCAACGTCAACAACGTCCTGACAATGTCAAAGAACTTGCTGCTGCGTTGCAACAGGAATGGGACAATCTGGACCAAAATGACCTTAGACGTCTCATTAGGAGTATGCCACGTCGGATCAATGCTTGTTTGGCAAACAGAGGGGGATTTACCCGTTACTGACTTGGTTGTGATGCTGTGGTAACTTTGCTGTTTGACCCCGGGTATCATTTTACCCTTATAATGGTCAGTCTGTGCCTTACTTAGTCTAACGATCATTTGGAATAAATCGATGAATGTGAACTTCATTTCATTTTGTCATTTGTTTCTTCGTCAGTTTCATTAGGTGACTTTAATAACACTTAAAAATCAAATATCCCCTACTTTTTTTGAATAGTATAGTTACTTTGCTAACGTGCCGTTCCTTTCCTGTTACTGGAAAGTCAAATTCATTATCCGTTACCTTACGGACTGATTAAAGTTAATCCAAGAAAAGACTGTTTGGTCATTGGCTAAATTTTAAGTACAATGTACAACAACTCCATAGACGTTAGTTATACAAGAAACTGTAGAATTTCTTAAAGAAAACACTAAAAAAAATCTATAGAATACTATATTTTCCTTTTGAAATTTTAGCATAAATCTGTAGGAAAATGTACGGCCTTTTCACTACAGAAACTGTAGATTGTAGGCTGGAGTAGTACCGGAAGCTGGCAGTGTATGATCCTACGGATGTTGCGGGATGATCTGCTGGTTTTGTTGAGGCTATAGCCAAATTCCAGTAGACCCGGGCTGCTGGTCAGTCTCAGGAAGGTAGTGTAATGGTATCCGAACCTTCGGACAATGGTTCGGATAAGCATGTCCTCTTGAATGAACTCAGTGGCTCCATCTCGCGGTCTTCTTTGGCATATTATATAGCTGCCTTTTCCTTAGACCTGCAGAGTTGTACTGACCCCTAGCTTTTAAAAGCCACATTTTATACTCACTGACTGCACCATAAAATCGTTATTTCTATTTTGTCAACTTCTAACTACTGTGTTTGGAGAATTGAGCCTTATAGTGAAACAATCATTGCCACATGACATTGTCTGATGCTACGTTCAGAATTGCAAGACTATCTTGCAAATGTGAGAAGTACAATCATCCATTTATAAAGTGGTGCGTTTTCACTGCGTCGCAGTATATTTTGACATGCCCAACAAAGTGTGTTGTAATTAAATTTGTTCACAGATTTACAGCTTGATTTGAGTGGCTAATATGCTTGATATCAAAGTGATGTGAACTGGTTTTAAGGTTACCTTTTTTTTTTAAGGTTGGAAGAGTCGAGATAGCCTACCGAAGCTAGTAGATGAGTATATGAAGAAGGAAATAAAAGTCGACGAATTTGTTAGTTTCACCTTAACTCTTGATAAAATCAACGAAGGTTTTGATTTGATGAAAAGTGGGAAAAGGTATGTAATTTTAACATGAAAGAGACATGGCGGTTTCTATTTTTGAATGTTACGTGAACTTGAAATACATCTATAATAAAACAACTGTTGACAGACACACCATGTATCAGACACCAGTATCTATACTGGGATGAAATGAAATGGGGTTCTGCTCCTATACTGGGCTAATGAAGACGGGCATACGCCATACAGTGTGCTATGATGGAAATTTTTCCCGGGCAGTGGCACTATCGCATACTCTTATATCGATTTCCAACTGTCAAGGGATCTTATGTGCATTTCAATGTATACACGGGTTCTCGTTTCATCCGAAGGACTAGACATCTGTCCTTGCCAGGCCCTCCGTTCTGCACCACTGACAAGGGAAACCACGTCGGAAAATTCCGATGAACTTTCTCGGCCAATGCAGGGATCGAACACCCGACCTCCAGGCTAGCGAACCAGCGTCTAACCCACCCCTATACTGGGATATTTTAGATTCAATATTAATTATATCACATTATTTTCAGCATCAAGTCGGTGGTTATCTTTTGAAAAAACAGTGATTAAGAATATGAGTTGTAATCATTTTAAGTGTAGAAAGGCCAACAAGGATCCAAATTACTTCATGAAGATTTAAATGGTCAAAATGTTTGGAATTGTAAAAAATATAGAACCCATTATTCTTGTTTGTTTTCTCTCTCGCCTTTGAATTTTGCCCCCCAAACAGACGACACTTCCTATGGCCATGAAAAAAGCAATACTATAGACTACCCGTCTTCATCCGTAACAAAAATGTATCCGGATTGCTTACAACATATGGTGCTTGGGATGTGACAACAAGAATTTATGTCACCTAGTTAACTGTTTTGTTTAAATAATAACATACGGTAATCCCGAATTTTAATTAAGTTTAGATCAAGAGTATTTTAGGGTTTTGCCTAAATTCAATAGGTTTCTTGTTTCAGTAACTTAAAGGATGCATATACATTTCATCCCGATTGGATGTTAAATTTTGTCGTTAGAGCGATTACAAGGGACATAACTCCAGAGTACACGGAAATTATTGAAACAGATTTTTAACTGGTCGCAGACCAGAAGAATTCTATAGTGGATTATCTCCCTTTAGTATTTTGGCCACACTCCACACTATGAGCAGGAACAGGTTTCCGATTTTATAAAATGTTCGGCCAGCATATGCCAAGACCAATAGAAGATTCTATCACAGGTCACGAGATGTAATTATGACTAACCCTAAGCTCATCAACAATCAGGTTTCCCGACCCTATCTACCTATATGACTAACTCATCGGTCTTGGTTTGTCTTTAAAGATTACAATCGCCACGGATAGTGACTGCTTAGGAAACAACGGGAATGTAATTGATAAGACTGCGATTCAACCCTCGTCTCAATTCCTGGTTTGCCTTCAATCACCACCGACAGCTTGGGAAACAACGGGATTGTACTGGAAAAGTCTGTGAATCAATACAAGACTGGATCTCGCATTAGCTCCGAACATGTACATCTCATCTTGTAAAACCCCCGGTCGTTGCTTCAGGAACAAGCGTTCAAGGATGGTAGGCTGCACTCTTACTTTCCCCGTTGCTTTTGCTCCCATCTTTAATTTACGCCATTTTGGATGACACGACAAGATTGCCACATTAATTTTGTGCATAGGCTATAGATATCAGCTCACAAAGCCAGGCTCACGGGTATGCAACCCATCCCCAAATTTATTTCTGAAATGAACCAGAAATGTGAAATGAAAGAGTTATCATTTTAACTAAGATTAAAACTGTAATAGTCTTAGTAGACCCCCATTCTGATACTGGTTATCTACATTTAAAAGTAGGAATAATTCACTGTCAACAAATTCATTTAGTAACTAATATATTTTTCAATTACTAATAACAATAACAAAACAAATATTTACATACACATGTACCTAACACAGATTATTAAATAGAAACTTTAGTTATTTTTACAACACCCCCATCTCGTGCTTTGTATACTTCGCTCATGAGATTTTTCATATAAATTATTTCGCGTTGCAATTCTTCTACTTTGTCCGATAATGTTTTGTTTTTCAGTTCAAGTTCATCTTCCTCTTTTTTGATTTCATCGGATTCAATTTTCTTTTTTTGTCGATATCGAATTGCAGCATTCTTATTCTGCAATTTTTTCTTTTCTTTCTTGTTAAGGAATTCTATCTCCAACCCATCTTTAGACACAGATTTCACTTTTGATTTTCGAATAGCAGATTGAGTGGGCGCAGTTGATTTTACAGATGTCGATTTAGATAACGATAAATCAGCTGGGGTGGGCTGTGTCATGAGTTTAAAAAGTTCACTGTGACAAAAAGTTGATGAGGGAGAAGTAGGAGGGGAAGATAGTAAGCTATCAACATCACTGGCTGACAATGGCGAATGCATGACATCCTCCACATCATTAAGATCAACTGTGGATGCATTACCTTCACAAAGGGAACTGTCTAATGAACTAATACCACTATCATCTAATGATATGACAGGCAAAACCTGGGTCTTTGCCGCCTCTGAAAGAGATGAAATGGAACTGCCTTGAAAACCAGTGTTTAACTCTGCAGCTTTCACCACAAGTTGTTCTAGCAGTTCAAATCCATCTAACCCTAGATCAGTAAAGACTGGAACATCTACTTCATCCATATTATGGAGAACTGGGTTAACATTTTCTGTATCAGAAGGAACAGATGCTTGTACAGAACTGTCCATCGCCATTCCGGTCAATTCCTCTAACATTTGTGTTAAACTGGTCTGTTCCATCCAATCTTGAGAAAAGGGATCTGTAAACAGAAAAGAAACATAATAAGAACAAGCTCATTGGATATTATTGGATAAAGTTCTTAAAGGTGCTAAATTCAGAATACAAGTTTGTTAGCAAAAGTTAGAAACTGAATGCTTACCTCCATCACTAACAGGAGATGCAAGGATGTCTTGGAAGACATCCGATATCCCATTTTCATTTTGTGGTTTAACATCAATCATACTGTACAAATTGTTTGCTTGGTCATCGGACTGGGTCATTAAACCAGGCCTGGAATCCCACCCCTCCAATTCCATCATACTCGTAAAATCTTCGTATACCGACATAATCTATGTTTACTGACTCGATAGTCCTGTAAAAAATTCCACTTGGGATAACATCTTGGGGGTTCCTGGAATTAAATCGAGTAAAAACAAATGTTAAAACTTTAAAACAACAATAAAAAAATATATATATATATATATATCTGGTGAAAAATATTTATTCTAGTGTTATATAATAAACTATTTACTGTAAAGTAATAGTGTTTCCAACATTTTTTAGTTAAAAGGATTTGACTTATTAAATGTGCCACGTGTCCGGACAGACATGTTGACCTTCTTCAGTAATGGCGTCGAATAATTTGTACCAAGGCCATTCAATGTCATTCAATTATTTCAATAAATCAATTTTGCAAACTTAATTAATATTTCCATAGTTAATAAGATGTTATGATAGACAAGGTAATCTTTCATCAATATTTAGATGCGTCCAAATCTATTTATTCATTCAACTTGCGAGATAAAAATACGACGCCATTTCCACCACGTGGAGACGTGGTCCATAGTTTTAAAACAAAAATTCAAATTCATATTTCAGAGGATTCTCAGCTCAAGGTTGTTTTTTTTTCTTTAACTAATTGTAATAAATAATATTAAAATACTCACGCCATATTTAAGTTTGTGCTGGTGCACGGTGCCGAAGCCGGTGCTGGTTTTAAGCTGCCATATTTTCACACAGCAGATATTAACTTGTTCAAAGGTCTGGTAAGAATGTGGTGAAGCGCACGTTCGTTGCTCTAAAAAGGTCGGTTTATGCCCAAATTAATACGCGAATGAAATAGCATTTCCGATTTTCAATTTTGATGTATCAAACCAAACGTGTATTATCTAAAATTGTTGTTTAAAGAAATATAAAAACATTACGGAACAATTCTAAAAATCTAACAACACAAACGTACACAAAATTGAGAGAACTTCGTTGTATGCGCATTCATAAAACGAATGCTATTTGGTTAAAAGTTGCATCAGAAAATATTGGCAAATTTCCAACAATGTTTGACGTACATGGTTGTCTTGAATAGCCAGATCAGCTCCATTTACATGTGCGAGGAATAAAATTCACTGGATAATAGGACTAATACGTAGCATTCTACGTCACAAGTTATATTTAGAACGTGATTGTCGAATTTCCAGTCACATGTTTTTGTAATTTGTTTGGTTAAAATTTAGGATCAGGATAATTAATAATATAGGAGTGGCCAACACGTGACTCCTTACAAAATTAGAAAACATCCACACAATTATATAAGCGCCTGAGTAAAACGGAATATTTAATTATTTATTTTTATTTTATTTATATAAACCTATATTTTTTGATTTGAACTTGTATAACATATAAAAATCAACTTGAGTTAAACTTGAGATGCTTTCCACAATGGTAGGGCCTACAGGAAAGATTGAACAATTTGACTTATTTTCGAGACCGGTTGGGGAAATTCGGGTATTCTGGAGTCCAAATGTGCGCTTTATATAAATGAATATTTTGGGGAATACTAACCCTAACCTTTTTAAGAGGGGTGAAAGGTAAATTGGATCCAAGTTCATGCAGTCTTCTAAAAAGGGTTAGGTTTAAGAATTTTGGCAATGTTATTTCGGTTTTTCGGGCATAAACATCAAAGAATGGGGAACATCAAGTTAATTAACAGCTACCGGTATTGTAAATTTATATTGTTGCGTAAAGCTGCATTTCCTTTAGTACGGATCCAGTCCGGATACGGAAAAAAACACACTTTAATAGAATTTTAGTAAGAGTGTTTCCTTATGTGCGGGCGCGGATACGGTTCTGTATGCGGCGTCCGGTACGGTTTTTCGAAACGGACCATGTAGCGTTCGGTACGGAAACGCATGCGGAACCGTGTCCGTAACGCACCTAAGGAAACACAGTAGCCCGCACGGGAAAAAGCTAAAAATAGGTTGGGAAATTCACCCTTTCTTGGACTGGACACGTGTTCGTGGAATCAGAAAAAGAAAAGATGAAAATCGAAAGAAAGGACATAGGCTTATTGAAACTGATTGAACTTGCACGTGACCATCGATGCCTGTATGATGCAAGCTGTGTAGAATATAAAGATGCACAAACTGGTGCACAATGTCTGGGAATCGATTTCCCAGATGGGATATGATTCCATCAAAGGTGAGTGATCAAACTATCGATGCATAGTGACTGATAAGCAGATTGTATTCTATCATCACATCAATCAACTGTATCGCACATAATATATTTCATTGTTGTGCCATCGTCAGTTTTACTATATAGTTTACATTTAAGCTTGAATAACCGCATATAAGGATACACAACCTGCCGTGTGCCATGTCTGCTCCCGGACCGGAGCCGAACCGGATCCGTACTAAAGGAAATGCAGCTTTACTGTTTAATTAAAAACCATCGGATCACAGCTTTGGAAAATTCATTTTAGTTATATAAGGATCGATTCTCTGAAAATTCGGGTGACAAAAAAGATTTTCGGGCAAACAGTTTCAGCCGCCGCCACCCACCTCCCCTATCTCGCTAACTGGGATTTTCGGGTTCGATCCCGGGTTGTCCGCGAAAGTCTCTCGTTTTTCTGGCGCGGTTTCCCCATGTTAGTGATGCAGGGGGGGAGGACGGCTGTCAAGGACAGCAGACGAGGTGAACGTTACGCTCAAGTATGCGTCAGAGAAGTTGACCGATTTGGTGGCGGCAGCGTCATGGTTTGGGGTTCTTTTTGTGCACATGGACGTTCTCCTCTTGTTGTTGTCCAAGGGAACTTAAATGCTGTCCAGTACAGGGATCAGGTTTTGCAACCTGTTCTTCTTCCGTTTATGCAGAGACATGGGCCTGGACTAACGTTTCAACAAGACAATGCTCGACCCCATACAGCAATTGCTACCCAGAATTTTTTAAGAAATGCCGGTGTCCAAGTCCTGGATTGGCCGTCGCTTAGCCCCGACCTTAATCGTTAGAAAGTTGGGATTATCTTGAAAAAGACAGACAGATAGTCATTACCACTGAAAGCATGTTGGCCGAGATATTCCTGACACTTTCAATACTAATCTTGATTGGATCAAAAAATATATCAAGATTAGTATTGAAAGTGTCGAAAATATAGAACTGACAACCAACCACGAGGACACCAAAATATCTTACCTACTCCTCTTCGCATTGCAAATTAATGGAGGTGCTGAAACAAATTGTATTTTGCGTTCTTGCTCGGGCGAAATAGACATCCTATCATTCTCTTCGCAAACGATGATCCAAATATACAAATTTTGATCGATAATGAGACGGGCAAAGGTAGAAAATATCGCGAAAGACGACTTACATCACTAGCTGACGCTAGAAAAAAGATTTCCTGGGTGAAAAAATAACAGACCTTTCTTTATTCTTACCTTGCCGCATACTGGTCTTTTAATTGCTGCATGGCTGGAATGAAGATTTACAACGTGAATTGGTTTCTGAAGCATATCCAAAGGATATGCGAGCTGTTGGCCAGCAAGCAAGAAAATATTTATATCGCTCATAAACTTTTGATTTTGAATCTTCTGATGAAGACAAAGAATAAACTAACGACTAAACCTATCTCTGAGTTAATGTGTTTTTGATTTACATTTCCAGATCTCTTGAAAAGTACCATTATAATTTAATATTTTGAATGAAAACGCTAACGAGATACAACTTTAAGCTCAATAATGAACGAAATGATTTCTGTCCACAAAAATACATGTTGCCACCCGCCATCACCCGCACCGCCCCCACCCCCAACGGCGGGCCCACCCCGGCGTCCACCCCCATACAATAGGAATCTTATAAACATATTTAGAGATGTTTCATCAAGCTCTTAGAAAATCCTCATTTAAATCAACGTGAACTCATTTCCCCGCCAATTTTACCCCCCCCCCCCCCATAAATCAAAACAGTTGTCCAGGGGCATCATAAACACTTATTTATATATAGATGGGCAGTCTTAGAAATTTATGTTTTATTAATATATTATGTCAACATAATGACACCACCCCCACCCCCCATTGTAGACATTTGACCCCCTATATTTCGAAAACGCTCCCTCAAACGCCTGATCACCACCCAGATTCGGAATCTACGCAAAAAAACTGGCCTTATAAATTCACAGCTCGGGTGACGATTTCCCCCCTTCAGCCACCGGACTAAAAACATATTTTATGCTTGGCCCTGAAAATACAAAGTTGCCATTATTCATTTGTTCATAACCAATATTTCTATTGGCTATACAACTTAAAATTCTACATTACAGAATTACATATAATCATATTTCAGAAATTATTCTCACACTTCGATTTCAAAGACACCTTATCCATTAAATGAAATATAAAATAATTAGATTACCCATTTGTTGAAAAGAGCAAATGTGTGACTTTAATGATAGTCTGTAACATGTGGTAATGATACTCGCATGCAATTTAGTTTTATCCCAGCTACACTAACGAATAACCAATCAGGGCACAGAATCACACATCACCTGATAAACAACCTTTTCAGAAAGAGACCACCTTCAGAACTGAAAGATTCCATGAGTTATCCTTTCAACTATACCAGAAATATTCAAACTAAACCTATATAAGAAATTAAAACATCTCCACTACTAAAATAAAACACCATAATCCGAACAATACAATTGCAGACCCATATAATATAAAATCCACCACTCAAAACATTTGAGATATTTTGGTCTCCTCGTGGTTGGTTGTCAGTTATAGGATATTCTCGACACTTTCAATACTAATCTTGATATTTTTTGATCCAATCAAGATTAGTATTGAAAATGTCGAGAATATCTCGGCCTACGGTACGTGCTTTCAGTGGTAATGACTATCTGTCCTTCTTTTTCAAGATAATCCCAACTTTCTAACAACTTTTAAAGAGCTGGGATAGACAAATGATGCTTCTGATGACGTAATTGCTGGTTTAGAAAAAATTGTTTGTACATGTACCTTGTAAGGCGAAAACCGACTTACATCAGTAGATGACACTAGAAGACAGATCTTCTGGAGAAATTTTAATTGTGATGAAAAATAACAAAACTTTCTTTCTTTATTACCATCTTGCCCGAGTAGTCTTGCACATTAAACGCAATATTTATGTTGCAGCAATATGGAGACAGGCTGCAAAATTAATGATCGAACAAGATGACTCTGCTACACAAGGCTGGAATGAAGATTTACAATGTGAATGGGTATCTGAAGCATACCCAAAGGATATACGCAGGCAGTTGATCAGCCATCAAGAAGATATCTATCCCGCACATATTATAAGAATAAACTAATATCTAAACATGTGCTTTTTATGTACATTTCCAGATCTCTCGAAAAGTACCATTATAATTTAATATTTTAAATGACGATATTGGCACTGAACAAAAACTCGAGAAAACACTTTTCAGGTCAATTTTGAACCAAGTGGTTTCTGGTCCCCAAAATAAATTTACCCCCCCCCCCCCCATACAATGGTAATCGTATACACATATTTAGAGATGTGCAGTGGAATTAAATAGTAATGTTTTTAGCAAGCTCTAAGAAAATCTTCAACGTGAACTCACTTCCCGCCAATTGTACCCCTCCCCCCCTCCTCCCTTCCATACACGCACACCTGATAACCCCACCCCACCTCCCCACAAATGAAAACAGCTGTCCAGGGGCATCATAAACACTTATTTAAAGATGGGCAGTCCTAGAAATTTATGTTTTATTAATATATTATGTCAACATAATGACCCCCCCCACACACACACACACACACACACGCGCGCGCACACACCTGCCATCCCCACCCCACCTCCCCACAAATCAAAACAGTTGTCCAGGGGCATCATAAACACTTATTTATAGATGGGCAGTCTTAGAAATTTATGTTTTATTAATATATTACGTCAACATAATGACATCTTCCCCCCCCCCCCATTGTAGACATTTGACCCCCTATATCTCGAAAACGTCCCCTCAAACGCCTGATCACCACCCAGATTCGGAATCTACGCAAACAATACAATTGCAGACCCATATAATATAAAATCCACCACTCAAAACATTTATACTAACATATATTATATTAACACCAAAACTATAAACTCGTCGAATAAAACTCAAACAAATAAAGACACTAGCCAGGTCATTAGTACCCAATATCAATTGACAAGGTCACAAAACACAACCGCGTTAACATCATTATACTGATAGTCCGGTGGCTGAAGGGGGGGAATCGCCACCCGAGCTGTGAATTTATGAGACCAAGCTTTTCTAGACCAGTTGAGTTCACATTGATTTAAATGATGATCTTTTAAGAGCTTGATGAAACATTTCTAAATATGTTTATAAGATTCCTATTGTATGGGGGTGGAGGCCGGGGTGAGTGCCAATGGGGGGGGGGGGGGGGGGAGGTGCGGGTGATGGCGGGTGGCAACATGTATTTTTGTGGAGAGAAATCATTTCGTTCATAATTGAGCTTAAAGTGGTATCTCGTTAGCGTTTTCGTTCAAAATATTAAATTATAATGGTACTTTTCAAGAAATCTGGAAATGTAAATCAAAAACACATTATCTCAGAGATATGTTTAGTTGTTACCTGATCACCACCCAGATTCGGAATCTACGCAAAAAACTGGTCTAGAAAAACTTGGTCTCATAAATTCACAGCTCGGGTGGCGATTCCCCCCCCCCCCCTTCAGCCACCGGACTATGAATGATGAGCAGTGAAAACACAACGCTGCTTTGATAGGAAGTGCTGGCGAGACATAATGTAGCTGAAGTGTGAATTTAGCATGACTGAACAATTAGAAGCACAAGAACGTGAACAACCCAGCGATCATTATAGTCCGACAGCAGGTCGACAAACCTTGAAATGTGACCTAATGATTTTTTGTGGATTATATCTTAAATATATGCAGATTCAGAATCCAGATGCTGGCACCCTTGGGGGAAATTTAAATAATTCTAAATGGCCATCATGAGGCATTTTCTATTTTTTGGGTTGGTTAACATTCGTAATAAATTCACTTGGACCTCGAGTTGAAGGTGGTTACTGTAACTAGAACTCGACCCGCCCCTGAAACCAATGAGTTTGGCTATCTACGCCAAAAGAATGACTAAATCTTTATTAAAATCTTAACTAATGTATCTTTAAGAACACGATCGAAGCCCTATTCCAAGTCCGACTTACTGTCAGTAAACTCCCGGTTATATAGCGTCTGATAATTGGGAAACTGGATAAGAGTCATCATCTTATATGGAATTTTTTATTCATAAGGTCATGGTATGATTAACTGACCACTGCGTATTTCCTTTGAAGTCATGCCAAAGTTTACACTGATCATATGTAGCCTGAAAATGACATTGGGATTAATTACATGTTTAATTACCACACAACCAGTTCGTGACTAGCAGAAGTTTAAAAGTCAATATCATATACATGTATTATCAAAAACAGCTGGGGGTCAATAAGCTCTATGCACATAAGCAATCGTGCACTATAATTGCCGAACTCATATCTGAACAGCAAAATGAACTATGACCGAATAAAACGCCAACATGATTCTCAACATGGTCAGCGTCATTTTGGCGTACATGTATATCTGGGGTAACTGGAGGTCTCTTTGCTAAACTAAAACACAGATATTGAGATTTAACACAGCAATCATATCAAACATAATATGTACTAACCTGGTGTAATGATAATCAGATGAACACGATTTTGACAGGCTCGGACTAGGCCCCGATTTCCTGTCTGGGCTCGGGTACCCTGACGGTGACGAGAGCCTCAAACGAAACGAGGACGGGCATTGGCCCCACGGCGCGAAGTCCCGGGCACGTAGCTTATAGTTCTTAATTCGTCAGTTTTCCCCCAAAATGTGGACTGACAGAATCCGATCCTAATCCTATGCACGTCACTTTAGATACCAACATTCAGAATAGTCGCCGATTTTCTTTTACTTTGCGATCAAGTAGCAGTGATTTTGATTTTTAATTTATACCCTCAGGTCTGCATTGGAACATTAAACCCCATTTTATTTCATTTATACCAACAAATTATTTTTAAACATTAATCGGCATACCTCTGGGGTCCTCACGGCTCCGGGCATCTGGACAAATGTCCTAACTGCCCCCACCCCTTTCGCCGCGGGCCCTTTCCGTATCGAAAGACTACGAGCACGACAGGTTGATCGTCAATAGGAACTCGAGGCTTAAACTAGGGTTTGACTGCCGGACTATAACTTTACAGCTGCACAAGTGAAAAAATCAAAGATCAGTAACAGTTCAACAGTTTTCCACCTGTCACGCAGTTTGGCAAAGCGATATTTTTTATTATAAATTTATTTTGTTGTTTGTTTGTTTGAATTCTGCATACCTAAGAATTTGCGCCCGAGGTCCCACTTAAACTTCACCACTGACTTTAGTACACTGCCTTAACTTTAAAACCAATTTTATGGCAAATTTTCTAGGAGAATTAGATTTTTCGGGCAGACAGGTAAAGGGAAAAACAAAAATATCCTGCATTCTTTGCGGCAAAATAAAGTGTCCGAAATCGGGTGCATGCTTGATTTAAACATATAAAATGAAAAGAGCTATTAACGCAGGGCCGTAAGTAGCTCAGAGCAACGAGGGGGTGGGAAGTGTTCTCGGGGGTGCTGTAAAATTGACGGACAATGCATTTCTATTGTTTTTAAGGTGGTGGTGGGGGGGAAAAATTGACGGACAATGTATTTCTATTGTTTTTAAGGTGGTGGTGGGGGGGAACTTCCCCCCCCCCCCTTAGTTACGTGCCTGTATTAACGTCGTAATTTTCTGCTCGCTAATGAAGACGTACATATTTTGCCCGGACAGCGTCGAGCTACGGACTAACTCTTATTTCGAATTCCAAGTGTCGATGTTTTTTTTTTACGTGTACGCCAACGTATACACTGTAGGCTTATGTCGTATATGTATTTTATTTTATTTATTTTAGTTGTAAATTTCATTTTTTGTACCATAATATTTTGTAATGTGCAATTGCGCACTTAGTCATGGAAGTTGTGCACTATAAAAATGAAAAATAATAATCCTAATAAGCACGGGACCTCGCATTTTTGTCCTATACGAAGGACTGGACACTATTCCCCGCTCCTGCACCATTGACAAGGGGTGACTAAGCCGAAAATCCCGGTGATCTTTTACATTATGACGACGATTATTCCATTATTTTGTTATTATAAAGCATTTTGAGATAGAATATGCTATCTTGATTACCGGTACATAAGGTTTGGTTAAATTTGTTATAACCGATTTTAGTTTGCTGGTTGCCGTATTTTCATTTTTACGATGTCCTGTGTTCGAATCTGCAACAGTCTGATCGATTGATTAATCGCACTCTGCAATTCAGGTGGGTACTAGAGAGATTTCATTTCGGTTGCAAAACCGGGCCTTGATGTGTCAAGGGAGACAACTTAGTAATGTTACCGAGTGACTGTGCAAGCATGAATTTTGTATAAGCAAGGTATTTAGCAGTGGGGGGAAAACCAGGTAAAGCCATATCACTTACAAGCATGGATTCGAAACAACGAGCATTATAATTCAATCTTATATACACAACGAGGGTATATAAGTAGGGATAATAAAACCACGAGACCATATAATCTGTTATAAGCTGTAGTTGAAATGGGACGTAGGCGAAATGGGAGATACCCTTCCATAGATACATACTTTGTGTTTTATTGTCAAAAACAATTTTTCTTTTGCACATTTTGATATGTAGTAATCATTTGTATTTTGTAAGAATTTCCAACATGTCATTTTAAGACAATAACAGATTTTTTGTAAGTGATTGAAAATCAAGTTTTATACTAATAATACCATAAACAAGTATGGCACACTTTTACTAAAACACCTGGAATTAAAACACAAACTCATGGAATACTTAAAATATATAAATATATTGTCAAAGTATAATAATACACAAATTAATAAACAAGAAACTTAAAAAGAAATAATATCACAGATTATACAATCACAGATTTACAAGGTATAAATAATATAACTTCAATAGATATAGATTATAAGTCATTGGTTGTTATTGTCAAATTATTATATATTGTCACCCTCTGCTATCTACTGCAGTATATAAATAAATATAAGGCACATTTTTTCAACCTTGAAAGTCTATTTTCAAAAAAAAAATGTCTGAAACAAAGTAGCTGTGCGATAGTTGCAAAGGTGAAATAAATTCTTGTCTTACTCAATAGCATAATGTACTCTATACGTTCTTTAATGAGTATCTCAATATGTCAGCAATTTTGTCAGTCAAAGGTATATAAATGATTTATTCTTCTCATTTAATATTCATTACTTCCTACTTTATTACATAATTAATGTAGGATAACATGAATGAAATATTGATGTTTCATGTATCTACTTCTAAATTTTATGTCATAAATACAATTTGGATTTATACTGTTCGTCATTGAAATAAATAATCAGTCAAATTTAAAGGCGGGCAATGTTTTGAGGAGTGTTCTCTCAATGTTATCAAGCTAATAACCCTTATAACGTTGAGAGAACACTCTTCGAAACATCCCCTTAAAATACACTAGTAGCTGTTTTCTATAAGTATGTTTTTGTTTTTACTCTATCCAGTTTATATTCAACATGTTTACACTCTGTGCTTGATAACGACAAGAGAATCATTGTTGAAACATAGCTTTATAGAAATATAGTAATTGTTATCCATAGAACTGTTGTGTTTATTTTAATGTGTTCAATTACTAAATGCCATTCAAACAGTATATGTTTACATAGGTTTGCTTCTTGCCTTTGCCAACCAAGCAGCTCTTTTTTTCTTCTCATCCACTTCGTCATTATTTACCTTCTGATTTTTGTGGCTATTTTTAATCATTGTGACCATTTCTTGCTCTTGTTCATTGGTTCTTAGTTCAAACTTGACATGTGTTCGTAAAGGATTATTATAAGGGCTGACTTTACCTAAAAGAGGAGCACTAAATGAGTAAGGTATCTTCTCTTGATTATCTATTTGTCTGTGTTTTAACTGTTCTAATTTATCTTTAACTTCTTGTGAATACATCAACATGGGTACAATGTTGGTTTCTACGGATTGGGATTTAAAGCCCTGTTTTTTATGACGGCTCGTCTGTGATCCTGGAAGTGCTGGTATTATGGAGGAGGGTATAGCATTAAGAGTGGTTGGTCGTGCCTGTACAGGTGCTGTTATTGGTCTTCGATTTGGGGTGCTCATAAACTCAGGAGCAACTGGTATCTTTTGCATGATGGTGGCTGATAAGGGACGTATAACTCTACCTCGAGGTAAGGTGGATTTAATTTGTTTTGGATGAACAGATTGTGTAACTTTGGTTTTTAGTGGTGTGGAGATACATTTGATAGAATAGATTTCTTTCTCGGGTAGAGGTGGTGGTCTGAGTTGTTCTCGTGATTTCATTGATCTGATTGATTTCAGCTCTGATAATTCTGAAACAACAGTCTCTCCATCTTCAGAGAAAGTTCTCAGATATTCCAGACCAAGTTGTTCAACAGGAACCTTTGTTCTTGGATCAATTTTACCAGGCGATGAGGACGGTCTGTGGACAGTTGCCATAGTTTGAGTAGGTTCATCTTTTATGTTTAAATATGTATTGGTATTTGTTTCTGACTGACTCATTGATCGCTGTATTGTGTTCACAGTCAGATAAATAAAATCAGGTGGCACAATATTTTCTGCCTTCATTCTTATTTGAGACCTCAACAGGGCCTTCATTTCAGAAAGAGAAATATCCTTGGCCGAAGGCAATAACGGTTTATCAAAGGCCCACGATACTCTTCTTTCAATATTGATTGGAGGCTTGAATTCTATGCCATCTATTTTCTGAACAGGTGGATCCATGATTTTTACAATGGATGGTTGAGATTTAACTGTAGCAGGTCGACTACATGATCTCGAGTTAGGTACCTTGTTAGAGGTTGTAGAGACAGGAGATCGCTGAGGAGCACTGTTTGGTGGAGATACATTCTGACCTTTAGTCTGCTGCCATGTTACTCCGCAAGATTCACTCTTTTTACCTTCAGATTCTCCAGTCCACAGACGACTCTCATATGTAGCAGACAGAGATTGACTGGATTGAATTCTTCTAGCACTTTCTAAACTTATGGCACTTAGTGATTTGGCGCTATGGAGAATTTGGGGAGCTGGGTAATCCGATTGTAACCAAGACTTTACATGAGTAGCATCATTCATATTACCATCGTGATTGATTATTTTAGTATTTGTAGCTCCTGCCTTCTTCATACGCATGGCTCTCACATAGGCATAAGATTGTTGTCTTATTGGTGCATCTGAATAGGAACCATATTGTGCCAGTGGTGGTACAGAGTCTGTTTCTAAAGAATAATCCCATTCAACTTTCTCAAAATTTAAAACAAGGAGATTATGACTTGTATTCAGTGTAATTCTGAAATAGAAACATAATGAGAAACTTTAAACTTAATGGAGAAAAGCAGCTTACATTCTGCTCAACACAACTAGGTCATTATGAAACTATCATATGATCATTATTTAATTCATTACTTTAGATCAATATCATCAACTCAAAACTTTAGATCATCATTATGACACAGATAATATATAGAGAATTTATAAAGATGTTATTACCTATCACCATTAGTAATGATAGATAGTATTGGATCACTACGACTGTTTCCTCTCATAATACGACAACACTGTCCTGTTACCAAATTCCAAATTCGTAATCGGCCATCAGCTGAACCAGTTATAACACGTAAATACATAAACTCTAAACATAAAACTTCTCTGTAATATAAAAAGTGTTTTGTTAAAACTACTTAAATGTACAAGATGTTTATGATGTGAATGATGAAATGTTTTTATTTGTTACAGATGCATTATGTAAGAGCTAAACCTGTCTATTGCAGGTCTTTATTTTTGCTTCAAATTTTATATAAATTATTATTTAGACATTTATTCACATGAAAATTCTAACAATTTCCTTCTAGGCTCGAAACAGGTCTTTCTTTTAATCAAAAAATATTATTTTTTGTTTTTATAATTGTCTGCTGTGCAGAAGATATGATATAAAAATTTACTTTGGATGTCGTAATGCTGTTAAACATCTAGAATGGTCACCATGTGCACTCCACGCCATTACATAACCATCTCTACTACCAGATACTATATGCCATCTATCTAACTTAATACCAGTTATAGGTCCAAGATGCCCAGTTAATGTCTGCAAATAAACAACTAAATAATTACAAACAACATTAGTTATGTGACCTTGTGAAATGAGAATTAGTATCAGGTGTTCAAATATTTATTTAATATATATTTTATGAATATTGATTAAAATTCACATTTTCGCCAAATAATATATATCAATATAGTTTCAATTTATTTTCTCTTATAAATCCATTTTTATTTGTAACAGGTGTGCTTGTTATGGCATATTTAGTTTATATATATATGTATACTTACTTTGATTAAGTTACCATTATCTAAACTCCATACTCTTATTTTACCCGATTCACAACCAGCTATACACCAATCTTTACAAAGAGATACTATACAAACAGAACTCTTGTGACGAAATGTCATTTGACATTTACCTGTCTGTAAATCCCATACTGAAATCAATTTAAAATTTATGTAATAATTAGTTTAGACTTCAGGGTTATTAAATATTTGGTGGAATTTCATTGAAGTAAGTTATTGACTTCACATAATGTACTCAACCCAATGAGAGTGCCAGTCCATATACTAAACAGTGTAGTAAACCAATTATTTAATAGTTAGAATAATGTGGAACTTGACCATACTGTTGCTGTTGTTACATTCCAAATTAAATCTCTTTGAGATTATAAGGACAGTAACTCCTATAATTAATTTCTGTGCCATACACAAATATCCAAATTAACCTGTTACATTTTACTGATGCTCTGTGCACTAATTGTAATGATGATTTTCACATGTATATTCTAGGTTTCATCTTATTGCATAGTATCTTGATGTCTGATGTTTACACTTAAATGGTTAATAACTTACCTTTACAAGCACCATCTTTTCCACCAGATATCAATACTTCACCTTCTAATAATAGAGAATTCACAGTATCTCTGTGACCTCGAAATATTTTTAAACACTGGCCAGTTTCTATCGACCATAATCTAACAATCAAATAAAATGATATTAAACATTAAAAATTACAGATATCTATACATAATTAAACAATATTTCTATATTGTTAAAAAAGTTGTTCAGTCAATTTATTTCTATAAGGTCAAAGGAATATATAAACTGCAGCTGCAGCAATTTAATTATTCAGTTGCATACTTGTATACATGGATACAGAGTCTTATAAGAGAGACTATGATGTAATATTCTCCTCTACTTGTATTTTGTGTCAAACCTGAAGCTAACTACACCCATACTGTAGTACTAAAATCCTTCTTTCAAGCACACTCTAGAGCGTACGCCCATCTTCATTAAAATTATTTCAATAACATCCCCGAACTTAACTATCTTCTAAGTACAAAGGATATTGAATCCTCAAAATAAACAAGGGTAAACAGAATTCCCTTTTAGTGTTGGTTTAATTGCCAAGCATGCATTGTGAGTAAACTGCAACCGAATGTTGCACATTTGTCATGTGATTCATTAAATGTATTACAATAAAGGAAATGTGTGGCAGCTTTAACTTTTGCCTCAAGAAGTTGGTATTTATCCCTACCACAACAACAAAGACATTTTGTAGTACCTGATACTGGTGTCGTAACTTCCACTAAACACTATTTTTTTTTTCTCACAGATAAATACACATCTTATAGAACCAGCATGGCCTGTTATTAATGGTCCTTTCTCTTTACCAGAAACAGCATCTAAAAATCTTACTTTACGATCTTTAGAGCCTGTAGCTATCAATGTTCCACCATCTGTATGAATTACTCGATTTGTATCAGTTCTAAAAAAAAATGAAATAACAAAAGTGTTTAAGTCTACAAAATTTAAGTCTATGTGAATACAAATAACTTTTGTCAGAAATTTCTTTCAAAATATTACAGTAGACTAATCAAAAGAGTTGTCTATTTCCCGTTATTTCTCTTGTGTTCCTTATCCAGAATTCATTTGAAATCGCATATTTCACTAGGACAGAGAGAGAGAAATGGGCTTAATGTCCACTCAACACAAACTAGTTCATTTCGGGACTAACATATGGTTCAATTTTATTTCAATAATTTGCTTGCGCGTAGGGGTCTTTAGCAGTGGGGAAAACCAGAGGAACTAGAGAAAACCCACGAGGTTGGACAGGCGACCCTACTCCTTGTCATGTACAACCGGGAAATTGAAACCATGTCATCTGACTCAATGACAGACTTTATGATGCAGCACGCACACGCTAACCATTCGGCCATCCAACTCCCCATTTCACTAGGAATGTTTGAGAATTTTCTTGGCAAGAAGAGTTGAATTAACAAATTTGAATACCACAAACAATTGTTTTATCTGTTCAGCCATGCAAAAGAATGGGGAAAATCAAACATGGATCAATATAATTTTCTGATAAACAGTTACTTCTCGCAGATTACTTACTGATCTTTTAAAACCATTACATTATAAGCACCACAATAAACATTTCTCTCTTCCATAATAACTTTACGTGTTGCTACACCACTATAAGCTGTTTCAAAACTGACATCTTTCTTAAACTGAGTTTTAACAACAGTCTCATCAGTGTGGATGACATTACATGTTCCAGGTTGTAAATTAGGTACCAAAACATCTACATCTCTGGCAAAAACAGGATTAGCACATTGAGCAGCAGCACCCTACAAAAAAGTGTGAATAATAAATAAATATCACACTGACATAAATGTTTAACCCAAGGTTTCTTTTTTTCAAGATTTCTTAAGATAATAAAGGTCTATACCATTTACCATGTGTACATATACTGTAGTCTACTTTGAGAATAGGCTTCCAAGTAAATTGAGAGCTTGGCTTGGGTAAGCAGTACCAGTATTAGGACTGTTGATTTACTTCAGAAATCAAGGGAATTTACTTTTAGAAAGTGAATTTCACAGCAAGTCATATTTTAGTAATTTTACGCATTTCTTTTTTCCAAATAACAGTTAAAAACCCAAAATATCAATCAACAGTTGTTTGCCTATCACTTGTTTAACCTTCTTTAATATGACTTAAAATTCAAAATCTTAGTTTTTTTTGGTGTAATCATGTATAATATGATATTGAACAGAATTCATCTACATGGCATGCATGTCCTAAAACAGAGTTTTCTAAAATTTTTTACACACAAAAATATATTAAACATGCATTAAGTAAGATTTAGATAAAGAGCTAGCCGTTCTTGCTATAATAGTTCAAAAATAATAATAAATATATATAATATACATCGTAAATTTCATTCAAATTACTTTAATTTGAGCGAAGTTATCACTGTTTGAAGTTTTAACAAGATGTGGCATTGATTGTTTATTATCATAACAACGGTACTTTGTATACTAGACTTAGCCTCAATTTGCCATTTTTAAATTGAATCATTAAATGGTAACCATCTTTCAATCCTTTTAAGTCTCTGTCATCCAATGGTCTAGAGAGTTGGTTATAAAATTGTCATGTGAATGAGTTTTGACAAGATGTGGCATAGATTGTTTATTATCATAACAACGGTACTTGTTATTCGAGACTTAGCCTTGATTTGCCATTTTTAAACTAAATCATTAAATGGCGACAGTCTTTTAATCAAATTAAATCACTGCCATCCAATGGTCCATAGAGTTGATTATAGACTTGTCATGTGTATAATTGTCTACATAATAGTTCATATAATATTTGATTTGAAGCCAAAATAAAGATTTGCAATAGGTCGATTTAGCTCTTACATAATGCATCTTTAATGTTATACTAAATAATCAGTAAATCAAGAAGGCAAATATGCCGGTACATAAAATTTGTAAAGCTTTTTAAATTATCAAAAAGTCAATGGCAATTTCTTTCAAATGTACTGATTTGGATTTTTCTTTTGGTTTTTCTTGGACACAATTCTGTTCCTGATTTAAATCTTAAGATATCTACAGTTTTAAATAAATGATAATTCTGGATGTGTATACTATAGACAGGACAATAAATTTAATGAAACTGCCTCACAAATACCGGTAAACAGAATAAAAAATCTTGAATATAATTTCTAAATATATTATTAATACTGTCAGTATATAATTAATAATATTGTATAGGCTCTATATTCAAAATCTATAAATCATTATGTTATTGCACAGAGCTTTTAATAACAATTCATTTTATATCCAATACATGAGTAAAGTATGATTAATGATGTAGGGTATTACTGTGTGTAAACATGTCAGGTTATGCGGTTGGTATTTACTTTGTCTTGTTAGGTAGTTAAGCAAGAGGTCCCAACGGATTTGCTAAGCTAATCAAGCATACCACATAATACAATAGACAGTCAATCTTTATTCAATAAACAAGTCTTTTTTTACACAATAAGCCATAATAGAAGATTATATTGTATTAAACAAAACCTGTCATCCTGACATTTTGTTTCCTTATTAATCTTTAACAGACAAAGATTTTAGAAATTCAAAATGAATTTACAGAATATCTACCTATAATATTTTGAATACGAATTATGTCATTAATGTTGAAAATAATTTTATCTTTTTAAACTTTAATGTTAACCTTTTTTGCCTGGATATGAATTCATTTCTTTGAGCCCTTGTTAACTGACTTACTTTGAATTTTTATTTTTTAAATCTATTCCCATTCTCATATTGTATCATTGTAAAAGTGCTATGGAGCAGCTGTTCCAGAGGATTCTGGTGCTATATAAGTTTACACTCAATTAATGATAATAATCAGATAAATGAATATTAATTTAATTTTTGGAAACAGGAGTTTAGAGCTCTGCTACACTGTATTTAAATATTTAACTGAAATATCATATCATTAATAAATAATATTACTTGATTGCAGTTTAAAGCCACTAATATAAGCTCACAGAGGGTATAATATACTATTAGTACTATACAGTTTTTATATTCTAATTGCTACATGTGACCTGATTTATACAATAAAGTACATGCGGTGAAGGGTTATAATAGCAGTTATACTATCTGAGCCTTTAGGATTAACTGCATTATACTTTTCATGAATAATAAACTTTATTATACAATAAACATATGACAATAAGGTCGATCACTATAGTCCTTCTTAATCCCCCCAAGTCAATTTATCTTGTAGCTTTAGTGTGGAAAGAATAAATTTAATATAAAAGGCAATAACAAATTTCATTACAACTCCGATTTAGTAATTCATGCACTTAGAATCAATACAGTGTATATTTTTTTCTACAAATTAAAGGGAATAATGACTACACTAATATCCAGTTTGTGCTTTTGAACTCTTTAAATGTATAATCAAGAATAGTGAAATGAAATGAAGATGGGCATACACCATGTAGTGTGCTACGAGAGAAATTTTGCTCGGACAGCGGCGCTACAGCCTACTCTTATATCGAATTCCAACAGCCAAGGGATCTTTTGCGTGCACGCCAATGTATACAAAGGAACTTGGTTTCGTCCCATCTGAATGACTAGACAGCTCTCCTTGTCAGGCCCTCCACAAGGGGAAACCACACCAGAAAATTCTGATGACTTTCTCGGCCAACACTGGAAGCGAACCTCCAGGCTAGCGACCCAGAGTCTTACTCACTTAGCCACTGTGGCTCCCTCCACCTATAGTAAGACCATTAGTATTTCAGTGATGACACTCAACAATCCTCATTAACTCAACATCGACCTATAACTTAGAAATATGAACCAATAATTTGAAATTCATTTAATACCTATTCTTTTATACATACCTGCATTAGCATAACTTCTTCGATTAAGAGTTGATTAACATGACGTTCTTGGTTGACTTCTTCAGCCAAACTTCTCCAGTTCCGACTCACACAAAGGACATTGGTCAGACTGCCCCTATCTAGAAAACTTAAAATAAATTTACCCAGGTGGACAGGAAGATTACGAATAAAATCTTTATATCTTGCTACACCTGAATAAACTTTAGATCCAGTAGGTATAATCATACAAGCTGGATCAATACTTGTCACACTCTCAGTAATACTACCATCACTATTATTTTCTTTAATGTTTATAGTTAGAGGATCTCCTGTAAATGGGTCTGTAATTATTTTACTGTAGTCTGGTCTGGCTTGAGATAATAAATTAAGTTCTGGATGTTCTGCTGATTCTAATGAATACTGACTGCTGTATACAGATGCTGCTTCCGTGTGGTCAGTTTCTAAAAAGTGAAACAAACCCAAATTTAAAGGAAATTATTAATGGTGTGAATTCAGTGGCATCACCTAATATCCAAAAAATAAATGAACAGAAAAAAGAAACTATATTGATTTGAAATTGAAAGGTTCACAATTCTGGAAATGCAGCCAAACAAATAATAAAAATGTATACTTGAATTGAATCGAAATCTAGTATTCTAATTAAAGATAGTTTCCTGTGTACAAACTGTGTGATTTGATGATATATTTTGACTAAAAACATTTTCAAACTAATTAATCTATTAAAACTTTGCTTCAAATACCTCTCAAAACTTTGTATTCACAGGGAGATACCCCAAGCTATAAAAATCTGTCAACTAACTTGAATGAGGGAGGGTCCATTTTTCAGAATGCATTTGTCATTACTTATTGTCTATTTATTGAGGCCTAAGTAAATTCTTGAATTATTTTCTGTCAATTACTTTTTTCGCAGTTTAATTGCAGAGTCTGTTACAGTAATGTTATACATTTGCACCCCTCAATGTTCCCAAAACCACCTAACCATTGGACCAAGAAATAACAACCGCCCCCTCAGTCAAGCTTGCATACAATAAGCTATCAGACAAACCATCATGTTGCCATTTAGTGATACCCTGACATTTTGGACCATTGCTTGCCCCATGGGTGTTTTTTTCGGGTAATCCAGTATTTTTCTAGTAAGATTGGGCGTCTATACTTTCCATAAACCAAAATTGCCATACATTTATTGGAAATAACCACACGATAAATACTTTCGTGACAATGTATCTTTAATAGCATTCACGTATTGAATTAAAATATTTCAAATATGGTCAATAAAAAAAGGTGTATGCCACAAAGGGTACAATGTATAAAATTTTGTCTTCATATACCTGGTTTTGCTGATAAGGCCCGTTCTTCTGATACCAAAAGTGTTTTAGCTTGTGTATACAACATAAACAATAGATTTGCATCACAAAGTTGTAAAATAGTCATAGCAAAGTTTGCTTTTGTCCAATAATTAGCATCTGTAAACCAGTCCCATGTGGAGGTAACATAATATTCTACAGCACAGGCTGGTAGTGCATGATCAGAACTTAATGTGGATATATCTGTGTCTATTCCTGGGTGAGTTCTCATACGAGCATAAGTATAGTCTTTATTAACTAATGGTTGTAATATATTTACTAACTGGTTTAACAAATCAACACTGTGGATTCTCCTAAGAAGACCCAACATGAATCTTCGTTTGGTGTGATCACCAAGTTTGGAAAACCAACTTTTAACAAGTCTTACTCTACTGCCAAGAGAGCATGTTTCACAAACACCACATTTTTCAGGACTGTTACATTTGAGTTTTATTACTCCTCCAAGGTTATATTCAAAAGTTTCAAAGTTGATTGGTGGATGCTTCATGACTTCTTCAATACCACCACTGCCCTCACACCGATAATTACATGTTGCTAACATCTTTTTTTTGACCACCTGCAAGAAAAAAATAAATGGTGGAACAATTTAATGATAATAAATATTGCTGCCTCCAAAAATATTCAATTATTATATACTGTCAAAACTTCATTATTCCAGTATTAGGCCCAACATGTTACCAGTACCGGTAGTTAAACTATATTTTTTAAGATCATGTGAACAAGGACATGACTTGCACCATTAATATAGGGCCAACATATTATTACTGTAGTTAAAATATATATTTTAAATCATGTGAACAAGGATATAAGGTGCACTATTATTAGCCATATATCTTTAAACATAATATATTACAAAAAAATTGTTACTATGATGTATGTATGCAGAAAAGAATGATTTTATAGATATTTAGAATCTATCTTGTTTAAAACTGAACATCCAATGGTTTTACTTTTTTATTTACTTTTTTATTCAAGATTTTTAAACTATGTGCCTACATTCACATTATATTCTTCAATATTACCGGTATTTAAAATCTTATAAGAAATAAATTTTAAATTAAAAAAAAAAAACTGTTAGCCTACTGCATGGCAGTTACATAGCCACATAAAAATCACAAAATAACATATATTTTTACCTAAATTTATTCATAGACTAATCCATTGAAAGGTTCCTTCTTTCACACACAAGTTGAGATAGCATTTACACCATCTATTTCATAAATAATTAATTAAATTCTAAGAGTTGTGAAGCTGAAAAATTTCACACCATCATCATGATCATCATCAACAATCATTCAATGTGACATTTTCACAACCTAACTGTAAATTCCATGTTTGTTTGTATTTCTCCAAACTGTGATCAACTAAGTATCATCATTGCCCTGTAAAACCTGTTAATACACGTGATTAACAGATAACAGTAAATCCTATCGATCTAAAACGTCCCCAAGGTGACAATCTTTTGTTTGGGCTTTTGGAAGTGTTTACTATTTTTTGCAATTGGAGTTTGAGAGTTATTCCCCTTGGTTTTAAACATTGTCTTGTGTTTTCAATTATAGTTTACGCTGTTATTTATGTTTACTTTCAAACAAAATAGCTTTTACGTACTAATAACAAACAGACATGACTAACAAAGACTAATCAAATAACTGTCACTTCTAGCATTTTATATTATACACTTTTTTCCATGGTTAATTTTTCCGTGTTGGAATTTCGTCTGCTTCCGGAAGTTAATTTTTCACCGCTAGGTGAAGCAGTCCTAGCAACAAGAAACCCGGATGGTGCTTGGGAAAATGGAGGACAGAGCAACAAAGTTTCTGGGGTTTTTACGTGCATGTTTGTAAGCGCGTCAAGTGTATCAAATGACATGAATATTTCCCAAAAGTATTAGAATCCCCAGAAGACGTAACTAAGAATACATTGCAGTAAGCCATTAAATAATTAACTGCACAAAATGGCACTGGAGCGGGCCAAGGTGAGTTTTATTTTTTTCATTTATTTTTTTAGACCATGTATGATGTATGTAACATGACATGTTTTGACTCTTGGTATTAGCCTATAAGGAAAGTAAACCTAATGCTACAGTAGAGGTTCAAAGACCTAATGTGCTGTTTTGTTATGTGTACCTATATTTGTAGCCAAGTCCAAAATGCCGGCTTCCAGATACCTATTTTAATTGTTGACAGTCAGCGAACAATATAATTATAATATGAACTCTGTAGCTTTGACAATTAAGATTTTTGAGATTTATCACATCAATTCTGTCTCTAACACACCTTAAATTATACATCAATAAAAAGCAAAATTATTGACCTTTCCAAAGATTTTTACGTCTTTATTGCCAAAGTTATTATTGTACTTGTAGCCTACCCTGCAGGATCGATGTTGTACATCATCTCTTTGTTGACAAAAAGTTTGAAATAATGTACTGTAGGTGGTTGACCTAATCTACTGTTTTGTATATAATGTCGTGACGTAGAAAGGTTAATGATGCTGAGGTTAACTTTGGTTGTGTTCAAATTGTTCATATATTTCGCACTGAATGCAAAAAAGTTTATATTTGTCAGATCCTTTTTTTCAAAGATCTTGAAAGAAACCTGGAAAATTATAATCATGTTTTCATTTATCACATGGTCATTGTCCCAATATGATTCATGTACAAACCAAACTTCCTATTTTAGTTTGAATAAGTTATTTTGCTTTTGCAGATGATGACAACTCCCTTACAGAGTTGCAGTAAATCCCGTGGGCTACCAGGATTGCCTGCCTTGCCCTCCACAGTTAAAGAACCATCAGATCTTTATCAGGTAGGTTTATTTTCAGAAACTTTGATTATTATTTTTGGTGATAAAGAGTAATGGATTAGTTATTTAAGTTTACAGTTTGCTTACATTTATCCTGGATTAAGCTTAAACCTGCCACACAATTTGATAAGTTAATATTATTATTTTTCAGATTGTTCTGCGTAATAGTCAACATCCACCATTAATGAAAGGCACGTCATGGACTTTAGCTGCACCATTTAAGGAAGAGAAATATCATCGTACACCCAGTGAATCTATAGCCAACAACTACACTCCCTCAGCTAACTCTTTAAAACTCAAAGATCTGCCAAAAGTTTATAAATCAAAATCAAAAAGTAAGTGAATTGTCTTTGATTACGCAAATAATATATGTGTAGATTTTCAATCTTTAATCTATGATTTATTCCTAATAATTTAATCATTTCATCTGATTTTATTGATTTCAGGACCCAATTTGCCTGCCTTAGGTAATTAAAAAAACTCATCTTTCCCTGTTTTAATGCCAATCTATCCACTCCTGCAAAGCTTTTGTCAGTTATTCATTGTGCACCTTCAAATCCACTGCACCTTGTATACATTTTACACAGGAAAAAGTTGCCTTCTTAATACTTTCATTATTCACAACACCCTAAAGCACATTTTTACTGTGAACAGATTTCTATTCAGTGAACTTGAATTTGTAAATTGAATAGTCTTTATTTTATGTCTAGTGTTGGCATTTTGCATAAATGTTCTTAACTTTGCTTACTCCCCCCCCCCCCCCCTAACAAATGCTACTACTTTAGGTGACATGTTTTATTATCTAGTTTTTTTGTGGACAGTTTTCCAGTTTAATAATAAGAATAGTGTGTATTTATAATGCACACATTCCATTTGTGTATGCTCATGGTGCAATTATCAGCTTTCCACATATATACATATATTGGAAGAAGTTAAGTTTACAATTAAATATAAGATATATGTAACTTGTAAATGGGATACAGGCAGAGTTATTAACACATCTTAAAAATTAAATCAAGAAAACAAACCTATAGAATTTCCATATTTTGGAACTAAAAAATTTAAACATGTTTTGAGGAGGCATTTCTACTTTAATTGGGACAGAGTTCATAGTGGAATTTGTTAAAACTTGCTCCACAGGATCTGTTGGTGTGGTGTAATGTTTTCTGTCTGTAGTAATGAACAAATTAAACAAAATAGACATCTTCCCATTTTTATTTTGAAAATCTGATGAACTCCAATCCTAAAACTGTCCTAATATTTATCCTCTCAGTCGAATCAAGAAGTCCTAGAGCAGGTGCTGTTAGTCCAAATAAGAAAAGAAAGAAAGACTTATCACCAGACAGAAGAAAAGATCTTCAAGAGAGTAATGGGTAAGTTAATAGAAATTTTATTTTAATTAGAATAGAAAAGAATCAAAATTTGTGAGTTGTTTGAATGTATGATCTTTTGTCTGATTTATACATTCATGTAGAAATTTTCTTTGTTTTTTCAAAATTTTCTTTTGGTGTTTTTTTTTTTTCTTTAATGAGATTTTTTGTTTTTTGACAAGTTGGATGGGTGGCCATACCTCACCGCTTCCTGATATTGATTCTCTACCTCCCAGTCGACCTTTAACCCCAACAGAACAGATGGATATTATGTTAGCTATAGAATCTGAAGAATTACAACAAACAGGCACAGCTTCTGATAGAGATTTGGAGGTGAGCACTTTTTCAAATTACTTCATTAGGATTGATAAGAAAAAAAAAAAATTCTCAATTTTTATGGTATTTTTATTTGTCCTTTTTATCAACTGGAAATAAATATTGGTTGTCATTTTCATTATTCATGGTTTGCTTATTGTTTTTATTTTAGAGGTACTATTATTACATTGATAGAGGAATACATGATAAAATGTTGGCACCACCACATCCTAGTCAGTTGAAGAATATTAAACACTTGGTGCCATCAGCATTATTAAATAATCCTGAACTAGAAGAGATGGAACAAAATCTAGTAGAAGAAATAAATGAGGATCATAAACAGAGTCTAAGAAAATCCATAGGTAGCATATATTAATTAATTTTAGAATATTTATTTATTTATCAGTTGCTAGAAAATGTTTTTATGTGTGATAAATAAATCTGTATTTAATTTATATTATAATAATACATCTGCTTTTCAATAAATATACAATTATAATGCTACAAATAATTTCTTTAAAACAGAAAGTAATCAAACATATCTAGAAATAGTGGGGGTTTCTATTCTGATTGATAATTTTATATTTTTTCAGTCGATTATATTTTGAAAGATCCAGAAGAAAAAGAAAGACTGTTTATATCATGGACACCAAAACCGTTTCCACAGAGAATGATCCGAGCTCCTGTACCGTGGCATGATACATATCAACGTATGAAGGGTTATAGTGAAACATATCTCTTTATAACAAATCCTATCATGTTATCATTACAGAATATCTGGTTTGACAAGTATGTAATCTTGATAATTAATCTTATTTGGGCTAGGGTGGGCGATATTTGATATAAAAAGAAAATGAGTTAAAAAAATATTGCAGTGCAGGTATATTTATCACAATATTTTTGCAGTTTCAAAAATAAAGTATTTACCAATATCTATAATGTTTCAAATATTATACTTTTTTCTTTAATTTAAAGGGCCAGTAAAACTGGCGATATATCACAGTATTATTGGTACTTGGATATTTTTGAAATAATTCAATTATATTATTTAAAATATTTATTTTCAAAACGCAATATCATGTAATACCACTACATTGTCCAACCCTAATCAATGGATAAGCCCTATACTGTTTAATTGGTTTGTTTTTTTATTTCAGGTTCTGTCATGTTCGATTTATTAACCTGAAAGAACTACTTTCTGCTGATCTGCCATTGCTTCCTGTTGAGTTTGAATCTTTGGTGAAGAAGCAATGCTGGGAAGCACATGAACTTCTGAAAAAAGAGTATGTTCACATCTGAATTATGTTAATTTATTCATGTACAGTACAATCCTTGTAATATAAATTATTATTTTCTAAGAAATATGTATAAATAAGAGTAGATAGTAAAATGATTTGAATAAGTGTAAGACTTATGTGGACTTTGTGTAACAGTACCATGATCATCACATCTTTATCGTAATATTATTAGGTTGAGTAATCCTATGCAAAGTTATGAAATGGCATTCAATTTGTTAATTAATTAAGAGAATATATTAACTTTGGTCCTAATCTTGTCCTATAATTTCCTTCAGATGGATTCCCACTTGTGCCAAGGTGTTTATAGATCAGAAAGATGTATGGGAATATTTGGTGCCACCTAATGATACTGATTCTACAGAACTTGTTGCTGAATTCTTCTCTTGTGTTGCTGCCTTAATGTCTATACAATTACGTAGTATGGTCATCAACTCACTTGCTGATTTCCTCTCCTTTTTTCAACTGCATGAGGTAGATCCTTTAAGTATATTATTAACCTTTTAAAAACTTGAATTGATTCACAACACAGATATCATTTCTTGTACCGATCGGGGTCCATAATATTTTACCTATTCTTCCCAAGATGGATGACTTATTACCACAGTACAGTATTAAAAGTTTTAAAGTTTTGATTTGGTGCAAAAGATACAGTTATCTTTACTTATATTGTGTCTTTTCACATTGTTGAATTTCAGACTAGTGATTTTTTTTTGCAGACTAATGAAAATATTACCTTACTCTAAAAATAGTTAGTTTTGAACTCTTTGTGTACTCTAAATCTAAAGTCACAACTTCACGTAGCCAGTCTTCTTCAAAACAGCAGATCGTTAGGTTCTCGGAAATGTCCAACCTCGTGGGCTTTCTCCAGGCCCTCCGGTTTCCTCCCACTGCTAAAGACCCCTATGCGCAAGTGAATTATGGAAATAAAATTGAACCATATGTTAGTTCTGAAATGACCTAGTTTGTGTCGAGTGGACGTTAAACCGCATTTCTCTCTCTCTCTTGGAAATGGCTATACAAATAAATGACAGACTTAAATAACAAAATCTGATTAGTACTAAGCAAAAAATACAATCTCTTTCCATTTCAAAACTTGATGTTATTTCCATTATCATACTTATTTTTCTGGAACAAAACTTATTTGACATAATAAACATTTTTATATGTAATTCATCTAGAAGTAAAATTTGTGTATATTCTGTATATATTTTAGAAAGGAAATGATTTTGGAGATGATTTTGAAGAATTGCAGTATGTAATGAAGCAAGTGATGATCATCAAATTGCGAGTACAAGATCCTAAAATTATCTTCGATCCTTTATTCCGTGAAATACGAGATATTATACTCCGATGTTTTACAGAAATCATTGCCTGTGCAGAAGGATTGTCAAGAGTAAGTTGTAAACAGATTTAGATATTTTTTTTCTGTTATATCATTTGACAATTAATGGAACTTTTTTCAAATGGATGAATACTGATGTGAAAAAAAAATAATTTAAAATATTTCTGATAATGTACCATATATATAACACATTATACAGTTTAATTTATTCAAATATATTATCTTTAGGTTGAATGCGAATTATTTCCTGATATGAAAAACCAAAAGTTGCATCTTCGATCAGTAAAGTTAGAAGAAACACTAGTCACAGATTTTATTGATAAAGCTATGGAAATATTTAAAGATAATACCGTGGGACCACAGAAGTAAGTTATTAAGGATATATAGACAAAATATTATAAAAAATCTTGTTAACCAAAAGTTTTCCATTAAATAGGTAGGTGACAAATAGTTACTAACATGTGTACAGTGTAACATGTAGACTATTTCATTTAACAGGGTTTGGATATAGGAATAGAATAATTAGCACATGTGTGCTGTATCATAAGGTCTGTTATTGACTCAACTGCCGTGGTTTTGATTCCGCGGTTGAACTTGACAAGGAGTAGGGTCGTCTGTCCAACCTCATGGGTTTTCTCTGGGTCCTCCGCTTTCCTCCCACTGCTGAAAACCAGTACGCGCAAGCAAATTATTTAAATAAAATTGAACCTTGTGTTAGTCCCGAAATGACCTGGTTTGTGTCTCATTTCATTTAAAACACAGGGAGTATGGTGCTGGCTCACTAACCATAGTAGGTCGAGATTTTGCAGCCTGGATTTGTTGGCAAGTCTGGACATAAGGCACCTGTCACAGACTTTAATTTTGTCAAACACAAATTATCACAACTTTTAAAATTATAACATTTCATTTCTATGTGTAGTTGAAATCTATATAAACTTGACTGTTGTCATGGTTTTTAATAGGTATTTGAACACCTACAAGAAATATTCTGATCTACTGAATAATAAAGCTGATCAAGATGTCACTAGTTTCCTTAAAGAAAGACATTCTATACAAGCTTTTAAACAGGTACATAATATTTATATATTTATGATAGTTTATCACAGATAGATAAAAATACATTATGAAATAGATTTTATTTAATTTTTTTTTATTGTCAACCTTTTCAACTTTGTCTTAATTACCAAAATATGTTGTTGCCTTTTCACTATGAAAGACAATTGTAGATGTGCATTGCATGATTACTGAACTGAAGCTGTGTATGAAACCCTACTTAATTATCCTTCCTATTCATATAGAAAATCAACAGTTTACAAGATCTGAAAGATGAAATAGCAAGTTTAAGAATTACTGTGCCTTTGAGTATGTTTTGTTTGGACTGTGTACAATTAAATCAAGAATTATGTTTGAGAGCTCAAAAACTGAGAGAAAGACTAATCACATTTGAGGTGGATGAAAATCGTGATTTAAACCGAGGGTATGTAAAGAATTTTTAATTTTTAAAACTCTGAACAAAACAGTATTTAGATTTTAAACTTAAATTTATATTGCAATAAGGGACTACAAAACATGACAAATATTTTGGCAAATTTCTTTTAAAAATTTAGATGATCCTAATTGAAAATTATTACATAGATAATTTGATACTGTTATATATACTATTGTTGGATAAAATATTACTTTTATTAACTAGTTACTTTAAATATCAATATAAACCTGTAAAATTGTATTATATTTGTTATAGAATATGTAAACTCTATGATGAAATGACGGATAAAGTCAGTGAGATGCCTGATACAACTCAAGAAATTGTCGAAACCCAGGAATTTCTAAAAACGGTACGTACAATTGATCTCAAGAATGTTAAATCGAGAAAAAGAATATGATTAAGGCTTATTGTTGAAGTCCATTATGACTATTAAATGAAGACTAGACAGATAACAAACTGTTTTTTTATGTGAGATTTTCTAAAATCAAAAAGTAATTGCTTACAATGTATTAAAACTATTTCAGTCTATGGATGTCACAGTTCATAAATTAAAAGATGAAATAGATGAAGCAGCCAATAGATTAATGTTTCTGTTAGACTATGCGATATTCCCCTGTAAGTATACAATAAGATGTTCATTGTATCAAGCCGTCCATTAAGGACAGCATGCATAAACATGCGTTTAGACATACATCCATCTAATATATTACACAGAAAACACATACATGTAAAAAAAGAAAAATGCTAGTCTTATCAGTAATTATGGTTTATACCTTCTGTATGTAACTTTTTTATTTTAACCTTCTTCTAATATGAATATCCTTGGACAAATTTTGTAAATGTTATTTTGTGCTCTGTTTTATTTTTTATATCTGACTTTTCCCCCTATAGTTGAAGATATTAAACTCAACAGTACTGTATTCCATTGGCCGGAACATATTCGTACTGTATTTGAGTTGAATCAATCAAGAATTATTAACAAGCGAGAGCACATTGAAGAGGAACTAAGAAGAAAAGTTTCTGCCTTTGAAAATCGTCTGGCAGAATATATGACTAAAGTGGAATCATATAAAAAGAAAGAGGTAAGATTATAGTATGTGGAATTATCTAATTTATAAACTGACAAGAAAAAGTTAAAAACCCCATTGCCTTAATTGTGCCTTTCGATTAGTCACTACATAGTACCTGGCTGTAGCTGGATAGGGGTAGTATATTGCAAGGTAAAATTTATGTAGCGCAACAAATTTGGAGCAAAACATGAATGTGACTAATAAATTTCCTCTGGGGCTTTAGTAAAGAAATGTAGATTTACACTGCTGCTCATACTTTGCTTTTACCAAATAAACAAAAGTTTGAATTTTACTATAAGTCTAATTTAATGAAATATATTTCAGATAATGAGTGTAGATGAAATGAAGAATAATTGTGAGAATTTAAAACAATTACACGAAAGTCTAGAAACAGCTAGAGAAGAATTAGATGCTGTTAATGAAGAAGAACGTCTGTTAGAATGGGAACAAAGTTCTTTCCCTGATCTACAGTTAATGTTTACAATGAAAGAACCATATGAAAAGTTGTGGAATACAGCATACACTTTCCACCAAAAACATGAAAACTGGATGAATGGTAAGGACGGATTCTTAATTTTTGACAAAAAATGTTTTTAATAAAAAGATAACCAGTTAGTAAGGATATTTTTGACAAAAGATGAGAATTGAAGGTAAATATTATTGATAATGTATTTTTTTTCTTGATTTTTACTAGGAGCATTCCAGGAATTAAATGCTGAAGATATAGAAACTGAAGTTGTTGATATGTGGAGAAGTATGTATAAATTAACTAAAACATTTAGTGATCAAGCTGGTCCTAGACGTATAGCTGATAGTGTTAAAGGAAAGATCGATAAATTTAAACAACATATGCCCATCTTACAGACTATTTGTAATCCTGGTATTAGAGATCGTCATTGGGATATGGTAAGTTGATATAAAGTTTTCAACAAAGCAGTTATAAAACAGTATTTCACTATACATAAAACTTAGAATAGAGAAGTTGTTTAAAGAATCCATATAATCGAACTGGAACTTTAAGAACATAGCAAAACAAAAGTTAATTATAATTTTTTTTACATCTTTCGTGTAATATGACCTCCATTACAAACCGGTCAGATCTGTATGGAGTTGAGACCATTGATAAAAAAATGACAAAATAGAATTTAAGTCTGTATTTTGATCAAATTGCCCATTCATAAACATTGTCTGATAGTTCTACAGTATGATACTTTAATTAAAATTGCAACTATTTGTACTTTTCTGCTCATTTTCAAACTATTTTAAGTCCAGATAAAATATAAAATCTGCTACAACTTGACTTTTACTTTAATATAATTATTAAATTATTCAGATGAGTGATACAGTTGGTTTTAATATAAAACCTGAAGGTGATATTTCACTGTCTAAGATGTTAGAATATGGTCTTCACAAACATCTTGCCAAGTAAGTATCCAGATTCTTCTTCTAGAAATACTGTTTTTACATAAAATTTCAATTTTTAAAGGGGTTGTTTAGGTCATTCTTAAAAATTTAATTTAGATTTAGTTATATTTTAGTTAAATAATTTTTTTCTGATGGTATCAGAATAAGATGAAAAAGTGCAGTGCATATAATATATTTAAATCATATCTGTTTTTAGACTAGAGGAAATCGGTGCTGCTGCAGCCAAGGAATATTCTCTAGAAAAGGCTTTGGAAAAGATGAAGTTTGAATGGAAGGATTTAATTTTTGAAATGCTTCCATACAGAGATACAGTAAGTTAAGATATATTAACGGGTATATATGCCATAATGGTTTTATTTAAAGAAAAAAAAAAACACTTCTAAGGCTCTCTAGTTGATTTAGTGATAAAGTGTTTCAAAAATTTTTTTTATAAATATTATGCATTTTAAATTAAAATCATTCATACAATTTTTTTTCCCTTGGTGAGTTTTTCTTGAAATAGGTGCTATTTTAATTAAGATTTATTTTATTAGGGAGTTAGTATTTTGTCATCTGTTGATGAAATACAGCTACTACTAGATGACCATATTGTGAAAGCTCAGACTATGAGAGGTTCACCATTTATAAAACCATTTGAAGTTGAAATGAAGGAATGGGAAGAAAAACTGGTATTGATGCAAGATATTATAGATGAATGGCTTAAGGTAAAAACAAACAAATAATAAACTGTGAAAATATGAGATCTTATTATTAATTACCTAGTGATCACGTTACACTGTTGAAATAGAAACAGAAATAGAAGTTAAACTTCCAATAGTTGTTTAATAAAATATGTAATAAAATTTTATCTATGTTTTATTTCAGTGTCAAGCTACATGGTTATATTTAGAACCTATCTTTAGTTCAGAAGATATTATGGCTCAGATGCCAGAAGAAGGGCGTAAGTTTGGAATTGTGGATAGTTATTGGAGAGATATAATGACTGAGTCTATTAAAGATACACACTGTCTAGCTGCTACAGCACAAGCTAATATGTTAGGAAGATTGAGAGAAGCTAATGTTTTACTGGAAGAGATTCAGAAAGGATTGAATGCCTACTTAGAAAAGAAACGACTGTATTTCCCCAGGTAGGCTAAATTCAGATCTTTTTACTGTCTATAGTACAGTTGATTATTCCATTATTTAAAGTTAACATAACTTGTATAGGAATTCAATTTTACTATTAAAAGTGTTGGGGTCTTTAATTACCAGTGTGGGGGGAAATTAGAAGACCCAGAAAAAAACCCATGAGGTTAGGCAGGTGACTCTATTCGTTGTCATGTACAAGTGTAGGATCGAAACCCTGCCACTTTACTCAATGTGTGGATTCTTGTGTTGACGTCTGTTATAGATTTCTGAGTTAATGTTTTGTGTTTTTAATTTTGCAGATTTTTCTTCTTGTCTAATGATGAGTTGTTAGAAATATTATCTGAAACTAAAGATCCTACGCGTGTACAACCTCATCTGAAGAAATGTTTTGAAGGAATGTATAAACTAGAGTTTACAGAACAACAAGAAATTGTCGGCATGGTATCATCAGAAAATGAAACTGTACCATTCAGTACTAAGATTTACCCAGCTAAAGCTAAGGTATGTGAACTAAATACTTGTATCAATCATAATTATATCAAAATGGTATATTTTAGAATTTATATTTTTTGGAACAAGTATATGTCTTTATACATTTGATATATTTACTGGTCCCGCAATCTTCAGTGTTATATTGTCATGTACAACTAGAAGCCAGAATATACACACTCCTACAAAACCCTTTTTAATTTGAGGATCCAAATATTAAAATCACTTTTAAAATAATTTCCAAACCTTATTTTAAGGTTTAATAAGACGTATGTTAATAATGTTGTATTATTATAATATTAACAGGGTATGGTAGAGAAATGGTTATTACAAGTAGAAGATGTTATGATAAGTAGTATTAGAAAAGTTATTATAGAATCTATGAAAGCATATAAAGAATCACCTCGTAGACGGTGGGTTATAGAATGGCCTGGTCAGGTCACATTAGCTGTTAGTACTATTTATTGGACAGCAGAAGTAACAGAAGCAATGAAAGAACCAAATGGAATGAAAGTAAGAAATTATCTAGTTTCATTATTTTTTTTTATTTTTTTTTTTTCCATTCTGAAATTTCCTCATGTCATGATTAGACAAAGCCATGTGAAGAATAAAAAAAAGGGGAAAATATGCAGCTAAGAGCTTTGAGAAGAACAGCAAACTATTGAAGTATCAGTTGTTTTAAAAAAAAAATTGTTTTCAAGAAATTAGAAGCAATATTTTAAAATTCGAATTGATATGGCTTAATAATTTTGATTGTAAAGATGAAATCGGTTCTTTATTCTAATGATCTATATTAATTGTTGTTTTCCTTTTAGGATTATTTAGAGAAGAGCAATCGTCAGATTGAAGAAATTGTAGAACTTGTACGGGGTAAATTAGAGGGTGGAGCTAGAACATCTCTTGGTGCTCTTACTGTTATAGATGTACACGGTAAGAATTTATACAGCTATATATATATTTAAAGAGAAAAATCCTCCATTTACTGAAATTATTTCTAAATAGCAACATAAACCACTTGATGAATACCAACTTTTTTCATTATACAATACAATCTTTATTTATCAAATTCTTTAACAATCTTCACTTTTCATTCTTACAATGACAGTCCCTATAGAAAATCCAGGTGGTGGAATCACTACTGATCATGTTGATCATTTACTCATTACTTACTTTCAGCTCGAGATGTTGTTGCTTCTATGGCTAAGAACAATTTACGAAGTCCTAATGATTTTGATTGGCTAGCACAGTTACGATATTATTGGGAAGATGATGTTATTGTTAGAATGATAACAACAGATATAAATTATGGTTATGAATATTTAGGAAATACTCCACGTCTTGTTATTACACCACTTACTGATAGATGTTATAGGTAAATACTTTATTCATCTTATAAAATATCATACGTTGATAAATCTGATCCAGTACTCACTCTTTAATATTATACCAGCCAGACATTTAACTTGTCTAACAGTTAAAACATCTAGATCTGAAAATATAGTCTCAAAAGAAAGCTAAAATTAGACTTTGAGAAAGATTCTGAACCGTATATATCTAAGATAATATTTTATTATATCCCAAAGCCAATTTCAGACTGCATACAATTTATATATACCAGTACTGAGAAAACATTTTTGAAATAAATTATGTTAAATTGTTTCTAATTTTGTATTTACAATTTGTAGAACGTTGATGGGAGCTTTAAAACTGAATCTTGGTGGTGCACCAGAAGGTCCTGCTGGAACTGGTAAAACAGAAACATGTAAAGATTTAGCCAAGGCAGTGGCAAAACAGGTAAGTCAACCAACAGGTTATAAATGAGAATAAGATATTTCTAAAATATAGAATAAGTTTTTATAATGAAGAATAGAAATGAAATCTGTGAAGTGATGCCCAGGGGTAATTCTTTGATTATATGCCCCCAAATTTTCAGTGCCTGAAATGTGAGAAAGAAAGACATTTTAAATATAAGTGAAGTTGTGTCATTTCTGTTTTCTTTCAGTGTGTTGTATTCAACTGTTCAGATGGTCTGGATTTTAAGGCCATGGGTAAATTCTTTAAAGGTTTAGCACAAGCTGGTGCCTGGGCTTGTTTTGATGAGTTCAACAGAATAGAACTAGAAGTATTATCTGTAGTTGCTCAACAAATTCACACTATACAACAAGCTATAGCCAATAAAATGAAGAGATTTATATTTGAAGGAACAGAACTATCGTTAAATCCTACGTGTACTATGTTTATTACTATGAATCCTGGTTATGCTGGACGACAGGAACTACCTGATAACTTAAAGGTATTGTTTTAACAGATATTCATCAAAATCTCAGGTTATATCCTGAAGTGTAATTATCTAACTTGTTGTTTGAATAACAATTTAATTTGACTTTTGGTGTAGAGAAGGATTTAGTTCCCACTGTAACCAGTTGAAGTTTTATATATTTTATTTTATAAAACCCAGTATTTTGTTAATATGTTACATTATGATATTTGTAGGTATTGTTCCGTACAGTAGCTATGATGGTGCCAGATTATGGTTTGATTGGTGAAATTGTTCTCTATTCTATGGGATTTGTTGATGCCAGAAGGTATATCTTATTTATAGTATAGGCCCATTTTTATACCTTTTGATGATTTCATCATTGTAACTTTGTTATGTCTTCTAGTGTGTCAAGTGAAATAAGGCAGATGTCTTGTCTTCCAACTCAAAGTGTTTAAATTCTTATTCATAGAAAGTAAAAAATTCCATAACATATGAATCAGAAATTGAAAGTAGTCTTAAACAAGACTCTTTGCATACTCTGCCTGTTGCATAACATAAACCTCTTGTCTACTGCAGAATTCATTTGATAATTTTTGTTTATTGGTAGCAATGTCTTGTGTGGTTTAAGTCTTGTTCGCAGGTTTGTCTTACCAGTTTTATTTGTATGTTGTGCAGTCCTTCTTCAATTACTATTGAATAATATATTACCTCACAGTTGAAATAAGCCTCATTATTTATCTATTCTAGTTTATCTAACAAGATTGTAGCCACATATAAATTATGTTCTGAGTTATTATCATCACAACATCATTATGATTATGGTATGAGAGCTGTGAAATCTGTACTTACTGCAGCTGGTAATTTAAAACTCAAATATCCCGAACAGGACGAAGCTGTCTTATTACTCAAAGCCATCAGTGATGTCAATTTACCGAAATTTTTGGCACAGGTAAGAATTAGAAAGTTACAACGTATTCAAAATAATCAACCAGTTACTATTCTGTATCTCAGTAATGGATTGACAGATATGTCTTAAATTTTACACACAATCCAATACAAACCGGGGGTTGGAGTCGCCAAATTGTCTAACCTGTGCGTTTTAAATCGGAAGATCTGTCATTGAGTCAAGTTGGGTGATTTTGACCACAAGCTTGTATGTGACAGGGAATAGTCTTGCCTGCCTAACTATGTGGGTTTTTCCATGTCCTCCATTTTTTTTCGACTGCTAAAGACCCCTACATGTAAGCGAATTATTGAAATAAAATTGCACCATATTTTAAATCCCAATTCTCTCACCCTCCAATATGAACAATACATATTTCCTGTAATTTATTATAAGTCGTCTGACTGATGTGCTGTAATTTAATCTATTTTTTTAGGATGTACCTCTTTTTGAGGGTATTATATCTGATTTATTCCCTGGTGTTGAATTACCTAAACCTGATTATGGAGTCTTCATGGAATCTCTTAAAGAAAATATATTGAAGAGACAACTACAGACTGTTCCATGGTTTATTGATAAAATCATCCAGGTTAGTAGAAGTCCAATATGTTACAACTACTTTCTATGACATCTCCATTAATTCTGTTCTATTCTGAATGGATTAAGAGCCCTGATACATCATTTCAATGTTTTATGTTTACTCTGCCTTATAACTTTGCTTTATAAAAAATAATTGTATGCATGCACATTTAATGTGGATTTATTTAACATCATGAGCAAGATCTGTCGAAATTCTGATTTATTTTATTTGTTCCAATATCACAGGAATATCTTTACTTTAAAACTGATGAAATCTTGTGAATGCAATATGGGACAGCATTTTCTGGATGATGTAATGTGGAACCTAACATCTATGTTTATATTTATTTCTACAGATTTATGAGATGATATTGGTTCGCCACGGTCTTATGATTGTTGGTGAGCCGCTTGGTGGAAAGACACAAGCTTACCAGGCTCTAGCTGATACACTAGGTGATCTGTGTGTGGCTGGTCTTTTCAACGAGAATAGAGTACAATATAGAATTATTAACCCAAAAGCTATAACTATGGGACAACTGTATGGTTGTTTTGATCCTGTATCACATGAATGGTCTGATGGTAAGAAAACTTTTAATACAAATCTATAATAATTCTATGATTTCATCTATAAAATCTATGACTTCATCTATAAAATCTATGACTTCATCTATAAGAAGTCTATGATTTCATCTATAAGAAGTCTATGATTTCATCTATAAGAAGTCTATGATTTCATCTATAAAGACTTTGATTTCATCTATAAGAAGTCTATGATTTCGTCTATAAAGTCTGATTTCATCTATAAAAAGTCTATGATTTCATCTATAAGAAGTTTATGATTTCATCTATAAAGACTCTGATTTCATCTATAAGCTTATAGTCTGTGACATTAACTTTCAAATGTTCAATAAAATTGTATAATCAATATTTTAGGCCACTTGTCTGCTACTGGTTGAGTTTTAGAATCCTAAGACAGATTTTAGGTCATAACCAATGAATAGACATGTTCATAAGAAATAGACTGTTCCTATTTTTAAGAATAAATTGAATTGTGTGAAAGTATAAAAAACTTAAATGGATACCGGTAATTTGGGATTGTTTCTCATCCTCATGTTGTGTGTTTTATTATACCAGGTGTTTTAGCCAATACTTTCCGTGAATATGCCAGTAACCCCAATGAAGATCGTAAATGGATTTTATTTGATGGACCTGTTGATGCTGTGTGGATTGAAAACATGAACACAGTACTTGATGATAATAAAAAGGTAAAAGATTAGCTAATTTATAATAAACCAATTAACACTGGGATAACAGTTTTAACTTTTTAGGGAGCAATTAAAGTATACATAAGATTAAAAGCTATAATCAACATTCTGAATATTTAGTCCAAGCTTTATTCTGAAGCAGCCAGAAAGATTGGTGTAGCAATTGATTTTCTTAGCAGCCAAACTAAATTATTAAACCAGAAATCTGCATATTAAAGGACACTATAGCCAAACTATATTAAAATCTATAAATACACCCAAATTTTATTTCATTTTATAGAATAATTTGAAAAAATTTTTTTCTTAGTTATGTTTAATGAGTGGAGAAATTATACAGATGAGTAACACAATGAATCTGATATTTGAACCAGCAGATTTAGAGCAAGCTTCCCCTGCTACCGTCAGTAGATGTGGTATGATTTATCTTGAACCCCATCAAATGGGTTGGCAGCCACTCAAAGATTCCTACATGAAGTATGTTCTACCCAAAAATCTTAATGAGGAACAAGTTGAGTTGGTTACTGATCTTTTTGGTTGGTTGATTCAGCCATGTTTAGACTTTATAAAGAAGAACTGTAAAACATTTATCAATACGTCTGAGATGCATTTAGTCCAATCACACATGCGTCTGTATACATGTTTAATGGATGAAATTATAGCCGCCATTAATCATCAAGCAGAAGAAGAGGAAGGTGTGGAATCAAAACAGGAACAACTTACAAATCAACAGGTAAATATGTTGGTCCTACTTAATTTAATATTCTCAAACTGAATTCTCTCAATACCATAAACAGTGAATTTAAGATAAGCATGGGATAACTTAATAAAACTAAATCTCCACCAATCGTCACAACTGTAACCACTCTCATCTCGCATATTTGGACTGAAAATAATGTGAGAGAACTCAATTTTACCACCAATTTTGACACCCAAAACATTCAACTGAGTATCCCCAGTTTTCATTTTGACAGTGTCCAAAGCTTTTTCAAACTATTGTTAATCAAATATACATTTATTTTTTATATTTTTTACAGATATTTCTGTGGTTACAAGGATTATTTATATTTTCGTTAATCTGGACAATAGGAGGAACTATAACAGGTGAAGGACGAAAGAAATTTGATGTGTTTTTTAGAAACTTGATTGGTGGAACTGATCAAGATAATCCTAAACCTAAAAGTATCAAACTTACAAAGGTAAATTATAACATAAATATTTGTAATTCAACTGTAAGATATTTTATAAACATCCATAACGGCCATTGATAATTAAATCAAAACAGTGGATAATCGAGACTATGCTGTTTATATTAATGATTTTAGTAATGATGACCGAGACTATGTGAAAATTTCACCCGCTTCGTTCTCGGCTCATAGTGGATCAATTTGACTGAAATTTCAAGCAAATTACCTTTACACTATCTAGTTTTTAACTATTATAGCGAGAACTGCCATCTCTTTATCTTATCTCCCATAATGTATCTTTAAATTTCATCTGTAAAATATGATATGTTTAATATAAAACTGTATGATATAATATATCATGCTTGAAATTCATATGGGTTATTGTGATTTATTCACTGTAATATGATAAAAAAAATAACTAAACTTTATGATATTTAATAATATTAGTCTGGATGAAAGAAAGAACATTTTTTTTTTTGGCCCATCACATATCTTTTTTTTTAATATACATGTATTTTTTTAATGTTTTCAGAGTAACTCTATCCCAGAAAAGGGCAGTATTTACGATTATTGCTTTGAGAAGAAATCCAGTGGACATTGGATAGATTGGATGGATACTATAGATAAAAGTTTACTAACTATACCACCTACTGCTAAAGTAAGATTTCCATTAAATTTTATTTATCTACATTCCACGAGTTACCAATAAAATTTGGGTAATTAGATTTCTCATTTAAATTTTGGTTCAAGCTCCCCTTTGACGTATGAGCAGATGTCTGAAAACAAAATAAGTATGGTCTGCCACTTACGTGAGAGCCACCATTGTTGTAGTACCTACTTTGATTAAGAAGTATATATTATTATGATATATTTTTTTAGGTTAGTGATTTAATTATACCTACTATGGAAACATCTAGACAGAGTTATTTTCTACAGACCTATTTATCACATGAAGTATCCACACTGTTTGTTGGTCCTACTGGTACTGGTAAATCTGCTATTACAAACAGCTACCTGATGAGTTTACCTAAAGACATGTAAGTTACTTTGTCTATAGCTTGTATTTGTTCTTTCTGCTTTCATCAAAAAAAAGAAATATCATTAAAAAAAATTTATTAAACATTGATTTGATTTTTAAAATTATCACCTTGAGTCTTGAAGATCTTTTTTTAAATGCTTCTAATTAATGTTTTATCTTAAACTATAAAAATGGGTATGCAATAATCAAAATATGTATTTCAATTTATTACTTTATCGTGGAATTTTAAACAGATTATCATTATTGTAGGTATGTGCCAAACTGTATCAACTTCTCTGCCCGTACTTCAGCCAATCAAACACAAGATATAGTCATGTCAAAACTAGACAGGTAATTATATTATACTCTTTCATTAGAAAATTATGAAAATCATTTATTTTACGTGCCTGGAAAAACTTTATTTTAAGCAGGTTATTCATTTTGTAATTGTGTCAAGAATAACAGGGTATCTGCTGATAAAAATAGATTTAAGTATGCGAATCAAAAGGCAAAATGTAAAGAAGTAGTCAAATCACCCTGTCTGAATTTTGTTGTGCCACTCGGTAGCAAGGTTAGGTTATACATAACGAAATTTTTGAGTGACTTGATAATTTCGTCTAACACTTGAAACTATAACTTGGATAAGGATATAGATGTGGTTTTCCAGGCACTCATATATAGCATGGAATTTGGAGACTTTTGGAGATCTTTATCACTAACCACACATGGAAAGTAAAAGTTTATATTCTTTGAAAAGTATCACAGAGCTTCAGTACAGATAGTTGTACAAGACAAGGCTTAAGTTTTCTAAGAGTCAGAGAGAATTACCCAGTTTTAATAGTTTTATTTACTAAAATATATATTAGACTGCTCCTGATTATATGATTATATTTATGTAGGAGAAGAAAGGGTGTGTATGGGCCACCTATGGGTAAAAGATCTGTTGTATTTGTTGATGATCTCAACATGCCAGCTAAGGAGAAATATGGAGCACAACCTCCTATAGAATTATTACGACAGTGGATTGATCATGGACATTGGTACGATAAAAAAGATACATCAAAAGTGTTTTTAACTGATGTTGTAAGTACTGTTTGATTGATTACCACTACAGTTTTTAATGACATTAGATATGTAGGTTAGCAATGTTTGAAAGTTTTAAGAATCAGTAAAAATATTACGAATTGATAAATGTGATGGTATATTGTTCTGCAGATCAGAAGGTCTGTTATCTATATTACGAATTGATAAATGTGATGGTATATTGTTCTGCAGATCAGAAGGTCTGTTATCTATAAGTCATGTTTATGGTAAGGAAAGGTGTCTTCTCTTTTACCTAATGGATTTTCTTCAGGTGTCTCGATCATTTCCTCCCACTGCTAAAGAACCATGTGCCTAAGCCAGTTATTGAAATTATAAAATGACCTAATTAATATTGAATGGCCATTAAACCCCAGTTTAAAAATAATAATAATTTGAAATGTTATAAATTGATTCATTGACAGAAAGACATTGGGTCAAATCTTCCATAAAAATAACCTGTTAGTTGCGAGTTTGTGTTTATATTCAAATAATTTAATATATATTTTTTTTAATTTAGATTATCTTGTTAAGTAATAAGCTTTATATGGTAATTTCAGTTATTCGTATCAGCTATGGGTCCACCAGGTGGAGGTAGAAATGATATTACTAATAGATTTACTAGACATTTAAATATTATGTCTATTGATGAGTTCGATGATACAACCATGACTAGGATATTTGCTACTATAACAGACTGGCATTTCTCTAAAGGTTTTGATCCGGCTTTTGGTAGAAATGGAAAGGTGAGATCTTTTTTGCTAATCTGTATAATGACTAACCTATTATAAATTATAATAACCATCCTTTTGTATATTATAGCAACCATCCTTTTGTGTAATAACCTTTTGTATATTATAACAACATCCTTTTGTGTAATAACCTTTTGTATATTATAATAACCATCCTTTTATATACTCTAGTCTAAACAAACCTAACCATTTTGTTTTTCTTCTTCGTTTGATTAACTTTACTTTTAATAATGTAACATACATCTTTGCTTATCTCCTCCTTTGTCGTATTGTTTTCTCTTCTAGAAAGATGCTGATGTAAGTTTCACTCAAATGTTGTTTTCCGTTTAGCATGCTTTCATTGTGTTATATTCTACCAATTTAATTTTTCAAAAGTTTCATTATTTATCTTTGAATTTTTGTTCATTTATGTTCTTTTATTTGTTTCATGTTGTATTTTCATTCTCCAAATAGTATCTGTTTAAATCAATCAGGAAAGATATTTATGACCCAAAAAGGGGCACAAAACAACCTGATAGAGAACAAGATTATTTGAAGGATTTACTCCCTTTATTCTACCTCTCTAATTGATTGCATATATTAACCTTTCAAGCCGTCCTTAGTGTTATATAGAATTATAGATTATTATTATTGTACAAATTCTTGCAATATCCCAAAACAATTTTTAAAGCTTATTTTGTTTATTACAGTTACTGGTTCAAGCTACCATGGCTGTATATAAAGAAGCTGTAGAGAAGTTTTTACCAACTCCCAGTAAAAGTCATTATGTATTTAATCTTCGTGATTTCTCTCGTGTTGTTCGAGGTGTATTACTATTACCTGCTAGTAACATGCAAGAATCAGAGAAATTGATGAGATTATGGGTACATGAAGTATACAGAGTCTTTTATGATCGTCTTATTGATGATGATGATAGGTAAGAATAGGTTGGATTTAAATCTTCTCATATTCAGTCTTAAATGTTATACTTTGGATCCACTGATTGCAAGGATTTGATATATTGTACAGAAGGGCTTCAGTAATGTCCCATTGAGGTTTGGTCCTTCCCATGGTCTAATTCTTATGCTGACCATTAAACCTTACATCTATGCTTTCTAAGAACACATTGTACCAAATGTTTGTTCAAAGATTATTATAATTAGTGTAAAAGCATTTTGCGGTAAATATCCAATCCATGCTAAGTATAATTGATTATTTGATATTTAATTAAAAAATGCCTGGTTTGATTACAATCGGTTTAAAATGGGGCTGATCAAAAGATTTTAATCAACTCTTATGTAGGTGGCACTGGCTTGTTTATCTGATCTGTAGAGGGTGCCGAAAGATGCAAAATTTTCAATTTATCATATCTGTGTAAATTAAAATACTGAAAGGGGATCCAAATTTTCCAATTTGTACTTTGCAAGGGATTCCAAATCTTTCAAATGACAATGGGTTGCTTTCCATGTTACTTCTCACTTTCTCTTTCTTTATAAACCTGTTGTTACTCCACCATAGTGTGCTTCAAATGTATCAAGAAAATTATAGGTCCAGCTGTATTACTCATAATATAAGCAAATAATTTTCTCGTTTCACGTACACCAGTGAGATTTTTGGACCAAGAACCGGGCCCCAACTGATACACATCTTGTTCTTGAGGGCGATAAAATTTAATGTACAATTAACATGACACTTGGCACGTTTGTTCCTTGGACAATAGCACATCAACTGACAGACTATGATTTTTGATATGAAGTCACAATACCAATATGGCTGGTACTTGTTAACTAAGAAATTCCCTTCATTAGTACAGAAATCTGTAAAATAAAAATTTGTCTTCTTTTCAGATTAACATTTTTTAACATGGTAAAAGAGATGTGTCAGACTCATTTTAAGTTAAGCATAGATAAAGTACTCGGTCACCTTTCTAAAAGTGGTCATGTTGTAGATGATGATGTAAGAAGTTTATTTTTTGGTGATTATATCAATCCCGAGTCTAAAATCTATGATGAAATAACAGACTTGAAGGAGCTGACGTCATCTATGGAACAGTAAGTAAATTAACACGACCTAGTTTCACCTGCTCTATTGGCTATAATAATGTTCATTTCACTAATAATAGTAATTATAGCAGTTTGATATTTGATTACTTCTGAATATCGTATTCGGAGAATATTCAAATTTAGATTTCACTTGTATTTGAATGCATCTTCTGATTCTGCTCTCTTTCATTCTTTCGTATGTTAGTTCATCTTTTTCTGCAAAACATCAACACAAATTACTATCTTTTTATAACAAATTATCATTGGTTTTTTCATTGACCAGTAATATACTGAGATTGTAAAACTAAAGTAAACAGTATTTAAATGGTTCTTTTTTTTTTTTACACAAGATAGAACTCTTCTATTATGCACGATTATTAATTAGTTACAGGCTGTTTGCTGCCAGTAATGCCACTAGGAGCATGGTATATATGTGTTCACTATATATTTATTTCTAGTTATTTGGATGAATATAATACTATGAGTAAAGCACCTATGCACCTGGTTATGTTCAAGTTTGCCATTGAACATATATCTCGAGTTAGTCGAGTTTTGAAGCAAGATAATGGACACGCCCTGCTTGTTGGTAATTACATTTATTCAATTTTCTACTGAAGCTTATATATCGTGTTATGTCTTACTTTTTATCCAATAATTGAAATGATAAAACAAGTATTGATTTGACAAAATAAGCATCGTATTAAAGTCTTTTCATCAAATTTCTATACAAATTTTTTTTTAGGTATTGGTGGTAGTGGAAGACAGAGTGCTGCTAAGCTGGCATCATTCATGGCAGACTATGATTTGTTCCAGATTGAAATTACTAAAAATTATTCTACTAATGACTGGAGAGAGGATCTTAAAAAGGTTAGTCAAATATCAGTATTAATATGTCTAACTTTTGAAGAAAATCACTAATAATAGAGCTAGAATTAAAACTTTTTTTTTTTTAATGGTTGAATAATATTTACTCTAATTAGTTGTAATATTTGGATAGTCTGTGGTTTACACTGGTTTACACTGATAGTCTGAATGCCATTAATAAAATTTGAATTACTAGATTGATAAATTGAACCATCTAATTTTACTCCAGACTTAATGTTTGCAAATTTAATGTTTACCATTTTATTTTCCAGTTGTTATGTAAAGCCGGAACTGAAGGAAAACCAACAGTATTTTTGTTCTCTGATAATCAAATTAAAAATGAATCATTTATGGAAGATATTAGTATGATATTAAATACTGGTGATGTACCTAATATATTCCCATCTGATGAAAAGGCAGAAATCATAGAAAAGATGCAAACAGTGGCTAGAAATGAGGTGAGTAAAACAGATATAAGATTTTGATGTGATTAAAAAAATTTTAATAAGTGGAAATTTGAGGCTCCTTCCACCTCACAAATGCTTCATTATATCTAAAAATTGAAAAGTGAAACATTTCATATTTTATTTTGTTTCCTGTCTATTTGATATCTCCTAACAAAAAGAATTCCATCTATCTGGTAGTATAAGGGGGCTTGGCTGACCGAATAGTTTGTCATTAGTCAAACTGTGGTTTCATTGCCGGTTTGTATGTGAAACCAGTAGGGTTGCCAGTCTAACCTTGTGTGGTTTTTCCAGATTCTCCAGCTTCCTCCCATAACTAAAGACCCCTACTCGCAAGTAAATTATTGAAATAAAATTGAACCATATTATGTTAGTCCTGAAATGACCTAGTGTGTGTTGAGTGGACATTAAACCCCATTTCTCTCTTTCTCTCTCTATGGTAGTATAAATTCTGCATCTTCAGATTTCTGAAACGAAAAATGAGATTGGAAACAATAACCAAACATTGTACAAAAACTTTGACTTATATTATTTCAGGGAAAGAAAATAGAAGCTACGCCACTAGCAATGTATAATTATTTCATTGATCGAGTCAAACAGAATCTACATATTGTTTTAGCTATGAGTCCTATTGGTGATGCATTTAGAAATCGTTTGAGAATGTTTCCTTCCCTTATTAACTGCTGTACTATAGATTGGTTTCAGGTTAGTTCTGTATTTATTATTTTAATATATCAGTACGTATTTCTGTGTTTGTATCCCTACAGATCCCACCATTGTAATATAAATTTATTTGATCTTTCAAATTGTACTGCACCACTTGAAATTACACCAAGATACACCAGCAAATAAGTTTTTTTTTATTAAAGTAACGACGTGTCATTGGCATTTGTCGCTGAAATATAATATTTCTTACGGCTTAATTCCCTCTAATACTCCGATTTATTATTTAACATTTAATTAAGAAAACAAAATAAAAATACCAACACTAGATAATGTCCTGGCTTAGATTTAGTCAGCTTTAAGACAGGCCTGTAATTAAATTTTGATGAACAACAAAATGGCGACAGGCTTATTGCATAGCGAGCAGCATAGATTGATGATATTAAATCACTAAATTAAATTTGTTTTATTTTATGAAGGCTTGGCCAGAAGATGCTTTAGAAATGGTAGCTAATAAATTCCTAGAAGATGTAGAATTAGATGATAAAGTGAGAATAGAGACGGTAGTAATGGTGCGATTCTTTCACGAAAGTGTTCGTCAACTATCTGAAAGGTAAGCAACTGTAAATGAGTCATGCTTAAGTAATTTTAAAAGTTGTTGATAATCATGAAAACACCTTTCCTGTTTTGTTTTTAATTGATTTCATGAATGTAGGAATAAAATAATGATTTATTTATATTATAAAGTGCCTATTACCAGTAATATTATTACTGCACTATGGTGCTGGATTTCAAATATCTTTTAGGGTTTATTTTTATTTATATGAATATCAGATTAGATTGATAATATCTTGTATTTCAGTTATATGGAGATGTTAAGAAGACACAACTATGTAACACCCACCTCGTATTTAGAATTAATTATGACATTTAAGAAATTGTTGGGTAAAAAGAGAGATGAGATAATGTTAATGAGGAACAGATATTTAACAGGTTTAGAGAAATTAGATTTTGCTGCATCCCAGGTATCCATCATGCAACAAGAGTTGACTGATCTTCAACCTGAACTTATTCAGACATCTGCTGATACTGAAAAACTGATGATAAAAATAGAACAAGATACAGTAGAAGTAGAAGCCAAGAAAGAGGTACACATATTTTATTCTTCTGGGAGATTTATATCTGTAACATTACTGCTGGCTCTCCGATACACGGAAATAAAAATTCAATTGAGAAAATGTTAAGTTTTGAATATTTATGTTTGTAGGTTGTAGCAGCAGATGAAGCTGTTGCTAATGAAGCAGCAGCAGCAGCTCAAGCTATAAAAGATGAATGTGAAGGTGATTTAGCTGAAGCTATACCAGCTTTAGAAGCAGCTATATCAGCTCTTAATACATTAAAACCATCAGATATTACTATGGTGAAATCTATGAAGGTAATAATAGACTTGTTGCATAAAATCTGTGCACAAAAAAAAAATGACATTTAATAGAATATTCTTCTCTGACTTCCATAAAAATTTTCGGTTAGCATGATATAAACCTCAAAAATCGTTTCTATGATAGCTGTTTGATCTATGGTATTATTATATGTTATATACATATAATAAATATTATATATTAAATCAAGGGTATATGTATCAATAACATTTTAAAATATGTAAATAATCTTTTATCCACAGTTCAGAACATAAAAAATGTATGTTATAATTCCAGAAAAAAAAAATTATGTAATAGTCCCATAATAAAAAAACATTTCATTGTTAGTTGACGATTATAATTTATATTTGTATTATTTAGAGTCCACCTGCTGCAGTAAAACTTGTCATGGAGTCTATCTGTGTAATGATGGCTATAAAATCAGAACGGAAACCAGATCCAGGTGGATCCGGAAAAATGATTGAAGATTTCTGGGGACCATCTCAGAAATTATTGGGAGACTTGAAGTTCTTGGATCGACTCAAGTCATATGATAAAGATAACATTCCACCACCTATTATAAAAAGAATCAGAGAAAAGTGAGTACACAATATTTCACAAGGCTAGATAATTCTGATTGTGTTTTAACTAAACGGTAGTAATTGTACCTCAAAACTATTTATTTATAATTGTTTCAGTGGATAAAAATTCTATTTTAATTACAGGTACTGTTCTAACCCAGAATTCGAGCCTAACTTAATTAAGAATGCATCTACAGCTTGTGAAGGTTTATGTCGGTGGGTTAGAGCTATGGATATTTATGACAATGTAGCTAAAGTTGTTGCACCTAAAAAAGCCAAATTAGCAGAAGCTGAAGGTGAACTGTCAGTACAAATGGAGAAATTGAATGAAAAGAGGAGTCAGTTACAAGCTGTGAGTAGTATAATCTGTTAGGATTTTTTCGTCCTGGGTAAACAGATATCAAAAAACCCATATGATTTTCAAAAAGACCAAACCCTATGAATTTCTCTAAGACTAAACCTCATTGACAAAAATTTGAATGATCAATTTCATTAGTTTATGAAAGAATTACTTATTATAGTTTCATTTCTTTTTAACTGGATTAAACTATTACATTTGTCTTTGGTAACTGGTCTGTTACAATCTATTTTAAAGTTAATGTTTACGTTTATTTAAAAACTGAAGTAGACTTTTTATTACTTGATTTATTTTTGTTAGGTGACTGATAAATTACAAGCTCTAAATGATGAGTTTGAGGCCATGACACAGAAGAAGAAAGAATTAGAAGATAACATAGATCTGTGTTCTAAGAAGTTAGATCGTGCAGAGAAACTGATCGGTGGATTGGGAGGAGAGAAAGATAGATGGACAGATGCAGCTAAATTATTGGGAGAGAAATATATTAATACTACAGGAGATGTATTGTTATCAGCTGGTGTAGTAGCTTATCTTGGTGCTTTTACAGTGGATTTTAGACAGGTTATTACCTATATTAATCTTAAGATTAGAATTCGAGTAGTAGGGAAGTCATCCAAGCTTTTGCAATGTTGTTTAAAACTTATACTGGCTGAAACTTGACTCCTTTTACCACCTTAAACTGCCCTGTCACGTGCACAGCGGTTGTGCCCTCATGAGTTAGTAAATAGACCTGTAATATGGAAAACTATCCATATACCTTGGGCCGATTGAATCAGTATAAGGAACAACAGTTTTGGTCTTCCACGAATGTACCGGTATTGATATATCACTTTTCTCTAAATTTCTTCAAGGAACTGGTGTAGTCAATATATACATGTGGCAAGTCCTGAATGGTTAATATGCATTATAAAGTTTATAATAAACTGTGTCAGACAATAGTATGGAATCACAAGATCGAAAGTTATTTCACTTACAGGATTGACTCAAATGATATGTCCTAGATTTATATGAATTTGGAAAATAATTCCTTTTTAGTCTGAATATTGTCAATGATAATTATTGATAAAAGTTTTGAATACATACAAGAACTGCACTGTATCTTGTTTACTTATAGATGTCTTCACGTATAAGGTTATTTCATCTCTACATATGAAATTACAGACCTTAAACAATAAGCTTGAGAGTTTTGTATTTTGTTTATTGTTTTGAATATTTATTAATTTTGTAATTATTTTTGAACAGCAAATAACTAAGAAATGGCATCTGTTATGTAAAGAGAAAGAGATACCATGTTCTCAGACCTTCTCTTTAAATTCTACACTTGGTGAACCTGTTAAAATACGAGCCTGGAATATAGCTGGTTTACCTGTTGATTCATTTAGTGTTGATAATGGTATTATAGTATCAAACTCTAGAAGATGGCCACTTATGATTGATCCACAAGGTAATACCTATTTTCAATATTCTTCAAATTTAAATTAACTGTACATTCATTTAAAATTATTAATAGTATAAGCTTAAGTAGATTCAGATCATTGAATTTTAGATAAAGGAGCAAATTCTCGTAGTTTTTGGACCAAATATGCAGCATTGGTGCAGATCACGACACATGAAATAAAATGGGGTTAACTATCTTACTGCTCTGCACTGACTCGACTAATGAAGATGGGCATACGCCGTGCATTGTGCTATGAGGGAAAATTTGCCCTGGCAGTCGCAGTACGGCCTACTCTTTTATATCGTATTCCAATATGCACACCAATGTGTACACGGAACCTTGGTTTTTTTTGTCCCATCCAAACGATTATATGATGTCCCTCAGCATGCCCTCAGGCACCACTAACAAAGTGGTACAATGCTGCTCGAAAATCCTGATTAACTTTCTCGGCCAACACCAGGATCGAAAAAGGGACCTCCTGGTTAGTGAGTCTATGTCTAACTCACTAAGCCACTGCAGCTCTCAGTGTGGATCACAGAACAGTATACTGTGGAAATATTTTTAGCAGCAAATGTATAATTGATAGTTTGAATATATATTTCAATCAGTGGTTATGTATCTATGCTATCAACTTTCAAGGAAAAATATCTTTAATGTGTTTTTTTTGTTGTTGTTATAAAGGTCAAGCAAACAAATGGGTGAAGAATATGGAGAAAGAGAATAAACTAGGCATAGTTAAATTATCTGATGCTAGCTATATGAGAACAATGGAGAATGCTATACAGTTTGGTTCACCAGTGTTATTAGAGAATGTAGGAGAAGAACTGGATCCTATATTAGAACCCATTTTACAGAAACAAACATTTAAAGCACAAGGTGTAGAATATATACGACTAGGAGATAGTGTTGTTGAATACTCACAAGATTTTAAACTATACATAACTACAAGATTACGTAATCCTCATTATTTACCAGAAATCTCAGTCAAGGTAAGAAAAAAGTTACTCTAGTAATATAAACCAAGAAAAACAATCTTGCCAGTTTGGGTGTTGATAGAACTGAATTTGGAACATCTGATACCACTTGTCACTGTACTTATCTAAGGGACTGTGATGCTGTTCTTTTGATGTTAACTTCAAGGGGTCTTGGATTTATCAATGACACTTCTTGAACTGTTATGTTTTTTGTGTCTGTTTTTAGTTTTGCAGTTTTCCTACATGTCTATCAAAAATTAGTACCATAAGCTTACTGTGTTTTTACTAAGTGAGATTTTGACAAGGATTCTCTGTTTAAACATCGCCCATTAATAAATAGTAGTCCATAGAATTATGTCCAATTTTTTTTATATTAGCAAAATATATTGAAGTATTGGTACCACAAATCCACTTCGATGACAGAGACAAATTATTGATCTCTCACTATAAACCTTGATTACTTAATCTGAATGAAGTACAAAATTTATTACAGGTAGCATTGCTAAATTTTATGATAACACCCCTTGGTTTAGAAGATCAGTTATTGGGTATTGTTGCTGCAAAGGAAAAACCAGAGTTAGAGGAAAAGAAGAATCAACTTATCATTGAAAGTGCTGCTAATAAAAAACAATTGAAAGAAATTGAAGATAAAATCTTAGAAGTTTTGTCTTCTTCACAGGTATATATATTTGATAAATGTTTAATTACTGAAAATGTGATTAAAAACAATTTTGCTAATGAAAAATCTGTTTAGTTTTAAAAAGTTGCCTATAGCCAAAGTTGCTATCCTTGTAAAATACAGAAAATAAATTAAAAATATTTCAAACATCACAAAAAATTCTTATTCAAAATATAAAATCGGAATGAGGTTGATACTTATTAATACTCTTTTTTTTCCAGGGTAATATTCTTGAAGACGAAACAGCCATCAAAATCTTATCATCTTCTAAAACTCTATCAGAAGAAATCGAAGCTAAACAAGAAATAGCAGCTGCAACAGAAATAGAGATTGATGAAACTAGAAATGGTTATAAACCAGTAGCTGTTCATTCTTCTATATTATTCTTCTGTATATCGGATCTAGCTAATATAGAACCAATGTATCAATATTCATTAACATGGTTTATAAACCTATATCTTCAGGTATATATATTTTCTTATATATTACCTTGACATCTGAAATTATGAAGGGTAATACCCATGTGTGTAGTATGTCAATACTGTCATTCAAATTTAAGACACGTTGTAAACAAGGCACAGTTTCTGGAGAAGATATGCTTAACATGTGCAATTCTGGTCACTTTTTCCTAGGAAATTATAGAATTCTAACTATATGAGTGTCTTTTCCTAAAACCTTTGTCTTTTGTCTTGTAAAAATGACTTAAAATTTTGATATTTCTTGCCCATGGTGAGAGTGAAAGATAATCATACAATAAGATTCATCATATGAAAAATAATCTTATTTATTTCAGTCTATTGTAAATAGTGTACCATCAGACAATTTAGAAGAAAGAATATTTAATCTCAATGATCATTTTACCAACAGTATCTATCGTAATGTGTGTAGATCATTATTTGAGAAAGATAAACTTCTCTTCTCCTTTGTATTGTGTTATGGAATCATGAAAGGACAGTAAGTGCAGTGATTTAAGCTACATCAATAAAAAAATTTTATGTGCCTACATTTTCATGTGAACGTATATTGTCGCCCCTGTCCATCCTGACGTCCATTCACATTCTTTTGTGGACACAAATTTTATTTGATTTTGATGGAACTTAAAATATAGGTTGATATCACGATTTTAGGTTGTGGATCCTTTGGGGTCACAATTTTTATCTGATTTTGGATTATGGCCCCTGATTGTATACGAAAAATCTTGTTACTAGGTTGTGGGACCCTCTAGAGGTCACAATTTTTATCCAATGTTGATGAAACTTAAAATATATGTTTATATCCAAAAGATCTCGGTTCTTTTTGAGATTGACACATGTCAGACAGTAACATCCTGGATTATGGCCCCTTATTGTATGGAAATTGCTTTTTAGCTTGTTCGCTGTCCATCTCTTACAAAATGACGGTGTATCTTGTATGGCAATCACCTATTCTTAATCAAGGGAAAACAAATAATTGAAAAACAAAGTTCTTGGTTACTCATAAAAGCTTTTGATTCAAATTTTAAGACTAAAGTGTATATATATTCATCAAGAACCAACCCAAAGAACTGAAGATTAAATTGCTTTAGCCTTATCTATACAAAATTTGAATCAGTCTGGAATCTGTAATAATCGGTGTTGCATATTTGATCTACATTATTCTCCATACTAAGTGTCCGATCCTTGTCTATGATTAAAAAAACTTCATTGTTTTGATAGTTTAATATTCAAATATTTCTATGGTTACTCAATTCAAATGATTAGATTTGTGGTGTTTCTATATCTGCCTTGTAATATTTAATTAATTATCACTAATATAAATTGACTATCTGATTTTTAGGGGTAAAATTGACGAAGATGTATGGAGATTTTTATTAACTGGTGGAGTGGCCTTAGATAATCCATTCCCTAATCCTTGTTCTGACTGGTTGAGTGAAAAGGCATGGTCAGAAATAGTACGAGCTAGTGATCTACAAAAACTCAAGGGATACCGACAACGTAAGATATATGTTTTGTTAACTCATTTTAACAAAATGAATTTGAACATTTTTATTTAAAAATACTGTGGAAACCTGTAAATATTGATTTGATTTTTGACTAATTTTAATGTTTTAATTTTCAGATTTCCAGGAAAATACAAAAACTTGGAGAAAACTTTATGATTCTTCAGCACCACAAGATCATAAATTACCTAGTCCATTTGATGCCGTTACTGGTATGGGTAAAATGGTCATACTGAGAACATTACGACCAGATAAAATAGTTCCTGCCGTACAAGATTTTATTGTGGATAACCTTGGACAGTCATTTATTGAACCTCCAACTTTTGATCTAGCTGGTTCATTTGCTGACTCTAACTGTTGTGCTCCATTGATCTTTATATTGTCCCCTGGTGCCGATCCTATGGCAGCTCTTCTCAAGTTTGGACAAGATATGGGGTACTCTGGTCAGAGAATTCAAACTATTTCACTAGGTCAAGGACAGGTAAGTCATTTAAAAACAATTTTATTGTGTGTTTGTTTGTCGACCTAAATACCGAATATATTACTGAATACTGCATGCATCACTGAATATATTACTGAATACTGCATGCATCACAGAATGAATTGTAAAATACTTTCAATACTCTGTTGTGTACCTCAGTGACGTTAGTACAGAAACTTACTAAAGATAGTGAACTTTGTTTTGGTGACAACCAAAAACTTGTCAGTTGTATCAATCAAATTTACAATGTCAATAAAGAACATGCAGGTTTGATGCGTATGCCATTTTACTTTCCAAAGACTGTATTTAGGATTGGCATTGACTACAGTTACTTACATTGAATTTGATGGTGTTAAAGTAAGACACACTGAACAAAAACAGACCTAGTGTTTATTATGTTGGGTAGCAAACTTGGAAAACAACTGTGCTTATGACCTTTCATTCACTAGTAGTATGTGGACATACTGTATAAATAGAGCTAAAAATGGAAGCAATATTATATTATTTTTTCCAAAATTCTATATCTGTATGTTTTTTAAAAGCCTGTTTGAACATTTTTTTTTTTTTTTTTTCAGGGTCCTATTGCAGCTAAGATGATAGAAAATGCTATCAAAGATGGCAGCTGGGTTGTTCTACAGAATTGTCATTTAGCAACAAGTTGGATGCCTAAATTAGAAAAGATTTGTGAAGAGGTCATTATACCAGAAAATACAAATAAAGATTTTAGACTGTGGTTAACTAGTTATCCCTCTGATGAATTTCCTGTATCCATATTACAAAATGGTAGGTTACTCTGTTTGGTATTTTATGAGAATTGATCAGCAAATTATCACTTACTCTCAACTAGTCAAAACATGAAATTACTCTTAAAAGATAGAATATGATTTAAAGTTTAAACATACATTATGCAAATGCTAAATCTGCCTATTGCAGACATTTATTAACTTATCCAAACCATAATCAACTCTTGATGCCATTGCTAGCCAGCGATATTTAGCGGATTGGAATACATTTTGTGAAGGATAATTAAACATAAAAATGGATAATCAGGACTTTGTTTTTTATCATACTGACTTTAGTAATGATGATCAAGGCTAGATCAAATTCAAAAGCTAATATCTCAGTTCAGAGTGGAGCAATTTGACTGACATTTACGTTATCTATTTTTTAACTATTATAGCGAAAGAACTGTCAACTCATTATCTAATCTCCCTTAATGCCCCTTTAATCTGTAAATTAATTTGATCTGCTGTAACAATTTATTATATTTTTTCAGGTGTTAAAATGACAAATGAACCACCTAAGGGATTAAGAGCTAATTTATTACGATCATATTTAAATGATCCTATATCGGATCCAGCTTTCTTTGGTAGCTGTAATAAAGTAAGTAGTGACATAGACTGCATACAGTCCTAACGTATATTATTAAATCAAGCTTTAGTACAAATAAATAGTTCAAATATAAGTTGCTTGCATACAGTTTTGCTTGAAAGACAGCAAGTATGCATATTTTGTTTGATAATTTATTTTGTTTACTGGAGATAGTGAAATTTTCACAATATTGTCAGTGACCTGAAGTTGAATGAAAATACTTGAATATATATTTTATATTTATTTACAGGCCGAGAAATGGCATAAGATGCTCTTCGGTCTCTGTTTCTTCCATGCCATGGTCCAAGAGAGACGAAAGTTTGGTCCATTAGGTTGGAATATTCCGTATGAATTTAATGAATCTGATTTAAGAATCAGTATGAGACAAGTTTTGGTAAGTAACACAAATGTACAACAAAATTATGTTAGCTTTGTGACCTCCTCAGATAAATAAAGAGCTATCTAAAAAGAGGTGCGATACCCTACGTTATACATGACACCTATCAGATAGTTTTTGACTTTGATTTTAAAAACTGAAAGAAGACAAAATCACCTACCCAGTTGTTTAAACACAAACGTAAAACAAAAATTATAGAGATGTGTATTTCAGATTTGTTTGTTTTAAGTAGTTGCAAATTCCTTGTATTCCACAAGATAAAGTTTTAGTTATTTAAGATGAATTTCTTTTCTTTCTTTTTTTAGATGTTTTTAAATGATTATGATGAGTTACCTCTACCAGCTGTAACATATTTAACAGGAGAATGTAATTATGGAGGTCGTGTAACAGACGACAAAGATAGACGTCTGCTTATGTCACTGCTATCTATATTCTATACAGAAGAAATAGTCACTGATGACAACTACAAGTAAATATATAATCTTCATGGCATTCGTTTGGTGTCTTTAATTATGTTTTCTTGCATTTCTGTTATTCTATTAAATTTTTGTTTGAAAAAAAAAATTGAAGTGCCCGGGTTTTGCTTATATCTCCGAAACCAGAAGGCCAACACCGTACCTAGCCTATGTTACTTCCCAGTCCATGCTACCCCTATACACCAAATTTCAACCTAGGAACAACCCTAGTGTATCTGCCAACCCTGAACAGACAAACAACAGTCACAAATATTAGTATAGATTTGACTAAATATATCGCGATTGAAAGTCAAAATTTTCACCAAAGACAGATTATTATCCCTCAAACAAATCAAAGAAGTCCAATCGAAGAAGTCTGGTCATTTCAATCGTATAGATATTGACCCATCGTTACCGGAGGGTGGATGGCCAAATGGTAAGCTCGTGCATGCTGTATCATAAGGTCTGTCATTGAGTCAACTGGTGTGGTTTCGATTCCCCGGTTGTACGTGACAAGAAATAGGGCCGCCTGTCCAACCTAGTGGGTTTTCTCCGGGTCTTCCAGTTTCCTCCCACTGCTAAAGACCCCTACGCGCAAGTGAAATGAGTCCTGAAATGACCTTGTTTGTGTCGAGTGGACATTATTCCACATTATTTTTACTTAAATGTGGCCATATAGTAATGATGTTCTATAATTTGGTTCTTTACTTCAGGTTCTCTCCAACTGGTTTGTACTATGCTCCTAAAGAAGGAAATTATAATTCTTATATAGACTATATTAGAACATTACCAATGATACAGAACCCTGAGGTCTTTGGTTTACATGAGAATGCTGATATTACTAAAGACAATCAAGAAACACAAACGGTAAGTAACTGTTTTAAAATTGAACCTCCAAATATCTATGGTACTTACTGTTTTACATAAATGCTGCACAACTAACTCAGTTGGGGACTGAAATATTTTACTAGCAGTTTAAATAGTCAGCCCTGCTGGTTGTCTGGTACATTCATAGAATTGAACCATCAATCACATCCAAATCTGCAAATTAGAAAAGAGTATTTGTTTAAAATAAAAGTAGTCTGACTGTTGAATAAATCAGATTACTACATGTTTATTATCAGAAATTTATATATTGTAAGAAGGGAAATTAATGCTACCTGATTTTCACAATATGAGTCATGGTGACTCAGTGAGTAAGTACTGGTTCATTAACCAGGAGGTCCTGGTGTTTATCAAGAAAGTTATTAAAGATTTTATTTTTCAGCGCCAGTTTCTCCTTGTCAGTGTTGCATTACGGAGGGGCTTGGAAGGGACAATGTCTAGTCGTTCAGATGGAATGAAAAGACAAGGTTCCATGTATACATTTTTGTGTACTGTAAAAACACCCTCAACAGTTGGAGTTAGATAAATATAGACAGAAAAATCACTGTTCAAGCAATATTTCTCTCAAAGCACACCACATGGCGTGTGTAGTTTTTATTAGCTCGGTCGGTGCAGGAAAATAAGCCGTTAATCCCCAGTTAATTCCATTTATGTTTTTTACAATATATTAAATGGTTAAGAATCGTTGATATTTCTGGTATTTCCTTCTGTAAAGGCACAGTTGATATGTTTGAGTGGAGTTTATTGGGAGGAATAGATAATAAATGTTTTAACTTGTATGTTTCAGCTGTTTGACAGTATATTGTTAACATTACCTAGACAATCTGGTGGTGGTGGTAAATCATCAGGTGAAGTTATACAGGATCTTGCTGCTGATATTTTGAGTAAATTACCACAAGATTTTGATGTTCCTTTTGTAAGTTTCCTCTTACCATTTTTTATAAAGATCATAATGGATGTGACACAAGCTAATGCATTTGAACTCAGGAATAAGAAATTATCTAAGGTTTAAAGTGCACTGAATACCCAGATTTCAATAGGGTTGTCAATTCAAGTTTTCTACCACAAATTCAGCATCAATTTTTACTAATCATATAAAATAATTTCCATCAACAAATGCTTGGTGGCTTAAACATTTATTGGGTCTTAGACATTTATTAACATGACAAGACCATAATCAACTCTCGATTCCATCACATGGCTCTGATTTTAAGTAGATTAGAAAGGTTCAGCCATTTAATGATTTAATTTAAAAATGGTTGAGTGAGTCTCAGACGCAAATGACTAGTACTGTGGTTACGATCAATGCACACATCTTGTCAAAACTACAACCATTGATAATTTGGCTAAAAATAAAGTAATTTGAATGTAATTTTCAATATATTTATTTTGCATTATCTATTTTTAAAATAGTATGGCAAGAACAGCCAGCTCTTAATCTAAATCTTACATTTACATTAAAAATGAAAGGATTAAGAAACAAAATTTATCTTACTTCTTAAAACTAAGGTACACAGAAATAAAGACAGATAGAAAATTTAAAATAACTGACAGTTGTTAGATATTTACTGTGCCCTATAATTATCATCTGATGTTTTGTTTTTTTATTTGCAGGTGATGAAGAAATATCCTGTCATGTATAGTGAGTCCATGAATACTGTCTTACGTCAAGAACTTATTCGATTTAATCGTTTAACTGCTGTAGTAAGATCATCTCTTCAGAATCTACAGAAAGCTATTAAAGGTTTAGTTGTTATGTCATCGGAACTAGAGGAGGTTTTTAATAGTATGTTAATTGGTAAAGTACCAGGAGTATGGGCATCGAAATCTTACCCTTCATTAAAACCACTTGGTAGTTATGTTACAGATTTGTTACAAAGGTAATGAAAATATTTGATTAATACTTTATATAAGTGGACAATAACAAATATTGTCATGGGCAGTTGTTTCTATATGCCCATCAATTCACAATTCTTATAACCACTCTGCATCAGTTTTTTTTTTATTCAAAGTTACATGATGGGATTAGCAACCCTATGGAGTTGTGCATGTTTTTTATTGAGAGTGGGCATATGTTCTTGTATGGGAGGGAGCCACAGTGGCTATGTGGGTAAGACGTTGGCTTGCTAGCCTGGAGGTGGTGGGTTCGATCAGGACTTTCCGGCGTTGTTTCCCCTTGTTAGTGGTGCAGGAAGGATGGCCTGACAAGGACAGCTATCTAGTCATTCAGATGGGACGACAATCTGAGGTCCCGTTACACATTGGCATGCTCGTAAAAATCTCTTGGCAGTTGGAATTTGACATAAGAGTAGGCCGTAGCACTGCTAGTGCTGTCCATGCAAAATTTCCCACATGGCACACTATATGGCATATGCCTGTCTTCATTAACCCAGTCGGAGCAGAACATTTCTTTTATGGATTTTATCAAAATCCAAGGAATTATTCTTGAATCTGTACTGTATCTTTAGATTATGTTTCTGAAAGCTATCGATTCAGTTGAATTTCAGTTAATATTTAATCCCACATGATTAGGATTCATTTATTATTGGTTAATAATGGTACATGTATTCTCATTTTGTAAAGACAAGTGTTTTTAATTATTTGTCTGTTAGGTTGAAGTTCTTTAAAGACTGGATTGAACATGGAATGCCGAGTACATTCTGGCTATCAGGATTTTATTTTACTCAATCTTTCTTAACGGGTACGTATGTTTTAATTTCAATACACAAATGACTGATATATAAGACACTTTCATTTTTCTGACAGTATCTCATTTTTCAGGACTTAGCCAACACTGATAGGTGGTGAAAGCTGATTTATATTGTCCACTGAATGTTGCCAAATTTTCAATTCTTTTCTTTGTGAATGCTGAATGGAATTGAACCATTTTTAGACTAATTTCTTTTTTAAGATTACTGGAATTAAAAAAAAAACTATGTACATTGTTTTGTATAAGTTTTCATAGAAAAAGTAAATCTATATATCCAATTTGATTTGGTTACAGGTGTGTCACAGAATTTTGCCCGTAATACGAAGATTCCTATAGATTTAGTTGGTTTCGAATTTGAAATAACAAAGGAAGAAAAAGAAATGACAGAAAAACCACAAAATGGTGCTTATGTTTATGTAAGAAACTTTTATATTTATTACCTATTTAATACCTTCTTTTTTTTTCAAAAGCTTATTATGAAATATTGTATGACAACAAAATAAGTTCATTAGATGGTGATTGTGCTCCAATATATATACAGATGGTGATCGAGTAGTCATCTCAAGTATATTAGATCTAAATATTACCATTGCCAGTCATTACGTCAGTTATTTACTCAAGTTATAAAGTGCTAACATTTTTAAAGGAGACAAATTTTTATAATAAATTTTAAATTAAATAAACATCATCATGTTTTTCATTTTAAAATTTTAATATTTATATACATAAAGGTATGGGATATTTGTTTTTACTTGATTAACATATTTGTGGTATTTGTTTTGAATTGATGTATATAATATTTATTTTTTGATAGTTATTTAATTTGTCTCACATGAATCACCATATGTTTAGCACAATATAGCCCTGTTGGTGCTGACATGCCATTAAACAACATTTCATTCATTCATTAGATCACAATTATATTTATTAATAGCCTACATCAATGATTAAAATCAGGGGTTTATTGAAGTATACTTAAACTAAAATATTTTAAGAATTCCGCCTTTTCATTAGCTTGAACTAAAATATGTACAAGGAATTTATTTAACTTCTAGCCAAGACTTCAGTATTGTCTAGTGTGCATGCCCATGAATTACTCTTTACAATTTTGTATTTTTAATTGACCCAGATCAAGTAAATGATTTTATGCAAATTGGTTACTTTTTCAAGGAATATGATATGATGTACCGGTAGAAATTTTTAATAGAAATAGATTGAATTTGAGTATTTGATGCATTGTTATTATTATCTATTTTCAGGGCTTGTTCCTGGAAGGTGCTAGGTGGGACAGAGAAAAAATGTGTATTGGAGAATCTCACCCTAAAATGTTATTTGACTCCATACCTGTCGTATCCTTTTACAAATATCTTGAATTTATTACAATTTTTACTGGTTTTAAATTTACATATCATTTAATAATAAAGCAAACAGTTGTCAAGGGGAGAATATAAATGGTAAACTAAAAACGTTTTTGTTATAAAGACTTTAAAATCAAGGGTTAGACATAATCTTTGTAATTGTCTTGCTTTTGGTGATCAATCTTAACCAGTTTGCAAGCATAGTTAAAGGAGAAGTACAGCTGTTCAAGTTACTTCATATTTTATTCATTTTCTAGTATTTAATCCTAGCTGCTCAACCCAAAGTACAAATTGAATAAACATGCTGACTGTGACCTCTTCTGGGTATCTATCATCCACTGTAAACAAAGCTATCTTAGTGTATATGTCAACAGTCACATGGTTACAATGCATAAAGATTTGGTATATATAGCAATTGCACATGGCTTTTTTTATAAACAGTGACAAACTGTTCTACCCTAATAACATAACAGTTTGCATCTTTGTTCATTAAAGGCCAATTGATTTCTACTTCAGGTTCTGTGTTGTGGAAACTATTATAATAGCAGTTAAAGAATAAAATATAAAGTATCTACAGTGACTTCTTAATCTTGATTTGTTGTCTTAAACATTCAACATTTATTTTATTTCCTTGACATAGCTTTAGATATTGTTGAAACCTAATAAAACAGATGAATTTAAACCAGTACAAAGTTATACGTGTCCAGTTTACAAGACAAGTGCTAGACGAGGAACACTGTCCACAACAGGTCACTCTACAAACTTTGTTATGATGATTAAGCTACCATCAGATAAACCTGAGTCTCACTGGATTAACAGAGGTGTTGCTGCGCTTTGTCAATTAGACGACTAATTTTAATCTTAGATCGTCAAACTTTTTATATTGATATTCTTTTTGCATGCATTTTTTTGTCTTTATAGAGTTAAAGTGCTGGATAAGTAATTTATGATTTTTAAACTATTACATGAAAAGTTATACCATTAAAATGAATCTTTATAATGTACCATAGTTTTCAAATTTCCAGCCAAAAATGTTAAATTGTCAGATTTTCAATATTTGTATTTGGCACTGCTCGTTTAATTTGATTGCCAGATTTTAAAAAAATGGAACAGCATTAATACTTGAAGCATTATACCACAATATGTATAAAACCAACTTTAATTGTATATAATTTTGCGATTTGTATAATAATGTATTTATTGGGATCAATGTTATCATTAGCTTGTGTTTTTTTCCGTCCAGTCAAAAGCTATCATTTTATATTTAAGCTTATATATATATATATATTTTTTTATGCAAGAATCCCTCCCTTCCTGTGATATATCCCAAAGTAGTAAGTGTCAATCATTCCTGCCATCTAAACACAATATACAACACAAGGCTACATTTTTTCTTCTAGAGGTAATTCAAATTTGAAAGCTGTAATTTCATACAATAAATATGGCTTAATTTAATTTGATGATATATTGCATTAAACTGTATATTTGTGGGCAAAGCTTCTTGATCTTAATGTTAAATGTCTGGTAAGATTGACATTTCTGCTGTTATATAATACTACTGAACATTTATGCTAGTTTAAGAGTTAGCCAATGGAAGTTAAAGAAACATTCCAATTCTAAATAAAAATTGTAAATAGAGTAATGTATATTGCCATGTTTTTGTTATAGTGAAATATCAAGTATATTTATTCATCCCGATTCCTGAACGTTTGTTATCAGTATCATACAACCCCAGTATTATTTCATACCCTCAACTTTTATATATAGTATTTATTTTATAAACTAGTATATGACTTGATGTTAAGTTTTTTTATAACCTCTATATTTATTCTATCAACACCAACGTGTTATTTTATTAAATCTGTGATATAGATTGTGAATAATAAATGTTTTGATGTGTAATAAACAGACTTTTGTCTGATGATGCAAACATGTAATTTTTTGGTGCTTTTTTTCAAATTTCTTCAATGACAGTGGACTCTCCCTTACCACAGGAAAGAACTAATCATAGATTTTACACATTTAGTTAATCCTGTTATCACCTATGATACTTTTGTATTTAAGATGTGCATCTCAAATTGTCTCTTTGGTGTGCATGTTTAAATAAGCAGCCTCGTCCTCAAGATGTCATTACCATCTAGGATTGGTACAATCATCTCAAAACCCTAGCTCAGTCCTTTGTGCTGACCAGAATCAACTAATTCTTTACTAACTGGTATTCTTGACAAACAGGTTTCAAGCTGTGCTGCTTACATTGTAACTAAATCAAGATCACACATCATCCCAGTCTTAAACAAATTATTGGATGTACCTACCTATAAATATCTAACAATGTGATTCTGTGTCCGTTTATAAATCCAAAGTGAAAACTGTGTTACATAGTCACTATTTTTTAAAAAAAGAAATAAACTAGCTGACAAATATTTCAATTTGAATAGTGTAAGTAGTTAATTGTTTTACACGATGGTGAGTGCTATTATTTAGTAGATGATCCACTGCCAAAAGATTTTCGGGATGTCTTTTTTTGCTAACCTCCATGAGTATAGGAGTATAAGACAAATCCCGGATTTCTGCTGAAAAAAGTGTTGACTCATACCCCGAACAATATGGTAAAAAATATGGGTCAACATTCTATCGTATTACAACACATAATTTTGTAGAAATATTACTGACATAAATTTGAATACCATACAGGAATTAAATATGAAAAATAATGAGGTGCACCTTTTTTTTTTATGACCTACGAATTTGGATTTTTTGATGACATGATTTTTAATTGTGGTCTGAAAGCGCCTGCTTAATTAATAAGAGTTATGCTCCTTTCGATCAAAATGTCCGACAAGAAAAATTTTGAAATTCCAACACTGCTCCAAAGTGAGAAGATTTTCTTGTGCCTAGATCATTCCCTAGTGGATTGAATAGTTGAAAAGAAACAAATATTATTATTAGATACTTTTTTGGCACTGATATTGAACTTTTAAAGTGTAATTTCAGTTCAGGTATATATGTAGTGTATAGTACCGCCATCCCAACTTTCAGGTAAAAGACAAAAGAAATAATATAAAAAATGTATTTTATATAAAAAAATATTACATATTTTAGAAAGGAATGTACAAACATTTGGAAATGATTCACAATCTGCTGCTTTAGTGGGGGAAAGTGTCTTTTAAAATTAAATCATACCTCATGAAAACTATCACTCGTGTTAAATTTGGTGTTTAAATTTATAAATGATACCTTATAAATAACTTGCCTATATAAAATTATCCATTAACTTTTGAATTTTGAAGATCATTTCCAAATAACCAATACAATGCATAGATAAATCAACAGTTCATTAAACATTCACAACCATACAAAAATAAAGGTTTAAAATAAAAAGTTAAATATACACATGTCTAATAAGAGACCCGCATTAGGTTTTATTATAAAAGATTGGTTGATTACAGTTTTTAGTTTAATAATTCCTAATCCATTTTATAATATCAATGATTATATACCATCACCCTCAAATATTCATCATTCTGGGAATATGTGGCTGAATATGGTGAAACCAGAGACTGTAAAATGAATATACATGTATTATCTTTTTGTTGTTAATGGGATTCAAATTCAATGCGGGCCAACCATTTATGTTAATGTAAGTGCCAAAGATATGAAATAATTTTTTAATTTTGTTTATACTAAAAAACCATTCACACAACACAATCAACCTCATTCATCATTTGCTAATTATAAAGGGAATATTTATCTAATATTTACAATATTATGTCGGATCATACATAAACTAATTACAACTTCCATTATAGAAAATGATATGTTTTGATATAATGGTGGCATAAAGCAGATAGTAACCTGCACATACAAAAGTTATTAAAAAGATATAATTTGCATAAAATGCAAAAATATTTATATGTATTTACAAAAGGCAATAAAAATGGCGATATGATGAATCAGTAATTATCTTTTTTCAAATCTAAAAACCAAAGTGATTTATACATCTGTGCTTATATATTCCACAGCTAAATAACGATTCAAAAGCAAGCAAATTTGTACAGATTTTCTTTCATAAGCCTAAAATACAGGGATTTAATTTAGTAATACAATTATGTGTACTTGCTTATAGCTTACAAAAAATTACAAATAAACAATGTTCAATAAAAATGGATGAAAAAGGAATGAATAGCTGTCATTGTGAAATATTTAATTTATAATTTCTGATAAGTAATTGCCATGATGTTACAGAAAACGGCTAGGATTATACTGAGGGATAATTTTCCAACTCCATTACAACCATCTTTATCTTCACAATAACACGTCTCTCTAAAAACACCAGTATAATCCCATGACCATCTACAACCCCATGCAACACCTGAAAATACAAGTAACACTAGGTAAATATTTTCTATTTTTCAGTTATTTATTAGTACTAGGTTGAAACTGAATAATGAAATAAAATCTTAAAGATGATTCTTTTTTTTTTCCACTTTATTTCATAGAAATCTAACACACTGTCACTATAAAAGAATCATCAATTTATTGGATGATATTTGATGTGTTAATGGGTAGTGCGTTTTTCATTTTTTACACTTCTAATCTTGGGCTTGGTATTTGCAATATGCTAACGAAAGGATTTGCACTCATTGAGTATTGTATCCCTGAAAATTCAATGGATGGAGAGCATGCTCTTAAAGAACAGTTGTCAAACACCATTTTTCTGCAGCTGATTTTCATTGTGTAATCACAGAAATGATGTACAATATGGAAATAGCCAAAACACTTATGACCCAAAACAGTTGACAGACCTTAAGTGAGATGGGCCAAAAATGCATAAAATGATAAATATGAACCTGAAACTCACTATAGATTTATATTTTTAATCATATTGTCCAATGCATATTGTTATGACAACTGTTTCAAATGAGCTTAGGGTGTTTTTTTAACTCACCAAAATCTGTTCTTGATCCACATCGTCTAGTTATTTTCTTCCATCCTCTCCCTAAAATTAGGTAATATAAAATGTATTATAATGATGAAATAATGGCAACTAAAGTTTACTAAACTAAATATACATATTACTAGAAATTATTCACATTTTATTTCATGTCCATGCCAGACAGTGTAACTCCACTATATACAGGGATTATCCACAGGGATTTAATTTTGCAGCTTATTTTATGATTTGAATTGCAACACAAATATTTGTTAAAACTTTTGTATATGCAGATATTTCTACTTACATCCTGGGCTCTCTTGAATAATTTTCATACAAAACTGACCAGGAACATTGGCCTCAAAACTGTTACAATCAACTAAAGCATTGACATAACTATCAAATGATTCTTCAGCTGGACATGATATATCTTCATTACTATCACACTGAAAACATTGAATACAATAACCTGAAATGAAAAACAAAATATAGTATTATAAAACATTATAAAAAGTTATTAAATACAAAAATCGGAAAACCTAGCAACATTACACAAAGGGGAGAGGGTATATAAATATTTTATACAATTTTTCATTCAAAATTAACATAATGAGGTAGTTCTCAGAGATTTTTGCGTTAAAGTGCATATTTAATCAATAATTCGGGGCAAAGAATTAACTCCTTCCTAATCTTTTGGAAGTTCTGAATGCCTATGTCTGACAATCAAATGTATGAAGCTTCAACTTGGCCCCATGAGTATCTCTGATAATGAAAGCATTTCAACATGAACTATGGTTTTATTTCTGGGCAAATTTTCAATCCGAACCCTAACACCAATTTACTTCTACGTGCACTGTCATGGATATGTTTACCCTAGTTGAAGACTATTAAAAACGACCTCCTGTAAATGGGCAATGGAAGTGTTATTAATTTCTACGCACCTGTTTTTCCAGTTTACACACATCCGTATTTCTAATTGTTCGTTGAACGGTACATTGTAAATTAGGCAACGGTATATAGGCCTAACGATATACATTATCAATGACTTCAATTGTAAAAAGGAATTCTTGTATCTGAAATGACTGTTATTTTGCTTTGGAATACAGTAATTCTCAGCAGGATTAAGCTCTGACATCATTTCAAACAAACTGGATTTGTCAATTCAACAAACCTACCTGATAACGAAAACGGTTCATATTAAATATATGATAGGTAAAAATCTAAATACCTGTAGAGATCAAAGATAGAAATAATATAGTCATAAACATCATCATGGCTTCGGACGCCATTATGGCGGTCTCTTTTGCTTTTGTCACTGGTGGTGGCGCTGTCATCAAAGTCACATTCCTTCGATTAGATTTCAATTTAAATTTCTTTCACCTGTGCGCGACACAGGTAAATTTTGCTAATCTAAAACGACAGGATCTGGTTTTAATACCAAAATCAGTCTAATATACAAGTGAGAATACGTTATTATTATAAATTCAATTTAGGGGTGAAACGATGATATTTTGTTAAAAATATTCTTGTTATTAGTCACAAAAAATTGACACGCATGCGTCGCTTGGTGGGGCTCTAACGGGGTTGACCGAAATTCTCATGCCTCACTTTAAAAACTATATAAAAAAAATTGATTCTATAAGTAAGAAAGCAATGACACGATTAAAATATTTTCCGTTCCATGACAGGGGAGTCTTTATATATTGTGTACTTAATTAGAAGGTTTATAAACAAGTGGGGAGACACTTTACCATTTAAATAATGATAATCCAATCATTTTGTTTCACATTTCCAGATAATTTCGCAGCTTCATTTACGTTGGATGTTTTATGTTATTTTTTTTATTCAACCGTCAAAATTATCATAAAAATATTCCTAAACAATATAAACCTATTGCTGGTCGAAGCGGAGTGGTTGTTGGTTTTTCAATTTTTGCCCATTTAAAACTCCAACGTGTCAGAATAATTAAATTTAGGATGTAAAAATCTGGTCCGAAAATAAAATTGTTCTGATCGATCAATTCTAAATTAAAGATGCATTATTTAAGACTTAAATCTACCTGTTGCAGGGTTGGGTTGTTTGGGTTTTTTTTGGTTTTATTTTTATATTAAATTGGCTTCAAATTTTATATACATTATTGTTTAGACATTTATTTGCATGACAAGCTTATAACTAACACTCTAGACCATCGGATGGCGGAGATTTAAACACATTGAAATATGATCGATTGAAATAATGATTTAATTAAAAGAAACAATGGAGAAGCTAGTAACCTTGCTATAATAAACAATACATGCCACATCTTAACAAAATGTCAAACAGTGATAACTTTGCTCAGAATAAAGTAATTTAAATGAAATTTTCAATATCTCATTTTTCATTATCTTTTTTGAAATGTTATAGCAAGAACGACCAGCTCCTTATTTAAATCTTACATAATGTATCTTTAAGTTATGGTTATTTAAATTTATATTGGTTTCTATAACATTGATTTCACATGTGTTTATACCCCACCCCTACAATTCTTTTTGTCATGTATTTATATTGTTTGAATATAACTTTATAAACCTATAACGGCAAATCTCTTTGTCGGGGGGCATGGGGGAGGCGGCTTTGGATATACGGGAAACTTGGGGTTATTTTTCTGAAAGTTTTTCTTTAAACCTGTAACGGGTTATTCTTTCAGGGTAGGTTTTCTTCTCATAAGAAAACATGATATAAGGTTTTTCTTACGGGATTTCTTGGATATTATCATTTTGCGTACATGTAAACATAGATAAGCAAGATAAAGTCCTCGACTTCGGTTATGCTGGGGAAGAAAGACTTCAGAAAAAAATCTTCGACAGAAAAAAACTTGGACTGCTGGCCTTCGTTTTTCTTTTTCTCGGGTTATTTTCTTCAGTCTTTCTTTCCCCAGCTTTATCCTACACATCGAAACTGCTATCAGAAGCTTGTTGGCTCGGATGAAGACCTAGAAAGTCCATCAGGATTTCCGGCTGAGGTTTCTGCTTGTCAGGTGCAAAACACGGGGCATGACATTGACAAAGAAAAGCGTGTCGTCGTTCGGATGGGACGAAAACTGAGGTTTGCCTGTGTACATATTGGCAAATGTCTGTCTTGGCACGGAAAATTAAGAAGTTAAACCCCATTTCTTTTCCAATCGAAAATTATATTTTTACCACAGGCGAAGACCCTTAAAGCCATGATGCCTCTTCAAGCTGGTGAAGTACAAATTATTTATGGATTGTTGATTCATTGAGGGCAGTATGAGATTCATCGTTAAGAGTGGAGTTATCTCCATGATCATGTTTCAACTGCTCTCAGAGCTTTTGAAGGTGATGCAGAACATACTTCATTGTGGGATTTTAAAAGATAAGTTGCCAGTCAACAATATATAGCAGAACTTCAGCATTTAGAGCTCCACAAGGTTTTTCAAAGTGATCAAGGGGCTTTAACTCTGAACAATTACCAGAAATCATTGACATTCATCAGACTTCTTTATCAGAAGAACAAAAGAAGTGTGTGTATCTGAGTTTCAAGTCACTCAAATTATTACTATAGCCTTTAAAGTATCTACAAGTAATTGTGGACAAATGACCCATGCTTTGACAATAATTTAAACCCACATTTAAATGGATTTTCTGCAGAGTTTGTTGACACGGATTTTAGAGTTAGCACCCTCAATGTTTTACTCTTTTTGCAGTGAACAAAATTGTATCCCAACAAGAATACACACAGTTAAAGAGTATAAAAATATTTATATCAAAAATTTAAAATGTTATTTACATTGAATGGTTATGCTATTAATATGATTTGATTGCTGAAACGAATAATTTATAATCCCATACATAATATTTTAATAAAGTGATATATGTGGGAAAAGGTAAGACTACATGTATACAGTTAAAAGAAAGTGATGCTATACAATCTTCATGTAGGATGGATTATAAAAAAAGGAAAAATGTATAATCAACAAATGTTATATGTACATAAAAATAATAAAATGAAATTAATAAATCTTCAATTTGAAAATGTCCCAATTATTAAAAAGTTTAAAAGAATTGTTGCTTTTTAATGGTAAGATCTGGACAAAAACATTCACTCATCAAATTCACACACTTTCAAACAAATATATTTATTAAGAATCACAATTTTGTTAATGCACTATAGGCTGCAGTACTTAAAAATGTCATTATTAATGGTGTTGCATAGTTAAAACTGTGTGTATTGGCACTGTTACAGCCATCTTGGTTGTCACAATGGCAATATCGTAATTTCACATTATAAGTGCCAACCCGTTCTTTACAATCACGACCTTCTCTTGGGCCTACATCTCCCATTTCGGCACACTGTCGAACATATCTTACATCCCACTGACCATCATAGTACACTGAAAATAAAAATAACATACCTCATATTAATTTATAAAATAAAAGATTGTTTATTTCAAAAAGGAATTGGTGTTAGTACAGTCACTATTATTAAATTGTATGATCTCTTACATACGCTTGCTTTTGTCATTAAAAAAAAGAAGTGAAAGTGTACATTATGCCAGTGAGAATATAGTAAAGGTAGTTGCTTTCCAACATTAAATAGTTTTCAATAGGCAATGTGTTAAGGATTGCACTGAATATAAGCATCCTTTCAAATAGAACTGTTCCATGTATCTTTTTCAAGAATTGTTTACATTCTTGAGTTATATTCCTTGTCATTGTAAACATTGTGCACCCAATTTTTTTCTAAAATTTATATATCTATGGTTTATCTTTAAAAAAAACCAACACCTCATTTAAGGAGTTCAAAGTGCTAATGAACTCTTGTTCTACTGTTCGAGCCACAGTGTTAAATGAGTAAGATGCTGGCTTCCTAGTTTGGAGATCTCGGGATCTCTCCCGGTGTTGGTCAAGAGATGTTCATTGGGATATTCAGGTGTGGTTTCCCCTTGTCAGTGGTGCAGGACAGAGGGCTTGACAATGACAGCTGTCTAGTTATTTGGATGGGATGGAAAACCATGCACATAAAAGATCCCTAGGCAGTTGGCTTTCAATGTAAGAGTGGGCTGTAGTGCCGCTTTCCGGGCAAAATTTCCCTCATAGCACTCTGCTCATCTTCATTAGCCCGGTCCTAGCAGAACAGTAGGATGTTAAACCCCATTCCATTTCATTTCATTTTGTTCTACTGTTGTATTTAAATGGCTGGTTCTACCCAACAACCTTTGGTCTCTAAAATCTAGATCCATTTAACATATAGTAATGGGTGTTATGCATAGGCAGCATATGCTTACTGTTACTACAACATCCAATACCATTTTTATTTGAGGAGTTTACATTGACAACACACTTTTGTAGTTTATGTAGCACTGTTGTTGAAATTAGACTAGTATTTTCTATGATAAAATAGTACCGGTAATAGACTAAATCTTTTTTTGTTTTTCTTGATATTTGGTGCCTCTCAGTCAATATGACAATGAATTACCTTCTTGAACAATTTTTCGGCAAAGATTATGGCCTGATGGACATTCTGTTAAATGTTGCGTGACGTTATCAAACCAGTCAGCACAGTCAGCTTGATGATAGGAATTACATACAAAACATTTTAAGGCTGATCCTGCAATATAGAAGAAAAAGAACAAATGTCTCGTACTAGGACTAATAAATGATTTTATAGTTGTAGTGAGAGGCAAGTGTAGGACAGAGTTAAGGATTTGGAGGGATTCTTCAGATAAATAAGTACATAGAGGCTAGATACCCCATTTTGTCCACAACTCATTACCTGCGCAGGGTATACAGGTTAGGGTACAGGAAATCTATAACTGTTAGAAATATTTGGAGGACTGACAAGATATAAATTAGCTTTAAAACAACTATGGTAGTAGCCATACAATCTGAATAGTGCCCCCCCCCCCACACACACACACTATACATGTAGCTCATTCTGCAATTCTTATCATGACAACAAAATATATGTTATTTTTTTTTAGACAATATTTTCTGTCTTCAAACAAGAACAAGTTATCGATATATATACATGTAGGCAGATATACAAAAGCATATATGTTGTTAAACTGTACATCAGTGTTCACAATGAGTAATCCACTATTCAAAACTATTTTCGGTGGCCATGTTGCATACTGTGAGATAAGGAAAGTTAAGTCACCGCTTCGATCATTTTTGAACTAATTTCACAAAATATGCTCAAATCCCAGAAATCGTTTCAGTTTATTCATGAAATAAATATTCAAATATTAATATTTACCTGTATCTAAAACAAATATAATGGCCACAACGGCCACACCAACTGCTATTAGTGACTTCATCCTGTCTCGCGCCGTTGCCCACCTGAGCAATAACTCAATCTAGGTCAAAGACAATACAGGTAAACTGTCCTCCTTAAATGGGGCTCTTTTCGGGTTGAGGGACGGAGGTGCATGTTGATTTCTGAGTCATCTAAAATGTATATAGAAATATATATCACGTAATAAAATAGTAATAGGAGAGGGGTAATCCTAGCCTGTTCCTCAATCCTCAAACCGGAATAGGTCTCCGTATCTTAAACGGCAAACTATCTAACACATGATTAGAAAGGGTTTTAAAAAATCAAAAATAAAAAACGAAAAAAAATCAAATTGACTGCATGTAGACACGTTTATATTCTTGTGAAAAGTGAGGTTGGATGACCGAATGGTTAGTGCCTGTATGTTGTATCATATGGCCTGTCATTGAGTCAGTTGGCGTGTTTCGATTCCCCGGTTGTACGTGACAATTGAGTAGGGTCGCCTGTCCATTCTCGTGTGTTTTCTCTGGGTCCTCCGGTTTCCCCCACTGCTAAAGACCCCTAAGCGCAAGCGGATTATTGAAATAAAATTGAACCATATGTTAGTTCCGAAATGACCTATTTTGTGTCCAGTGGACGTTAAACCCCATTTTACATAAATGAAATACTCTGCCTGAAAAAAGATATTGCATTTCATTTCTGTGAAATGTTTGAAAGTCAACATAACGGGCGGTTTGAATCAGTATACAATAGTTAATACTCATTTAAAATGAAATGGTGCGATGAGAGAAATCTGCCCTGACAGCGGCGCTACGGCCTACTCTTACTGAATTCAAACTGTCATGGATACTTTTACGTGCACGTCAATGTGTACACGGGACCTTTGTTTATCGTCCCATCCGAACGACTAAACAACTGTCCTTGTCAGACTCTCCGTCCTGCACCAAATGACAAGTGGAAACCATGCAAGTCGGAAAATCCCTAGGAAATTTCTCGTCCAACTCGGTCCAACACCGGGAGCGAACCAATACACATATAAACCACAGCGGTATATTCTGTGATCACTTGAATGAATGTAAAACACACAACGCGTTAAAATAGGCTAATTAAAATGTGTATTGAATTACTTTCAATATACATGTACATCATGGTTTCTCAAAGGAATCCGGATGTGTATGGGTTATATTGTGAGAGGTTAATAAATTTATAGCCAGTTTTATAGAATAAAGATGCTAATTTGTTGTGCATCCACTTAAGTTAATTGAGTATTCAAAATGACCATTTATAAATTGTGTATATCACTACGGTGGTTTGGCGAAGATACGATTATGCCTCCAAGATCAAGGTAGTAGCAGTGCCTTAGTTCTTTAATGTCTACTTATATAGAAATGATAGCCAAAGCTTCTTGCTGTATATTAGAACATGTGCCTTCAAGGGAGGACGTGACATTGTCAAGTTTGACATGTGGTATGGAGAATTATTTTATAAAATTTTAATCGCAATTTCTGAGACAGTATGCATGTACAGAGAGGCGCAAAACAGGCGGTGGGGGTAGAGCTTAGTCCAGATAATGAATCTAGGAAAAAAAGTCACAGTAAAATGTGCTATAATGTATTAAAATGTCAGATGTGCTGATATGCCATATGTGATAATACGTCAAATGTGCTATGATATCAAAATGTGCTGATTTCTAAAGACTAAAATAGTCTGGTTACATCTGTGTAATGAAAGGTTAAATATGTATGTTATTGTTTATATTGTTATTGAATTTGAGATGTAATAAAAAAACTGTGATTTTTTTCATGTGTTTTTTTTACCTAGGCAAATTTGTGACTTTTTTACTGTGACTTTTTTTCCGCGCTCCCAGATAATTCGGCAGAATTTGGTTGTCCAATGGGTCGTTTTTTTTCTCTCGGGAAAATGGACCGGTTTGCCGGGTTCTCTTACACATTCGATCAAACCAAAAGTTCGTAATGTCAACCCCGTGCTCACGAGGAAACTCCTGCGCAAAGTGAACATATCTCACATTACGCATGAAAATGTTGATAATCACTACTCTCTTTGAGTACTTTATTTTGGAAATACGCGGGTGATTTTTCCTTTGTTTCTGTGTTGAAGAGGTCAAGAGGGCGACGTTTTATTGGTATGGTGGGTCGACTTGATATTCTAATGCTGGAGGGGGCCGATTTTTTGATGCCCCCACCCCACCCAAATATGTTTGTGCGCACCTGTACATGAATAGGATTAGAGTGACAAAACGGCTGCAACGCTTCTGGCGTTTGTTTGTTCAAGATTATTTTATCTACGCGAGCTGTCGCGCCTAGCTAAGCATAAATTTGAAGAATATTCATTTTTTGTGAGAGATATGTGTGTATTGAATGGGAAGCTTACATGTAAACACAAAATTTGGTAAGGATCACCTGAGTAAAGATTCATAAGGTGACTATCATATAAATAAAATTTCAATATTGCTACAGCCCCAAAAGAGAGCGAATGAAATCTGGCCACTCATTGTTACACCATAAATTGTCATGATATTATGCCACGACAGGGACGGTTCCAGGAATTTTTGAAAGAGGGGGTTTGCCAGGTTCCCGAGACAATGTATCCCCCCCCCCCTCCCACATGGTCTCTATCGTCATTTTGGCAAGTTTTGTCTGACCAAATATTTTAGTTCCCAGCATTTTGCAGAAGGCAGGAGAATATTAAAATGAGTTTGTCCGCCTGTCACACTTTTTGGAAAACAATATCTATGCTTCTAAATGAGGTAGAAAACTCATACTTTGTGTAGATGATCATACGGTAAATGTTTGAACGGAGCTTGATGATGAACATTTCCTCTTAGGCAAATCAGAGATAAGCAAATGAGTGAGTGATAAAAATTGCTGAATATTTCCATTACATTAATAGTATGACTAAGTTCGACAATGAGCATTTTCTGCTCAAGTTAAGCAGAGTGATAAGTAATCTAATTACCTGATGCTTCATAAAAAGTTGATTATGTGCAAGGGAGTAATTCAGTGTCATTCATTTATTTTGCGATCAAGGCTTGTTTTATGTGTTTCTGTTCTACGGAGATTTAGTGAGCATGTGGGGGAACATTCAGACTTCTCCTAAATATACAAGATCTGACCAGACACCAAATACATAACAATCTTTGATATTTCTATTCGTTTATTACAAATGACAGACATAACATATACCTACTTATATACAAATATGAAAATTACACAGATAATGTAAAAGAGTTTTTCTATGATGAAATGTCTTTCATTTGAGTGATACATGTAAAACAAAGTGTTATGTTAGTTGATAAAATGATTTATAAATTGGAATAACACATAAAATCATCTCTTTTTAAAACCATATTTTTTCCTTTCATAAAACAAATCTGTTTTTGCACTACCTAAGTTGACAATTTTAGGGCATCCATCTCTCTGAAAAAGGAATAATGTAAACATTGTTAGAACATGTTCTAAAATAAGTTGTTCATCAAAATTGTAGTCAACTTAATAGTTAAAATTCCTCCAAAAGACAAATATGTTGTTTTGAAATATGGGGCACTTATTACATTTCACCAGAACTAAAACTACCCAAACAATCTTTAAATGAAATGAAATGGGATTTTACGTCCTAATTTTCTGCAAAAAATATTAATCTTTTAAAGATACATTATGGGAGATTAGATAACGAGTTGGCAGTTCTCACTATAATAGTTAAAAATTACATAATGTAAAGGCAACTTGCTGAAAATTTCAGTCAAATTGATCAACTATGAACCGAGAACCAAGCGGATGAAAGTTCCGCTTAGCCTCGATCATCATTACTGAAGTCGATAAGACAAAACTAATAGTCTTGATTATCCATTTAATCGTTAATCACGAAGGAAAGTTTTGCAGCAAATCGGACTGTAATCTAACAAATATCGCAGGCAAGCCTTGACATCGAGAGCTGATTTTGGTCTGGATAAGTTAATTAATGTCTAATTAATAGTTTTTATAACATTTCAGGCCTAAAGAAAGACCTACAATAGGCCGATTTTGCTCTTGCATACTGTATGTTTAAGTAAATGGTACTTCTTTTGTCCATGAAACACAAACACTTCTAATCTAAATCCCAAATGTGTAATCTACACTACATATAATAACTTAGGAAGAAGGTGACCATAAAACTATTTTTAATTTACGTAGTCAGATAACCATACAGTTGTTGTTGTTTGTATTTTACAGGAGAGCCGAAAAAAGCTCCCCTTAATCAATAAATTGAAAAAATCGCTCCCCTAGAAAAGGTGATAATTAATAAGGAGAGTGAACGGATTTTAAGGATTAGTTGTGTGTATTACATGGGAAATGGTTCGGAAGATCAATAACTGCAAGTAATGGGGTCAATCCTGATTTTATAAATTTTAATAAACTGTCCATGACTTTGTACAGAAGATCGATTTTCGATTTCAATGGGAAGGAGAAAAACCTCCCCTGGGTCGACATTCGGGTGTGCGACAGGCACTTGAGACCGATCACACACCTTAAAAAACAATGACTGGATAACCATATATTACACTCACATCTTTTTCCATAATTGTACATTCTTTACAATAATAGGCATCTGAAACTCCAGGACCTCCACATATTACACATCTTCCTTGATATGAACCATAATTACACTCATCACAAATACGAACTAGAGTACATGGTCTGACATAGGAATCACATATTACACATTTACCATCACCTGTAATTAAAATATATACATGATACACTTATATATAAAGCAAAAAAAAATAAAACAAAATTAACTGTCTTTACCCGACCAACCTAAACTTGTTCATTTACTAGGTCCTACAAATCGGTCTTGGCATAGTTTTCTACAAATTCCACTGAGATTTTGGTATTTACAACCATCCGAATTGTAATTATATTTCAGAACCTTACTCAGTAATTAAGCTATAAATGTTTGAAAATAAATAATAAACACTTTACCATACATGTATCTAAACTTACATGACAAAGGCTAAGGAATACACGAGGCAGTAAAATTTGATTGACTGATGAATAAATAATTTACCAGTAAGTCAATCCTATTGACCATGGTTTTACTGTACATAATAATTATAGGATATGATTACATACAACATTTGAGGTTAATCTGTTGGTTCTATATTAGGAAAGATCCACACAGCCTTCACTCTTATCGGTAATATGTAATAAGAATGGGGAACAGCTATATAAATACCAAGGAGAGAGAGAGAGAGAAACACAACCTAGCTCATTTTGGGACTAACACGTTCAATTTTATTTCAATAATTCGCTTGCGCGTAGGGGTCTTTAGCAGTGGGAGGAAACCGGAGGACCCACTGAAAACCCACGAGGTTGGACAGACGACCCTACTCCTTGTCACGTACAACCAGGGATTCGAAACCACGCCAGTCGACTCAAAGACAGACCTTATGATACAGCGCGCATGTGCTAACTATTCGTCCATCCAACCCCCCTAAATACCAAGGGTACATGTACATGTAGCTAACGTTTTAACATATAATTATAAACAAACACTCAGAAACAGCTTTTCTATTTCTTTTTTCATAAGATCAAAGCTATTAATGCCTGATGGATGATACAATATACACACAAATAATACTTACATTTTTCACATAATCTTCCAATGGCTGAAAATATATAAAAAAAACTTTTAGTAATTAATTGTGCATTGTATCAACTCATACGATGTCATTGTTCATTCAGCTGGTGTTTAAAACGTATTGTTTTTGCAATATATTAATGTATTATTGGGCAGTTTTGACCAAGTTATGTCTGCAAATCAAAGTGAATTTTGGCTTTCATGCTATTAATAATGAATTAAAAAAATATTACATAAGCCGTTTTGACCAAATCTTTGCTTACGGTTTATGGCAGTAATGCCCATGACCCACAGGTGTTCTGCAAAAAAAACAAGTTACCAGGTTCTTGCATTTCAGGACACAGTGACATTAAAGCTATCAGTTCTTAAACCTGCAGAGAAGACATAGTTGAAAGTTGTCCAGAGCCAACACGCCAGTAGTACCAGTAGGCATACATGTAGGGCCTACCACAGTACCAGTATATGGCAGTAACACAAAGAGCCAAGAAGAGGCATTATTTTATTACTACATCAGTCCTTCATGTTTATAAAATTGTGCGGGAGCCATAAAAAGCTCCTGATACCTTGAATACATGCAGTTTAAAAGTAAACAAAAACTGAAAGTAGTTTATTAATCTCAATATTTAGGAGAGCGATTTAGCTAATTTGCAGGAGTCTTTAATGACTCCTTCGAAGGAAAGCCGATGTGCGTCGAGAGGAGCAGGACCGAAAAGCTCCCCTTAAACGTGAAGGATTGCTACATTTACATACTAACATAGGCTACCCATAATGAAATTAATGAATGGCATAATTGCTTTCTAGGTTCTAAGGCCAAAATTAACTCTGGCCCACTATAGACATTTTAACTTTCAATTACAGAATTGTAATATAATATTTCATTCTTGTATTTTGTACCCAATTCGGCAATTGGGATATAAAGTTTTATTAATTAAAATAAAACAATGCACTGTTGGACTACTCCACTCTGTCTGTGTGACTTTGTAAAGTTAACTGCTATACGGTGATTTAAAAGTCGAGGAAGTAACCTTTACATAAAATAAAGGTCAGGCCATTCAGAAAATGCATAATGGTATACGAAACCATAGTTTTACGTTAGATACAGATCGTAAATACCTACCAACACCCGGTTGTTTTCTACAGAAGATTAAATCGGGATGATGCTTCGCCATTTTTGACCGATATCTAAATTACTAATCGGAAAATGTTCGGAAATGATATCTGCATGATCTAAGATATTATGCTAATAATAACTAACAAAATATGTATATACATACTATTTTATTTGTGCAGCACGAAATATTAGAATCATTCATTTTACTGTAAATATTCAATATATATTTATTAAATTAATTTCGTTCCACGCTATTGCACGACATTCTGGAAATTAAGTCAACTAACCGGAAATACTAGGTTTGATAACCGTAGAACAACACACGTGCGACGTTTTATCGTAAAGAAAATAAATAAATAAACAATGTCTAATAGTGATTCTGAATCCAACTCTAGTCATTCTGAAGGAGAGGAAGAAGAGGACGAAAAGGTTACCTTTAAAAGTCTTGTAAGTCTTTTCACCATGTTGATGGTTAGATCATTTTACTACTCGGTTTTATTTCTGTTTTCTAAAGTGAAAGTAGGTTGGCTTATAACTACAGCTGCCGAAGGTAACGACGCAAGAAATTACTGAAAACATTGCTATATTTAGATTTATCTGCTTAGATACAGTTGGCCTTGAATAGTTTTACCTCACAAATATATAAACATAGACTATATAATCAAGTTTCAGAGAGGGCAGAGACTATACTATATGTGCAAATATGTTCAACTCAGAACCTGTCACATTATTGGAAGAAGAAGATTACATGTCATTTCAGTCCCGCGTCATTTTGGACTTACGACATTTCAGACTCGTACAGGTGACATTTCGGACTTGGGATTAAGTTGAAAGGAAAGGTTGAACACAACTGTCAAATCAATCTATAATAATGAGCCAAAAGCTATTTTATAAAAAATAACATGCAGGTAAAATTTACCACTCGCAATCAAGTACAGCACGTACAGCATATTTACATTTTACAGGATTTTGCTATAAGGGTTTATTTTATTTCAAATTTTAGGGTATTGTTGATGTTTTGTGTGATGCTTGCGAACAGTTAAAATGGAAAACTCCGACAAAAATTCAAAGGGAAGCTATACCAGTGGCTTTAACAGGTAAATTTGACTTCTGATTATTCATATTCAAGGTGATTTTATTACTCACAGATGTGTACTTAAGTCAGAATTGTTATAAATAGAATGAATTGCAGTTTTCTCAATAATTAAATATTGTTTTGAGAGAAATATAGGACATCAATTATTTGGTATGTTTTGACATTCAGTATCTGTATATCGGTACTTGCTACATGGTTGCTAACACTTAATAGTTGCTAACAACTGCAGATATATTTTCATCTTGTTTCAGGTAAAGATATAATTGGTTTAGCAGAAACAGGTTCCGGGAAGACTGGAGCTTTTGCATTACCTATTCTACAAGCTTTATTAGATAGTCCACAGCGTCTGTTTGCTCTTATGCTAACACCAACAAGAGAGTTAGCTTTTCAAATATCAGAACAAGTCTGTGCTTTAGGGACATCAATTGGGGTCAAAACTGGTAAGTAAGTTGTTCACTAAATGTAAATACTGTGAAACAAGAATAAAAATCCAGTCTATAAAGAAATTATTGTGTCAAATGTATTCAACCTGTTGTCAGTCTAGTCTCTATCATGAAGACAAATATTCTACGAATATTAGTCGGGATGTGTTTTCAACATTTGAGAATAACTAGATCATTGGCTAGATTATCCAGTATTTTACATTATCATGAACAAAATCTGAGGTAGGTAACGAGCCCGAAAACAAGATGTCGACGCTCATGAAATTATTTTAAGAATTGCCATTTCAGAAAATCGATCTGTATTGTTAGTCTGAGCAGAACAGTAGGATGTTAAACCCCATTAAATTTCATCTGCATTGCCAGTTCAAGATCCAACATTCTTAATTTTTTATTGTAAAATTTCTGTGTTCCTGGGCCTTACCAAGTTTTTTTTTATTAAACCTAATTCGTTGTCATTTTGTCATGATTCATGTTTGTTTAAAATAATGAATGAATTATGGGAATTATTTTGGGAATGTTGCAACTCTTACTGGACTTTACTGGATAATCAACTACATAAAAAAATGAATGGGCAATGGAACTTTTTAGCTAATACCCTCCTTATGTTGCAGACTAGGGTGTTCTTGGTGACCGAGACTTGTCAATCAGGGTGGTTAAATAATCAACAGTGATTCATTTTTCAGTCAACATTATAAATAACATAAAAAAAAGATGTAATTTTCAGAGTGATAGTATGCTACCTGTAATGTTAAATTTGATTGTTTAAAATTTGTAAATAATAATAACTTGTGCTGTAGATTGCTGATTTATTCTGAAATCTAAGTGGTGTAGATAAGGTACATATTTGTTGAGAAAGTTGACAAAGCTAACAATTATTAATTAGGATTCTTTTATAAAAATGATTTCAGCTGTGATAGTGGGTGGAATGGATAACATGAGTCAAGCTTTAATGTTAGCAAAGAAACCTCACATTATTGTTGGTAAGAACTAATATTAATATTATCACACTACAGATTGATTTGTAGTACATTTATTATATACCGGTACATCTAACATCCTTAGAGGCTGTGTGCCGTAGTCTTACATTGGAAATAGCGACTCTTTGTATTCCACCTGTTACAGTAAGCCAAAACTTAATTTTGTTCATATTTCTTTTGTTTATTATATAATGAATATTGTATATATATATTTTTCTCAGCCACACAGGGGGGGGGGGGGGGGTGTCACGTCACGATGGTTAAGTGGATAAGACGTTGGCTTGCTAGCCTGGATGTCGAATGTTCGACCCCCGCATTGGTCGAGAAAGTTCATCCAGATTTTCTGGCCTGGTTCCCCCTTGTCAGTGATGCAGGACAGAGGGCCTGACAGGGACAGCTTTCTAGTCGTTTGGATGGGATGAAAAACCGAGGTCCCCGTGTACACATTGGCGTGCACATAAAAGATCCCTTGACAGTTGGAATTCGATATAAGACTTAGAGTAGGCCAGAGTGCTGAAGTCTGGGCAAAATTTCTCCCATCGCACACTGTATGGTGTATGCCCATTTTCACTAGCCAACTTCGAAGCAGAACAGTAGGATGTTAAACCCCATTTCATTTCAATTTCAGCCACACCTGGTAGACTTATCGATCATTTAGAAAATACAAAAGGCTTTTCACTTAGTTCTCTGAAATACTTGGTGAGTATCTATTGGTTATTATTTTATATTGGCTTCATATATACTATTCAAAAAAAGTAGGGGATATTTGATTTTGGGGGCATAATATTAAAATATGCTAATGACTACGAAAAAAGTCACTATAGAACCTAACAGAAGAAACATTTCCAATTACATGTGACGCCCAAACGCACCAATAGCTACCGCATGGAATGCAGGTGATGCTTGGGATCATCATGGGGGTCCAACCCAAGATTTGCACGACTCTGACTTTGAATGTTACAGTCATTGTGGCATTGAATTCCAGGGTGGAAACATCAGTTTAATTGTTTTAGTGACCAGAAAACAAATTTTGATATGCGTCGGCTTACCCAAAATGAAAGGTTACGTGCCCTTGGCATGCTACAGATCGGCACAACACAGGCGGTTGTGGCGCGGACGATGAATGTTTCTCAGTCTGTCATAAGCAGGCTATGGTCCAGATACCGTGATACACAATCTGTACAGGACAGACCACGCTCAGGTCGACCAAGGGCGACAACTCAAGCCCAGGATCGATTTATCCGTACCTTGGCCTTGAGAAATCGTGTCATCACAGCAAATCAGATCAGCGCTCGTCTTCAAACAGACACTGGTGTGAGAGTGAGTGGCCAGACGTTTCGGAATCGACTGCATAGGGGTCACCTTCGCGCCCGACGTCCTCGCGTGATCCCTTGTTTGAGAGATCATCACATTTAAGCAAGACGTCGTTGGTGTAGGGATCGTCAACACTGGGATAATCGACGCTGGAGCAATGTGATGTTTTCAGATGAGTCAAGGTTCACTGTTGATTTTTTGGACAGACGTAGGAGGGTGTGGCGTCGTCGAAACGAGCGCTTCCAAGACGTTTACGTCATCAGACATGATCGATTTGGGGGTGGTTCTGTTATGGTGTGGGGAGACATCACTGTTGCTGGAAGAACGGCTTTACATGTTGTTGCAGGGCGTGTTACAGGCCAGTACTACCGGGACAACATCTTGGCAGTCCATGTTGTGCCGTTCGCACGACATCATGGCCGCCGTTTCATCTTCCAGGATGACAACGCAAGATGTCACAGGGCCAGGATCGTTACAGGTTACCTCCAACAACAGAACATCACCACATTACCTTGGCCAGCACTGAGTCCCGACCTCTCCCCCATCGAGCATGTCTGGGACATGCTTGGACAGAGGTTACGTCAACGTCAACAACGTCCTGCCAATGTCCAAGAACTTGCTGCTGCGTTGCAACAGGAATGGGACAATCTGGACCAAAATGACCTTAGACGTCTCATTAGGAGTATGCCACGTCGGATCAATGCTTGTTTGGCAAACAGAGGAGGATTTACCCGTTACTGACTTGGTTGTCATGCTGTGGTAACTTTGCTGTTTGACCCCGGGTATCATTTTACCCTTATAATGGTCAGTCAGTGCCTTACTTAGTCTAACGATCATTTGGAATAAATCGATGAATGTGAACTTCATTTCATTTAGTCATTTGTTTCTTCGTCAGTTTCATTAGGTGACTTTAATAATCTTTGCTTTGTACAATAAAAACAAAGTTTGAAAGCAGATTAATATAAGCCTACTATTTTTCAACAATTTTCCAGTAAGTTAAAAAGCTGGAGTTATCATCTAATTACCGGTACATATTTTGTTGGAAGAACTAGAAGCCTATCAAATTTTAATTATTTCAGATTATTAATTTATTAACACATGACACAATTATATGGAATACAAGTTAATTAAAAGTTTATTTCTGACGTTGTTTTGACAAGGGTTCTCTCATCTTTATCAATCTTTAGTAACTTGTATTCCATATAATTGTGTCACGTGTTATTCTCATTCAGTTACTAAATGCTGCTTAAACAAAATATCACTCAATTGGTTGATGTCCTTGATCAATGCCTGGCATATTTACAAAAAAAAATGCAAATGTGACAACTTTATGTTCAGACAAATAAGCAGCTGTTTGTTGGCTTATGGTTCATTGCTTGCTAAAACAAGTGGCTGTTGTTTCAAAAAAATTTTTTATCTTTTAGGTAATGGATGAAGCTGACAGAATATTGAACATGGATTTTGGAAAAGAGGTAAAAATATTTTCCGAAAGTCTATTACAATATATTCAGTCACTATAAGCATATTTTAGTCATTAAAATGCATTTTACATGCCAACATTTGTGTCTAGCTGCAGGTTTGTCTTTTTGGTTTTGCTTACGTGCAGTGCGGTCCCCCTACACTTTCTATGAAACAGTGTCATAAATTTATGTCGCCCCAGTTCCACCGTTGTCAACAGTTTCTTGTGAAATTGTATGGTAAACTTTATACATGTATATGTTATGTAGCAATTTGTAAAGGATCAAGTAACAAAAGATATTATTCAATCCGCTTGAAATTTATATGCATTGGTCAGATTACTGAAAAAAAGTTGCTATGATATTTAACAGTTTCAATTAATTGTTATAGCATTTATTCACTCTGAATAACAATAACAACAATTTCAGATGATTATAGAGTTATTGCCCCTATGTCATAGGATCTTTTCACTGTCTTAAAATTCATAATGTGACAACATTTATGAACTGCTAAAACAATTTAGCTGATGTTTACATATGTTTTGTTGCCTGGCCAAATATCTTTTTATTGATAGGGACCCAAATAAGTAGATCAACTTTATATGATAAGTAAACATTTAGTATATAAACTGTCAAAACTTTTTTCTTCAGATTGATAAGATATTAAAATTAATTCCAAGACAAAGAAAAACATATTTATATTCTGCTACAATGACACAGAAGGTAAAGTGAAATCCACCAATATTTTGTTAGTAATTCTTTTTGGCATGAAAGTTATTGCCTTGGTAAGGTGAAATAAAATTTGGTTGAAGTTGATTTGACATTAATTTTATACCATGGTAAATAGAATTTATCGTTGTCTCTCTTTAAAATATTTTCACCATCCTTGCTTGATAAATCACCACAATATTAAGAGATGATTGGGTCATTTGTTTTTATATTGTGTTTTATATTATTAGGTAAATAAGTTACAGAGAGCATCATTATGTGATCCTGTTAAAGTACAAGTTTCTAGTAAATATCAAACAGTAGATAAACTACAACAGTTCTATATATTTATACCTGTTAGATATAAAGTAAGTATATACATAAGTATACATAGTTTGATAATGGTGGTTCATAACATCCTTAAAAAACCAATTTTAATTGAAGAGGGGTATAAAATTAGGGGAAGTTCAGCTTTTGTTAAATTTAAATCAGAGTTAAAAACACACTTGTTTAAATATTATTACAAACTGATGTGACATTTGTTATGCGCTTAGAAATATCACCGGATATAATGAAGTGCTATAGAAGATGAATAATAATAGTAATTAATAATAATAAAACTATTCCAGGTCTCTATCTAAAGCGTATTTCCCAGAATAAAACTAGTTTATTCAGTACTGGTATCGACAGTGACAATTCTGCTGTTTTTGGTACTGTTTCATTTGAATGCAGCGTCGGATACTATGGAGACAATAATCTACCTCCGCTCCGATCAATTAAAACATTTTATCACCCAATAATACATTCTACAATAGATATCGCTTGTGTGATATATTTCATAATCTACTGCGATATCTCCTTAGGAGATATCGCTTTACATGAATTTGATTGGTCAGTTGAAAAGGAACTACTTTTTATTATTTTCAAAGAACAGTTCATTTCTTATTAAAAGTAACTTTTTTTTTTATTAAAAATGAACTACTGTTGTTCAATTGACCTTGATGGAAACACTGGGTCAATATAAAAGACTTTGCAATGGTTGAATTACTGTAATGTTCAGTAAAAGTGAAATCTACAGCAAAGAATTATATTTATCTATTTGTGCATGTAAGAAGGGATTGGGTGATAAATAAAATCTCCTATTCATCTTTTTTGATATCAAAAAAGACTGGTAGGAGATTCTCTATATATATGGATAACAATTAGTATGGTTTATTACACCTCAACGTTTCAACAAGATTTCACAAGAGATTCAAGAATATATGATGTTTTAGGAAACCATTCATATATTTCAATCAATATAATCTGTATATTTGTATTTTAGGATGTATATCTGGTATCTATATTAAATGAACTAGCTGGAAATAGTTTTATGATATTCTGTAGTACATGTGCCAACACACAGAGAGTTTCTCTTTTATTACGTAATCTGGGTTTTACAGCTGTTCCACTTAACGGACAGATGAATCAGGTATGTATAAATACATAAATTTGGTTATAAACTCTACAGAAGTACACAGATTTTAATAGCTTCATTGCCTTATAATTCCATTGATCAGTAAGGATCCAAAGGATCAAATGTTAGTCGACAAGCATGGCTTTATCCCCTGCCTTTCTGTCTGTCCGTCACACTTTTTGGGACACAACAACTCTCTTTCTAATTGAGCTAGAACATTCACACTTGGTGTAGGTGTTTATTAGGTCAATGCCTTCATGGAGTTCGAAGATGAGAATTTTTTGCTTAGGGTAAACAGAGATAAGCAATTTGATTGGTTGATGCTTTCGGACACGATAATTTACCGTATTTTTCAGTGTATTAGGTGCACTTTTTTTTATCAAATATTTCATTTTCTAGAAGGGGTGCGCCTAATACATAACATAAACGAATCCAGGCTTTTCCCGTGTAGACACCGAAGTCGGGAGTTCAAGAAATAACTGCCCTAGAATCAACACATGTCGACCGGGTGACGCTACCTCAAAAGTTTATGATAAATTACGACTCAAATTAAACACAATACTGTTTCCTTTCGTGTCCATTTATAATTGTCAGTAATATTTTAGATAGTTTAAAATTCGTCCATATTTGTCAATAACCTTTAGATACGGTTAAAATATATCAATAATTATCGCCTGTATATCTGTTATTTCGTGCATAAAAATTAAAAAAGATGTCGACATTTTATGCTATCCCGTGTACAGTATAGTGTTTGTCATAAACGGCAATGCAAGCACCATCGGCTTATAACCGTTCAACGTTAACGATGTTTTAGAAAATAGCATACGTATCGTTAATATTTCTTGCTAATTCTACATCATATATTTCTGCTATTCCGTATACTCTTGGCCATTATCGGCAGTTCTTGCACGTCCCCGTTCAAGGTCAGTGGTGTTGTCAGTCAAGTTGACGAATAGGACGGGATATGCATTCATACAAGCATTTTCATTGGCTCAATATAAGTCATTGGTAGTAAGGGTGGAATTACAGTTAAACTGACATATATTGAAGTTGTTCTCTTGTCTACGATATCACCACTGGTGGAAGTGGGCAGTAAACTCCAGAAACGACGACGACGAAGTTGTTCTGTCTAACCTGTTCTCAAAACGGCAAATCTTCACGGCGTCTATGATTGACAGTCAACCCATTCTTTCACAATTTGTGGATAACATGCGGCGCTCTATCTATTTGCTCTATCTATTACTGCACTCTTTAGCGGTTCGTCTCGTAGTCATTCTGAATAAATAATTTTTCAAAAGTTTGATGGAAGGTTCGTTGGTATTTTCTATACATTGCTGTAACTTATATATACTGAGCGCCATGGAAAACGCATCACGTAGTTTTTCGTATAACAAAATGATCCTGTAAACATATCTTATTTATTTTGCTTCTTATTGTGAACAATATTCAAATGGGAACACATCAATAACAACACATTTGTACACTTATGGATGTTTAATCTGTAATCAAGGGTACAAAGTCAGAGGGGTCAAAACCAAAAGTATGACACAGATGTCAGTAGCGCGTGTGTCCTCCACGGGCCATCATCACGGTAGGCTACAGCATTAACGCAACCCCTGCAAATGTGTAGGGCGGTCCGGTGATGAAATGTGAAGCCTCCCCACACCATTACACTTCCCCCACCCCATCGATTCGTTTCGAAGATGCAGCAGTCTGCAAGACATTCACCAAGACGTCTCCACACATGTTGACGGCCATCAGCGTGATAAAGATGAAAGCGACTCTCATCACTGAAGAGCACACTTTGCCAGTCTACTCTTCTCCATGTCTGGTGTCCTTGAGCCCATATCAAACGCCGCTGACGTTGATGATCCCTGAGGATAGCACCAACATAAGGTCGTCGTGCACGGAGTCCTACTTCTCTTAGACGACGTCTTACGGTATTGGCACTTACTGGTCCTTGTCTTCCGACGACTGCTGCACCTGTTCGAGTCGCTGGGTGGAATCTGTCACGCAGATGAGTAACCCGGATGTAGCGGTCTTGAGCCTGGGTTGTAACGCGTTGTGGACCAGGACGTTGACGGTCACGTGTTGAACCAGTAACTCGAACCCGTTCCACCAACCTTACAATAGTGGACTGATGACAATTGAAGTGTCTGGCAATAGCACGTGTAGACATGCCAGCCCGGGACATTCCAATGGTTTCATTCCGTTGATTTTCAGTAAGTCTCGGCATCTCTAGCTCGATTCCTTCACACGTCCAACAACAAATTACTACAGATTGACGTTTCACAGTTCATGTACTGCACATTAAGTTGAAAACATGCTTTTAAAGGGCTCAAACACAATGCTGCACGTGAATATTGGGTTTTTCATGTGCATCTCGTGCAATTTTTTTTTGTGCACACGGGCCGATATTTTTGGCGTTTGGGAGCATTGTGTGAAACAATAGTTCATAGTATTGCATCATATTATACTTACAAAACCACCTAGTAATAAAATATTTGGGAAAAAAAATGATGCGTTTTCCATGGCGCTCAGTATATCTAGGCGTTTCAAGTTACCAATAGTTTTAATGCAACGAAGATTAACTGATTGACCTATTGTTATAATTTACTGGTATCATTATCTACCGGTGAGTTGTCATCGTATGCTTTATGAAGTTGTTTGTTGTTCACAAAATCATTGTTTCTTTGATTGGTATTAAAAATGCTATTGTCTTATGTTACTGATAGATATAAATGGCCTCAATCTAGGTATTGTCATGCTGCGTGTAGTGGGCGGGGCAATTGACACAATCGTTTGATTGTCAGTTGTTTGGATAGTATAAAATAAACTAGAATTATTGATTCTCTTTTTACCGGTAGTCAGGATTTAAGCCGTGAGTAACTGATCATGATAAATTATTTCTACAGTTATTATTTCATTTGTTTATCATCAATACCTATTCATTTATCAAAGCAAATTGCTCGTGAATTTAACAGGATGTAATAGACGGCCATGTGTGTTGTGGGCGGGACTCTAACGACAATTTGACTACTGTACAAGCGCCAGAATTACCATTTAAGTTATGAAACAAGTTGTAATTAATATAAAGTCTTATGCAATTCAAAAAATGTATATAGAGTTTAATTTCATAAAGAAATATATATAAAGCTTGATACAGCTAAATATCGGTAATTATTATAACTGTAAACAGTAGAGTTTGGCCCAGTTACTGGAGATTGCAGGTGTATTTGAATCACATATGTAACTATGGTATGGCACGTGTTTCACAAGGCGCTGGAGAAGGGTGTGCCTAAACCATGCATTTTTATTTTTTCCTGAAACACCTCTGCCAAACCTGCCCTGCGCCTTATCTATGCATGCGCCTAATACACCGAAAAATACGGTAAGTTCTAATTAAGTGAGAGTGATGAAATTTTGGTGTATAGTTTTATTTATACATCAATACCTTGACTAAGTTCGATAATGAGCATTTTTTACTCAGAGCGAGAAGCAATTTGATTGGTTGAGACTTTGGAATACAATAACTCTTTCTTTCTAATTGAGCTAGAATGTTCACACTGTGTTTATTAGGAGAATGCCTTGATGGAATTCAGAGATGAGAATTTTCTGCTTAGAGAAAGCTAAAATAAGAAATTTGATTGGTTGATGCTTTGGGACACTTTGTGAATAGTTTTATCACATCAATTAATTGACTTAGTTCGATAATGAGCATTTTCTGCTCAGGGTAAGCAGTGCAATAAGCAATTTGATTGGTCGAGACCTTGGAACACAATAACTCTCCTTCTAATTGAGGTAGAATGTTCAAACTTGGTGCAGGCGTTCATTAGGTGAATACCTTGATGCAGTTTGTTGATAAACATTGTCTGCCTACGGTAAGCAGAGATAAACAATCTGATTGGTTGATGCTTTGGGGCACAATAACTTTAGTTTTGATTAAGTGAGAGTGATGAAACTCCAAGTATAGATTCATTATATTATTACCTTGATTAAGTTCGATGATGAGATTTTTCTGCTTAGGCTAAGGAGCGATAAGCAATTTGATTGGTCAAGACTTTAGAACATAACGCCTGCTTTGAATTGCGGTAAAATGTTGTAGATGTTGATGTAGATGTTCATAAGGTGAATGTCTTGACTGAGTTCAATGATTAACATTTCGAGCTAAAGCTTTGCTTAGCTAAAGCTAAGCAGAGCTAATCAATTTCATTGGTGGACAAGATAACTTTGATTCTATCTGATAATTGATTCTATCTGATAGAGAGTGATGAAACTTAGTGTATAGTTGATAAGCAATTTGATAGCTTGATACTTTTTGAAAAACATAAATGTGCTATTACATGTAATTAATATGTCATCTGTTTATTTTGGGATTTCGGTGGGGGACATCAGCCTCACTGTTGGCTTATTGAATTAAAATCAAGTATTGTTTACTGATAGAATCAATGGCATATTTGTGACATGTTATTATGTTCTTGTTAACTTTATTAGTAGTTAAAAAGTCTAAAATAAACCTATAGACAGACACTTTAACAACAGGGACTTGATCTATTTAAATGTTGACATTAGAGAGGTACTTGACAAAAGTTACAACTTGTTTTTCAGTCTAAAAGATTGGGTGCTCTCAACAAATTTAAAAGTAAAAGTAGATCAATTATTTTAGCTACTGATGTGGCCAGCAGGTAAATGAAACTTTATAAATTTATTTATTGTCTTTACAGTAAATGTGCCAACACATTCCTGATATTTAGTCAGTTTTCATGTATAGCACCAGCAAATAGGACCAGAAAAAAACCTGCTTAGTGTGTGTATATGTGCATCTTTATTAGCCTAATAGATGCAAAAAAAATAGGACGTTAAACCCCATTTCATTCATTATTGTGTATGACCTAGTTTGTGTCGACTGGATGTTAAACCCCATTTCTCTTATACTGTAGAATCTGCAAGGGAATTTTCACAACTGACCGCTTAACGGGAGTGGCCTTTTAATAAAATCTCGGTGCTTTTTGTGCTGACATAAATTAAATATTACGCTTGGATGCACTGGAAGCGAACATCAATACTTGCATCGGTAAATTTGACCGTCGCTGAATCTTGCGCCGAACGAAAATTCTTTACTCAAATCTCGGACATAACTTCTGTAAACTTGTGACCGCTGGCTGTGTTAGAGGAGTGACCGTTGAATAAAGAGATGAAACAGAATTTTTACGGGGGGAATTTATCGTGACCGCTTACAAGGAGATGTCGCTGAATAGGAGTGGCTGCTCATACAGATTCTACTGTATGTATATCTTCGTGGGAATTGGGGGATCACATGGCTATGTGGGCAAGACGCTGGCTCGCTGGCTCGCTAGCCTGGAGGTCGGGTGTTCGATCCCTACATTGGCCGAGAAAGTTCATCCAGATTTTCCGGCGTGGTTTCCCCTTGTCAGTGATGCAGGATGGAGGGCCTGACAAGGACCGCTGTCTAGTCGTTCGGATGGGACGAAAAACCGAGGTCCCGTGTACACATTGGCGTGCAGTAAAAGATCTCTTGGCAGCTGGAATTCAATATAAGAGTAGGCCGTAGCGCCACTGCCCGGGCAAAATTTCCCACATAGCACACTGTATGGCATATGCCCGTCTTCATTACCCCAGGTTAGGAGCAGAACAGTAGGACGTTAAACCCCCATTTCATTTCCCAGGAATTGTTTGTTAATAAATCATTGTAATGAATGAAAATGATCTGATTTTAATAAATAATGGATGAGTGTAAATCTGGTTTGAGAGATACACTTTAATCTTGAAATTCTTAATGTGATATCACGACAATAACACATGAGAACGATGTTTTCACAATTAAGTAAATACACCACAGATCAATTCTCTCTCAAACACCAAAAAAAAAAATGAATTCAACAGAATCAGAATGTTGAAAACTTGTTCTGTCGAAGGCTCAATGATATGCCAATCTTGTCACCTGAACACAAAAGTTTTGATGCGATCAGACTACCGGGGGGTTGGATGGCTGAATGGTTAGCGTGCGCGCGCTGTATCATAAAGTCTGTCATTGAGTTGACTGGCGTGGTTTAGAATCCCCAGTTGTACGTGACAAGGAGTAGGGTCGCCTGTCCAACCTCGTGGGTTTTCTCTGAGTCCTCCGGTTTCCTCCCACTGCTAAAGACCCCTATGCGCAAGCGAATTATTGAAATAAAATTAAAACCATATGTTAGTCCCGAAATGACCTAGTTTGTGTCGAGTGGACGTTAAACCCCATTTCTCTCTCTCTCTTGTGATCAGACTACCATCCTGGCTAGTCATTTTCAGCAGATAGGGTCCACCAAAATTGGGCCATAGTCTAGACAGCAAACGTGACGAGACCTGCACATAATTTGGCAACATCTACAGGATTGCGCTGCCAGATTCCATTACTGCTGCTTCTGTTAACGGGTCCACATGGGTTCATCAGTGGTGACACTCTTTCGGACAACATTCCAGATGGGCTTATGTTTGACCAAGTCTGAGACAACAACTTTACTGACTTTTGATTTTTACCCCTTGTGTCTATGTTTCACTGTCTAGAGTCTAGACCATGGTAATGTTATGAACACTGTGGGTTTTGATTTTGTGGTGTCTAACCTAAAATCAGGTGCGTTATGTCTCACCAGCAGTTCCAGTTTTCATAGTGTTTCATTATATGTGTATTTACTTGCAGAGGTTTGGACATACCCCATGTAGATGTTGTGATAAATTTTGATATACCTACTCATTCTAAAGATTATATACACAGAGTGGGTAGAACAGCCAGAGCTGGTAGATCAGGCAAAGCTATTACATTTGTTACACAGTAAGTATTTAACTAAAACTTTTGATAACCATTTTTTCAGTAACATTTGTTGATAATCACATTTGTGTGGCCAGGCAAAAATTTTTCAAGTGTTTTATGGAATTTAAGATGTATCCTGATTTTTTGGATAAAGTATAAAGTTGTAGGAATACAGTTACTGATACTGTTTATATCTGAATTTCTTTTCTCCTATGATGTTGGGGGAGGGGGCGAATGGTTAGCACCGGCGTGCTGTATCATAAGGTCTGTCATTGAGTCAACTAGCGAGGTTTCGGTTCCCGGGTTGTATGTGACAAGGAGTAGGGTCGCTTGTCCAACCTCGTGGGTTTTATCCGGGTCCTCCGGTTTCCTCCCACTGCTAAAGATCCCTACGCACAAGCGAATTATTGAAATAAAAAACAACCAAGTGTTAGTCTCTGTCTCTCTTCTATGATTTTCTATCAAGAAAATGATTATTGGCTGATTTTCAATATCACCCCCGATAAAATCTTGTGAGCATGCTGCTGGAAAGTTTTTGACATAGTTTATGAAAGTTTGCAATAAGATCATTTTTGTTTGATCCTGATAAATTATTTGAAGACATTTAAAGGAAATAATACAAATAATTATGTGAATATTGATGTGATCAATGATTTGATCAAATTTTGAAAATAAATAAACATTGGGTATTCATACATGTTTTGTTGACAGATATGATGTCGAGTTATATCAGAGAATAGAACATTTAATAGGTAAAAAATTACCACTATATAAAACAGAAGAAGAGGAAGTGATGGTATTAATGGAAAGAGTATCTGAAGCACAGAGATTAGCTAAACTGGTACGTAATCCTGGCATGACACCTCACAGTATGCAATGAATCAAAGGGTTAAGATATAACACAAGAGTTCTATGGATTTTAAAATACAGTAATTGTTTATCTATAGAACTCTTAATTACTAAATACCATTCAAACAGTATAAATCAATGGGTTCTGAATTGATACTTGATAATTGTGTTGTGTTATTTATGATATATATTCTATACAAAGTGACCCATAATTCCCTAAAAGCCACAGAATGTTCTTGTTTTACATTATGTATATTCAATATGTGGAAGTGTTTTTCTTGTTAAAATATGTATTATTATTAGAATGACATAACAACTGCAGTATTGTGTTACATGTCCATTAAGGCACCCATCTCCATTAGACCAGTTGGTGCTGAAAAGTTAGAAGTTAAACCCAATTTCATTTCATAAGATACTACTGATGACACAATGACCGACATTTCATCGGTGTATGTATGTCATGATAATATCTGCGGTTTTCAGGTTTACATGGCAATATTTGTAAACATGGTGTTCTCCATGAAAGGCTTAAAAAAACATACTTCATCATGAATGCATTTGGATACAGATTTATCAACCTCAGTGATTTGTTCAGAATAAATTGTTGTCCAGCAGTAGTGCAAATATAGAATCTGCCACAGTCCAAGGATTATTCTCGGTAATAGAAAATCATAGACAAATAATCCATGGTCTGTCTAGTTCTAAACTAGTCTAATCAAAATTAGTCTTTTAGCCTTATTGTGAGATGAAATTTATTTGTTTTGAAATTGAAAAGGTTCATTTCATATGTTTGTTTTGAAGTGATCTGGGTTGAGATCTCTAAATGAATGGGTTTATTTTGTCAACTTAGTAAGTGTGTTGTGGTTTATCTTAAAAAAAAAAGAAATTTGTTATTGTATAAAATCTTTTAAAAAGTAGAGGATGATTTCACTGATCTTTGGTGGGTTATTGACATTTGAAAACTGTTTGTTTCAACAGATCACAATCACATAATTTGTGTTTGAGATCTAACTATCAAACAAACTACAAACAATTGAATGATTTCTTTATTTTCAGGATATGGCAGACTTGGGTAAAAAGAGAAAAGGTAATAAAGGAGATATCGATGATACAGAAGACTCTATGGGGGTTCGCAAACAGATGAAAAAGAAGAAGCGAAAATAAAATGATGTGATTTGTTATGTAAATAAATGTGTACATACTACATGTTAAATGTTTATTAGGTTATAATTTATCAGTATGCACAACCTTAGTGAACTCATCCTTCAGTGAATCTTAAAAATGACTTCCCACATACAAACTGTGTGATTTGATATTATCATAGACTATAAAAAATTATATAAGGGACAGCCGCACATTCTCAATGGAGTCTGAAGAGTTCGGATTAGAACAAAACTAGTTGCTTATAGAGAGAGATCTGAGAAGGCTGTTCACCACTCTACAGATATTATTTAGACTAAAAACATATTCAAACTAATTTATCTATCAAAAGCTTGTTGCAAATCCTTCTCAAAACATTTTAATCCAAAGAAAACTACCCAATGCCACAAGAATCGTTTTTCTGCCGTTTTATCACAACCGCTAGCTATTAGATGAACACATAAGAAGCATGCCTTATGTCACTCAAAGAGACAGACTGCCAGTTTGTGATACCCTCCCAATTTTGTCGGAGAATCCAGTACTTTTCAAGTACAAGAGTCTGTACTTTCCATATGTTACATGGAATTGTATCTTTTAATGAACTGTTGATTACGTCACATTTATGTCACATTTATGCTCGCACTGCATCTGTTTTCAGGTTGTCAAAACTGTGACAGTAGTTAACTCTGTCACTTTGGAACATCTCAGATTGACAATCGACCACCTGCTAAATAACTTTTGATTGAATCTTAGGGGCAAATAACTCGTCTGAGTTGATTCTCTATCGATAGATATATAGAAGGGTTAGAAACAAACTAACATTCCATCAACCAGTCACACTCAAAATAATTACTATAAAATTCCCACTAGTTACACACTTTAGTCTAGCATGTTTTTAATAAACTGACGTTGGATACATGTGACGACCACCACTTTAAAAGTAGACTTGTAAAAAATCTACACAAACAGTGATATATAGTATTTTATTTGATGGGAGATTAACCAATCAAATTCAAACCAAGTGGGTTATAGGCCACACCTCTTTTACAACGACCATCATGGAGAATCATCAAATTAGTAGCTGTAACAAGACATTAGAAATTCATTATAACATGGATTAAACAATCACTAAAAAGATATTTTATATGCACAGCTAATTTCAAGAATGGAACCTTATCCCTCCCCAATTTAATTACTTTATTTTTAGAAGCATAAATGACTTTGTAATACAGAGTTCCATACATTTAAAAAATAATGTTTACCTGTAGTCTGTCCCTTGTTGTGAGCTTTGATACTTTCAATGTGGTGACAAAGAGCACATTCATCACGATAATTCTTGTTGTTGGAAGCACAAATCTGATATTGATTGTGAGTGTGGGGTTTACGTTGACATTGTATTAAATTCAACCCCGATGTCTCGATAGCTAGATTGCCAACATCAGGTTTATATTGTGTGCAATTAATCTGTCAAAAGATAATACATGTACTTTAAAGAAGCTAAATCGCTAACATTTGGGACCTAGAAATTGACACAAGTGGGTCGCAACTCATATAATACTGTAATATGAATGTATATAAACTGATTTACATTCAATCGTTTCCGTTTTTACTCTAATTTCAAATCAGTTATGTTCCGTGAAATAAGCCAGCAGTCTCAATCGAATGCAAATTCCTAGCGTCTGGTTATTCCAGTCTACGCACGCCATTTGGTTTTGTGCAATATGTCTAGCCTCGTTCCTCGAGTCTCTTGCTAGAACTGGGGCTGAAACGCATTATGGTACACGATTCGTGTACCAATGGTAAAATATTTATTTTGTCTTAAATATTGGATATCAGAAGCCCATCTTTTTCCGGTAAGATCACAGCATCAATGTTGTTTTATATTGACAAATAATTCGTGTTTTCAATGTTGAAGATTTTGGATGATATTGAGTTAGAGAAATAGCTACTTTAAAAACTTATAATAAATATACATAGTATTTCCCTAATATATCCAACATGGGCATCGGCAAGTTTTAAGAAAAAGTAAAGTGTTTCAAACTGTTCCCTCTTTTGCACCAATGAATGAACAATCCCACTAAGCATTAAACGAATTCCACAGAGAATTATATCCTTATGTATCCCATTCAGAAACTTGAAAAAAAACCCAAAAAACAACAAATGACTTGTTGCGATTTCCATTTGTCCTATCTGTGTTCCAATTTTTATCTTTATGCCCTAATGGCCAATCTCATCGAGGTATTTCCCCAACTCCCACCAGAAAGAAAAAAGGAAAAGCAATAACGTTGTCCTGCGTTTTAACGGTCATATATATACTATTTAAGATCGAATCGTTCCGAATTTCGGCGATTTTCCACGCAAGTTTTTAAAATCCATTGATTATTTTGTAAGAAGGGCTAAGTGAGAGGGACGCAATGTCGCGCTTTGCGTCATGGTTTAGAGTTTTTGCGCCCTCTTGAGTTTTTGTGCCCCTTCGCATCATAATCATAATGCTTAACTCTAGCATGTTTCACACAGCCCAATATTACCCGGCGGTACTGGGAGCCCCCCCCCCCCACACACACACACACATTTAAATATGGTTTTGGGGGCCCTGGCGCCCTTGACGGGATCTTGTTCCTTATGTAAAATCATGGGTTATCACGACCCAGGCCACGGTTACAAGCTATAAAATTGATTGGATGTGTGAACAGAAAGTTTTCTTCCTTGTGCTAAAATGAACCTTGGTTCGGTAGGCTTATCCCGGTTTAGTTCCAAGTGCAAATGTATATGGAGAGTAGCTACGAAAAAAAGGGAAATAAGGTTTCATGTCCTAATTTTGGCCGGACAGTGAAGTTTCCGCTTACACTTCGTTGAATACTAACCGCTAAGTGTGCTTTTACGAACACAACGTATACACGGGACCTCGATTTTTCGTCCCACCCGAAGGAGCACTGGAAAATCCTGAGGAACTTTGCCGACAAAACTGGGAAAGAACCAAGGACCTTCGAGTACCTTTGAAGACTTGCTAAATGTTTATGTTTCTGATATAGAGAAGTGTGCCAACCAAAATTGACTTCTTTGCTATAAAACGTCTTTTTTGAATTATTAAATATTAAAAGCGACTGTATTATTTGACTACACAGCAATAATCAAACATCTGTAGGCTAAATGTTGGCCAAATATATTATTTTCCATTTACAGGTTGTTTCTGCGTTGCATATCTGAATTATTACTCTGTAAAAGATGTTATGTAGAAAGCACAAAAGAAACATGAGATGCGGTCTATAGTATAGCTCAAATCTTAAATGTTGGGTACGCATCTTTCTAGAACACTGGGTGCCACATGTCTGTTGTATTCATAAAATTTTGTTGTGCCGATGACTGCTAGCGGATATTTCTCCCAGAGGTTATCTGCAACCAATCAGATTGATCTGCAACCCGACTTCTGAAACCCAGGCTTAAAATAGTTAGCGATAGGCAGTAACGGGTGTTGTGCATGAGAGGGATATGTTTACATGTTGTAACACCTTATAACACGTTTGGTTTGAGTAGTTCACATTACTAACAAGTTTCATACCAACTTAATTTGTTATAAAACTGGTTATCTAGCCAGGTATTAATGTCACATTAATATCTTAACAATGCTGAAGTATAGGCAACAACAAAAAATGTCAGCTTAGTGAACTCTAAAAATGAGACCTGGTATGAGGTGTTCTCGTTGCTTTTAACGTACCGCTCTAGGCGTAGGACAGCTTGTAGTGGTTGTGGATATTTCGCCAAGATGTTGACCTTGTGTAGCCAACTGACATTGAGCCCTCTGGAACAGACATTTATTTTCTGGAAAAAAAAACAAGATTATGACCAGTGACTTACGTAGCAGCATGGCGATCAATAGGACTAGTATTGCTTCCCCCGATTTCATGACATACGAATGTAGTTCAACTATTTATAGCAATTCTGGCAATTCTCTCTTTCCCCTATTTCATGATATTTTGTTAACTTATTGGTTTAGAATCAAAGAAACATGTCTGGGTGAATATTCATGATTTTTAGGCGCAAGGGACATGTAAGCAGACATGAATTATTGGGGAAATCACGTAGGAAAATTATGTCACAGGCTGCGACGCACAGCAGAAAATTAAGATGGTCAACCCCCTTCAATATTTTTTATCACATAATCCTTACATTTTGGTATTTTCATGATTATAAAGATTAAGATCAACGGATTCGGGAATGTTCAATAAAATTATATAGGTCAGAGAATTGCATGGATTTAACATTGAAGTCCATGGGGGAGAAGATTACAGCTTATTTGCCGAGTTATGCAGCTTGATTAATTCTCCACATTATATTAATAGTTCTTATTTCGTTCGGAAACTTAAGTTGGCCGGGAAGAAGCACCATTTTGAACAAGAATAATTCTTGTTGATATTTCACAGTTCTGTCCAATATTGCTGTGAGCGATGTAGAAAAGTAGGGATTTGTTATATTACCAGAGCTATCTCCTACGAGGATGTCAAGTAAAGTGTGTCTAGTCCTTCGAATTGTAAAAAATTCGGATGTCCCGTGTACAAATTGACAGTTCATGCAAAAGATTCCTTGTGTTGACACAATATCATTACGTTGGTTTCATTAACCAGTACAACTATTGCGCCATTACAGCACGGAAGCCAAAGCTGTTGGTGTTGGTGTAGCTCCCCACATCCAACGTGTGATGCATACTCCCTCTTCTTTGCTACATATTTTAATAGCCTTGTGAGATCGTCTAGTATTTTCACTTGTCTTCCTTGGCTTCCTCCTCACGTTGTGTATTTGCTTCTTACTTTTCATTAGTACGTGGGATTTGACTATATACATGTAGAAAGTGTTAACCAATAATTAGTTAAAGATACACTATGGTCTTAAGGACCAAAGTATCACATTGGCGAGCTTAAAGTTGCTTACATTTTGTACCAGAGAAAAAACTATAACTAATGGTCAAATGATCAAAGAAAAGAAGAAATCTTTTATTTCAACTTACTATAAATTTGGTTATCTGAACCACATACGGGATCTAAATCCTCTTCACAAATACGAGTACAGGCGGGAAGCTGATTATGAACACCCTGTGCAGAACATTCTCCACTATGAATTTCATACAGTATCTTGTTTGATTCGTGGGCCTGGCAAGACGAAACTCCAAAATAACACGAGTTTACTGAAATAGTCCGGTGTATAGCAATATTTAATGATAATCAAACCTCAAGCCTATATTTGAAGGCAACATTTGTTGAAGGATTGTATTGGACTTGAAAGAATAAGATTTTGTTTTAAACCTGCCATGCAGTGCCTCCCCTCCCCTGCTCATGCGGAGCCTATACAGAGAGGACCTATGAGAGAGTCTATACACTTGGAAGTGTAAATTTCCTTCAGAAATTGCCTAAGATGCAAGAAAATCGACTTCAAACTTTCCAGACTCCTCGGTCAGTCACTTCGGAACAGGGACTCCTTCCACTCCCATTATTTTTCTGTACACGTCCCAGCGGTGCAGAACAGGAGGACGCTGAACCCCATTTCATTTTATTTCATTTCATATTCACGCTCTTTGCGCCAATTCTATGCCCTTATGATCGATGCTAAGATGCAATTATTAATTTTGTATTGATTGTGTACCTTATCCGGTACCAGATTTTTAAAAAAAATTTCCTGGTGAGTGGTTTTACTTCGAAAGAGGAATAAAGTAAGAGATTTGGTAAGTGGTTTCGTAAACTATTCGAATTATAGGTCGTATTAATCATCGTTTTTCATGACCCTTTAAGTCTTTGTTAAAGGGCATCATTAACACCTGGCCATTTCTAATATCATTCAATTAGTTGGGATCACCATGAACTAAATATTATATTTTATTCCCAACTGAAGCTCCAGAAGCTCCAGAGTCTCGGAGATTGCTTACCATATGTTTTACCATCAGATCCGCATATTTGTTGTTGCTCCGCTGTACAATTCTGGCTACAGTGGTCAACTGCACACAACCCTCCTTCAATAAAATACTACCAGCTCAAATTCGAATTCCACAAAAGTTTAAAAATAATATAATATTAAGAAGTGTGGAAGTATTCTTTAAAAGTACAAATGGTATCATTGAATTAACTAAAAACGTTTCGAAATCTTTGATCTCCGAAAAGATATGCATTTTCAGTTGCAATATAGCCTACAACTAGTGAAATGTGATAAATTTATGTTGTTTCGTTAAATATAAAATTTAGAATAATATGATCCCTTTACCTGATATCAATAAGAAAAGGGATAGGAATGCCAACATCTTGTTTCTATAATATGTCGACGTTCTAGTTTTTTTTCCTTTTTAAACTTAAATGGCTCCTTATCTTTTATTATCTTATCAAGAATGACCCTGCTTTATCTTGATTGTCGGAAGTCTGGTAGCGGGCCTTCTTTTCACAACGGGGATCACGTGGCTAAGTGGGTAAGACACTGACTCGCTAGCCTGGAGGTCGGATGTTCGATCCCTGCATTGGCCGAGAAAGTTCACCCAGATTTTCCGGCGTGGTTTTCCCTTGTCAGCGATACAGGACGGAGGGCCTGACAAGGACAGTTGTCCAGTCCTTCGGATGAAACGAAAAACCGAGATCCCGTGTATATATATTGGAATGCACGTAAAAGATCCCCTGGCAGTTGGAATTCGATATAAGAGTAGGCGATAGTGGCGCTGCCCGGGCAAAATTTCCCTCATAGCACACTGTATGGCGTATGCCCGTCTTCATTAGCCCAGTATAGGAGCAGGACAGTAGGACCTTAAACCCCATTTCATTTCATTTTCATTTCTTTTCACAACGCATGAAGACGGGCTAAATCTATTTGTTAAGGCCAGCTCAATTTTCGCCAAGGTCGCTGAGATGTAAATAAGCTTAGGGCACGAGATTGTTAGCGAGATTGTAGGTTTTAATGGTAAGCATTAGGGCCAGGTCCAGGGTAGATAAGATAAGATAAGATGTTTATTGCATCAAAACGTCCATGAAGGACTGCATGCATACATATACACTTAGACATAGTCATATACATTCAATAATACATATTACATAGACAACTCGATACATTCATACAAACAGTATACTACATGTACAACTGTACATGTATATCAAATAGTAAGTGCAGGGGGACCGCACTACACGCAAAACAAAAATCTACAAGATAAACCTGCGGACAGGACAGAAAATAGACATTGCACCAAATAAACAAATATCAAATCAAGTGAATGGAAGGGGTTTCAGTTACATGTAGTTGCCACCAAATTTGATTTAGCTCTCTTATCAAAAGCCAAAAACACATATAAAGCCACTGCCTTGACAATCAATTTTGGTGGTGTAAAGAGATTAATAAAATTGTAGGAAATCTTATGATTTGCCGAGAAGGCTGGGTATAAATGCGCTTGGCGTATTTCTTCATACTGGCTACAACATAGCAAAAAATGTTGCTCGTTTTTGATCGAGTTTAAATCGGAAAAATTTGTATAGACGCTGATCAACAGGATTTTTTTTTTGTATCGGCCCCTCTCTAAGTGATGCGTACTGAGTCTAAGTGTGGTCATAGCTTTCTTATGATCTCTATTTTTTAACCAAATATAAATAGTCTGGAGAGTTGGTAACAGTAGGTTTTGAGATGAAATATGTACGTTATTTGCTGTTATTCCATGGAGTTAGAGGATATGTGGTATAGAAGGAATTAAACTTTGATTCGAGGGATTTCTTTATATTCTCTTTATTAAAGATACATTATGGGAGATAAGATAAAGAGATGGCAGTTCTCGCTATAATAGTTAACAACTAGATAGTGTAAAGGTAATTTGCTGAAAATTTCAGTCAAACTGATCCACTATGAGCCGAGAAAGAAGCCGGTGAAATTTTTGCATAGTCTCGGTTATCATTACTAAAATCATTAATATAAACAGCATAGTCTCGATTATCCACTTTTTCTGATTTAATTATCTTTGGCCGTTAGCGGCCTATAGTAATCTAATCCAGCCTACATCGAAGGCTAGCCTTTACATCGAGAGTTTATTATGGTCTGGATAAGTTAATTAATGTCTAATTGATAATTTAGATAACATTTCAGGCCTAAAGAAAGACTTGTAATAAGCAGATTTTGCTCTTGCATAATGCATGTTTAAGCAAATGAACATGATTTATTTGGAGTTCCGAAGCTAAATTATTGATTGCGGCTGACCAAGATAATTTTTCATTTTTAGAGGATATAGTTTTTTCTTCAGTATAGGCTGCTGAAAGTAGAGGAAATATTTGTTTCATCCTGACATCGTTTAGCCTTTTATGATACATAAGCATGCGGGTATAAGTGTCTAACGTTAGTCGACTTAAGTGGTTGTTTCAAAATGGATTTGCATATTTTTATAGTTAGTTGGTTTAGATTAATTTTGTCCCATTTTTCAACTGCGAGTATGAAGACATACAATTCGAAACATGTTCCTCAACAATCGTATTTCTGAGACAGAAAGCAACAAAAAGATTATTACAGTGTATTTAAATTAAACTATAAGTTAGATAATCTCTTGACCTCGATGTTGTCAGATATCGATCGAATATAGCTGAAGTCCCACAGAGGCATAAGAAGTTCAATTGACTTTGATATATTGACTTTGCTCGACATTAGGATATAGAAAAAACAAATTCGTAGCTGCTCGATGGGACTTTCATTACACCCCAACCCCAATGTCAAACATCCTTGGGAAATTTTAAAGTACTGTTTTCATTTTCAACATTATTTTAAATTGCGACCGCCTCAGCCTCTCAGCCCCCGCACCCCAAGGCCTCATTTGGTTACGTCCCTATGTATAGCCTAATTGCCGAACGTCGAAGAATGGAAATCGTATAGTGCAAGCTGAAATGGTTTTGATGACCTCCCGATTTTTGCTAAAAGTCCTCATAAGCCCGGGCCCGTATCTAGACACCATTAAGCCGTGGGGGGGGGGGGGGGCATTACCTTTCGGTAGGGGGGCGAACATTTTGAGGAAATTTTCGGAAAGGTCATTCTAACAGACTGTTGTAATCATCATGCTATGTAGTTATAACCTAGGCGTCTAATAAGCATTTTATAATAAGTATTCAAACAAAAAAAAATCGTAATTTTTTTAATTTATTTAAAATTATTTTAGATTAGTACAAAAAAAATGGTTTATAAAGTAATGAGATACCGTGGGATTAATATGCGCATAGTCGCCTGAATTATACCTCCTCCTGCTTAGGGAAGCGTAGTTTTTTCAGGTTAATATAAGGAACTGTGTATACTTTAATGATTGTTAGCAATTTCTGAGCGGGGGGGGGGGGCGAGCATTTCACGCGGGGGGGGGGGGCCATGCCCCCCCGCGCCTCCCTGTAGATACGGGCCCGCATAAGCCCCCCCCCATCTCTCTCTCTCTCTCTCTCTCTCTCAAGAAGAAAGGTTATATTAACCAATGTTTTGTGACCAGTTTAAATGTCACTGTAAATCTTGAGTCTCATCAATAACCTTTTATAAATTATTAAATATTATATAATAGCAGTTGAAAGATTGTATCGATGTCTCCATTGTATTCGCGGAGCTGTCATCTTGACTTTCAAATGATTGATAAGACACAATTTATATGACTTGTTAAGTACAACAATACATTATCTCATGTCTATAGTTAGGCTATGCCTGCTACATTATTGCCTTAAGGTGTGCTGTCAAATATCTTCTAAGGTGTGTAACTAATAAAACATTAATCCTTATGGTTTAAATATCTACAGTTTTATACATCAGTGCGTAAAAACAAAACAAAAGCAGTACAAACGAAATAAAACGCAAGGTAAACTCGACTTGCCACTACCTGGGCAATAATCCCATTCCGAAATATGTGACACCCCCACCCCCACTCCCAATTTACTACTTTGCTGTCTACAGCCCTATGCATAAATAACTTTCATATTGGTGTATATTCTTAATTTTTTATGTATATTTTCCTATGTTGCTATCAGGGCTCTCTTAACTTGTCGGGGGGGGGGGTGGGGCTGAATGGTTATCACGTGCGCGCTGCATGATAAAGTCTGTCATTGAGTCAACTGGCGGGGTTTCGATTTCCCGGTTGTACGTGACAAGGAGTAAGAAGGTCGCCTGTCCAAACTCGTGGGTTTTCTCTGGATCCTCCGGTTTCTTCCCACTGCTAAAGACCCCTACGCGCAAGCGAATTATGGAAATAAAATTGAACCATATGTTAGTCCCGAAATGACCTAGTTTGTGTCGAGTGGACGTTAAACCCCATCTCTCTCTCTCTCTCTCTCTCTCCTAACTTGTCTAGTTTACAATTCATTAATCCTCTTAAATGGGAGAGACGCAATATGTTTCATTTCAGTACAATATGTTCATTAATAATCAGTGAACTAAGTACATGTAAAATATAACATGGCTGCATCTAAACAAATGGGTAGGTGAGTTACGCAATAATTGTATGTAAAGTTAACAATGAGATGGGATCATTTCAATATAGATCACCTTCAGTCGACCGCAAAGTCTTTCACGCTTCAGTGGCCTCAGTTACCGGTAAAACTTTCCCGTGGCGAATGAACCAATATATTCTAGGTTTATATTTCAATTAAAGGGACATTTCCTGAATAACTGTTAGAAATGGAATGAGGTTTTACGTCCTACGTTTTTGCACCAACTAATAAAGACGGGCATTATACGCCAGATAGTTTGCTAAACACGGGACCTGGGGCCTGTTTCACGAAATTTTAATTAAGATAAAATCCAAATTTTAGTAATTTGATTGGATAATATTAGATTAATTTTAGTGCTTAACCAATCCAAATTGAAGTATCTACTAAAATTGGATTTTATCTTTAGTTAAGATTTCGAGAAACGGGGCCCTGTTTTTTTCGTCCCACCCGAAGGACAAGACGATGTGATTGTCAGGCCAGAGTTCGGGCCTATAGGGGGGCTGAGGCGGACGGGGGGCAAACAGGTAAGCCTAAGCTAGGGAGAGGCAATAACCTTTATGGAGCTGCAGGCGGAGAAGCCGTCCTGAGCGCCGGGCGAAAGAAAATTCACAGGTGGGGGGGGGGCGGGGGTGTAGGGCCTAATCGAAAATCGAAAAACTACATAAAAACATCTAAAAAACTGTAGACCTATATAGTCATCGGAAGAATTGTCTCAAAAAGTACAATTGGCAGAAAAAAGTTTTCAAAATATGTGGTCAGAATACTAATACTTTTTTTCGCTGGTGTAATTCCATGCAAGGGGTGTGTGTGTGTGGGGGGGGGGGGGATACATCACTGGTGACACTGGTAGTGGTAAGTCATTTTATAGACCTAACTTTTAAACAAATTCC